AGAAACCCTACACAAACCCTACACAAACCCTACACAAACCCTACACAAACCCTACACAAACCCTACACAAACCCTACACAAACCCTACACAAACCCTACACAAACCCTACACAAACCCTACACAAACCCTACACAAACCCTACACAAACCCTACACCCTGCTCTTTCTACCAGCTTAACCCTTACACTTACCCAAAGCGCTTGCTTCCAACGCCAAAAGCGCTTAAAAAAACACAAACCTGTACAAGTGAAAAGTACAAGTTTCAAGCCCAAGTACAAGTTAAAAGCACTAGTTAGAAGCACTAGTCTAAAGTACAAGTTAAAAGCACTAGTCTAAAGTACAAGTTAAAAGCACAGAAAACAAGTTAAAACTACACGAAACGAGTTAAAAGTACAAGTTTGAGACACAAAACAAAAACACAAGCTAAGAGCACAAGTTAAGAGCACAAGTTCAGAGCACAAGCTAAAAGCACAAGCTAAAAGCACAAGTTAAAAGCACAAAACACAAGTTAAAAGTACAAGTTTGAAGCACAGAATAATTAAAGCACCATTTAAGAGCACAAAGTACAGGCACCAGTTAAAAGCACAAGTTAAAAGTACAAAAAACAGGTTAAAAGTACAAGTTTGGAGTACAAGTTTGAAGTACAAGATAAAGGCACAAGTTAAACGCATAAAAAACAGATTAAAAGTACAGGTCTGAGGCACAAGTTAAAAGCGCAAGATAAAAGCATAAGTTAAGAGTACAAAGTACAAGCACAAGTTATAAGCACAAGTTGAAAGCGCACTAAAAACAAGTTAAAAGTACAAGCACAAGTTAAAAGCACAAAAAACAAGTTAAAAGTACAAGTTTGGAGTACAAGATAGAGACACAAGTTAAAAGCACAGGTTAAAAGTACAAAGAACAAGTTAAAAGTACAAAGAACAAGTTAAAAGTACAAGTTTAAAGAGTTAAAAGTACAAGTTTAAAGAGTTAAAACATAATTCCAAAGTACAAAGCAGAAGAACTTGTATGGTACAAAGTACAGTGTCAAATCCTCAATTATATATTAGAGTACAAAGTACAGGTGTACACTCAAACCCGGAGAGTACGCTTTAGAACCACCAGTTAGATGTAGTATTTAAGCATAGAAGGTAACCATTAAAGCCTTGTATGAACAGGTAGGGAAAGAGTAGAAGGAAAACTCATACAAAAGTTGAGAAAAACAAAGCTGACAAATATGTTAAAACGAAGGCTTAAACAAAGCCGAAACAAATTGAAAAAGAGGCCGATCAAGTATAAGAGTACAGCACGTGTGAAGACAAAAAAACAGAGTCGACAGAGCATTATTGGTTGTTTTACAAACCAATTTCCAAGACTTTTGGTAAAACATCAATTTAATTCTCTTAGCGTGTAAAGTGTGCTTACGTAAGGCCTGATGTAATTTACAATAATATTTGCGAAAATCAATTTAATTCTCTTAAGATCTCAGACACACAAACCCCTCGACTTTTAATGTCACGTGATACCTTTTTGAATGGATGACTAACCAAAGTCCGCTTACATGCCAAACCCGGGGGCTCGTAGAGGCAAGTGCCTTCTCCCATACAAAAAGCGCGACATACAACAAACCCGGCCAAAATCATGGCAAATCAATTCTAATTCAAAAAATAAAAACATTTGCCGTATAATCCAAGCTCAATAAACCCGCCATACTATTCAAAAATCTGCAGAAAGGGCTGGAAAGTGGAAATCCCGGATTCCCACTTGCGCCATGTGGGAATCGAAGGCAAGCGGCGCAATGTCTTAACCGCGAGTCCCATAGACACCAAGTGGGAATACCGGAGTTTCCGGCATTCCGACATGCTCTGATACTGTGTGTCCGCTTACATGCCAAACCCGGGGGCTCGTAGAGGCGCTTACATGCCAAACCCGGGGGCTCGTAGAGGCGCTTACAAGGCCAAAGCCAAACCCGGGGGCTCGTAGAGGCAGCCCATCCAAAACAGCGCTCTACGCTCAAGCGGCCCAAAATGATCGCAAATCGACTCTAATTCAAAAACTAAAATAATCTGCAAATAATAAGAGGTCGATAATACCGCTAGGCAGTCTAAAAATCTGCAGAAAGGGCTGGAAAGTGGAAATCCCCGGATTCCCACTTGCGCCATGTGGGAATCGAAGGCAAGCGGCGCAAACCTTAAGCGCGAGTCCCATAGAAAGCAAGTGGGAATACCGGATTTTCCGGCATTCCGGCATGCTCTGATACTGTGTAGTGTGTTTACGTAAGGCCTGATGTAATTTACAATAATATTTGCGAAAATCAATTTAATTCTCTTAAGATCTCAGACACACAAACCCCTCGACTTTTAATGTCAGGTGATAAATTGTTGAATGGATGACTAACCAAAGTCCGCTTACATGCCAAACCCGGGGGCTCGTAGAGGCACCCCATACAAAAAGCGCGACATACAACAAACCCGGCCAAAATCATGGCAAATCAATTCTAATTCAAAAAATAAAAACATTTGCCGTATAATCCAAGCTCAATAAACCCGCCATACTATTCAAAAATCTGCAGAAAGGGCTGGAAAGTGGAAATCCCCGGATTCCCACTTGTGCCATGTGGGAATCGAAGGCAAGCGGCGCAAACCTTAAGCGCGAGTCCCATACAAAGCAAGTGGGAATACCGGATTTTCCGGCATTCCGACATGCTCTGATACTGTGTAGAGTCCATGAACATGCATATTTTCGGAATATCATCGCCACTGTTGCAGTGTAGCCGCCCACGCCCACGGGCGCAAATCGGAGTCACGACCGGGACCTGGGCGGAACCGCCGCCGTCAGATTGTGTAGGGAGTGATTCGGGGGCCACGTTGCTGAGACTGGCGACGCCCCCCGATTAGTTTTTTGATGACCCCAAAGAAGTAGAAGCAGCAGCCTTTTTACGCTCCTCGCGCCGCTTGAAGCGACACTGCACCTCGGTGTGGCCGTACTTGTGGCAGTGGGCGCATTGGGAACGTCCGGAGTCGACAGTGCCCGAGGACTGGGTCTGGCGCTTCGTGTGGCGGGGAGACGACCCGGGAAAGAACGCTTCTTTCTTGATCCCGACGTCATCCATCCCGAACAGTGACAGGGCGAGTGAGGTTTCCCTTTCCGCAGCCTTCAGACTTGCGGCGGGCGAGCACCCGGCCGTAGCTCTCCTGCACAATCTTCGTGCGTTCGTGAATCTCTTCACGGGTCGCCTTTGGGGTGATATTGTTCAAGACCGCATATCGTATGTGGTCAGGCAAACCCCGTAGGTAAAAGTGGGCTCGAAAGCGTTCAAGGTCAAAGCCAACCTCCCTGGTCGTGAAATCGGCGAGATACTTATCCACATCACGATCATCGGTAAGTGCAACGTCGAGGTAGGCCTCCGTCGCCTCAAGAGTAGAACCTCCAGTGATGATGAAAGGAGATTGAGCCCATGTTCAAAATGTCTTCCAGGTCTCGACTAGATTCTCATCACCAAGCCTGGAGCGGAGCTCGCGCATGAGTTCATTCCAACGAGTTTTGAGAGCATCCTCCATTGCCGATAGGGCGTAAGCCATCTTAGCGGCGTCGGTGTCCTCTGGCATACCACGGTGGAACCTTTTGGGAGGTTGCAGAGATTAAGCGTTTGACCGAAAGCAGCCAATTGCGACGCTGGATAGGGGTGTAGACGAGGCAGCGGGTCCTAGGAGGCGGGATCAGGTCCACGAAGCCCGAGGAAGAGCTATGCTATACTAGCTTGTTCAATCTCGCCACGATATTTTCCTGCTGACGCTGCATCTGTTCGATGAAGCGGAGCGTGATACTCATAGTATAATACCCGTCGTTAAAGAGCGCAGAAAGGTCCGGCGCGACAGGACTAGCGGCCGCAGCGGTCTCTGGACCAAGCTGGTCGGTAGGCGCGATGGGGGTAGTCTCCGGGGCCGTGAGATTGGCCTTGGGTTCCTGATTAGCACGTGTATCGGGAGGAGCCATTGCAAATGAATTCTCTTCGATCAGGCGGTCCGAAGGATCAAGATTGTAACAACCAATATTGAGCGGTACTAGTCATTCGGAGCAAGAGGGGAAGTCTGATGAAAGAGATGCTTAGATGCAATAACTCTGAGAGCGCTGAGGGAGGGGTCCTGTAACAACTAATGCACGGTAAGCAAAATTTGGCTTGATAGTAATGTTTGCCGCGCTGCCGATATCAAAATTTCAGATTGAACCGAACCATTTATATGAAAGATGTCGAATAAACAAAGCCAATATATCACATTGTAATAAGGAAAGGAAGTGGAATTTTATAGAGGAGTCAAAGTAGATTTGTGTAGTTATGTTACGGAACCTGAAGCTCAGCTAATATTATTCGGCTTTTTCGACGATGGCCGTGTCACAATCATAGGGCGGGTGCTTTAAACTTTGTTGATAAATCGATATTCGTCACCACACAGTTTACCAAACCATTCATCTCCATTTGCAAAACCTCCTTCTACAATCCCCCGAAGGTTTGATACTTACGTGTCCTATCCTGCGTCTTAATTAACTTTTTGAGATTGTACTTGGTGGCATGTTATCTTTATCACGGATAATACGCCAACACGGCGTCATTGGAAACCTACTCGCAAAGCCTTCACTTGCTCGCTGCCGTACCTCTTTTCGTGAACCTAGCCGGCCGTGGCTGACGCTTGCTCTTCCATTCTCTTCTTGTCCCCCGGTATGTGAGGATCTTGTACCAGACGATTGCCATGTCGCGTCTTCCACCGGATCAACTACCGGGAAGCAGGACTTGAAGCAAAAGATTGCTGATCCAGAGCAGGAGAACATTGACACGGAGCAGATTATTGGTATTCTGAAAGAACGTCGGCGCAAATGCAAAGCTGAGTATAGAGATATAGTGGATCTGCACAATGAATTGTGGACCGAAGTGATTGCGACGGATGAGCTGATCGGTTTAGTGACTGAAAAGTACATGTGGGAGGTAAGCCATCCATCTTGGGCATCCCAGAGGGCAAGGACGACCGTTTCGAAGACCATGAACGCAACCGATACTATACCAGTCGCTTCAGCAAAAACTGTTCCAGTTATAAGGAAAAAATTCAAGTTCAGATACTATGAAGATGCCTATGTTTTTATGACCCGACTGGGCGTCTACGCCTCGAGGCTGCGGCATCACCCGCGCATCAATAGCTTTTATAACTCTGTCACTGTTCAGCTGTCATCGTACAATGAAGCTTCCGGTAACCGATTTGTCTCCGTTGGCGATATCTTAATGGCGCTCGCATCTGAGGATATTGCGACAGGAATCGAGTTGTCTTATTATTTGAGACCGGAGGAGACGGACGAAAATCTGACCCAGGATCTTGATTACGAACAATATGGATTAAGCAGAAAAGTGGAGATCAGTATTCGCAGCACGTGAGCTTAATTGATTTTGATTTTTGTCTACTAGTTTTATCTCCAATAAAAATATAAAACGGTACAGCTAGATCTCATTCACCACAGCCATCACCATCTTTGATAACGGGCAATTCATTCGCAACTGAACATCATCGTATATTTCACAGGACTAGGAGATGTCTGCTCCCGGCGATGTGTGTCATCTGTCAGCTTAAAGACCTTGAGACTGTTCTTATCCACCCCTATCTTGTGGAGAAATGTCTTGCCATAGTGTTAATCAGCGTCGCCTGTTCTCCCACTCGTCCAGATGCCAGGGCAGCTGTGCTGAGCGTCTGGGTTCTTCGCATAGAGCGCTGGTTATGAATGCACGACAAGCTCGCCTCAGGGAAAACAAACAGTCTGACGACGATTTCACAAGTTATAGTACAGACGCGTGAATCAAGCGACAGAGCCCGGTTGAACGATTAGCCTCCAACTCACACAAACCCTACACAAACCCTGCGCGATTGGAAATACTTTTTCGATTCTTTTGAAAAAATCCCAAACTGGAGCCTGACGGTTTATCTGTTCCTAGCTGGCTGTTTTTGATGCCGTTTGTCGATACAAGAGGCGAGATTGTCGTACGCAGGGTTGGAGCGCGTCAGATAAAGGATGAGCTTCGGGCCAACGGGAGAAAAGAAGGATCCCGTCAATCTATAACTCGCTGATGTACTCTTTCTGTTGTAAGACGATGTCGAGGTATTCGTCAAAATATTGGGACTCAAGACAGCCGTTGCCTCTTTCCTCGGAAATCGAGCTGCTTTGCAATGAGGACTGCGAGTGCGTGCGCGTCGGATTCGGCTATCGTGCTTGGGATTCACAGCAGCATGTTGCGATGCGCGAGAAGAACGTGCTTTCTTTCCACCAAAACTCATATTTGGGATGGGGATAGGAACACGGGAAACTGAATGGTGAAGTATAGAAGTAGTGATAGATGAAGGAAAAAGAGGAAGAGATGTAGAGACCCTCTTCTATGCTGGCCATGGTCGTCTATGCCTTGTGAACAAAGACCGGCATCATGGCTTTGTAGGAACGGACTGTGTCCCCTGTAATAATATGACGTTGAGGAAACAATTCAAATCATCGTAGCAAGCTCGTTTTCAATCCGTCTCGCCAGTGACATGATTCCTATCCGTTGAATATTGTTCACATTAAACCCACATATTTGAATCTATCTACTGGCTCCAATATTCGCGGTTGTCCTGGAGAGCGTCTCAGTCGTACGTTGGCAAGGGACTTGTACTAATGCTTGCCTCTAGTTAACTACCTACCTGACCATAAGCCAGAATTCTCTCTGTAAGTAGGTTATCACCTCTAAAAGAGTCTAGGTCGCTGCCGTGATCTAGAATTTTTCGTGATCTTGTCTCCCTCGAGTCATTCAGCATACCTGCTGGCTTCTACGACGCTTGCATCTTTATTATTCATGTGATTTAGAAAGGTCATTTTGGAAAAGAATTATATTTCTGATAAGTCCACTGATTGCATCGATTGATAGATAGAGTACATTTTCTTGCCCTGACGTTAGCTCCCTCCTGGTTCCCGCCACGATAAGAGCGCACTGATCTCAGCGGGACGACCCCAGACGTTTAAATTCTGTATCATATAACACCGCGGGCCCGACGCCACCGCATTTGCACCGCACAGACCCAAGTTTCCGGTGAATGCTGTCTCCACCTTCGAGCCTCCGGAAGTCACTATTCATCCGGTGTATGGCTACGAGGTTGACGCGAAGTAAGCGCAATTATAGTTCAGAGAGTGCACCCTATGCACAGGTTTGCAATTGAGATTCCGTGATGTTGCATTATGTATCGAGCGGGCATCTCGAGGTCGGATAAGAGAATATGCTAAGCCGTGTGTTTGAACTCTTTATTTCGGCTAACCGAGGAGCCCCAGAACCTATTAGACAGTAATTGTCTAGGGGCACCCTACAGATAGTCTTATCAGCGAGGACTTTATCGTTATCTGGCACACCTTACGCCAAGGCGATAATGATGGTGATGACCAAACGCGCGCGCGCGATCGGGCTGACCTTTAGCAGACGTGCTGTTATCGTACGAGATCATGAATTCTACATCATAGAGAGCCAATGTCTATTCCGTCAATGAATGAAATCCCGAAGTATGCGTTTCGAGAGGGACGAATACCTCTAGGATGAGATCAGCGGTGTCATAGGGGAGCACAGGAGAGCTATCTGGAGCTATAGTATGGGCAGATGCGCCGTACTCTCAGGTGACACTTCATCTGCGGTACCAACTCAACGCTCGGCAAGACATCTTTCCTTGCCCCTCCTTGGCTATTTTCAGGGCGGATGACGGGCCGCATATATTCAGGGTAGTGCCCAGCACATTCTGCCATGCTTGGCTATCCTATATTATAACAGCATCGCCCTGAGTCGTGTCAATTGCGCACAATAACCATCGAGCTACAAAGGCGATTTACCTTTGTCTTGTCCTTATATCTTCAGTATAATTGAGGAATTGAGAACCGAGAACAAGCTGCTGGATATTTGACGAAGGTGTGTACACTTATTCAAAATGGCATTTATCGTTAAATTGCATCGACGCTAACGTATCAACCAGCAGACACTCCCAAGCATGAGTTCAGACGAGATCTTTGACGAAAAGAAGAGCGTCTTCATCACCAGTCGGCCGATTGATGGTGACTACAGTGATACGAAAAAGGAAAGCAGCGAGTCGATTGATGATGCCGACAAGGAGAGAATCCTCCTGCGTATCAAGGAATTGACCAAAACCTATTGGGAAGACAACAACTCTATCGATCCTGTAACCCAGTTTCTCTATGATGTTGTAGTTGATATGGAGGTTGAGAAAGGAATTCAGATTCTCCAGGAAACCTATGCGAATCACTTCGACGACGTCAATTTCCCCTCAGATGATCTTGAGTATGTTCGAATCCTCTCGCTAGGATATGAGCATTTCCAGGGTGACCTTGCGACCTATGAGCTGGACGTCAAAGTCATGGCTGCCCTCATTGATTCTCACTCTCCCTATCCTGAAGTCAGAGCTGTTTGTGATCCGTTTGATGATCCGACAATTCCAGTTGAGACATTTCGAGTTTACGTTCTCGGCATTGTCTGGGTTGGTATCGGCTCGTTTGTTAATGAGTTCTTCCAGCAACGACAGCCTTCTTTGACAATCTCGTCCACGGCTATCCAGTTGTTGCTTTACCCGTGTGGAAAGCTATGGGCCAAGATCGTTCCGGACTGGGGCTTCACGTTTCGTGGAACTCGCGTTAGCCTCAATCCTGGTCCATGGACAAACAAAGAACAGATGCTTGCAACTTTGATGGTTAATATTGGCGCGACAAGCTTGAATTTTGCCGCATATGTCATTGTTATGCGTCTCGAGATGTTTTTCAACCTAGAGTGGGTTTCGTTCGGCTTTATGTTTGTTATGAACCTGTCATCGCTATTCTTCGGCTTTGGTCTGGCGGGTATGATGCGCCGATGGGTCATCTACCCGGTCAAAACGGTGTGGCCTACTGTTCTTCCGACTTTGGCGCTCAATCGTGCGCTTCTGGTGCCTGAGATGCGAAGCAATATTCACGGGTGGACCATCTCAAAGTACAAATTCTTTTTCATTGTCTTGATTGCCGCATTCTTCTATTTCTTCATTCCGGATTATTTGTTCAAGGCTTTGAGTTACTTCAACTGGATGACTTGGATCGCTCCCCAGAACAAGACATTGGCGATTGTTACTGGCTCTTATATCGGCCTTGGATTCAATCCGATTACGACTTTTGATTGGTCTATCATCAATTACACGGTCCCGTTGACCGTTCCATTCTTCTCTCTGGTCAACAGATATATCGGCAGTCTTATCGGAGCGTTTTTGATGCTTGGGTTCTACTGGAAGAACTATAAATGGACCGCCTATATGCCAATCAACTCTGCAACACTATACGATAATCTTGGCAAGACATACAATACAAGTCGGGTTTCCAGCAATCTTCAGCTAGATGAGGAGGCATATTTGAACTACTCCCCGCCTTACATTTCTGCCGGAAATTTGCTACTTAATGGCTCGCTTTTTACTCTATATGTTCTTGCGTTTACCTACGTGCTGTTGACGGAACATCGCTTGCTCTGGAATGCGGTCAAGAGCTTCTGGGTCACGATCCGTCACCCAGGAGCCTCCACTATGTCAAACTTCAATGACCCGCATACCAGGATGATGCGAAAATACAAAGAGGTTCCCGATTGGTGGTATCTTTCTGTTTTGGTGGGATCGTTTGTACTGGGTGTTATCGCTGTGAAGTGCTGGCCTACAGACACTCCTGTCTACGGAATTGTTGTTATTGCGCTTCTCAGTATTGCCATGATTATCCCCAGTACACTGGTGTACTCAATTACTGGCTACGAACTCAATGTCTATTACTTTGCGGTGGTTATTACTGGGTATATGTGCAAAGGAAATGGAATGGCCAATATGCTCTGCAGATTGTACGGCAACAATATCGATGTTCAGGGAGAGTCTTTCATTTCTGACCAGAAAATGGGACATTACGTGAAGCTTCCACCAAGAGCAGTGTTCCGGGCCCAGATGATTGCTGTCTTTATTCAGGGCTGTATCACGATCGGTGTCGTTCAGTTCTGTATGGACTCGATCGTGGACTTTTGCAGCAATACTCAGGTCGACAAGTTCACCTGCACGTTCCCTCATCAGCTCTATTCTCAGACGATTATGTATGGTATTATTGGTCCAGAGAGAATGTTTTTCACGCTCTATCCTGTGTTGAAGTACTGCTTTTTGATCGGCTTTTTGATTGCGATCCCGGCATATATTCTGAAGATCTACTTCCCAAAGGTCATGATGTACGCGCAGCCTATTCTCGTTGTCAACGGACTCAGCAGATGGGGTGCTACTTACAATATGTCGCATTATACTCCTGGACTGATCGCCGGCTTTGTATTCAACAGGTACATCAAGCATCGTTATGTCAAATGGTGGACCAAGTACAACTATGTGTTGACCTCTGCACTATCAGCTGGCGTTGCGTTTGGAGGTATCATCATCTTCCTGACTTTGCAGTACACAAACACTTCGGTCAAATGGTGGGGAAATAGGGTATATGCTGCTGGAGTCGATTATGCAAAGAACGCGACGTTGTTGGATGTTCCAGAAAATGGATTTGGTCTGAAAGTGGGCGAGTTCCGATAAATATTGTTGCTGATTCGATTATGTTGTCAAGATCGATGGCTTGGATGGCTTGAGTTTTCTGACTGGATAAGAAGATAAACTTGGCGAGGCGAACGTTACTTAAATTTCTGAAAATGCACTGCTGTATTAAAACATGTTTGATGATGAATGATAAATAGATGATAAACACAGAATTCCTATCGATAAGCAGAGTAAAGAGGAGATCTGTTTTGCCAGGGGCTGATTAAAATAAGGTTTGAGTTGTAAACCCCACAAAACTGTTTAGGCCAACCCCACTCTCCATGCCGCCAAGTTGCCGTATATCAATGAGACCGCTGTCGCTCTTCGAGATGAATACTCCTTCTCGTCAGATATCTCTTCACCATCATGACGGCTCAAGTTTCTGAGACAACGTTTGTTCACCCACAACTTGGTCGAGTGAAAGGAATACATGCTGCGGACGGTGTCGACAAATTTCTTGGAATCAAGTATGCCACTATTTCGGCAAGATTTGAGGATCCTCAGCTATTTGAAGCAGTAGATCCCGATGCAACAAAATATGGGTATGCGTCTATATATTTTGTGATATGATTGCCTACATGAGATTGGATTGAGTAGCTCTTGCTAACCTGTGACATACGAAGACCTCCTGCTCCTCAACCCCCCGGAGGTTGTGCTGCTGAACTCGGATATATCGGCCAAAAAATGGAATTACCTCCAATTGAAAGTCAGCCTTCAGAATTCGAGTGTTTGAATCTCAATATCACAAAACCAAGCAAAGACTATGGCTTCCCATTGCCTGTGTTTGTATGGACGCACGGTGGCGGGGTTGTTGTAGGTGCCAATTGCTGGCCGCAGTTCGACATGGTCCGATTGGTGGAGCAGTCAATCGCAATGGGAAAGCCGGTTATTGGAGTTGGGTTGAAGTGAGTCTGTAACTGCTTCAATTGACTCCCGGAATTTCGAAATGACTAACGTTTTCTATTTTATATAGCTACCGCCTTGGTCCCTTGAGTTCTTTGACTTCTACAAGTATGGCTGAATATGGTCTTGACGGCAACAACTCGTATAAAGACGTGGTGGCAGCTTATGAGTGGACTCATAAGTACATTTCCGGATTTGGTGGCGATCCAAAAAATATAACGGCCATTGCAGAGAGTGCTGGTGCCATTATTAACTCGATGGTTCTGCAACTCGAGAAGCCCATGTTCCGTCGCGCTGTTTTATTCTCGGGAGCGCAACCTGTCAACCCCCCGGTTCCTTTGACTGAGCACGACAAGGTTTTCAAAAACGTGCTAAAAACTCTTGAAATATCAGAGGATCTGCCGATTGACAAAACCTTGGAGGCTTTGAGAGCGATTCCGTCAGAAGAGTTTACTCTAAAGCTACTTCCGGTAACTCCTTTCTCATTTGCACAAACCAAATCTGTTAAGCACTGGCCCATGACCTACTTTGCAAATCCCGAACTGGACTTCCTTCCAGGACGAAAATGGTGCGAACATCTCGTTTTGAGTGACTGTGAACATGACGTGAGTTGCATATTTCCTTATTTTCTCATTTACAAATCCTAACTTTGATATTCAGGGTACAATCATGACTCGATGGCTAGTTTCACGAAAGGAAGGGATTAATGCGGCGTTTCGCGCTCACGTCTTGAAAAGTTTCTCCGACGCTCCCGAGCTGGCCTCGCTAGTGCTGTCGGAATATGGCCTCGCAGAGGACATTGATGATGCAACTGCATACGGTCTGATTGAGGAGCTGATCAACGATGTATGTTTCTATTCGATAAACGTACTGTTTGCCCGTGGATACAGAGATCCTTCACGCGTCCATCTGATACACATTAACGTCACGGATAAATGGCCAGGCGCATATGTGTCCAACGGAACTCCACATACATTTGACTTGGCTTTGTTATTCCAAAATCTCCGGGAAAAGATGGATGACGAGACTGCGAGGATCTCCAAAGCTTTTGCGGCAGATATACTTGAGTTTGTGAATGGAGGCGTCAAGTATCCGGTATTCAAGGGCCCAGGTCATGGTAGCGAGAATTCGACTGTCTATAGCGAGCGTGGGGCGGATGGGTCTAAGCTAGTGGCGACTGAAGTGGAGGCTAGGCGTCGCGTGAAAGTCTTTGATCTGGTAGAGAAGGTTGAATGGGATGCATTGTCTAAATGCTTGCAGAGTTTTGTCTTTGGAGGTTAGAGTATGTTAATAAAGACTGTCTTAGGATAGTGGCTTGAGCAGGGGCCAGTGCAGCGACAGGAGTGAATAAAGTCGACTTTATCCAATACGGAGGTTTAAGAGCACGTAGTTTGTTCCTGGCCGCCAAATATGTACCGTTAATAACATAACATAACACGTCTTGGCTTTCTTTGGAGCAATAGGCTCTGAGTCGCATAGTAAATCGGAGATCTTCGAGCCCCACTGAGACCTCTCGGACAGGGTCGGGCTCTGTGCGCAAAGCCTCAGAGAACTCAACTCCCAACGCCCCACATCTCTGATTTCACCATCTTCACCTACAATAACACCAGCTCAGCAATTGTTATCGATTCAGTCCAGCATCTAAGGCCATCCGACGATAAAAACTTTTAGCAGTCTGCAGCTGGTGATTGGAAACGATCTGGGCGTCATGTCTCTACCTGCTGCGTTGGATGCAGCTGCCGAATCTTCCCTCAACCCAGCGTCACTCAGATGGGCAGAGACGCATCGTATCGGAAATTCCCCCTCGCACACGTTTCTAGAGAACAGCATGGTTTATGGATGTGGTCAACGGAATGTCTCGAGATTTGTGTCTGGCTTTTTAGAAAGCGCAGAGGTCAACTTACCTGCCGATACGTCGGACGCCGCTTTGCTGCGGTGCTTTTTGAGTCATCTAGATGGTCCAGCACTAGTTTGGGCGGACAAATACGTCGCAGAGAAAATCAAAAGGCATGGAGAGGATTGGTTGACTGAGCCGAGAGCTTTTGATTTCTTTTTAGAAGAATTCAGGATTGTGTTTGGCGACACGATCAAGCCGGCACCGAGCCGGATACACATATCTCAACAGGAAGGAGAAACCGCTAAAGATTATTTGAAACGGGCGATATATCTCACAGGTGGAATAAGTCAAAGAAACATGAAGCTTGTGGATTCATTTGTTCAAGGGCTGCTACCACCAACCTATGCAACATATAAGAAGAGTTATATCGACACGGGTGACTATCACGAAAACGTGGATGAAGCGGCTCGTGTGGCAGACGAACTTGCACGTCTGCGCGATATGTATAAAGTCTGGGGAAACAAGTATGATACGAATAGAGAGGAGTGGGTTGATATGGAAGGCGACGATACATAGAGGGCATTGTGCTATTGTTTTATGATTTGGATGCATGTGTGAGGTAGATGCAAGAATCGTCGCTTTTTTTTTGTTTTGGCTAGTGCATCGGACAAGAATATTACACATAAATAACATATATACGGCTTTATTTATTTACTTTATACAGAATGATAACTATCCGCCAGCTTTCATGCGGTGCTTATACTCGCTTGGGGTCTCTAACACCTTTGAGCTTTTCCACATGCCTACCCGCTTTTTTCGGGCCTGCTTCTCAAGCTTATCGTATTGCTCACGCGTCGATCCGAAACTAGCATTCGTGTTGCTTTCGTAGACCAACGCCCACCCGGCTTTCAGCATCTCTGCCGATACATCTTTCCGCCAAAGTCCTGACCATACTGTAACTTTTCCCACTGCACGGTGATATTGATCGAGTGAGTCTAGCCGAACAGTGGCTGTCTTTCCGATGACAAAGTTGGTGAGCCACTGCTTTGCTTCTTTACTGAACGGCTGGGCAGGGTGGCCGAAAGAAGCGGATTCTGGTGCGTCGATCCCGCAAAGACGGATGTGGATCGTTTCGGCTGAGAGTTTTGGTCGATGAGGAGTTTGGCGTGGTCGCTTGATAGTATCGTCACCAAATAGTATCTTCCATATCGAAGAGTTCTTCTTTTGCGACTTCCGTGCTCTCGTAGCTGGAGTGGTGGGGAGGCTTGGTGTTGTGTGAGCTGGCATGAAAAAAGTCGATAGACCTGATCTGTTGTGTTTCCATAGGTGCTCAAATGGAACCTTTCGTGCCCACCCCCAGCCTGCTAGAATACCGCCTGGTGTGTGGAAGACTCGAAAATTATCCGCGTCCCCGACACTAACTATGCGGCCATGAATCGTCCCGTGGGTCTGATATAGTCGAGTCGGTACGTCGACGGCAGTCTTATAGCGTCGCAAGAAGCGCAAGTAAACAGCCATAGATCCGCAAATCAAACTAGTCAGCACCAAAGTTGGTAGTATATTTCCTGTATCCATCAAGCTTCCTAGCAAAAGCAGAGGCTTGTCGTTCGATAATCGAGAGCTGATCTCTTGGATTGGCGACGGATTGCGAGATTGCTCGGTGCTCTCATTCTCAGAGTCCTCGCTCAAGTTGAGAGTTCTGTCGCGGCCAGCTCTCCCAAACATTGAAAAGTACTTTGTTGTTTCGCTTTCAGTAGGTTTAGATATGCATATTGTACACAAAGAGCTGACGTAGATTAGATGGATGTGTAGACCATTTGTTTATATTTACGTGTTTTGGGTCTACCGCACACGCAGATTACCCTAACCCAATATGGAATTGGCCAAGCTCGACCACCACAAAATCGTCGAGCTGAGAATAATTGAATTTATCGGTTTGATACGACAAAGAACACCGATATCAGTGTCGACATATCTCTTGTCAATCATATCACACTCACTAGAACATCTACCCGAGAAGATATACAAACTACAATGTCGGCCATAATTGACGAGCTCCGGGCGGCACACAAAACGTCCGCGTTTGTGTCAATGTCGCCTTCAGAGCTGACGGCTCTCTACGAACGATCGTATGCCTTCATCACATCCGGCACGGCAGCGCGGAAGCTTGAAACGGGAGAACTGTACTCGGTGTTTGAGCTGCATTTCTATCTGGCTCTCCTGACATCTCACGATGTCGAGGCCGCAGCGATATTGACGACACTTTCAGATCGCTTTGGAAGCGGTTCTCCTCGCGTGGCTGTCCTGGAAGCGTTAAACATTGAGGCGACGGAGACTTTGGCGAAAGCGCTGGAGTTTATTGATAAGCGACCAGAGACTGAGATTGGAGCGTGGAAACGTCGGATTGCGATTTTGAAAACCACGGCGGGTAGTGCGCCTGCGACGATGAAGACTCAATACGTTACAGAGCTGGTGAAGTTGGTGGACCATGTGCCGTCCGATGCCGAGGCGTGGTCAGAACTCGCGCATGCATACATTGATGCCGGATTGTACTCACAGGCGCTGTTTGCGCTACATGAGGTTCTCTTGTTGGTTCCGTTGGCCTACAATATCAATGCATTGGTAGGGGAGATAGGGTTGAAGTTCTCGTCAGTGCTGCAATCTCAGGGGTCGACTGCGCTTGCTGAGGATAAGCTGGTCGAGGCAGTGAAGTTTTTCTTGAGATCTGTTGAGTTGTGTGAGGACTATGTTCGTGGGTGGACTGGTGTGTTGGTGGGATCCACGCGAATTCTTCAGCAGAGCAAACCGACGGCGGATGTTAAGCTATACCAATTGGTTCAGGAGATGGCTCGGAAACAGCTGCAGAAGATTGTGGATACGAAGGATGCTCGGGCGGAGGATCTGGCGGCGGCCGAGATGGTGCTGAAAAATTATAAATAAGCATGCTGATATAGACTGAGGATGGTGTGGGATGTTTTGGTATCGAGTTTCAATATTTTAACATTTTTATTTCAAATTGATACATAAGCATCAACTACTTGATAGAGCAGATTTCTCGGTTACAGTCTGTATGACTGGCATTTTCTCTGCAATCCAGTTTGCGTCTCTTAGAAAGAGCCCGGAGTCTCTGGCGGAATGAGGGATTTTGCGTTTCACATTCTCATAAGAATCCTGCTTGACTGTGTACTCCCTGAGGATTGTGTTGTCCTCAAACTCGATAAATAAGCGGGTGTCGCGTATCCGGAAGAGAACGTCATCAACTCTGACGAACAAGCGGCATAGAAGGAGAAGTCGTTCTTCCATTACTCTGACTTTGACTTCTGCCATTGCAATGCCGTTATCACCCAATTCATCTTCGAAGAGCACGACCTCTTCAAAAAATAGGATCGGATCAGGACGTCTGAGCTTATCGAGGGGTATTGATTGCGAAGTAGGCTCCCAGGTAACCTTGCTCGGTGCAGGAGTGCCCTGGTATGAGGTTGTGTAGGTCCAGTCAAAAGGTTTGACGACCTGGTGGACTTCGTCACTGGTTTTCTTTCTTTATGGGTAGTGCAGTGTTAGCGATGTACGAGAAGTAAACATTGGATCATAAAGTGCGTACTTATCGTTCATCCATGCCTCAGAGTAGGCGACCTTGACGAGACCGCCCTCGGGATTTCCGTGCTTGACTACAAGGTCGAGCGCGTCAACTGCGTTGAATCCGAGACTCCAGCCACTTTCGTGAGCGACGACGATATAGTTTTTGCCAAAGATCATTTCAGGCATTGGGATGCCAATCCTGGCAGTCGCGCGATCGATCTCGTCTGCGGTCATGATTGGCCGCTTGGAGGAGTATACGGACCATCCATTGCGCGAGACAGTGGGCTTACCGAGAGACTCGGACGTGAAAGAGTACAGCGGCTCCGGATCATGGGAAGGGAACCGGTATGACATTGCTGCTGCGGCCGGAAGCACGATTTGGGGAGCCGAGGAAGAGGAAGCAGTGAACACCGGCGGAGGATGACGATGAGGCCGGGTAATTGTTAAGGTTCAAGAGCATCGCACGGGGTTGGAAGGCTGCATTTGACAGAGCGATGATTCACTGCAGGAAGTGCCAGATTCGAGAAGTGTTTTTATCGTAAATACTGTACTTAAACACTCAGAACAAAAGAACAGCTGGTTGAAACAGAAATACGGGAAAAGCCGAGGAGTTGAGTGGAATTAGATTTGGAGCCGTGAATCTGAGAGCCGAAGAGAGGCGCAATGGACGCAATGTGACAACGGATGACGTATGTGTCTGCCTTCGATCCACGCAAATCCACGTATAAAGGATCATCCTTCTCCCATAATACTTCATCATACACACATCCTTTCTCCTCAATCGTCTACACAGTTACTTTGTTATTCAAAAATGTACACAGTTGTTGTTACAAATATCTCCCCAGAGGTCACTAAGGCCCAGCTGGAGAACTTTTTCTCGTTCTGCGGCAAGATCGACACCACTGATATCACCGATGCTGTCGACAACACCACCGGTGCAAAGACGCAGACCGCCACCGTGCGATTCGCCGAAGAGGAGGCAGCCAAGACTGCGCTGCTGCTGACAGACACGCAGCTTGGATCGACAAAGGTCGTGATCGAGAAGGGCGAGGGCCTGTCGGGCGAGGGATCTGCTGCGGCCACCTCTGCCGCTGGATCAGATTCGGATGATGTTCCTCAGGAGGCCAAGCCCAAGGCTGCCGTGCTGGCCGAGATTATCAGCCATGGATATGTTCTCAGCGACAAGGCTCTTCAGCACGCTACCGAGCTGGATCAGAAGCACGGAATCTCGTCGAGATTCTCAAAGTTCTTGACAGATATCGACACCAAGTACAACCTGTCGGATCGTGCGACCTCTACAGCGCAGGCGGCGGATCAGAAGTACAACATTCGGGAGCACTTGCAAAACACACATGGACTGATGCACCGATACTTTGAGAAGGCGCTGGACAACTCTGCGGGTAGCCAGGTGCGCAAGTTCTATGCTGATGCGAGCAAGACTGCTGCCGATATCCACGGCGAGGCAAAGAGATTGGCAGCGATCCGCGAAGGACAAAATACCGGAAGCACTGTCGAGGGAGGTGCGACAACTGAAGGCACGTCGGCGGCGGTTAGCCAAGATGAGAAGGCTGCGCCGGTCGCTGCGGGTGCTGCGGACTCTTTGAATGCGACTCAGTAGGTTGTGATAGCTTGGGTCATGGTTATTGTATAATTTGTTGCGAGATATGTATAGTTAGTTGAAGAAATAGGATATTTGTATATAGCGAGTAAGTGAATGCACGTGCTCCAGGCAATCTTCTGACGTAATTACACTCTTGCCGCGCTCTTCTACCAGGTCCATACCTACAAAGAGCTGAGATTGAGATTAGTTGAGTATGAATTGCAATATATCTGATAATCTGCTGCCGAGAGATTAACTGGAGATAACTACGGCGCGGCCGGGAGCTGTCTGGCATAAGTAAACAACGTACAGCCTTCCCAGGTTATCTGATCGTGGCCCATCGCTGAACCTGAAACCAGCGCGAGTTTATCAGCTGAGGCCGGGTAATTGGACTGAGGCCCGACTGGTCTTTGCGTAGGGTTTGTTTACCTTTTTTATCTTGATCGTCGGGGAGTCGTATGACTGGTAGATAATACCATGCCCATGCCCGCATGGGTTTATTTGCTGCATGCGATATGTGCGTTTACGATATAGTTCTACAGAGCAGAAACAGCACAAGGAATCGGCAACATGGCAAAAGTGAGCAAATTATATACATCGAGCAGGCAACGATAGCGAGGATGACTCGTGAACTCCTAAACCTGAACCAGCGATAACTATCAGCAACACTGATAACGTCGAGGTAAATTTATCGCGCTGGTGAGTTATCGGGCGTATTCGTGTTGCTATATTGTTGACAGGCCTGTCTGCTCTTCTCTTGTTCTCTATCTCTTTCTCATTTCATTCATTGGCAGCTAGTAGATGTTTTGATTATTTTGGTTGTTGTGGTTGTTTGCTGCTGGTGTGCAATGACATCATGGCTTTGGTGGAGATTAGTGGCTTGCGAAAACACTACTGTTTATAGGTCGCTGCATGTTGTTCTCCTCGTCTGTTGACCAGGCTATCGGAGAGACGAGCAGCTCGAGTTCAGACCATCCGCCTCCCCAGCCCAGTTTCGCTATTCGGTCCCGACAACGACAACACGAGAACGGTGCTTTCTCCAGCAGCGAGCCGAGCTATCAGTAAACAGCGCAAATACACTGACGAAGGTCTGTGTCGACAGCGATGCGCGCACGCACACTCACACTCGCGTTTCTAGTAAAATATCGCCTTTTATGTCATTTATCCCGGCTCTCATTGGCCGTCGCCCGCACGCCGCCCCCCGGAGCAGAGAGTCATCGCCAGCCGGGTCGAGACCTCGCTGAGTTTGTCATCGCCAACTTATCTGATGAGTCCCGTAAGCAGCTCTTCACCGCAGCGACCGTCCTAATCGCCTCAATCGCGCGTGGATATCGCAATATTCCGCCAGCCGACTCCCTTCCTCTGTGTTTGGGCCCAGTTTCGGTGCTTCTGCGCTCTGCAAAATTTCCAAACGATGTAATGAGGTCTGGTTCTCCGACCCGAATCCGGCTTAGCGCCAAAGTCCTTCCCGCCGCCTAAAGCGGTAGCTGAGCTGAGCACAGACGGCCGCTCTGCCTGCGAGCACTCCACCGTCCTCGGTTCAACGCGAGTTTCGCTCGTATTCGGCATTCCCCTTTGCTCAACGTTGATAGTATCTGTAGAGAATTGTATATCTCTAGAATATCAATACAAATATATATATATATTGCAAACATCTTCTAATCTCCTACTTATCTAAAGACTCAGCACCGCGGTTGCAAATAACACAGGTTCATTGGCGCCCCAGTGGCGCGCTGGTTCAGCATCGGTTTCCTCCTCTGCTCGTGCCTGTCCAGACTCCGCCCGCCCAAACCATTTCCTCCTCTCTGCCTTTTGTTTGTCATATCGCTCTTCCTTCCCGCGGCCTCTTTCTTACCTTCAAGCCTTCGTCTCCGTCTCTCGAACCCCTTCTCCTCTTCTTCTTCCTATATCTCTCGGTCAGCGATGCGTTACGGCTACGTTCTAGCTCAGTACTCTGTTCCAGAATGGAAGGCCTTCGCCGTTGATTACGACGAGTTCAAAAGTCTTATCAAAAACACAGTCGTGCCTGGCTCTGGCTCTTCTGGTGAAGAAGTCATCTTTTCTGCCCTGAACGAGCAGATCGAACGTGTACGTCTCAATCCTCCGTCTTGTCCTTCCTTCCGACCGTTCTTCCGCTAATCTCCTTCCAGGTAAACATCTTCGTCCGATCCAAAGCCGGCGAGCTCGAGCGTCGCATCCGCAACTGCAACAAAGCTATCGAAGACATCTCAAAACAGGATGCTACTCGGACATACCCCGTCTCAAACGCGCAGCGTCAGCGACCAATCCTCAAGATTGAATATGAGATGGATTCGTACGTATTCCCATCCGCCTCGAGGAGAAACCGGGAGAACCATCTCTACTTCCCCTATACTCTCCTCTTTTGCTTATTCCTACTCCTAACCGCTTCTCTATCATCAGAATCTATCGAGAACTTCAGCATCTTGCTCGCTTCGTCAGCGCTCATAAAATAGGTATCTCATCCTCCAATCACCTTATCTACATTCCTCCACTGACATCACCTCCAGCTTTCCGCAAACTCGTCAAGGCCTTCAACAAACGCTCAAACACCTCCTCCCTCTCATCCCGCTTCACAGCCCTCATCGAAAACCCAAAGTCATTCGCCAAGCGGGATTTCGCACCCCTCATCGTCGAGCTTTCCTTCCTCTACGACTCCATCCGTCGCTACTTTCAGTCTTCGCTTCGTTTCTTTACTCAGTCGCACACTGCCATGGCCGATCTCGATTTCGAGACCTCAAGCTTTTCGGCTCCCAACTCTGCCTCTTTCTGGGTACACGAGGATAACGTCGTCGAACTAGAGATCTATCTGCTCAAATATCTCTCAATCATGCCCAACGAGTCTATCTTCCGCAGAAATCTGTTAAACTCCAACGAATACGGCGTGCAGTCCGATACCAGAATAGTCTTCCTCAACTCTGCAAACGCTCTCGAGAACATCAACTCTCCAAAGAAGTTCCATGACGAACTTTCAAAGATAGTGGCCGACGTCGACGCCGATGGCAACGAAGCTGTCCTTTGCACCCCGGGCGGAGCAACTTTGACCGGCAAGAGGAAATACATCGAAAGCATAGTCAACTCGTCTGCTAGTCCTCAAGAAATGCAGCAGCTCGACAGTATCGGAAAATCGGTCGTTGCTTGGGTCAAGAAAAACTATGCGAAACCCTCGGTTGTCGTCGGTGCCAATCGTATCCGCTACGAACAAATAGGAACAAACGGCACCACCGTTTGGGCTTCTCTTGACAACGACGTCAAATACCGCAGAGTCGAGTCCGCGACCGGTTGGACAGACCTGGGCACTTCTCGAGACTTCTCTTCGTTCCCTTACTCTGTTCTCGAGCTCAGATGGCAGGGCCCTGAGCCTAAGTGGATCCACGACCTGAAAGCCTCGCATATGGTTTACGAAGTTCCCGGTTTCAATTACTTTTCACACGCTACAAGCGCGCTCGGTCTCTCCGACCAGCAGCCTTCATGGCTCCGCCTCGTCTATGAGGACATCCACAAAGTTCCAAAGCAGAAAGTCGTCCGTCCGCGCCTGAACGGCCGGAACTCGTCCTCCAAGACTGCGACTCTCACTCAAGCCTCCTCGTCTTCTTCATCATCATCTGGTACTACTGTGGAGGGTAACAGCAGCGTCGAGACTCCTCTTGAGAACATGCCGGTCACTGTCGCAAACGCTGCCTCTGCTGGTTTCCGTCGCAGCTCCGTCTCTCGTGCCAGCCAGCGGGCTAGCTCCATCATCTCCTCTATCTTCTCTACCCGTCCATCCTCTCCTCCGCCTTTCCCTAAACGCAACGGTCCGCCACCTGATGTGGCCGAAATCGCCCGTCTAGGTCGTGGGCGTCGCGGTCGTCGCGGAGGCAAGGCCACTCCTAATCGTCCTCTGCAGATCGTCCACCCTGAGAACGACCAGAACCGTTACTGGAATGAGTTTGATCATCCCGAGGATGACGAGTCTACTTTCTTCATCGATGTTGACAACTCCACTAGTGACTCTGGCACCTTGAACAAACTCTCTGATTGGTCCAACAGTATCTGGAGCCGTGTGTCCCAGAAAGTGCACTCCATCAGCGACATGGTTGACGTTTCTCCATCGCGTCGCGCTGCTCAGGACGCGGAGCGTGAGGGTTTGTTGCAGAACAATGATCATGATCTCGACAATGCCGCGGCCCTTAGCTTGAACCGTCCTGGCAATGATGTCGAGTCTGGAAATCGGCCAATGTCGAGACTCGGATTCCAAGATGCCGAGTCGTTCGACCGTGCGCTTACTATGTTTTATGCGGTTTCCTTCAGCATTTCGCTCGTCCTGGTTGGAATCCTCGACGGAATCATCTTTGGTGGGCAGCATTCTGCGGCACCTGTCTATGTGTCTCTGCTGGCATCTATTGGCTTGGTCTTTGCAGAGATGATTGCGCTTTCCGGTGTAACCGCGTTCCTGTGGCGGCGCAATGTTCCCGGAGCGTTGCATCAAATTTTGGTCTTCCTCGCGATGCTCACGATCGTTTGTGGTGGGGTTGGTGGCGTTCTTGTTATCCTGTTTTGAGCCTGCCCATCTTGAGTAGCCGTTTCTTTCCTTTTTCAAAGATGTTGATTAGTGGGGTGATTCCAGTCTTTCCTTTACATTTTTTTGGCCTTATATTTCCAGTTGCATTGGCATAACTAATTTTTTTTACGAAGAGACTTGTGAAAGCTGATACGAATGTATGCTTTGCTGCTCTCTGTTAATGTTTGTATGTATGTTTATTGGATCATTGTCGAGGTGTCCTTTTTTTCTTCAGATCATTTTGCGCATACTCATTAGATTGCCTTACACCCATTACTGTTATTATACCTTTTAGATTTGTTGTCGTTATTGATGGGTTGCATGATGCATTTTCTCTCTCTTCAAATGTATCGAGTTTTCATGTGATTTTCATTGTTTTTTTTTTTCTTTTCTCTTTTCTCTCAAGATAGTGCATCTTTTACCTCATATAATTTTATGCCTGTGTAGGATTCGTGGTTGTTGTTTCTGAATTATATATAATACACTTGTACGTACCTTTGTCTCTAGAGTGGATGGTCGAGAAGTGGTGGATAGCGAGAGCAGGATCAATTTCAGCTAAACCAAGTGTAAACAAGGAAGTAGTTGATTTCAATAGTGCCGCTTGCACATTGGAAGGACATTGAATATAATCGACTTCATTGTAAGATAGTAATATTAAGGTAAAAATGAAAATCCCCTGTGTATTCTTAATCCATAATCATATCAAAAGTAAAGACATTGTGCAGTTGTTTATTTATGGCCGGAGTTAAGTTTGTGGGGGTGTGCGACTATCGGAAAGTTCGCCACGATAAGCGCTAAAGCGCCCTGAGATTATGATGGCCAACCTCACATCCATCACGCAATATCACCAGCCTGCTCGTCTTCAAATCGCCTTATCTTTACTCGGTAGTGATCTTGGGCAAAGGCTGACCTGGTGAGGCTATTTTATGCGATTGCAGAGATCCTTCGGTATTTGTTTTTGATTGATTGTGCTTGCGTATCTTTCATATCATCAGCAGCATGGCGCCGCTTTTTGAGAAAGGGTCTATTGTCCCTTCAGTCCTGATTGGCGCGTTCACAACCGTTGGAGGTATTCTATATGGCTATGATACGGGTATTATTGCTGGTATCCTGGCCATGGATACTTTCAAGCGCGATTACGGCAAACCGGATCCTATGCACGACGACAGCTACTATCTCTCGTCGGCGCGCAAGTCTCTTGTTGTCTCGATCTTAGCAGTCGGTCTCTTTTCCGGCGCGTTTTCGACCGGAAATGTCGCAGATAGACTAGGAAGACGGAAGGGGTTGATTCTGGCATGTATTATTTTTATGCTGGGTGTTTCTCTGCAGGTGGCAAGAGGTAGCATTGGACTGTTTGCATTGGGTAAGTACTCCACGTCTGAGCACTAGTGAATAACAGTCAGGTTCAGGTCGCTGACAGTCAGTGTAGGGCGTCTTGTTGCGGGATTTGGTGTTGGATCTGTGTCGTCAATTGGCCCGCTTTACCAGGCTGAGATTGCGCCCAAGCACTTGAGAGGCGCAATCACCGCAGGATACCATACCGCAAAGACACTTGGAGTGTTGATAGCATCGCTGGTTGATAACGGGTCGAAATCCAGAGACGGGAAATCATCATACTTGATTCCGATCTATATACAGTTCATCTGGGTTTTGATTTTATTGACTGGGTTCCTGTTCTTGCCCGAGTCGCCACGGTTTTTGGTGAAACAAGGCAAGATTGGAGCGGCTCGACGGTCACTGTCAATTATCAGACATAATGACAAGGACGACATATCAATCTCGGTTGAGCTTGCGGAGATTGAAGCGGCGATTGAACTTGAGCGTGCGCTTAGTAACGTACAACTGAAGGATTGCTTTGGAACCGAGAACAGGCAACGTTATCGGATGATGATCGGGTTGGTGGCCGGAGCGATGAGTCAGTTGGTCGGGGTCAATTTCATAAAGTACTTTGGCACTGATTTTTTCCTGCAAGCCGGAATCACAGATTCATTCATGGTTTCGGTCGCGACCAACATGATCAGTTTCTGTATGACGCTTCCGTCGATATATCTGATTGAGAAGCTAGGCCGGCGTCCGATCTTGACGATTGGCCTGTTTGGCTGTTTTGTGACGCAGTACGTGATTGCAGTCACCGGCTTGATATTCGGACGGGATTCTGACATTGCAAAGAAGATGCTGGTCGTGTTTACGCTGCTTTACATTGCTGTTGAGTCTTGTGGCGCTGGACCGCCATTGCTGGTCGTCATGGGAGAGACGTTCCCGCTTCGGACGCGTGCGAAGAGTATATCGCTGTCGATCGGGTGTGATTACATTTTCAATTTCCTGATTTCATACACGACGCCGTTCTTGGTTGACGATGCTCCTGGAAGTCTGAATATGGGGACCAACGTGTTTTTCATTTGGGTGTGTATTTCTTTTTGTCTCTAATCTTGGTAGTTTTGCTTATGCTAACTATTAATTCCAGGGCACTGCGAGTCTGCTAGGAGCGCTGTTCATCGCATTGTTTGTTTACGAAACCAAGGGACTGACGTTGGAGCAGATCGACGAGCTGTACATGACGTGCCCGACAGCTTGGCGGTCATCGTCGTTCAAGCCAGCGGCCAACATGCTTGATCCCGAGATGTCGGATGAGGAGATTGCGACACTGAACGGACAGCGCGGGTCGAATGCGAAGAAGGACGGTGACGACACAATGACTTTGGCCACCGTTGATTCCAACGGACGGGGGGATAGTGATGCGGAGAGCATAGATGTCGATGAGGTGTTTGAGGAGGAGGGAGATCCATTGTTGAACGGCTATAGATCATAGATCATTTTCTCATTTGTTTGTTATTTGTTAGTTTATCAATTAAACCGTTCCAGCTACGTTTTGAGTTGTCTAGTGTCTAGTGTTTGGGACCGGAGCGTTGGTAGGAGATGAGAAGGTGAAAGGCAGTAGTGGAGGCGGCTGATAGCATGACGATACCACATTCTCCATACGCAACTGAAACGATTCCCAGGTTATGTACTTTATACTCGATATGGAAAAACTAGCGAGTGATTTTCACGAACAGCATTCCTTATCAGGGACAGTAAACAAGATCGAGACAGTCATCTGACGGTGTTTAGATCGGCGCAGCAGATCCACTTATTTTCCTCTGCTACGCTATTTTTGGGATCGTGATCTCAGCCAAGAGCACTACAGCTATCAACCTGTCCGCCGACGCCGGAGCAGTGGATGGGGAGTGACGAGGGCGTAAACAAAGGAGGCGAGGGGGTGGGGGACGATAGAGGAATGACGTAATGGACTGAAACTCAGGAGTTTGTTTACGTTGAGCCGCTCTCGGCTAGATATGCACATGAGCCGTCACTGTGCTTCGCGAGAGGCCTCGCTGCTGCGGGAACGTCGTCAGCAGAAATGCAGGAGGACTGTGTTTATGTCCATATAGCAATAGGAATACTATAGGCAAAACAACAGAATATCAATAGCAGGTAGACTACGCTAAAGAAGTTCAGCCAATTTCGCACAACTGTTCAAACGTGTGCGCGGCAGCCGAGCCTTTATTTCGGGGCTGCGCAGGTTTGGGTTGAAACTCTATTTTCACTTTCTTCAGTGGCCTCCGGAGCCGCCACTTTGTGTTTTGTGTCATCGTCTTTATATCTGCCTCCTCTCCCTTCTCATTGTCTTCTTCATCACCGACTCAGTTCTCTCATTACGTCTCTAAATAACAGCAGCTTCTGCTAGTACTCTTGTCTATGGCTGGTGCTGCTTCCACCAGTGTCTTCAGCGGACGTGATCCGTCTGAGTACGACTCCTCTGATCCGCTTGTTCTCTTCATCATCCAGGTAAGCATCTTCCTCGCACCCCTTTACGCCCACAGAATACTCACCTTCTCTAGCTCGTCATCATCCTCGTTCTATGTCGCATACTACAATATCCCCTCGCCTACCTGCGGCAACCCCGAGTCATCGCCGAAGTTATCGGTGGTGTGCTTCTGGGCCCGTCCGTGATGGCTCGTATTCCCAACTTTAGCGACAAAATCTTCCCCAGCGAGTCGTTCCCCATCTTGACTCTTGTGGCTAACCTCGGACTGGTGTTCTTCCTCTTCTTGGTCGGACTCGAGCTCGATATGTCGCTTGTGATCAAGAACATCAAGACTGCGTCGACTGTCGCGTTCATGGGCATGGCCATCCCGTTCGGTCTTGGCTTTGCCGTCTCCGTTGGCCTCTACAACCAGTTCTCCGACGAGGCTGACGGCAACGTCTCGTTTGGCATCTACGGTCTCTTTGTTGGAACAGCAATGTCAATCACCGCTTTCCCCGTCCTAGCCAGAATCTTGACCGAGCTCAAACTTCTCTCGTCGTACGTCGGTATCGTCGTTCTGTCAGCCGGAGTCGCTAACGATATCGTCGGCTGGATTTTGCTTGCTCTCACTGTTGCTCTCGTCAACGCTTCGAGTGGCATCATCGTTCTTTACATCTTTTTGGTTGCCTTTGGCTGGACTGCCGTCTTGTTTGTGGTCATCAAGCCTCTGCTGCTCTACGCTGCCAAGAAAACCGGAAGCTTAGAAGAGCATTCTCCGTCACAGCTCATGATTCTTTTGATTTTCCTTCTTATCGTCACATCAGCCTTCATCACCGACATCATCGGTATTCATGCGATTTTCGGTGCGTTTTTGGCCGGAATGGTCATGCCCGAGGATAAAGCATTCAGAGCGGCTGTCGTCGACAAGATCGAGCTCATTATCACTCTGCTCTTCCTGCCTCTCTATTTCGTGCTCTCGGGACTGAAAACTAACCTCGGACTGCTGAACGATGGAATCACCTGGGCGTACACTGTTGCTATCATTGTCGTTGGCTTCGTGTCAAAGTTTGCCGGTGCCTCTCTCGCTGCTCGATACAACGGCCTGCACTTGCGTGAGTCGATGGCCGTCGGCTCGCTCATGTCTTGCAAGGGTCTTGTCGAGCTTATTGTTTTGAACGTCGGTCTCCAGGCCGGCATTCTGAGTCAGCGTGTATTCACCATGTTTGTCGTCATGGCTCTTGTCTTGACTTTTATCACTACTCCCTTGACATTGTGGATCTATCCTACCTCGTACCGGGAGAAGATGGCTTATGTCCATGAGGTTGAGATGAGACGAGCTTCGGCTGATGCAGATGATGAACATAACGGTGAACCCTCTACCACGGCATCAACGCCTGCCCCGAGACCGTCTGTGGATGAGAACGATCTTGAAGCGGTTCCTACTGTCGAGAAGCATCTCTGGCGCAAGCAGCCTCTGAGACAGATGAAGGCTGCCATGAGATTCCCTCGCTATATCTGAGGTGATAGTTTTATGATTGTGTAAAGCATCTTTGTATGCGTTTTTTTATACCTTTGGTACTTTGTGTTATGATTGTGCGCGGCACTTGTGTTTTGCATGCTGTGATGGGATAGACTAGTTGTGTTTTTTTGGGATATTTATATCTGGGATTTGGGTTATTGTTCATGGTTCTCTTTATGTCTGGTTTTTGGTTTTAGTTGCTCTCATGATGATCTATGTTAGACGAATACAACATTTTGCGCATGCTAATCAAACGAACTTGAACACATAACGTAATCGCTGACTCATACGTCGTCTAATGAAACCCTATTACATAGTCTCTCCACTCCAGAAAGCCCGGGGATAGCTCCGTGGGGGGATGTGTGGGGTTCATGTACCGCCCCGCCATTCACCGGGATTGCCCGTTTCTACCATCCTCCTCCCCGCACTCGCTCGTTTCTCCCCACAGCTCGAATACACCACCGGACGCATGACCGAATCTGATATCTTCTACTCTTTGTTTTCAGACTTGCAACCTATGAGCAACAGCAAACGGCTACGCGACGACGATTTACCTGGTCGCGCGGACGACAAAATCAAACAGCTGCGCACGACGGAACCGTCTCCGCTCGCAAACTCTGCAAATGTTAATCCTCTAGTTGCTGTCGCGGCGGCGGCCGCTGCTGCTGCTGCTGCTTCTTCTGCGTCGACTTCGTCGTCGGCGACGGCTGTTGCGGCGGAAGATTCCGAGTCTGAGGTCGAGCTGGTAGGGGTCACGACACGCAAGTCCAAGGCGTGTCCGGCGTGCAGAAAACAAAAGATAAAATGCATCATGCCATCAGAAGCAGAAGGTGGGGGGCCACCTTGCAAGCGGTGCAAGGAGCGGGGACTTTTGTGCTCGCCGAATAAGACGCTGCAGGCGATTGTGCAGGAGCAGGCGAGGTGGAATGCGAGGAACTTGAAGCTGATCAGGAAGTTGCTGAGTGTTGTGAATGAGGCGAGAGTGGCTTCTTCGCTTGAGCCCGTGACGGTCGAGGCTTTGGGTGAAGATGGCGCGCTGCTGCGAGGTGCGAACCCCGTGTCGTCGACGACCTCTGTATCAACGCCAGGTGTCGTCTCAGCAAAAAGCCATGTCACCCCTGCGCAGAAGGCTGAAGAGCTGGAAGAGGACATCGACGTTACGATCCCGACTCCAGAGTCTGTAGCGTCGGCACCGATTCAGTCGCTTTACGAGGTCACGCGCACCCCTAGAGTTGCAACTTCAGCGTTGGACGAGAGCTTGGCGGTCGAGATCTCGCAAGCGGGCATTTTGGAGAAAAACGACTTTATCGCTCGTGGAGTGGTTACTCTTGCCGAGGCTGAGCGGTTTGGATATCTCTATCTCAGGCGGCTGGACCACTACTTCTTTGGACTTTTGGCAAAGAAACATACTACGTTTGCTAGTCTTCGAAAAAGCTCGACAATGTTGACGCTCTGCGCGGTGACTGTTGGAGCTTTGCATGATGCCTCGGGAAGCGAAGCTTACGAGAGATTAATACGTGAGCTGAAAGGGTTGACGGCGTCGCTCATGTTTAGACCGCGTCTCGGGCCGGAGGATATTCGAGGTATTTGTGTGGGTGCATACTGGCTTTCTGATCTGGGATGGATGCTGTCGGGTCTGGCGATCAGAAAAGCCATTTCGTTGAATTATCACCGCGATCATCTTAGCTTATGCCATGAAGAAGACACGCAGGAGGCGTTTATTCATTCCCAGCTGTGGCTTTTTACGTTTCTGTGTAATGAACAAATCTCGGTACTCCAGGGCGTGCCGCCATCGGGTGTCTCTAGAGACTTTGTGCAATGGCAGCAGCATATGAATTCAAAGTATGCCACGGACGCCGACCGACGATGCGTCTCGCATATCGATCTGCTGTTTATCCTGACGCGTGCCCGAGAGCTATATGGACTCGACACCACGCGCCCGATCCCTGAAATGCTCGTGCGGCAGCTGCGCGAGTTTAATACACAGGTCGACCGATGGGCCGCCAGGTGGGCGGGGAAACTGGCGGTGAATAGCGTGCTGGGCAATTTCCCCAGCGAGGCCGTCCGTGTGCATTATCATTTCGCAAAGTTTTACATCTGCTCGCATGCTTTTCGGGGTCTGCGGACGACTAATTACTCGGACGGCGATAGCCCTGACTCGCAGGTCTCTTCGTCATCTCTTCCGGGCGGGAGTCTGCTAACGCCGGATCTACACGAGCTTGCCGTGACCGCGATCTCGACCGCGTTTGGTATTCTCGAGGCACTGCTAGAGTCAACAGAGCTGAAAGCAGGACTCGTCGGAGTCCCGCATTATTTCCACACGATGTATGCTTTCGCTGCTGTCTTTCTTCTCAAAGTCTGCACTCGGTATCGTCAGCACATCAAGGTAGACCGCCACAAAGTCTTCAGCATCACCGAAAAACTCATCGCGCTCTTCTCATCCTGCGCCTGCGCACGCCAGCATCTCGTCCTGCGCATCGCGCGCGGCTTGAAGGAAATGCTGTCCCGGTGCCAAAAGATAGAGCCGATGACGAGCGGGATAAACACGCCGGCCGCGGGAGTCGATCAGGGATTAAACATGGGGAACCTGATTGCGCTCTCGAACGCGGTCGGGGAGATTCCGCTTGATTTGGAGAATTTTGATTTTTTGACGGCGGTGCCGCCTAGTTGGCCTTCGGATTTTAATAATATGTAATTATGTTTTGGTTTCATTAACTGTTTGGTTTTTGTTTATATAAAAGTTTAGTTTGTGCTGTGTTTGGTTTGGTTTTGGGAGAGTATGATTGTGTTTTGATGGTTGGAAAACGGTGGGATGGCTTTTTATATGTGCTGGAGGATACACTTCTATGACGGCTAGTATAAAATCTAGAACTTGTTTAATACAAAAATTTAATACAAAAAATACAGATAAACAGCCAAAAAGAATAACAAAGAAGCATCCAAAATCTAACTGAACTCGCCGTCTTTTAATCCAAACCCACCCTGAGGAACCTCCTTCAACGAAGCCACTCTCGCATAATCAACCCCAGCACTAACGACATTATTACCCCACCAACTCAAAGTAGTCTGGGTATACTGCAGTGCCAGGAAGATGACTACGCCCGAGAACGCGACGCCGGCGGTGAGACCCGAGGCTAGGATGTAGTTGTATTTCGTCCACCATGCGGTGTAATACCGGCGGAGATAGAACATGAACGCCGTGGCGGCGTAGAAACCGCCGATGTAGTACGTGAGGTTGTAGGTGTAGCCCCAGAAGGTTGCACCACCCCAGATCAGAGGCGGGAAAATATTCTTCACTTTCTGCGGCTTTTTCAACTTCAGGATGGCAAAGGGGATCGCGGTCAGAGGTCCGATGTAGAAACAGTGCTTTAGGGCAGGGTAGAGTGTAGAGAGCACGCGGTCGGTGCCGAGGACACCAAACATGATTGCGTCCGAGTACACCGAGCGAGGGAACAGGCAGATAAACTTATCCTGCTGCGTGGCCGAGCAAAAGTCCGCGACGGACTTGAACAGCGCCTCGACCGCGCCCAGCGTCACAAATGTCTGAATCAAGGTAGCTACCAGCTGCGCTCTGAATACTGCTCGTTGGGGTAGCTTTGCGTAGTGCGCCATCTTCTGGTCTGCGATAAAAGTCTCGCTTTGTTCATCCACATTGTAGCCCCACAAGCGGACTAAAATGTTTGTCACGGCGTTGCCGGGGTCCATGTAACCCGCTATGAAAACGGAGAACGCGCCAAAGCCCATAGCGTAGCCGGTAACAGAGTAGACGATGATGGTAGGGATATACATTCCAATGTTGAACAGAAAGATACAAATCACAGTCCAGACCGGGACCGTGGTCGGCCAAGCTGTGATAGTGATGATCGCGAGCGCGCCAGCGATGAGAAAGATCGCCAAGTACCACCAATCCGGCACCTCCGGGTACGCGCGCATCATCCGTGAATGAGGATCATCGAAATCATCAAACGCCTTGCTGCGCGGATGACGTATGGCATTGTAGAAAAGCTTGCCGGTGCGAATGATCAGCTTGTATTCCGAGATGCAGATGTACGTGAACGCGCAGGTGTAGAGCGCCCAGAGCGTGCCTGTGCCAACAAGATGTCCAGCAGTCATGTACGGGACAGAATAGGCTTTGAACTTGTCGAGGTCAAAATGGCCGGTCGAGTCCAGGATTCTCGAAAGATTGTAAGTCGCGCCGGTGTTGTCGTAGATTGTGTTTGCGTTCGGAGGCAGGTACGCCGTGTACTTTGTATTTGTCCAGTACAAGCCCATCAGCGCAAAGCCGCTGAGTATGACACCAATGAACCTATTAACATTGGCAAAGTAGGGCAAAACAAGTGGCGTGCTGTAGTTGATGATGGACCAGTCAAAGGTAGGAATGGGGTTGATGCCCATTCCAAGGAATGATCCAGTGACGAGGGTAACCTTGACGTTCTGAGGTGCGATCCAGGTCATCCAGTTGAAGGTCGAGAGCGCATTGAATAAGTATGTCGGAAAGAAAAAGTAGACGAAGGAGAGAGCAAAGGTGAGGAAGAAGAGTTTCTGGCGACTGATTGTCCATCCATTGATTGAAGTCTTTGTTTCTTTCAAAAGCAAAGCTCTGTTAAGAGCCAGCGTGGGCAGCACGGTCGGAAACACAGCTTTGACGGGGTAGATTACGAGTTTTCGGGCAAGTCCGGCGAGACCATACCCAAAGAACAGTGAAGATAGATTGGTGAGAAAGATAAAGCCAAAGTCGACCCACTCCAGATTGAAAAACTTCTCGGAACGCATGGCGATCGAAATGGACATGAAATTTGACATTTGCGAGCCGGCTGAGACCATTACAGTGGCAAACATCTGCTCCTTGTGCGTCCAGGGACCGCGGTTGATTGTATACCGAGAGCCGCGGAACGTGAAGCCCCAGTCCGGGAGAAGCTGGGCGACTTTGCCGCAGGGGAATAGGAAGAGCTGTAAGACGATAGCAGCCAGATTGAGACGAGGCTGGCGCTCGTAAAAGAACTGGTTGACAAACGAACCGATGGCGACCCAGATAGTACCCAAGAGGTAGGCACGGAGTGTCTCGACAGGGATGGTGGGGTCGTCAAACGGATCGGTAACAGCGCGGACTTCTGGGTATGGAGAGTGGAACTTGATGACGACCGCCTCGAGCTTGCAGTCGAGCTCAAAGACATCGCTATCGATACCGTAAGCATCGCGACCTTGCAACATCTTCTCGATACGGTCGAGGACGTCGGATGGAAAGTTGACATCGTCGCAGTGCTCTTTGTAAGCTTTAGTGAGAACCTCCGTCGCCTCTTCCAAGGACATCTCCATCAACCGGTCGTAGATAAAGTGAGAAGCAGCGTCGGCGAGAGGGTCTTGGTCGACGGTATCGCCGACTGTGTTCATGAATTTGATACGGTCGATGATGCGAGACCGTTCGGCTGCGTCGACAGCCACGCCGGTCTCGCGGACCTCCAACGATGCGAGACTGTTCTTCTCATCCATTATCCGTTTCTCGTCGTCGTCGTAGTCCAGGTCGGACATCTGACAGATGTTAGCACGATGATGGAGGAAGAGGGAATAAGATGCTAACTCTGTTCAATATCAGAGGTCAGATGTCTAAAAATTTAAGTAAAGAGGTGAGATCTGTGCAGATCAGTAGCATGGCAGCAGACTTTATTATGTCGAGCTGAATCCGCCGGATGTCACAGTCGTAAAACGTGCAGAAGCTCAGAAAAGACAAAAAGATAAACAAAAGAAATCACAGATAGAACAGGAGTGGGTTTGTGTTCGCGAGGAATTTTGGCTTTCCCCGCGAGATGGGGAAACGGTCGCGAGTTGGAGCTGCGAGGATCGACAGGATGAGGATCGGCAGGCAGTGTAAGCGAGATAGAGTGATCGTGAGCTTTGGATTTGTTCTGGGGTGTCCTGCTTCCCACACTGCGAGAGATAGCAGGACAGCATACAGAGAGACAGAGAAGACAGAGAGGTGTAGGTGGTGTGGTCGTGGGGTAGGCGACAGTGACTTGAAGAGGGCTCGGCAGGGTCTGCACGGCTGTCTACTTCGATGATTCATAACTTGATGACAAAGGCATGACTGTCAAGTTAATAGAAACACCGCAGACAGATCGTCCGAACCCTCAAAGACTGTTGACTGACAGCCTCCGGTCTGCTAGGGTAGATTAGGAGAGACTCCGCTGACTATAATTCCCGCATTGTGCTGCTGAGCTATAAACCGGACGATGGATCGTAGATGCCGGTCTAGAAATGGAAGAGAAGGATTGTTGCTCACGTGATCAGTCTCTGATAGTTGCATCCGCTAATCTGCTGGAAGCTCTGGAAGGGCTCGTGATATCAACATTACAATAGATCTGTCTTGTGTATCAACTGATTTCAAGAAGATTATAATGTCTGGGGCAGAAATGTTCTTGGGCAGCACCGCTCTTCTTCTACTTTCTTCAAAATGAGCCTGTCCCGTGATTGGGTCCCCGCGCGGGACTTAGCAGCGCTGTCAGGGCAAATCCCGAGTCAAATCAAGTTCGCCAGTGATTTTATTTGCCTCCCCGACCATCCCGCAGCAGGCCGGTGAATGCCAAGGTCGGGTTTGTGCTTGGAGCGAGATAAGAGGCAGGCGGGAGTCCACCAGGGTGCGCCTCACTGCTGCTGCTGATATCTGTGTTTCAGTCGGGTGCTTATCAGCCAGTGTCTGGTTCACGCAATTAGGTCTTCCTGCATCGAGATCGATTTGCCACTCGTGGGGCCGGTCTGTCTCAGCCTAGATTATTGATGTAGATACCATAAACAGCTTAAGGGTTACGAAAATACGTTATAGTTTAGAGTACTGGCGATAAGGATCACTGCCGACGGTTGTGGGTCCGTCGGGAGCCGTAGCTAAGTTTTTTACACAAGGCCAAGATGGCGAGAGGAGGAGGATGATGTGGACAAAGTGATGCTTATCTGCTTGCTCTTGGCTGGCTGGCTGCTGGCTGCTGGCTGCTGGCTGGCGGTGGGCCTGGAGGAAGGGTGCATGGGCGCAGCAACCGCAGCAACCGCAGCCACCGTAGGGCGATGAAAATAGGCTGTGGTCTGTGGGATTGCACTGTCCTCTCCACGCTCTTCAAGCCTAGGGACGTCCGGTCTGTGCGTGCAAATGGTCCTGCTGGTCAGCAAGGACAGAATCGCACTTCTCGGACGCGGGTGGAACTACCCCGCCAGCTGTCGAGTGCTTCTGAGCGTTCTTTGGTGCAGTCAGCGTAATCTCCACAGCTGTCGGGGTCTTCGTTAGATTCCCTTATCGCTGAGTGCGTTCAGGTACCGGGGTACTGTGCCCAGAACTGAAGCCTCCGTACCTTTGATCTCGTTATCAGAAACTCTGTTTGCTCCCTCTGCTTCTATCTTCTATCTTCTCTCTTTATTGCTTTCTCTATTACTCTCTAATTTACTGCAATCAAAATCTCGCCATGTGAACCTGCTTATTGCATTCAACTACCAAGGTGTGTATAGTCGAGGGTCGGAATACCCCCGCTCGAGGCCACCTCCTTCGTGCTCCAGGTCTGTCAACGCACGGGAGGGGTGCGCTAGCTCACCCGAGCGCAAGCCACCTTCCGAAGCTCGTCATTTTACTGATGTCTTTGCTGTTCGTGCTCTTATCAGTCGTGATCACCTCGAGTGCTCGTGCGCTTCACGGGGTGGCTAGAGTATCAAGAAAATCGAGCAGTCTCTCGAAAGTACTCTTAACAACCTGCTCTTATCTATGAACTTGTCTGAGATTTCAATTGCCTACTATAGCCACCTCAGACCATAGCAATAAAGTACCCGTCGAACATGTCTCGTACGGTCGTCGCGCTATCCGAAAGGCCGGTAACTTTCCGGTACTAGCGGTCAATAAATACCCACGCACGCCTGACTCTCTATCTGTCTCCCGGCTAGCCTTCCTGCCCCCTGTCAAATTCGCATAGGCTTTTGACTTATGAACACCGCCGATATATATATAGTCGGCATGGCCTCCCTCGTCTGTTCAGTGTTCGACATAGGCCCGGTCGATACACATTCAACACCTGTACTTATCACTTCTCAGGTACGTCTCACAGCTATACTCTTGTTGAGCTCTGTTGCTAACTTCTACAGAATGTCCAACGACTACTATGACGAGGAGAAGCGCGCATGGGACGAGAAGAAAGGGCTTGCGACCATCGAGGTCCACGAGACCGGCGAGATCGTCGACGCCGCCGAACGGGCTCGTATCATCGACCGCATCAAGGTCATGAACAAGGTTGGCGATGCTGTCGATCAGGATCCGCTCGCCGACGCTGCTTCCCACTTTATCTACGACCGGTTGATGGAGATGACTATGGAAGAGGCCTTGGACGTGCTCGAGCGTACGGCCAATGACCACTACGACGACGTCAACTTCCCGTCCGACGCCCTTGACCGCATCGAGAAGATGCTGCAGGGCCGCGAGGCCTACGGAGCCGATGAGGATGTGTTTGAGCTCGACTGCAAGCTTGAGGCTGTCGTCATCAAGTTCCACTCACCATATCCAGAGGTGCGCGCTGTCACTGATCCGTTTGACGACCCCACCATCCCTGTCGAGACGTTCCGTGCCTACGTCCTTGGTGCAATTTGGGTCGCGATCGGCTCGTTTGTCAACGAGTTCTTTTACGAGCGTCAGCCTCGTCTTACGCTTGCGGCTACTGTCTTGCAGCTCTTCCTATTCCCCTGCGGAAAACTTGCCCAGCTTCTCCCGGACTGGGGTGTTACGTTCCGCGGTACTCGGTATACAATCAACCCCGGCCCTTGGACGCACAAGGAGCAGATGCTTTCGACAATCATGGTATCTGCTGCGTCGCAGATGTCGAACTTTATGTCCTTCACGGTCGCCATGCGATCCGAGAAGTTTTTCCATCTGCAGTGGGTTGACTTTGGATTCGTGTTTTTGACAAACGCCGCCTCGCTCTTCTTTGGCTACGGTATGGCCGGTCTCGCGCGCAAGCTTGCTATTTACCCCGTCAAGGCCGTGTTTCCGACCGTGCTGCCTACGCTGGCTCTTAACCGAGCTTTGCTTTTGAAGGAAACAAAGACGTCGATTAATGGATGGACAATCAGTCGTCAGAAGCTTTTCTTCCTGACCTTTGTTCTTTCTTTCCTCTACTTTTTCATTCCAAATTACTTGTTTAAAGCGCTTTCGACTTTCAACTGGATGACCTGGATCGCGCCCCAGAACGTCAAGGTTGCGCTCGTGACTGGATCGTTCCTCGGAATGGGTATCAACCCGATTCCTACCTTTGACTGGTCGGTGATCAACTACAGCACGCCGCTTGTGCTGCCCTACTTTGCGTTCATCAACAAGTTTGTCGGCGTCATTCTCGGCGGTTGCGCGCTGATGGGCCTGTACTGGACAAACACAAAGTACGTTGCCTATCTGCCGCCGAACGCAAACACGATCTACGACAACACCGGCGCGACGTACAATCTGTCGAGAATCCTGGACTCGTCTGGGCACTTTGATCTGGACAAGTACGTGGAGTACTCGGTGCCGTACATGACTGCTGGACATCTTGTTGGCACGGGCGCGTTGTGGGCGCTCTACACTTGCGCGTTCACGTATATCTGCATCACCGATTACAAGCTGATTATCCGCACCGGCAAGCTTTTTTGGAACGCACTTCGTCATCCGCGCAGTAAGGCGTTTGATGATTTTGATGATCCGCATTCGCGGATGATGCGCGCGTACCCGGAGGTGCCGGATTGGTGGTACCTGGCGGTGTTTATCATTGCCGGCGCGCTCGGAATTATCACGATCGCGGTGTGGCCGACGACGGTTCCGGTGTGGACGGTTATCTGCATCTTTTTGTTCAACGTCGGAATGTATATCCCGACGGTGATCATCTACTCGATGACGGGCTACGCGATGGGATTCGGAGCGTTCTCGGTCATTCTCGCGGGTTATATGGATCCCGGTAATGCGATGACCAACATGATGGTGCGGATGTGGGGATACAACGTCGACGAGCAGAGTGAGACGTTTATCGCGGACCAGAAGATTGCGCACTATGCGAAGCTGCCGCAGCGAGCGGTGTTTAGAGCGCAGCTGGTGGCTACGTTGATTCAGACGTTTGCGACGCTGGGCGCGGTTGAGGCGCTGTTCAACACGGTCAAGGACTTTTGCTCGACCACGCAGCCGGATAAGTTTATCTGCCAGTTCCCGCGGTCGGTGTACTCGGATGCGATCATGTTTGGTGTGATCAACCCCGAGCGCGTGCTGTCGACGCTGTACCCGGCGCTGAAGCATTGTTTCTATATCGGACCTCTGACTGCGATTCCGTTTGCAATCATGAAGTTGAAGTGGCCGCGGAAGGTGAAGAATATTTTCCCGCCTCTGGTCTGGGGTGGCTCTACATTCTGGGGCTCGACCTACAACTACACGTACTACATCGGCGGTCTGTATGCGGCCACTGCGTTTATGTTCTACGTCAGACGGTACTACACCGCGTGGTGGACAAAGTACAACTACATCCTATCGTCGGGTCTTACCGCGGGCGTCGCGTTCTCGGGCGTGGTTGTGTTTTTGGCGCTGCAGTATACGCAGACGAGCGTGAGTTGGTGGGGCAATGATGTTGTGAGTGCGGGAGTGGACTATGCGAGAGCGTCGTCGCTGAAGGAGATTCCGGCGGAGGGATTTGGGTTGCAGGTCGGGCAGTTCCATTAGTGATGATGATGATAAATCTCTGTTTTAAGTCTGTTGCAACAACCCATTTTTATTTCCATTAGTTCATGTTGTTAAATTTGCTCGAGTGTTTGTTTATTTATGGCTTGTGAGGTTGGCGAAAGCCTGGTAAATAGTGTGAATGATATGATATTGAATACATGTGACTGAGAAGTAAAATAGGTTTGTGCTGGGAGAGAGAGAGTTAGGGTGCGCGATTGAGCGCTGTGTAATAATACAGACAAAAGGCAGATGCAGTCCACCACAATTGGTCGGTAGAAGTTGAAAAGTGAATGTGTGTTGATTATAAAAGTATTATAATAATAATTGAAGGATTTTCTGATCAATAAGAGTGATATGGACGATACAGTGGGTGGTTGGATGTATATGAGGGTATCTCGACATCAACAACACCGGCCTACGGACGAAGGAAGGAGCTAAAAAGACCAGACAAAAAACAGAAAAACACCAAAAAATCCAGCAGCCTACTCCCGCCAATACATCTGCTACACCACCTCTCTTGCTCTACACAGCCTACACAGCCTACACAGCAACACAGCACACAGCCTACACACACTCCACTGCTCTCGAGGCTCCAAAGTTCGAGCGTCCTCGGGTCGGCCGGGTAAGTCCGGGAGCGTCTCTGATTTGCTGGTGGTGCGGAAGCGTCGGGGCCGCTGATTGGCCGCGCGCGCACAACTGCGCGAGTGTTTGTGCTCCGCACCGGTTTCTGTTCTCTTTTCTGTCTCGGCCACCACTCTCGCTCCTCTCCTCCTCACCACCCTCCCCCATCCCTCCACACGCAATGCCCATCCCCCGCCTTGTTCCCCGTCTCTCCCGCGCGGCCTTCCGCTCCGCGCGCGCGAACAACCGCTTCTTCAACCAGGCGAAGCCCGCCTTCGCCTTCCGTGGCCTCGCGACCGCCGCCCCTGCTGGCTCCATCCGGTATGCCTTTTTTTCTTCATCCATCGTTTCTCTCTGTGTTCTTTGTGAATCTCGGTATTGCCGGACGCATCTTGTCTTGCGATCTGCATTGCCTCGTTCGCATTGCTTCTCTGCAATTGCTTCTCAAAGAGCATCCTCGGATCGCGTCTCGAGAAAAAAATGCGCTGTTCCGATCCTCGCCCGCCCGCCCGCACTCCACCATCCGCCCATCCCGATCGCAATTCACCAATCATCATCCTCCTCCTTCAATTGCTTTGCTATCAATCAATCAACGCACTCTATTTTTCTATTTGCTCGTCATTGGTGGCATTGGTGGATTTGCGTCGGCTCGGCGGACGACCGGCCCCGGGTCGAGACTTTTCGAGGAGGCAGCCAGAGAAACTTTGATGGCACCCATCCTTCCCTTTAGACTTCTTACTGATTCTCTCTTTTCCACACAGATCCGTCATCGGTGCCGTCGTCGTATGTGCCTCCTCAATACATTCATTTAATGAAATTTCTGTCAAGAAAATTTCTGGCTAGGTTTTATTATTTATATGAATCGCATCTGACCTATCTTCACCCACAGGATGTCCAGTTCGAGCAGGACAACCTCCCGGCTATTCTCAACGCCCTCGAGGTCCAGGATGTCGCTGGTGACCGTCTTATCCTTGAGGTCGCTCAGCACCTTGGTGAGAACACCGTCCGTACCATTGCTATGGACGGTACCGAGGGTCTCGTCCGTGGCCAGGCCGTCCTCGACACCGGTGCTCCCATCACCATCCCTGTCGGCCGTGGCACCCTTGGCAGAATTATCAACGTATGCCCCCTTTCTCCTCTCCTCCATTAATCACACTGCTAACAAGCCACAGGTCATTGGTGAGCCCATCGACGAGCGTGGACCCATTGAGGCCACCAAGTACCTCCCCATCCACGCCGACCCCCCCTTGTTCGTCGACCAGTCGACCGCCGCTGAGGTTCTCGAGACCGGTATCAAGGTCGTTGACCTTTTGGCCCCCTACGCCCGTGGTGGTAAGATTGGTCTCTTCGGTGGTGCCGGTGTCGGCAAGACCGTCTTCATCCAGGAGCTCATCAACAACATCGCCAAGGCCCATGGTGGTTTCTCCGTCTTCACCGGTGTCGGTGAGCGAACCCGTGAGGGTAACGATTTGTACCGTGAGATGATCGAGACCGGTGTCATCAACCTTGAGGGTGAGTCCAAGGTCGCTCTCGTCTTCGGACAGATGAACGAGCCCCCCGGTGCCCGTGCCCGTGTCGCTCTTACCGGTCTTACCGTCGCTGAGTACTTCCGTGACGAGGAGGGACAGGATGTGTTGCTCTTCATTGACAACATTTTCCGTTTCACCCAGGCCGGTTCGGAGGTGTCTGCCCTTCTCGGACGTATTCCCTCCGCTGTCGGATACCAGCCCACTTTGGCCACCGATATGGGTCTCCTCCAGGAGCGTATTACCACCACCCGCAAGGGTTCCGTCACCTCCGTCCAGGCCGTCTACGTGCCCGCTGACGATTTGACTGATCCTGCCCCCGCCACCACCTTCGCTCATTTGGACGCCACCACTGTGTTGTCCCGAGGTATCTCTGAGCTTGGTATCTACCCCGCCGTCGATCCCCTTGACTCCAAGTCGCGTCTTCTCGACGCCGCTGTCGTCGGCCAGGAGCACTACGACGTTGCCAACCAGGTCCAGCAGACCCTCCAGGCCTACAAGTCGCTCCAGGATATCATTGCCATTCTTGGTATGGATGAGTTGTCTGAGGCTGATAAGCTTATTGTCGAGCGTGCCCGTAAGATCCAGCGTTTCTTGTCGCAGCCCTTCACCGTTGCCCACGTCTTCACTGGTATCGAGGGTGCTCTCGTCCCCCTGAAGGACACCGTCAAGGCTTTCAAGGAGGTCTTGGAGGGCAAGCATGACCATCTTCCCGAGGCTGCTTTCTACATGGTTGGTGGTATCGAGGATGTCATTGCTAAGGGTGAGAAGCTCGCCGCTGAGGCTGCTTAAGCGTTCTATAGTTTGTTCTATAGTACACTGAGTACTTCTCTTTAGAATTTTACCTTTATAGCATTGGAGTCTTTATTACAGAAGAGTCTTATAAGAAGAGAGATGGTAAACTCTAGTTACATTTCTGTTCTTGAGGACTTCTTGAGAAATAGCGGACAGGTAGAGAGATGTAATTTTTGTCTTTATTTATCTTGAATCAAAAAATTTGATATTATGTTTTATTATTATACAAATGGTGTCTGTAGACTGTAAATGTAGTTGGAGGAGACTCGAAGGCACAGCCGCAGAGAGCACGTGAGTAGGTCAAAATTTCAGAATCAGTTAAAAGATAGAAGACAGCGATATGCGGGGAGAACATCAGACATCAGAGGTCGATAGTTTTGCACAATTGAGTGTCGTGAGTGCTGGAGAATAGATATCTGAGGAAGAGAATTGCTGTGGGATTATTCTGTAAGTGTTTGTCTGAGCTTTGGGCTGCTGTGCTGGTAGGGGATGGGATTGAAGGCGGTGGATACGGTGTTCATGTCATCAGTTGGGGAACTGCTTGTTGATTGAGATAGAATGGCAGAAAATACTAACCAGGCATTTCTAGACATCCGACTACACTCTCACGCGAGAAGAGGAGGAGTAACATCGATGGACGACGCGCCGGTCGAGTACTCGTCCTCGATAATCGGCATCGTTACCGCAGTCTGCGGCAACATCATAATCAGCATCGCGCTGAACTTACAGCGGTACGCGCATCTACGACTGAAGCGGGAGGGCGCGGCCAGTGAACGAGTTGGTGGACTGAGTAGTAGTAGTGCGTCGAGCGGGAGTGACGCGGACGAGCAAGAGGGAGTGGGTGGCACGGTGCAGAGTCTAGAGCGGATGGTGAGCGGAGAAGATGGCGAGCACAACGTGAGTAATTACGGCGCGCTTCAGAATTTTGACGAGGCGGCGGCGGCGGGGTCGCCGAAATCTGCGGGGTCGCCGGTGCTGCTTGAGGTTATTGGCAAAGACGACGTGCGGTTGGCGGATAGGGCGGCGGGCAGGGCGGGGACGATCGGCGGGGGTGTGGCGAGTAGGGCGAAGGTGCTGGGGATCGAGAGGACGGGGTCGGCGACGGAGTCGGTGGGTGGGCATGAGGGGAAAGAGAAGATTCCGGGGTATATGAAGAGCGGGTATTGGTGGCTGGGTATAGTCTTGATGGTGTAAGTGGTCTAGCTTCCTATTCAGAGAGTTGTATTCAAGAGTTGGTGCTGACTGTTTGATGTATAGCACAGGCGAGGCGGGCAACTTCCTGGCCTACGGATTCGCACCGGCATCAACAGTCTCTCCGCTAGGAGTCGTGGCGCTGATATCAAACTGCATAGTCGCGCCGATATTTTTCCACGAGAACTTCCGCGTGCGCGACCTCCTAGGCGTGCTCGTCGCGATCCTCGGCGCAGTCGTCGTCGTCCTCGCGTCGAATCCCCAGGAAGATTACCTAGACGCGCACCGCATCCTACAAGCAGTCTCGCAGCTCTCGTTCCAGATCTACGTCGTGATCACGCTCGTGCTGATTGCTGTCCTGGTGGTTGCCAGCGGGCGGTACGGCGAGCGGTGGATCATGATTGATATCTCGCTCGTGGCGCTGTTTGGCGCGTATACCGCGCTCAGCACGAAAGCGCTCTCGAGCCTGCTGACGTATACGCTCTATCGGGTGTTTACCTTCCCGATCACGTACGCGCTGATCGCGGTGCTTGTGCTGACGGCGGTGATGCAGGTTAAGTACCTGAGTCGGGCGCTGCAGCACTTTGATTCCACGCAGGTCATCCCGACGCATTTCGTGTTTTTCACGCTCAGTGTAATCATCGGCTCTGCGATCTTGTACCAGGACTTTGACGGCACCTCGCGCGCGAAAACGGTGCAGTTCTTCACCGGCTGTCTATTGACCTTTGCCGGCGTCAGGCTTATTACTTCAAACAGGCCCGCGCCGAACGCAGAGGGTGAAGATGCAGAGTTGGATGGTGGAGAGAATGGGATGATGCAGGACGAGTTTTATTCGTCTATCGCGTCGGTGAATCTCGATCGGAGTAACGGCGCGCACACGCCGACGAGTTTCTACGACGATGATGATGACGCGCTTGAGATTGGTGACGCGGACGCAGTTGTCGCGCGGCGGACGCGCGTGGAAGATCTGATTGAGAGCTCGGCAGCGCCTGCTGCCGCTCCTACTACCACTACTACTACTACTACCACCGCCCCGCCGCGCCTTGCAGTCCCAGCAGCGGTCAGACCGACTCCACGCCCGGCGGTGCTAACCGCAGTCACGGACGAGGACGTACCCCTTCTGAACCGGCAGCCGCCGCCGCTGGCGAGGTTTGCCTCAAGCCCCGGGAGTACCTCGCGGTCGTATGTTCCCGGCGCGGGCATGGGACTTATTGTTGACTCGTACGTGCGGGAGCGGATGCAGACGTGGCAGAAGCGGGAGCGGAAGAGAGGAGGCGGGGGAAGATGGGTGAGGGTGATAGGACGGTGGGCGGGCGAGGGAGGGGGATGCCGGCGGAGGCGTTGGCGATTGATAGTCGGAGTGCGCCGTTGTATAGAGCGCAGACGAGAGGGGATGAAGGGGAGGCGAGGGAGTAGAGGAAGTGTAGTTTTGTGAGGTTGCTGTGGGTGGTGGGAAAGGTATACATATACGTTTTAGCATGGGGTTTAGAAGTTTTTATTTATGGGTAATCAGTGCGAATGCGAGCGAGTTGTGAATTCAGGCAAATCGCTGAATGACGAGGATATCTCTCAGACCGGGAGTACAGACAATGATAGATGGTAAAGCCAAACACCCCTTTATTAGTAAACGATGACAACTCTACGTTATCAAATGTGAATATCAAATGTAAATAAAAGCAAAAAACATAGAAAAAAATGTAAACCGAGAACATGACGAAATAGGAAGAAGGGAGGAAAGACGATTCGGTGGTCTATGCAGGGTTGAGTCTGACACGGTGCTGTTTCTTTGACGTTCATGTTTTTTCTGGATTGTAGAGGTTGGGTGTTGTGAGGATGAGCGGGTGAGGACTGCTGCGCTCGCGTAGAAGAGAGAGAGAGAGTACTGATCCGCGCGCTGGATGAACTATTCCGACGACAAACAACGCACTCCTAACGACCACTACAATTCATGATTGTAGACTTAATGGTGGCTATCGCCGAAACCGACGAGCTGCTCGAACGCGCAGTAGGCGATGAAGAGACCGGTGCCGAGACCGAGGCCGGGGAACATGCCTTTTAGTCTGTTGTATCGTGAGAATTGGCCGGTGTATCTCCACGCTTCACTGTGCAGATAAATATGAATTAGCATGCGTCTTGAGAAGACTAGAAGAAGGAAGGTAGAGACTGCAGAGGAAGAGAAGGGTGGGGACATACCGACGCTCCCAGGGATCTTTCAGGATCTTGTTTCGTAGAATCAGACTTGACCGCATCTCTGCTATATTTCTCGTATTCTTTCAGATATATATAATACTGTATGTATATATGTACACCAACAATAACAGCAACTGTTACTGTTTATATTCCGACGGTGAGGAGAACTGGGATTGAAACTGACGATGTTTCTGTCTTCCGGGGTTGCAGACTTTCGAGGCGTAGAAAATGAGGTTGTGCTGATTGGTTGCTGGGAGAGTCACGTGTATAATTCAGTTTTGTGTGGGTGACTGTTGTGGCGGTGTGAATAAGATATTACATAACGGTGCTCAAAAACTAATGATGACGAGGGTTTAGTGCTGAGTGAAGTAAATCATGTATTAACGCGACAAATGCAAACTACAGTAAACTACAGGTAAACTTAAGGAGTGGCCTGAGTCTCCTGAACCTCCTCCGTCTCAGGAGCAGGTTTTCTCTCGAACGGTTTTCCCGGATACCTCGGCAGCAGGATCTGGAGCGCGAGGAAGACAAAGATTCCCAAGAACGACAGCGCCGAGATGACGGAGAAGCCCATGGTGTACTTTGGCTTGTCGCTTGCCGGGAAGAGGAAAGCGCCGTAGATTGTTGCGGCGGTGCCGACGCCGTTTTGGATCGCGAGCGCGACGGCGCGGGCTTCGCGGTCCATGTAGGCGTACGTGGAGGAGCCGTAGGCGAGGGTTGCGGCGGTGGAGGACCAGACGGCCGCGGTCATGAAGACGAGGAAGGTGTAGCGGACTTTAGTGTTGTAGCACGCAGTGACGACGACGGCGCAGATGGTGAGGATGATGAGCCAGAACATGTTGATGTAGCCTCTGTACGGGCGCAGCTTGCGGTCGCCGATGAACGAGGTCGCGAGGTTGAACACGAACGCGACGGCGTAGATCGGGACGGTCATGTATTGGATCTTTGTACCCGTGTAGCCGAGAGACTGCACGAGGGTCGGGTAGAAGTACGACATGCTCGAGGTGCCGGTGATGATGAAGTACCCGAGCGTCATGAGCCAGACGCGCCAGTTTGTGGCGGCGAACTTGAAGGCTTCCCAGTGGGTCATCTGAGCCTCGTTTGGCTTGTTGTTGACGATCGAGTCGTACTGCAGCCGCGTGACGGCAAGCGCGCGCTCACGCTCGCTGAGGTAGCGCGAATTCGCAGGGAAGCCGAGCAGGATGAAGGCGCTGAGGGCAGCGACTCCAACTGTGAGCACGCCCTCGATCAAGAAGAGCCAGCGCCAGCCCGCGATCCCGTGCGCGCCGTCTAAACCAGACATGATTGCCCCGGAAAGCAGGCCGCCGAACGCGCCGGAGATGACGGGGGCGGAGATGTAGATGCCGAAGCGCATGGACTGCTCCGAGCGCTTGTACCAGGAGGAGAACATGAGGAGTACGCCGGGGGCGAAGCCGGCTTCGCACATGCCGACGACGACGCGGCAGCCGAGGAGCTGGTGGTAGGTCTCGATTCGGGTCATGGCGGCGGTGACGCAGCCCCAGAGGATCATGATGATTGGCATGAAGATGTAGGGCTTTGAGCGGGAGAGAATCATGCTGCGGGGGTTAGTAGAAGATCAGAGAGAGAGAGAGAGAGAGAGAGAGAGAAAGAAAGAAGAGGGGTATTACTTCAGAGGGATCTCAGCGGACACGTAGAAAACAATCATGATCACGAGCACGATGGAGTATTGTCCACTAGAGAGATTGAGATATTCCTCCATGCCCGCGACCTTTGCATTCCCGACGTTGATCCGGTCCATATAACTGAGAAAGTACATGACAAAGATGATGGGCAACAGACAGAGATCGATTTTCCAGACCAGTCTGCGCTCCTCGTCCGTGCCGGGACGGTAGTCGGGGATCAGGAGCGGATTCTCAATATGCTCGTCGCTGATCTTGATGTCCTGCTGCAGACTGCCTAGTTTTTCGGCGTCGACGGCGGTGTCGGAGGACAGTCTTGTTTTCGTCATGTTGTGGAGATGGGCAGACAGAGAGGGTGGAAGAGGTATAAAACAGACGGGGAGTGAAGGGGGGTTTTATACGCGTCGATGGTATCGGAAGCGGGTGTTGCGCCGGTGTCGCGAGCAGGACGGAGGTGAGACAGCTCTGAACTGGCTTGATAAGAAGGTACGCCCGCGCTCCCCGCATCCCCAACGTCCAGCAGCCCTCTCTTCCAGTACCATTCTAGAGCCTTTTGGGCGGGCGGACGGACAGGCCGCGGGGGAGGTGAATGCGGGGAAGGAAGGCGTTAGGGTACTCGACAGCGGCGATAGCGCCGTCCGCGTGCACGAACAGCGCGCGTGGGCTGCCGGCTGAGCAGAAGCGAGGACGCGAAGGAGATAAAGCCGTTTGCGTTGAGCAGTTCAGAGTATTTGAAGCAGTTCAGAGCAGGCAGCCGACGTGCGTCTTCGTTCAGTGCAGCAGTGCATATACACACAATGGAGCAGTGGTGCTGGCAGCAGTGCTTCTCGGGCCAAACAGCGGCAGGACCCACGCCACCTCCACCTCCACCGCCAACAATCCACCCACAGACGAGCTTGAAGTGGTCTGATGGGGTATTGTTCTTGCGTCTTTAACTCAAGGCTCTTTTGCGGGGAGTTCAGGTTGAAGCAGCGGCATCCGGCTGCCAAGGCGAAACCAGGGTTTATCCGAGAAACCAAGAACTGTAGCGGAATTACTCGAATTGGATATACGCGCGATGGCTTGGCTCATCCCTGGACGTGATAGCAGGCACAGGCAGACCACCTGACGCGGTTTGCTTGTTGTAGTTTATCTGGTTTATCTATATGCAACGTCCTTTTACTACCAAACAGATCATCAAGAAATAACAATCAAATACAGTCAACTAACTGCGATGCAATAAACCCCATCAGTAATAACAATAACCAATAAAGAAAGTAAAAAAAAAAACTATCCGCCATCTGCAAATGCACGCACTCTATCTCAACCCGCTAAAAATGCGGGACCTTCAAACTCGTCATCAGCATAGTCAACACACTAAACAATCCTTCTCCCAACACAAGCCCGCTCGCAGTGATCACGAGCGGAACCTGGTCAGCTCTGAAATACGATTGCCGGCGCGACAGGTACCAGCTCGCCAAGCCGCCCACGAACCGAGCTAGCGTGAACGAGGGCGAGTTGTAGATCCCGACGCCGACCGCTACGCCGGATGGGATCCAGACTGACCACCATCGTTTGGCGTACAGCGCTTTGACTACCGACAGAATGCCAAACAAGAGCCCAAACACCAGCGCAAAAGTTTGCGCGTGCGTAGGTAGACCTGCTCCCGTCACCAGGCGCGAGCAGTCAATCCACACCACCGCAGTCGGGATACGAAACACCGCGCCTGGAATTTCATACACCGCATTATACAGCCTGTACACCACCGTCGAGAGAAGAATAGAGTACGCGGTGCCAATGATTTGCGCGTAAAACTGCGCCTTGGGCGAAGCTCCTAGCACATGCCCAGTCTTGAGATCTTGCATCAAATCGCCTGCCTGCTGCGCACCGGCTTCCGCAACGCCGCCTGCAATCAAGTTGATCAGCACAGCCGCGGGATTGCTTCGGGGAACAATCAGAGCAAATAGCAACTGCGAGATCTTGCCAATCCCAGACACCGGATTCAAGTCTGTTTCTCCAAGCGCGCGCACGCCGAGGATCGACAGCGCGAAAGCAATCAGGATCGCCGCAAAGATCGCATACAGAGGAACGGTGCTGAACACGATCTTGATCGCCACAATACATAAAAGCGTGGATCCGGCAATTCCTGCAAGCGTCACGGTCTTTGAAACCAAATGCTCTTCCGGCGCATCCTCTTCCTCTACCTCCTCGTCAACCTCCACCATCGCCTCATCCGCGTGCGTATCTTGCTCCGCAGCCGGAATGCTGGCGTACAACTCACTCTTCTGCATAAAGCTTTTGTACAAACTCCTACCGACGACGACCACAAACGAAATAACACTGTCGACCACCATAATAGCCAGAGCAATCCACAGAATCCATCCCTGCCCTCCCGTTTTCCAGTCGTCGATCGGACCAGGCGCCCAGCCTAGTTTAGTCGCCATCGGCGCCAGTACCGCCCATCCCAGAAACGCACCAAACAGCATCGAGCTCACGGTCGGGAGACCCATGATTATACCCTGGCCTACGTACGCGGGCGAAGGCTGAAGGGTCCAGAGCCAGTTCTTGGCCAAATTTGTGCCAAACACGGGCAGGCTGCGAAGCAACGGAATGAAGTACGCCGCGATCGTGTAACCGGCTGAGATGTTGAACGACACAATCAGGTTGTGGATGTTTCGTCTGTACGCGTCTGCTTCCGGTAGTGTCTTTACTGCATCCGTAGGTTCGACATCGACTGCTGAGGAGGAAGAGCTGGTGGTTGGTAGTTCATGCTCGGTCGGCGTCGGCGTGGGATCCGGTTTCTCATGTAGCACGCTAATCATCGTCGCCGTCGCGCTTCCTGAAGGAAACCGAAGTTTCTCCTTCACAATCACCTGCTTCCGTAGCTACCCAATATGTTAATCTCCACTCACAACTTCTCTTGGCAACTTGTACTCACAGGAATGGCGAAAAAGACGCCAAAGAAAGCAATTCCAGCGCTCCAGATTAAAATCTGCAGACTCGAGAGCTTCACAGGACCGCCTTCTTCCGGAGTAAGAAATTTCTCAAGCGCGGGGATGACACCCACTAGGCCAAACCCGAGAGGGCCGGTTCCGACTGCTACCGCGACACTAGGACACTGTTAGTTTTGCTGCGGTGCTGGCTTGGTGTGAAATAGTCTGACAGTACCTTTGGACAAATACCTATATCGACGTGACGTTAGCAGCAATTCCACACAAACACAAAACACAGCTCAACGTACATTCTCGACGTCAGTGAAAGGATACGACAGATGACTTTGGAACGTCTTGAAAGCAGCGAAAGCCAAAAGCGCCGAGGGCAAACTCATCATCGAAATCCATCCCGTCTGTAAACCGAATTGGAAGTTTGAAAACAGCACAATTGAACTATTCACGCAACAAGTCAGCCTTAACTCTCTTCTCCAAGTGAATACATCTCTTTGAAAGAACCACCCACCCAATTCCAAGACCAACTACTAATGCTCGCAATGTCATCTGCGGTTGGTTAATCTTCTCCAGCTTCGCCTCCGCCGCAGATACCTCGCCCACCGCTCGCGCAGGCTCGTACAGCTCCGGAGATCTTCGCGGTTGCTGGCTCATCGTAGTCCGAGTCCTCTCTGGCTTATCTTCGTCCGATATCGTGTGCTGATATCTGGATGTGCATACGTCCACGCTCGACTGTGCGCGGAGATAAAGCACTAATAGTCTCGTATCGAGATTACGGGTTAGGGCAAGATATTTGTCAGCTCACGTGACGTTGTTTACAGTATGCTTATTCTTGCGATATTTGCGATGATTGACTATTATTGAGTATTATTGAGATCATTTGTACAGATATTTGGACTAACTTCCAGCAGGGAACTCGCCGAACGGCTTGAGCGAGCTGGGCAGCGTGATCTCAAACACCAAAGCCTGGTTGTCGAGATTGTATCCCGCGTCGTCGCGGTAGGTGTGCTTTCCAAAGTTGACGTAGCCGTGCTGGGTCATAAAGTCGTCGTCCGAGGTGATGATGGCGTAGTACTTGTTGTCAGCGCCCGACGCACCATCCGCAGGGATAAGGACCATGCCCTCCCACTTCTCGTTGAGCAGCTCCCACTCCTGATCACCGCCGTTGTGGAGACCGCCGCCGAACTTGTTGAGCTGCGAGTTGACGTTGACGTCGAGGAACGGGCAGAGCGTGGCGGTCGTGATGTCGTCGACAAGGACGCCATCGGGCGCGACGGCGCCGCCGACGACGTTGTACTCGTCGACCGAGTGGATGTCTGTCGCGTTCGAGATGTCAAACACGTCGATGTGGCGGTAGAGCGACTCGGACTCGGACTGGCCGTGGCCGCGGCCAGAGTCGCGCGCGAGGACAAAGAACTGGGACTCGGAAAGCGCGTAGAGCTCGGACTGGGCGGCCGTCTCGGGGTTCTTCTTGTCTGATTTGTCTGGGTTGTGGTAGGTCGGCAGCTTGACGATATACTCGCCCACGAACTCGGACGCGCCGGGGGTGGAGATGTCGTATTTGACAAGTCGGCTGTAGGAGCTCTGGTACTTCTTTGTGCCGCCGTCTTGCACGGTCGCGGCTTGTAAAAGCGCAAACAGATACTTGCCATCAGGCGAGATGCTCGCGCCTTCGAACCCATGGTTGTTGTCGCGTCCAGAGTCCGGGTCGGCGGGGGTGATGTCATCGCCGTCAATGTCCGAGCCCTCGCGCGGAGAGTCGGCGGAGAAAGACTGCGTGCCGTTGCGGTAGGGAACGATGGCCTCGGGGGGACGGATGGCTTCGACCATCATACCGCGAGAGTTGAAGCGGTAGAGGTACGGTCCGTACTCGTCGGTGATCCAGAAGCCGTTCTCGATCGATCCGTTGATGACGTTGAGGGTCTCTGCGTCGAAGCAGACTCGAACAGACTCGTCCTGGCCGCCAAAGTCGTACCAGCCATTGTGCTCAAAGGTCGCGGCAGGGATGTCGGGCATGTCGGGGAAGGTGAGGGTGGTGTCGCAGTCAAAGCCGGTGAGGGGGTTTCCGTAGGGATCCGTGAGGATGAGAGTATCGAGGAGGTTCCACTTGAGGTTCGGGTGGAACGAACCCGAGGGCTCGGGCACAAACGAGATTTCAAACTTGTATATGCGTGGCTCAAAGTTCGTGGTTCCCATTGTATTCCAGCCGCGGTCGGGCAGGTTGTAGACGGTGGCGGAGTAGTTCTTGGAGCCGTCGGCGAGGGTGGTGACTTTGACGGAGGGCCGCTCGAGAGTGATGCTGGAGCCGAAGCCGATGGTGTCGCCGTAGTTGTCGACCGCGTTGCCGGCAAGGAAACCCCAGGCGACCATGGAGTCGTAGGTGTACTCGAGCGAGTCGCATGTCGTCTGGTTGACGTAGGAGGAGGTGGATGCGCGTTTGAGGAGGGGAGACGCGAGCACCGAGCTCGAGAGAGCGAGTGCGGAGAGCAGAGACTTGTACATGTTGCTCAGCAATGCATAGACAGAACAGAAGAACAGAAGAAGAACAGAAGAGGAGGTGTGGGTGTTTAAATAGATGAGCGCGGCAGACGCGCCTCGACGCGCCGGAGCCCAAACAGGCAGACTCGACTGGTCGAGCGCAACAAATGACAGCGACGATTGGCTTCGTTTATCCCGAAATGAGTCTGAAATGAAGTCCTGTCAGCCGCGACGCTAAAAAACGCAGAAAAATGCAGAAAAAGATTGCGGTCGAAAGGAGGAGCGGCGAACACGTTGGCGGGTTCTTTGTTTGTGGTTGGCTGCTTTGGTGAATTCACGTGGCTCGAGCTCGCGTAGGGTTTTGGGTCGTCGGTGGTGGTATATGTCTGGATATACGCCAACTGGAGGTTTTCGAGGCGGCTGGATTCTTGGGGACCTGCTTTGCATCTAGTAGTCGTGGTTCTGATCTTGCGGTTGGAATGGCGGGCTGCGGACCAGATCTGGGAATGTTGTCTACGCTGGTGCTTATCATGTCTACTTCCTACATGACCTACCCCATCAAGCAGATTGAAGTAGACGTATGTAGACGTATGTAGATCAGCAGACAGACTAAAGCAATGCAGAACTAGAGGATACATCGCCATTGTATTCAACGCAGTGGCAGGTGTCGGCTGCCCGAAAACTTTCATACAAGTCAATAAGCAACTCATACAACAGCCGCTATTACACCTTCACCCACCCTTCACCCGCCTTCTCTTTTCTCTCCTTTATTGCTCTTTATTCCCTCACGCTCAATCTCAATCCAAAAAGTCAGCCACCCGCTCGTTGAAGTTAGCCGACTGCTGGATGTTCACCATATGTCCGCAGTCGCCATACATCTCAAGATTCGTGCCGCCGATGACCTTCATCACCATAGTCTCCCTCATCACAGGCCCGTCTAGCAAGCCCGCGAATAGCAGCACCTGGCGTCCGTGCCCGCGCGTATTGATGTCCTCCAGCGCCGGCGTCAGGTCATAGTCCTGGATCGCGCGGATCGCGGCTCCCATACCTTCGACCGGCGTGGTCTCGAGCATCTGCAGAAGCTGCGCCTCGCGCTCGGGGTGCGCCTTGAGGAACGAGGCTCCCGATTCGCCGGGAAACCAGCGTTCCATCGTCTTGGGCGCGAGCGCCTTCATGCCATTCGCGCGCGCAAAATCCAGACGCTCGCCAAAGGCGTCGACCTGGCCCGGCGCCGGCCGAGGCGGGCTCCTGAGCGCGGAACTAGCGGCAACGATGTACCCCACCCGCGTGGGGTACTTCGCCTTTAGAAATAAGGCGGTGGTCGCGCCCATGCTGAGACCGACAAAGGCGTGCAGGGAGGCAATTCCGAGGTGGTCGAGCAGGACGATGACGTCATTGGTGAAGTCCTGGTAGGAGTTGCCTTTGCCGAAGTAGTCGAAGCCGTCGACGAGCGGGGACTTGCCGTGGAACCGCTGGTCGTAGAGGACGATTGTGTATTTGTCGCGGAAATGGTCGATGAACTCGGTCCAGAGGTAGTCGTAGGAGGACGAGAGACTGTTTGAGAGCATCACCACCGGGCGCGAGGACGTGGGCGAAAGCACCTTGTACGCGAGCTTGATCTCGGTGCCGGGGATCGGGCAGAATCCTTCTTCGGACGACATTGTATTGATGCTTGTTTGCTGAATGCTTGAATCAGGTTTATGCTCGAATCAGTGCAATTGACTCTTCACGATGTCTGCGGACGATGTGGGGACTTTCGAGAGACGCCGGACTGTGCGGAGCTGGAGACGCGTCCCCAGAATTACTCCCCGGCAGATTACGTCATCGTCTTGACCTCGAATCCCAGCTCTTTGCGCTTTTGTGCTGGTATACACATGTTTACTGTTTATCGCCTATTCTTTGACTGCAATTGACCTTTTCTATAAACCGCAGTCCTCTAAGAGCAACAGCTCTCGAGCAAGTCCGGTTACTGCTGCTATCGCAACCCCAAACCCTATATCAGATAGGGTATCACCGCCTCCACAAACGGCAGCGACTGATGGTCGATAAGGCGGAGGAAGATGAACTTCCTCAACTTTCGGGATCCTCTCGTGATCACAGAGGCGGACTCATACAAGATCGAGCTACTGGAGCGGGAGTATGAGCTGCTGGATAGAGAGAGGTACACGCCGCTGCAGGCCGAGGCGATGATTGCGCTCTCGCTGCGCGGCATCTATTCGACTTTCCACCGGCTGTACTTTGAGCGGCTGTCGGACATGCCGCTCGAGCAGGCGAGCTGGGAAGACGACCGCTGCAGGAGTATTGATGACTACATAGATGGTCTCTCGATGATTATGACGCAGCGGATCCGCCCTCGGCCAAAGACACTAGGCATCCAGCAACGGCCGGAGGAGACAGTCTACCAGTACTGGGAGCGCGTGATGTATCGATACAACGATCTCGATTGCTCGGCGTTTAATGTGTCGGAGGAGATCTTTAATGGACTGCGGCCGGAGTTGCGCGAAGGGGTCATGCGGAGGCTAAACTACTCGTGGCGCGAGAAGGGCCATATTCCGGATAAGAATCTGATGGAGGCGGCGGCGATCGTGGAGACGTCGGTCAGTCCTGAGAATTGCAGTCTAGAGCCGTTTCAGCCTAGGGCAGAGATCAGCGATCTCGAGGATGAAGCGAAGAATGTGGAGGCGGAGGAGGAGGAAGAGGAGGAGGAGCGGGCGGTGGAGGAAAAGGTGGAGGAGTTTACGGATGATATTCTATGGCATGCATTTCGGCGTTGAATTGGTATTAACTACAATCTAATCTATAATAATATATAATCAAGCTATTACTGTACAGAGCTAATCAAGACCCGAGAAATCAGCCTTGAAGCTCTTCTTCTTTGCGTAGAGCTGCGCAACGCGCTGCTTCGACTTTCCATGTTTTCTCTTCTTTCCCTTCTTTTTCCTGCGCTTCTCGTCCTCGCTATCCGAGTCATCGTCATCAGAATCCTTCGCGTCGTCATCAGAGTCCTTCTCGTCATCGCTATCAACTTCTGGCTTCGACGCCTCCTCCACGTTCCATATCTTCACCGTCTCCTCGCCCGCCGAGATCGCGCGCCCCCACGCATCGCACGCGACACCGACGACAGCATCATCCGCCGCGTGCGAAAACACCTTGATCGTCTTACGTTTGCGCACGTCGACCAGGCGCATGAACCCGTCCGCGGCGCCGGCGAGTACTTTTTCGCCGGGATACTCGGCTATGCAGTCGACGCTCTCAGTCGAGAGGATCGCGCGGTTTTGCTGGTCCGTCCAGTTGTCTTTTTCCCAGAACGTGAGGACGCCGGTGGCCATGCCCATCACGGCGGTGACTTGCACGCGCTTGATCTCTGCGGAGGGGGTGTTGGGTTGCAGGACTGTTGATTGTGTGGGTTTCTGGACGTTGCGCGGTTCGTAGTCAAAGTTGGAAGGGTAGGAAACGCACGAGCAGAGGATTTCGTCTTCTTGATCTTCGCTCATGCTCAACACGCCTTTTCTGATATCGATCCTCGCCACGAACGTCTCGGCGGTTGAAATGAACTGGTACGTGTTCTGATACTGCGCAAGCTGCGTGATGCTGGTGACGTAGTCCTCGTGCACGTCTTTGAATTCATGAGACGGTTTCGAGAGCGAGCGCGGGTCGTAGAACTGGATCGTGCCGGTCTCGGTCCCGAGCGCGACGTGCGTCTGCGTCGTCGTGAGCGCGGTCGGGGGCGCGGGGAGGGAGGAGGAGTTTTTGGCGGTGACTTGGCCGGTCATTGGAGAGGCTTGTTTGAGCACCGAGTCGGAGCCGGCGGTGTAGATGTCTGCAGATATTAGTATCTCAGTGAAGTGAGAGGGAAGAGAAAGACTTACATTGTCCGAGTTCGTCAAAGGCTACTGCGCGACAACTTCCCTTGTGCCGTCTAGTTTTCCACAGAACTTTTTCGTTGATCTTAATCCCCGGCTTGGCTTCCTCCTCAGAATCACTATCGTCGCTCATGTCGCTACGATCATCCTCATCGTCCTCGGCGTAGCGATGGACAAAGACATGCCCTGTTCCCAAACCAGTAGCAACGACCGCCTCGGACGGATGCGCGGCCGTGCAAAACACCGGGCTCGCAAAGGTAAGTGTCGTCCGCGGTTTTCCCAGCGGAGTAAGATCCGTCTTGCCCATTTCTGTTTTATTCTGCGCTGTGTGCAAGATCTTGATTTAGAGAAAAGAAGGTGGAGTCGAGGAGGTTGGGAGAAATGAATTTTTTCTGGATTTCAGGGGTCAAAGTTGCGAAGAGGCTGTGCCGCGAGCTGATCTGATCGCGGGCGACCTCCTTTCTTTATCATCACCACAATCATCATTCTGAGATCGAACGTGCTGTCTGCGCAATAGACGAGAGATGTTTTCTGATGCTGAGCGCCAAATCATTATGGACGCGGAAGAGGCCGCGATGAGAGCAGTGCAAGACATGAGATATCGGGATAGAGGTAGGGCCGATCGAGAGATGCAGATGGCTGATCACGACTCTGAAGACGATGAAGAGGAACGGCCTCCGCGGAGACAAGCAGCTGCCTCAGGTCCAGGTGATGTGCAGGAGAAGTTTTTCAAGCGTCTTTTTCCAGGTCAACTTCGAACAGTTCGTGATCAAAGTGAAATGGTCGCTACAGCTTGGAACGATCTGAAGCAGCCTCGTCGCCGTCCTGCACGATTCAATGATTATTCTGATTCCGATGAAGATTACTATGGCGAGGAATTTAACTCCGACGACGAAGAAGAAGCAGAGCATGAGCGTCCCGACGGTGTCTTGCTACGGTACCACTACGGCTGCTGGTGGGACTACCCCCCCGCGCTCGCGAAGCACATCTACGATAGTTTCCAGGAACATCCCCGGATCTACGAGCGCTGGGATCGGAACCGCGTGGATCCGAACGGCCTGGCGCTGCGGCTGGGGGTGACGATCATGACGGAGCCGATGATTTCCTGGGTTATGCGGTACGAGCGCGAGAGGAGTGAAGTCGCGAGGCGGAAGCTGTATCCGAGCGCGGATATCTACGCGAAGTACATCGAGACCGTATCAGCCGAGGCGGCGAGGATGCGGGCGACTACGCCGGACAGGCTGCTGAAAGTGGAGTCTGATTATCCGGACGAGGTGTTGTGCGATCCTTTGATCAAGATCAGTGATGTGAAGGCCGCGGTCCGGGTCGAGAGGAAGAGTCAGGTGAGGTCGGCGATGGCTGAGATGCTTAGTATATTTGCGCGGAGGCCGAATAGGAAGGAGGCGCGGCATAGAGGGATCTGGTGGAACGATCTGATCGACGTGAACCTGAGCACGGACGACGTGTACGGAGAATTCGAGGATTTTGAGCAGGACGAGGCGTACGCGTGGCCAAGATATCCGGAGGAAGTCAAGCAAGCGTTCGGCGAGCCAGTCGAGGCGTTCTACGAGCGACTTTTGAAAGTCGCGCGGTTGTTTCGGATCGAAGAGCCGAGGATCACCGAGGCGTTTTTTCACGGCCTGCGGAAGTTTATCAGGAGTAGGCTGGAGCGGTTTCATGAGTCGAATATGAATACGGATGGGCATCTGCTGCGGCTGTTTATGGCGGCACGGCAGTTGGAGGTGCATGTGTATCAGTCGAATTTGATGAAGCGGATGGAGGAGATAAATGAGCGGGAGGAGGAGAGGGAGTGGGAGGAGGAGTTTGAGTAGGCTCATGAATGAATAGACAGGGTTGAGCAATGGGATGAATGAGCGGATGAAAGATGTGGAGGAGTTTAGTAAAGGCGCAGGGAATTGATAGCAACGAATATATACACATAAGATCTCGTATTCTTGATTCATAACAATCACATGAGCAAAGAAGAAACTAAATGACCGAACTGCGAAGGATCTGAAACGCCTCTTCGGAAGTGATATCGGTAAGCTCTTTGGAGGACATCGTCGAAGGCGAGGACACGGAGCGCTGTTTTGGCTGCGCGGACGGCGAGGCGGAGGACATGTGCAGGTTTGCGACGGCGCGGTCGAGCGCGTAGCTGCGTTGTCTGGGGCGGGAGGAGAGGGCGGAGCTGTCTGATCGGATGGAGGTTGTGGTGGAGGAGGATGTGGTTGGGGAGGAGGATGCGTCTGCGGAGACGGCGGAGCGTTTGCGGAGGTTGCCTGACATGTTGGTGTGATGTGTCTTGTATGTCTGCTGTTGTCAATGTGTCTTGTATCAATTGGATCGAGGATCGAGACAGAGTACAGGAGGAGAAGAGAAGAATAAGAAGAGAAGAAGAGAAGAGAGAGAGGAAGAAGGAAGAAGGCTTCACATTCCAGTAGGTTTCCAAGGTGTGATATGCGTCCTTGTTCCTGCTCTCGGTGCCAGTGTCAGTCTCAGCAAGCCGCCAGTGCGCAGTCAGTCAGTCAGTCAGTGCACGCCGCAGATAGCGCAGGGTAGTAGAGCTCATGTCAGATGATTGAGCAGCTAGCAAAAGAAGTGACAGATGATGCGCGATCGCTAGTGGTTTTTGGAGGGTCGAAGAGGAGGGAGATAGTGGAGGGGGTGGGATGGTGCTGGGCTAGGCTGCGGCGCGGTGCTGGCTTTGAGCCTAGAATCCAGCGTTCTTGTCGCTCAGGCTTTTTCCTTTCTTTATGTAGATATCATTTGTTTGCAGTTATAATGAAGATAGTGCAATGTGCAATTGAGGTTAAGAAAGAGATGGTGATTCTACAAGGCAACGTCGTGAGACCAATCCACTCCCGCGCGAGCCGGCACTAGAAGACACAGAAGACACAGAAGACACCTCCCTGAACCCGAGATCTAGACCCCGTTGACAGACACCGACCACCACCCTTCCACTCCGCTGGTCTGTCATCTTCACGATAGCCTGAGTTGCTCGGTGACAGCTCGGAATATGAGAGCGGATATCATAAGTTGATCTGGCTGGATTTCCTTATGTCATCAATTAAGCGAGCGAGATAGATTGAAAGTCTAAAAGCTTAATAATAGGGTTTGCTGGTAGAGTGAGTGTTGATGTAATAGATTAGTAATTGTGTAGGGTTTGGAGGGTGCCAGGGTTAATAGTGTAAGTGCTTGAGTGTTGGCTTCTCTATGGAGACGGAGATGAGATATCTCCAGGTCCGAAAGAGCGTTTAGATCTCCGCGGACTAGTCTGGTTGCGTGCTCGCTAAAGAGAGATGAGAAGGTGCAAAGGGGATGTTGCGCAGGGGAGAAGATAAGATTCGTACGGGGAGTAGCTGATGTGCAGTTGTTGTGTGTTTGTAGATGTATATTTATGTAGCTATGAATTGAGAATAGTGATACTGAAAGAATAAATACTAAACTATGAAGATGAAGAAGATGTTGAGGAATAACTAGTTATGGGAAGTGGTCATTCATCGAGGCGTCGGAAGCGGAAATTGGTCTTGTGGCCTAATTGGGAATTAAAGATAAATGCTTTTATTGTCTCTTTACAGTTATATTCTCTGCCAGTTGAATTATATTCCTACATATTCTATAGTCTATATTTTATATTCTATATTCTATATTCTGTGTTTTGTATAGTAGTATACTGTATTCATATTTTATGGTCCACACTTATATTCAGCTAAATAGAACAACAGCACCAAACCGGAGAGCGACAGCGGAACAGCCGACGCCAGCACCCTGAAAAAGCTTCGCGCGGCAAGTCCGCTTATCTCCCTGCCCACCGCCTGGATTAGTCTGTGCCTGGATTAGTCTGCGCGTTGTATAAGTATGGACGAGGACGTGCTTTGTGCTGGTGTGGATTGTAAAGATGGAGGACGAGAAGAACGTGATTGTGAGCTCGACTGAGCAGGAAGGTAGTGCACAGGATGTTGGTGAACAGAAGCCAGAAGCAAACAAAGAACTGCTCGAGGACCAGACAAATCTGCTCCCGTTCGGCCAGCTGATATCGGTCTTTGCAGCGATATGTCTCTCGCTCTTTGTGTCTTACATCGACCAGTCGTCGCTCGGAAACATGCTGCCCACAATCGGCCGCGACCTCAACGCCGAGACGACGATCTCGTGGGCGGCCACCGCGACGATGATTGCAAACACGACCTTTCAGGTGCTGTATGGCCGGTTATCAGACATCTTTGGGAGGAAGTATATTTTTCTGTCGGCGGTGCTGCTGCTGTTTGTCGCGGATTTACTCTGCGGGTTTGCAAAGACTGCCGCGCAGTTCTACGTCTTTCGCGGGTTCAGCGGTATCGCTGCGGGCGGGATTAACGCGCTCGCGATGATCCTCGTCTCGGATATCGTCACGCTGCGGCAGCGCGGCAAGTATCAGGGATTCATCGCGACCACGATCGGGATCGCAAACACGGTCGGTCCGTTTATCGCCGCGGGCCTGATCGACCACGCGAACTGGCGCGTGCTGTTTTACATTGTCGCGCCGTGTGCGCTGGTGTCGATGGTTGTCTCGTGGTTCATCGTCCCGCTCAAGTTCACGCCGGGGGATTATAAGGCCAAGATCCGGAAGGTGGACGGGCTGGGGATCCTGCTGTCGTCGATCGCGGTGATTTTCATCCTGATACCCGTGAACAGCGGCGGCGTGGAGTGGGCGTGGAACAGCGGCTTTGTGATTTCGTTTTTCGTGATTGGCGGGCTTGCTGCGGTCGGGTTTATATACGTGGAGAAGAAAGTCGCGAGGCTGCCGATGATGCCGCTGCGGTTGTTCCACAGCAAGGTGCGGGCGGCGATGTTTGTCCAGGTGTTTTTCACGGGCGCGGTGTATTACGTGCAGATCAATTTCCTGCCGGTGTATTTCCAGAACGCGCGGGGCTACTCGCGGATGTTTTCGGCGGTGATGTTGCTGGCGATGGTAGTCCCGCAGGCGGTGATGTCTACCTGCGCGGGGCTGATTATGTCGCGGACCGGCAAGTACGCGATGATTGTGCGGACGGGGTCGGTGCTGCTTGTAGCTGCGACGTCGATCCAGCTCGGGATCTACAACGACACGACGGCGTCGGGCGTGCTTGCGATTCCGCTGGTTATTCAGAGCCTGGGGATCGGGTGCACGTTCCAGCCGGTGCTGGTTGCGTTGCAGGCGAACGCGCCGAAGGCTGATCGGGCGGTGATTGTGTCGGTGCGGAATCTAGTGCGGTCGCTGGGCGCGGCGGTGGGTCTTGCGATTGCGTCAGCGCTGCTGTCGAATGTGTTGCTGGCGAACGTTCCCGAGGGGATTCCGGCGGAGATGCAGGCGGCGATGGCGAGCTCTGTGTTTGCGGTGCCGGATCTGAGCGGGAGCAGTGCGGAGCAGGTGAGGAGGGTGAGGCATGCGTATATGGTTGCGCATCGGGCGGTGTTTGCGTTTTATGTGCCGATGACGGTGGTGTCGTTTGTGCTGTCGTTTTTTGTGAAGGAGAATGGGTTGGAGAGGCAGGAGGAGAGGAGTAGTGGTAATGAGGTGAAGAAGGAGGATGTATGAGATATGATAGTAGAGTATGATGGAGTATTATTAAATAATCAAATAACTAGTATAATCAAATAACTTATTTAGCTAGTAGTAGTAGTATGGAATCGATAAGTTTACGGAAAGAGGTAATTATGACGAGGAGTGGCTGGGTGTGGCAGGGACAGAGATAGAGAATAGATTGCTTGGCGAGAGTTCAGAGAAAGCGATGATGACGATATGACAATATGACAATATGACGCCATGAGTAAGTTATAAGTGTATTAAAATAGGAATAGTTAATAGATAATTGGGGATGCAGATAAGAGAAGATGGGAGTGGAGTGGAATAGAGAGGATGGGGTGGTTGGTGTGTTGTGCATTCTATTTTGGTAAGCTTTTGCCATTGTTACCGGGCCAACGGGGGTAAACAAGTGAGTAGAGAAGAAGTAGTTCTGCAAAGAGGATATGAAGAAGAATAGAGTATATCAAGAAGATGAGTAGAATAGTTATTCTCTATTTATTCTATTACAATTACTCAAGAAAAGGCAGCTGGATGGCTGGATATCAGCGGATCGAGCAGACTATTTTTATCCGTCGAGAGAAGACGGAAGCGTTGGAGATGCGAGAAGAGAAGATGCATGTGACTCCAGATGCGGATGCTACAGTATAGTCATTACATCTGTTTCTGTTCTTATATTCTACTATCTTCTTCTTATTCTCTCTATTATCTTCTCTATACTATTACTCTTCCTTCTCTTATTGTAATCATATCTTACATAGAAGGAAGTAGACAAATATAAAACACAGCAGAACTCAAAGGCCAGAGTTTAGAGAGGCGCCGCAAACCAGTCCAGATTCGGGTTAGTGTCCTACATCAAACTCAGGCACCGAGTCGATGATGTCACCGATGGAATATCAACAGAGAGATGTTGTAGACAAAGAGATGATAGTAGAGAATATATGGCTGTTATAAGCAGAATAGCAGCCATCTTCTGTCTACTTCTTACCACTTCCTCAATAGCACCACGGCGGGGCGGGGAGTGAGACAGCCGGAGGAGGCTTGGTTATTGTCCATTGCGGGTCACAAAGTGGTCTCGCATCAAAACTATAAACTTCTTCTCTTCCTCGTCCTCTCTTCTTCTCTTCTACACCTCCTCCCTTCCTCTTCTCTTCCTCTCTTCTCTCTATCTCTATCTCTCTCTTCTCTTCTCTTCTCTTCTCTTCATCTTCATCTTCTCTCTCTCATCTTCACGCCACAATGGTCCCCGAATCAGTCGACGAGCGCATCATCGAAGAGCACCTCCTCAGAGACCGCTTCTACAACCTCGACTACACCTCCATGTCCCCTGCCTCCGCCGCAAAAGCTGCTGCCTCCGCCGCCAGAGCTGCTGCTTCTTCTTCCTTTGCGTCGTCTGTATCTGCTTTCCTTGATCAGCTGCTGGTTGTCATTGTTGCCTTCTTCATCTTGCTCGCCGTCTACGCTTTCATGAGAGGTGTGTATCTTCTTCTATCATCTACTCTACTCTCTCTCCTCTCTCTAACACAACACCAACAGGCATCCGCCGACGAAAAGACTCCTCCTCGCCCATCCTCCCCTACGCATCCTCCCCCCCCTACACCTCCTCCCCCACCTTCGCCAGCTCAACATCGACCTCCTCCTCCGCCGCCTCCTCTCCCGCCCTCTCCTCCTCCTCCCTCTTCTCCTCCTCCTCCCTCGGCGTCGGCGCTAGAGACAAATACTCAAAGCCCTCCGGCGCGTTCGAAAAGCTCTACTCGCTCATGACCTCCGAAGACCGTCTTCGCCAGGACTGAGTCGTGGTGCCAGGTCCTGGGCTCGCTCCGGCTTTGTTTGCGGTCTTTTTAAGCTTTCGGAGCCCAGACTCGCACCACACCCACATCACATCACCTCAGCACTAGTTCTTCACTCTTCACAGCTTCCTCACAGTTGGAGAGAGAGTGGATGAACAGCAGTGACTGCCGATGTTTGTTTGGGTTCTCTTCTATTTGTTGTGACGTTGTGACGTACAACAAAACAATTACTTGCGCTAATTCGGATTAGTGTTTGCTCGCCACACTCACCTGCTCACTCACATCTTACTCACACTGTTCACATTCACACTTTCTTCACATAGTATTCATATTGCTACTGCAGACAAAAGAGGAAGAGTGGTGAAGTGAATACTGCTGGATGAACATACTCTGTTGTGCATCCACGTGGACACATTACCTTTCCACATGGCTTCAGAGTTTCGCCAACCAGTACTTAGTACTCGAGTACACAAGAGCAGGCAACTGTGCGGTGTTTTGATTTCTGTACATACAAAACATAAAACCTACTCGCATCTTTAATACTGACGATGTTATGACCTGTCTTGCTTTTTTGTTGTTGCTTTTATCATCTATTGCTTGTTTATGTTTGGGTTGGTTGAGAATAGCGTTTGCATCTGCTTTTACTCTTTTTATATTTATTCACTGCTTGTTGGTTGCATACATAGCACATTGCGCATTGCTTTACGTTCGAGATATTGCCAGAGAATGGCCTAATAGTTGCATAGAGAGATTAATACATACTAATGACAAAATACGAAAATACAACTAAGAGTGACGGGTTGTTTATAAAATTCTCAAACCGGAAAGCTGATAGTGACACTGACTAAGATCTTAGTAAGTCTATTACTAATATCTTAGTAATATTAGAACTTCTCAATAGCTGTATTATATGCTGATAACAAAGATATAGCCATCACCTTACTGCAAGATATAGAAACACAACAACACAGCAACAAGAAGAAATAGAAGAAGAGACAAAGGAAGCGGGGGCGGGGCAATTGGCAAAAACCCTACCGGCTTAATGGCCGAGTCTGGCCTCCTTCACCTCCACCTTCTTATCCTCCGCATCAGCTGTGAAGATGAGATATAAGTATGAGTAGACAATAAATAGTAACTGATATATATAGTAGAAACATGTAGATAATCGTCGCAGACACTACTCTCTTCCACTGAACAGAAAGAATGAGAGATCACCAGGCCGGGTAATCAGGACCGTAAACCAGTAGACAATTTCTCCTGCCGCCAACTCAGAAGCAGAAGCAGAAGCAGAAGCAGAAGCAGATGCCCCAAAGCTGAACAGCAGCAGCAGCAACAGCCGGTTGACGCAGAGGAAGGAAGAAGAAGGATTAAAAAGAAATAGTTGCTGAGGATATATGACGACAACCATGTATGCTGGCGAGGACGATAGCGCTGGTGCTGAGAACAGCCGGCGGGATGATATAAGTGCAGGTGCAGAGCAAGGCGATGCGGTGGTTGGATTCACGGCTGTTAATTCCAGTCTGGACAGAAGAAATACAGCGAAAATGTATGTCTTAATCTTCTGTTTTTGTGCTGGGAACTACTCACTCACTTTATCATGTTCCAGAACCGACCCTGATCTTCCGCCACAACCCCACAACACCCCACCTTCCATCACAACACCGACCCCAGACACCCACCACAAATCACCACCATCCGTCAGCGCAGGCGCAGGCACAGGATCGCAGACCAGTGCGAGCGCTGGAAGCGGCAGCGGGAGTGGAAGTAATTCAGGCAGCGGCAGCGACTCGCCAGAAACAGCTGCCTCAGACACAAACTCCCACTCAAAGAACTACAAGCGCACTTCACCTACTGCGTCCTCGGCGTCGCAGTCTGCTAAGCGGAGGAAGGGATATCATGGTATGTACACTCTCATGTCGATATAGTGTTCTTTTGCTGATTTCTGTAGCCTGCATATATTGCCGAAGGTCCCATATGACTTGTGATTCAGGTATCCTACCCCTCTACTGTCTTCCCTCTCCACAACATCTCACACTAACTCCCCCCAGAACGTCCCTGCTCGCGCTGCGTGAGAAGAAATATAGGCCACCTCTGCCGCGACGAAAACCCCACCACAAGCCCCTCCGCCATCAAAGAAGAACCACAAACCACGACACCCCCCACGACCACAACCTCCCCCGACAAACCGGCATACACCTACGAAATCTCAAGCCAAGGCATAACCGCCCCTCTCTCAATCGGCAACAGCGCGCAGGCATCCCCCGAAGCCTCTGCGCCGGCGGACTGGACGGCGGCGATGATGACCGACTCGACTGTTGATTTGCTCACGAATCTGACGCCGTATCAGCAGCCGCTGTTTTACTCGGAAGGCGCGGGAAATGAGTTTTCGTCGTTGAATGATTTTTTGACGTTGATTGAGGATGTGCCTCAGGCTCACCAGGCTCACCAAGCTCAGCAACAGGCTCAGCAACAGGCTCTGCCCGAGCAGGCAGCAGCAGCAACGGGACAGGAGCTAAAGCAAGAACCAGAGCTAAAGCAAGAGCGCGAGCAAGAGCAGGAACCAAGATCACCAACCAACCCCGCCCGGAGCGAGACCCCGGACGTTGTTCTCCCGACCGTCCACAACCCCACGACGCTAAACCACCCCTCGCTCGAACCCCCAGCCGAGCAAAACCCGCTCTCTGCGCGCGCAAACGGCAACCTCACTCTAACAACCCCCACCCGCCCGATCCAGGTCCCCGAGACCGCAAAAGACAAGTTCTTCCTGACCGCCGCCGACCCCGCGGACGGACCGGAGCACACGCCCGAAGAACGGCTGAAGCAGGTGATCAACGCGAAGCTCGAAGCCGGTCTTTTGGCGCCGTATAACTACGTCAAGGGCTACGCGCGCCTGCAGCGGTATATGGACCGACACATGGCGGCTGCCTCGCGGCAGCGGATTCTGAAGCCGTTGTCGATCTTCCGGCCTGCGTTCCGGGCGATCGCGCAGACGCTGATTGATGTGGATTTAGTGCTGGTCGAGGAGGCGTTTGAGCGCATGCTGCTGGACTACGACCGCGTCTTCACGTCGATGGCGATTCCTGCCTGTCTGTGGCGGCGCACGGGGGAGATCTATCGGGGGAATAAGGAGTTTGCGGCGCTGGTCGAGGTGCCGGTTGAGGATCTGCGGGACGGCAAGATTGCAATCTACGAGGTTTTGAGCGAAGACTCGGCGGTGAACTACTGGGAGAAATACGGAAACATCGCGTTCGACTCGGGCCAGAAAGCGGTGCTCACGAGCTGCACTCTGCGGTCGCGCGACGGACGCACGCGCAGGTCGTGCTGCTTCAGCTTCACCATCAGACGGGACAGGTACAATATCCCGAGCTGCATCATTGGCAACTTCATCCCGATCCATCCGTGATCTGTACATTAGCACAATGTAGCGACGACAATACATTGTGAATTTCATAATAGCATGACGTAATATGTATCGTAATCTCTGACTAATCATAAAGAGCGCCGAGAGTCTGTTTGGCAACCGCTGCCTTTGCAATAACTAAACACAGAGCAGAGTCCCTGCCTCAACTCCTCGATATTCACTCAACTACAGAAAGAAGATGGAGTACCTGCTAGCAGCAGCAGCCGTGACTTCGCTCGTGATTGCGTATCTGATCCGCCGCGCACGCGCGCTGTCGCCGCTCGAGAAATCGCTGCTCGCGGATCCGCTACTCGGCGACTCGCCGCTGACTGTTCGCGACAGCGAGATCGAGACGATCGAGCACCACCTTCCCTCACGAGCAGGAACAGTACCGGTGAAGGTGCGGGTGGTGCATGTGAAGGGGACGACGACGCGGAATCCGCATCCGGCGAGACTGCCTGCGTTTGTGCTTGTGCATGGGCTGGGAGGCCAGCTTGCGCAGTTTGACGCGCTGGTTGATTTCTTTGCGTATTACGCCGACGTGCTCACGCTTGATCTTCCGGGTCACGGGGGTGCGCCTGTCGATGGCAAGTTGTCCGCGGACGTGTACACGACCCCCTCGATTGCGCGGTTGGTGGTCGAGACTGTGAATCAGAAGCTGGGGAGCGAGCGCGACGTCGTGCTGGTCGGCCACTCGCTCGGCTGCGCGGTCGTGTGCCGGATCGCGGCGTCGGGCGAGTTAATGCTCGCCGAGCGCGTGCGCGGCGTGGTTGCGATCTGTCCGCCCGCGCCGTTGAGCGCGGGCGCGAAGCGCATGCAGAAGCTCGCGCCGTGGATACCCGCGGGGGTGTTTGATGTTTTCAGGTACTCTGATCGCAAGGGCGGGTTACACTCGCCGTCGGTGTCGCGCATGCTGGGTGTGGGCGCGGGGGATGAAGATGAGGATGAGGATGAGGATCGGGTGTTGAGGCGGCGGCAGCTGCGGTGGAATTTACAAGTCAACACGGCGGTGTGGTTGCGGATGGCGGCCGGGGCGCGCGTGCCGGAGCTTGAGGATTGGCAGCGCGTGCGGGCGCCGTGCTGTTTTATCGCGGGGGAGGCGGATAAAGTGACGCATGCCGCGAACGCGGTGCAGATCGTTGACGCGATGCGGTCCGCGCGGCAGGCGGAGGGGGACGACACGGCGGTGCGGATCACGGTGATTCCGCGCGCGGGACACATGTGTCTTGTTGACCGGCACCAGTTAGTCTGCGGGATCATCAACGACTTCATCGTCGACTGCGTCGACGAGCGGTTGTCGCTCGGGTGGCAGCTCGCGGACCTGGCGACGAGGGACGATAAGTGGAGTTTGAAGAACGAGGCAAAGTGGCGGTCGATTGATGCGGTTTCGGAGGTTGTGGGCGGGGGGTCGGGCATTCGGGCGATGAAAACGCTCAGGCAGGATGACGCGGAGCAGAACCCGACGAGCTTGGAGGAACGGTATAGAGATATAACCGACATCATCGACATCTCGCGTGATCTACCGCCGTACGATCCCGCGACCTTCAAACGGATCCGCTACCACAAATTCCCCACCGTCTCCAAAATCCCGCCGTCCCGACAACAAGTCGACGAGTTCATCGCGCTAGTCGACTCGCTCGAGTACGACCCCACCACCGGCGCGCGCAACGCGAACGTGGTCGCTGTGCATTGCCATTACGGGTTCAATCGGACCGGGTTCTTGATTTGCTCGTATCTCGTGCAGAGGCTGGGCGTCCCGGTGCGGGACGCGGTCGAGTATTTTAAAGTGGCGAGGCCGCCGGGGATTAAGCATCCGCATTTCATCGACGAGCTGTATGTGAGGTATACCTTGTAGTTTTTATCGTTTTGTGTATTTTGTATTGTTTTCTGGCGTTGGTTGGTAGATTAGTTGCTTTATAATATTACTTTATATAATCAGTCTTCAATCAGGACCACGCCATAATCTTTCATCGCCGGCACCGCAAGAGCGCCTAAATACGCGCATATAGCAACACAATGCCCATCCTCATGCAGATACGACAATAATATCTTTTCTTGCTCCGAGAATCCTTTGCTGCTGCTGTCGTCGTCGTCGTCGTCGTCGTCGTCGTCAGAGGAAGAGCGGGAGTGGAAAGATGACTGCGTGTATTGGTATTCGACGATGTTGCGGAGTTGGATTATGTCTGATGTGCGTGGGATGTAGAGCGCGATGTTGGTGGTTAGTTTGTATGCTGCGTTGAGGATTTCGCTTCTGTATGTATTAGTTAGTCGCAGAATACTCAGCTGAAAAAAAGGAAAGAGGAGAGACATACACTGAATAAGGCTGCATCTTCTCAAGATCAAGAACCTCGTCGTAGCGATACCCCGGCCCCCCCCACGGCGGCGACAAAAACACGACATCAACCCGATTCTCCACTCTCCACCTCTCACTCTTCCCCGCGAAATGCTCCACAAAATCAAAGTAATCCCCCAGCACAAACTCGATCTTCTCCGCGACCCCGTACAGTTTCGCGTTGTGCATCGCGCACCGCAGCGTCGTCGCGTCCTTCTCGATCGCAATCACGCGCCGGACGCTAGCTTGCCTGGCGAAGTGGATCGCGTTCGCGCCGGTGCCGGCGAAGCCGTCGAGGATTGTGAGGGGTGAGGCGGGCGTGTGCTTTGTTACGTGGGTTGCTATGTTTCTATGACTGTTGTGTTAGCTGCTGTAGGTGATATGAGATGTAGAAGAAGAGGGAGGGAGTGAGTGTACATTGCGACGTCCTCGGGAGTGACGCTGTACCATCCTTGCTCATTGATCCAAACGCCTTCATTGAATTTCGAAAAGATCTGGTTCCTCTTCCGCCAGTACCTAAACAGACCTCATAACAACGATCAGCAAATTGCTTTTGTACAAGCTCAAATTTCAAAGAGAAGAGTAGAAACGCACTTCCACAGGTATTTTGGAATCGAGTCCTCCTCGATCAGAAGCTCGTCCGCGATCTACACCACCCAGCATAAATCAGCATCAACTCCACAAAAATCAGCACATTTCAGCTAAAACTCACGTCTTCACCGTCATCGTCGCGGGTCGCATCGCATATTTCAAACACCATCACTTGTCTGATCGAATATCAGAAAATTGTGAAGACGAGATGAGGTAGTAGGGTTTGTAGGGTTTAGGGCTATTTACAATATGAAGCTATTCACTGGTTATTACTATAAACTACTGTATATAAGAACTACTGTATATAAAAACAAGGGCTACTCGACGTCGTCCTCCGACTCGTTATTTTCCTCCTGCGCCTCCTCGCTCGCGCTTTTCCGTCTAATCTCCGAATCCTTCGGCGGCGGCGGCGGCATGCTGGCTTTACTGCTGCTGCTTGTCGGCGCGGGCGTGTCTGCTTCTTTACTAATCCGCTCCTGCTCGTCAAAGTAAGCGTCCAGCTGGCCTGCTGCCGCGCCGGGTTTGTGGTGCTTGCGGCGCATGTAGGATGGCATCACGATCTCTGAGGGCGAAGGTGGGACGCGGGATGATGCGAGGTTTTGCGGGGAGGTCGAGAGGGTGGGTGGGGGTGTTGAGGTCTTGGGTATCGGGTCTGCTGATGTCTGTGGTTCGGGGTGGGATTCAGAGGGAGCTGATGTCGAGGGGGCAGTGGAGGTAGTTGGAGCTGCGGTGCCGATCTGGGGAATCTGCGCGGAGGGATCGAAAAGATCTTCGTCTTTCGACTCCTGCTCTGGCTCTTCGTCCGCAGAGAAAATGGTCTCGCCTGGAACCGGCATCTGCTCGTTAAACGCGGGAATCTTGTGCAAAAACCCAAAGCCAATGCCACAGCCAAGCACGCCCTCGCCGCCCCAGTTCCGATCCGGCACGATCGTCGCGAGCCGGACGGTGTCGTAGTCGGCGTTATACACCCTCAGCGTGAGATCCTTGTCCACGTTCGCTTCCAGCACTTCGCCCAGCGCGTTCTCGCTCAGCAGCTTGAACCCCTCGATCCCGACTATGTAGTCCGACTCGGGGATCAACCGCGCCATGAACGCCGGGGACGCGGGCTGCACGTCGAGTACGTGGAAGACGAGGTTGCTGAGCGCGAGAGGAGCCCATTGGAGAGCCATCCCGAGCTCGACTTTGGGCGTTGTTTCGGAGATGGCGGGAAGAGAAAGCGAGAGCTCACGGAGTTGCTGGCCTTTGTAGCTGAATACTGCGAATCTGACTGATCTGCCGGCGCAGTTCTGGATCTCTTGCACGAAGGGCTCGGGGTTGCTCTCCTCCTGTAGATTCTCGAGTTAGCTCTATTTTCTCTCAACAGCAACTCACAGAAAAGAGCAAACGCACAATCTGATGCCCATTAATCCCAACAATGAAATCAAACATCGGCTCAAACCCGGCCTCCGCAGCAAGCGACCCATCAAGAATCTTAAGCACATGGAATCCAAAGGAGTTCAGCAGCGCGCTGTCGACGGCTCCGCCACGCGGGCCCTGCATCGACTGCTCGTTTCCCATCGTGTAGTTCTAAAAAGAGATAGCAAATCAAGCAATTGCAGGCACAACGACGTCTGCTCAGCTGGAAGATCAAACTGGTGATGGTCTGTGACGATGGCTTCCCGCGGACGAGACGATGACGACGACGACAATTTCAGGGGGGGGCTCATCCGGGCCGGGTAATTGTAAGTACAGCACCCTCAACAGTGTCAGCACTATCGTTCTCCACAGCCGATAAGCTGAGCTGCCTCGTTGCTTATCGACATCTTTGTTCTCAATCAATTCTACTCTGCATGGAGACAGTCAAAATTTCAGCACCGTCGCTTGGAGGCGTGACTATCACCGGAGTGAAGAACAGCGAGGCGACTGTTCAGTTCCGGGGGCTGCAGTACGCCAGTATCGAGAAGCGCTACGATTATCCTACCCGGGTTGATAAATACGAGGCTGACGTTGATGCCACCGAGCACGGGTGAGTCGTTCTGATCTTTTGTTGTTTAAGACTATTTGGCTGATTCTGATATGTGTTCACAGGGCCATCCCCCCGCAACCCGCTCGCGTACCGTCGCCCGTCATCCCCAAAGACCAGCTCCCGACCTCAAGTCCTCCCCAAGACGAGTTCGCGTGCTTAAACCTCAACATCACCCGTCCATCGAGCATCCCACTCACGCAAAAGATCCCCGTCATTGTCTGGATCTTCCCCGGCGCCAACACCTTCGGCTCCGCGAGCGACAAGAGCTACGACCCCACCAGTCTCGTCGCGCGCTCGGCCGAGAAAGACCTGCCAATCATGTTTGTCAATCTCAACTACCGTCTCTCGCTCCTCGGCTTTGTCTACGTCGACGGCCGCGCAAACCACTCGATGTACGACCAGACCGAGGCCCTGCTCTGGGTCAAATCCCACATCGCCGACTTTGGCGGCGACGTCGAAAACATCACGCTGATGGGCGTGTCCGCGGGCTCGCTCATGACGCACTATCACTCGCTCAGCAAGCCCACCGCGGGCATGTTCAAGCGCATCGGCATGATGTCGACCGTGATTGAGTCGCGCACGCCGTTCCCGCTCGAGGACGCGAAAGCGCTGGCGGCGAAGGCGAAGGAGTTGTGCGGCGTGAGCAGCGATGAGGAGTTGAAGACAGTCCCTGTCGAGACGCTGATTGATTACGCGGTGCCAATCATCGGTGGCATGTACGGCCCCGTCAACGACGGCGGATGGCTGGGCGAGGTCGGGGAAGATTACATCGACCGTCTACCGCTCGACAATGTCGAAGCCGTCATGCTCGGCAACACCCGCTTCGAATCTATCTTCTACATGCCCAAGATCGGCCTCATCCCGACCGAAGAGCGCTACAAGCGTCTGACCGAGGTCCCCGTCGTAGGCGACTGGCTCGCAAAGGAATACGACATCTCGCCCGACCCGGCCACGGACGCCGAGTCCCTCGCAAAGCTCACGCAGATGTACGACGACATCTCCTACGGCCAGCCCGTGGACATGACCGTCCGCAAGCTGCGCGAGTCCGGAAAGTTCAAGACGTTCCACTACCTCTTTGACGAGCCGAACCCGTACCTCGCCTCCCTCGACGCGCACCACCTTGTCGACGTCTTGTTTCTCTTCAACTCGTTCAAGTTCGACGCAAAGTACGACGGCTTCGTGGATAAGTACCAAACCGGCTGGATCAGATTCGCAAACGGCCTCGAGCCCTGGGGCGAGGGTGTCTCCGACGTCGTCATGCTCAACCAGGATATCACCGTCAGAAAGCATGGCGAGTATGAGCAGCGACGACGCGCGCATGCCTTTGCAAAACTCAATCAGTTCAGACACAAGTACGATGCCTACAACGTCACCAAGCGTTTCCTCTACGTCTAGTTTGATATATCATACATAGATTTATATATACAATAAAACCACCTCATACTATTCAAAATGCATAAAAGACATCCAGAAAGCAGTCGCTCTTGCGTACTTATACACTCCGCACCTGCCGCGGCTGCTCTCCGTTTCCTGTCATTTGAAACCCGATCCCGTCCTGCTGCACGCCCTCGATCTGCCGCTCGACAAACCGCGCCTGCACGCCTTCCCGATTATTATTATTATTATTAGTATTACTTGTAGTTGCCGTGTTGTGATTAGAGTTGTTGTGGTGTTCGTGATTGTTGTCTGTGTCGTGCTCGTCTTCTTCTTCTTGGTCGACGATTCCTTCGAATCCGTTCCCGGGCCGTGTGATTATCCCAGGCGTATCCAGCCCAGACTTGAACAGCGACAGATCCCCGCTGACCGCGTCCTGTCTCGGCACACACGGCACCGTCGCCACCGGCGTCCGCCGCGTAGACAGCAGCATCCGCATCATCATGCTCGACCCGCTGCCTGTACTACTCGAGCTGCTCGCCACACTCGACGGCGTGGCGCCGCTCATGCTCGATTTCCGCTGCGCGGCCGCGCTATTTCGCCGGCCCCATAGACCGCCGCTGACCACGCTCGCGACGGGAGAGGTAGATGTAGTCATCGGCGTAGACGAGTCCTCTTCGCTCGGTGATTTGGTAGCTGGTGACGCCTGCGTTATCGGAACGTCAATCAGTCCGTCGTGTCGTAGCTTGCGCTTGTCGAATCCAATGAATGTGAAATCGTCGTCCGGACCCCACGCAAACGCCTGGTGCGACAGATTATGAACCGGTCGACACGGACACGCGCGGCGCACGTCGTGTGCTCGGAAGGTCATATCGCGCGAACATGCCCACAGGACTCCCCGTTGCCGCCGTTTTCGTTTTGTTCGTTTCGTCGTCCGCAGAGGTGGATGTGTAGATGTACCCGACGTTGCCGGTGAAAACACGTACTCGCTCTCGGACGAAGACGAGTCCGAATCCTCTTCCAGCGGAGCGCCGGATCCAAACGGCCCGTCGCCTGCCCAGGCAAGGCCCATCACAGGCCCCGTGTGCGTATCGATAACTCGCTCGGGAACGTACCTCCTCCGCAGATTAAAAACATGCAGCCGGTAGTCGCCCACCGCCAGACTAGCGCATGCGACCGGAAGGTCGGTGATTTCGTTGATTTTCTCGTGCACGAGTGGCTTGCGCCATATGGCAGATGAGATCGCGCCGGATGTGTAAATCTCGTAAGAAGGCGTTTGCTTCGTCGTCGGTTCTTGCCGCAGATCCCATACTCGCATCGCGCGGTCGCGGCCGCCGGTGATGACGACGTCCATTGTCGGGTGGTAGTCCAGACACAGTCCCGCGCCGGTGTGCGCGGTGACTCTGCGGTCTGGTATCGAGAGGTTTCGCGCGTCGTACCGCGCTAATGTGCCGGATTCGTAGATTGTACAGAACCGAGAGCCGTCGACGGACGAGAACTGTACGCGGCGGGAGGCGTCGACGCCCTTGACTGTCGCCACATTCAGCAACGTCCGCAGGTCCCAGTATCGCACGGTTCCGTCCTGGCCGCCAGAGATGAGGATGTGTGGGTTGAACGGGTTTACGCTGAGAGAGTTGACTGTGCGGCTGTGACCCGAGGCAAGCTGGCGGACTGCTTCGGGCTTTTCGACGTCGTGCAGGGTTATGAGGCCGTTTGTGGATGCTAATGCGATGGTTTTCGAGTGCGGTCCTATCAGCCATTTCAGATCAGAAACGTAGCCTCCGCGAGGATCGCCGTAGAGCATATCTTGGGCCTCGCAGATCTGCGTGGGTTCGACTCGGACAACTCGCATGTCTGTAAATTATTGTGACAGGGTCAGTATGAGAGTCAAAGGCAAGGTCTAAGCAACAAAAAATAGCACAAAAGAAAATCTCACATCCACGTCCGGCTATGACTGCGTGATTCGATGCCGGATCAGCAGACATTGCAGTCAGCGCCGCGTCGGTCTTGAACACGAGGTGGTCTGGCGGCGGCGGCGGCGGCGCAAACAGCTGCCTGTTTGTGTTTGTCGCGGGGGGCGAGGCGGTTCCGGTGCTGCCGGTGATGTATTGACCTAATCGTGCAAATGCACCGAGTCGCGGGCTCGGCATCGGGAGTGGGGAAGGGGGTGGTTGGCGTTGTGTACTCATTGTGTGTGTCTATATGAGGACGGGACTTGATTGAGAGAGTGTGTGTCGGTGAGAGCAAGTGATAGGGTATTTTTGCGGCGTGGATGTCGCTATTGGCAATGTTCGGAGACTGATAGAGAGCGAGTATGTCCACTGTGATTGCTGATCAGAGAGCAGAAAGCAGGCAGCGTGGGGCAATGGCTGCAGGCCGGAAGCAGCTCGTTCGATAAACCAGTCCCGGAAGAGAAGTGTGCCGAGAACAAGGCAATTGACAAGCCAGGCAGAAACTGATAGTAATAGAAAGCGCCTCAACGGCCGCGCGGGCCGCGGGAGGGCGGGAGACGGGGTAGCTGGGGGGGATAAGGAGAGAAGAGGAGGAGGGAAGGTGAGGAAGGAGGAGAGGAAGAAGGAGAAAAGAAGGTTCGTTGTGGGGGAGGAGACAGCAGAGTGGGCGGAAGAAGGGTTTCGTTCCGCTGACCTTTGTTAAAAGACGAGCTTCTGATATTGGCTCATTACCTCACTGTCTAAGAGCTATTCGATGAAGTTGCTGGCTAAATCCCTGTCCAAAGATGGAGCAGGAACGATGAAGCTTCTGCCGGAGGAGCCGACCGATATCTGGCACGCCTACAACCTCATCTCGGCCGGGGATGTGTTGAAAGCAACCACGTTCAGGTATTTCTTTAAGGTCATGATCTACACCTGATGCTAGAGTACTAACAGCCCTGTAGACGGGTAGCCAAAGACGCAAGAGGCGACGATAAAGACTCCGCGTCTTCGTCCGCTCCCTCGCAGCGTATCATGCTCGAACTCGCCATCCGCGTGCAGAAAACCGACTACGACGCCTCGGCCGCTGCTCTCCACTGCTCAGGACCGGTAGTCGAAGAATCTCCGCATGTCCGCCTCGGCGCCTTCCACACCATCGACCTCGCCCTGCACCGGCCTTTTAGACTCACTAAAACCTCGCAAGCTCCATGGGACTCGGTCGCGCTGCAGACAATCACCGCTGCGTGCGACCCGGCATCCAAGGCCGAGATCGGCGCCGTCGTCTTGCAGCCTGGTCTCGCAAACATATGTCTGGTGACTGAGCATATGACGCTTTTGCGGCAGCGAGTCGAGCTCTCGATCCCTGGAAAACGAGCAGCCGGGTCGGCCATCGCGCATGATAAAGCCGTTAACCACTTTTACGACATCACAGCCAAGGCCATGGCGCGGAATCTCGATTACGAAAAACTCAAGGCGGTGATCATTGCCTCGCCTGGTTTTACGGGCGAGAAACTGCTGCAGCATATGTTTGAAGCCGCGAGCAAAGACACCGGAACTGCGTCTGATACCGCGGCTGCGTCAAAAGTACTGCTCAGATCGCGGAGTAAGTTCCTTGTCGTGCACTGCGCGTCCGGCCATGTACACGCCCTCAACGAGGTCCTGCGCGCACCTGAAGTACGTGCACAGCTTGCCGACACAAAATTCGCGCGCGAGACGGCCGCGATTGAGAATTTCTTTAAAGTCTTGAATGAGTCCGCGGCGATTGACTCCTCGGCCTCGAAGGCATGGTACGGGCCCAAGCAGGTCACTGCGGCGGTCGAGGGAGGCGCGGTGAAGACGTTGCTGATATCGGACAGACTGTTTAGGAGTTATAATGTTGGCGAGCGGAAGAAGTATGTTGCGCTGGTTGAGCAGGTGCGCGAGCAAGGCGGTGAGGCGTTGATATTCTCGAGCTTGCATGAGAGTGGGAAGCAGCTTGAGCAGTTTACGGGGATTGCTGCTATTCTCAACTTCCCGATGCCAGAGCTGGATGAGATATCCGATGACGAGGAGGAGAGTGAAGATGAACGACGGTAACATTATATTAATTTTTGGAAAGGAACTATGTACATATATAATACAACCCGTATTTTGGCACTACTTTGCTTCCAACGTAGGAGGAGGACCGTCCTGCTGCTCGTCCTCGTTGAGAAATGTGTCTTTTATCAGATTGACGTACCATGTGCGCCCGTCAAACGATCTCACAAGGTCCTGAGCGAGACCATAGACCATTCCCATCTTTGCGCCGGTTTTAATCGTGCTCTTGACTTGTCTCCATGGCAGTTTATCTATCGATATGTGTCAGTGTAGGAAAAATTGCAAAAGTCGCAAAGTAAGTACTTACGCCTCCGTGCGTATAGATAACCGACGAAACCAGCACCGGCAGTAGTATTCAAAAAATCAACCTGCCCCCGAGCAGTATCAAGCGCGGCCTCGATACCAAACAAACCGGCCGTGAACGCGAGTCCCTGGACGGTGAACGAGAAGGACATTTTCATAGCGTTGAACATCATGACGTAGTTTTTCCGCTTGTGATAAAAGTACCATCCCTGCACGTTTCCCGGCAGCCGGTGTGAGTTCTCGGCTAAGAACTGAAGGCCTGAGAGATTTGCTCCGCGGTAGGCACCGAGTGGTATTGTTATGAAGAGTGAGGATATGAGAAGGCCCGGGATGCGGAGTACAGGACTGACGCCGAAGCGGGAGTATGGCTGGTCCAGGGATTTCAAGTACTCGGACGCATCTAATTCCGGAAGAAGAATCATTTCGTCATTTGCTGCTTCAAGCACTGCCTGTGTGCTGCTCGGCTTTGCAGGTTCAGGTTCTGTTCCGGCCATGGTCTTTGTCGTTGTCGCGATGGGTGGGATGAAGGACGAGAGCCGGCGAGAGAGAAGTAGGCAGTGCGGCTCATCTTCTCCCTGCCATCTCCTCCGCATCATCCCTCGCTGCCTTCCCCTTCACCACTGCCTGCCATCATGTCTTCATATAAGGAAGCATGGGGCCAACGCCATGGAGTCAGCTATGAGGACTCACCTCTTTCACCGATGGCTGTCCCTGCGCCAGAGAAATTCTCTTATGGCCACAGACGAGTCAAGAACTTCATCTTCAAGATGAAGAACTACTTCCTCCTCACCGCCCCGACTCAGTCCGACCGCACCCTCATCCAAGCATTCATGCTCTACCTCACTGGTCCCGCTCTTGCCTGGGCCCGCGTCTACGTTGGAGACGACGAGCTGATCGAAAAATACAAGTTCAAAGACGACTTTGACGGCTTCCTGCAGCACTTTGGCGAGGCCTTCGGCGCCGCTACATTACCTGCCCCCCGTTCACTCAATCTCTCGCAGGGATCGAACACCGTCGACGAATACGTCGCAAAGTTCTTCAACGTGCTCTCCTGGATTGACGAGGCGAATCTCGATCTGCCAAAGGTGTTTTACGAAGGTCTGACGGACGAGATCAAGACGTTAGTTGATAAAGAAAAAGGCGGTGATACGCTGATGGATGTCATTATCAAGGCGCGCAAGGTTGATGCTCGTATGGAAGCTGAACGGATCGAAAGTGGGCAACGCAAGTTGGACTAGGCTTTGCTCTTCTTTCATGATTTATTACTTATGTTCGTTACGGCGTTCTCGTTTTGTGCAGGGTGTCCCGGGGGTTTGATGACAATGCGGATCTTAGATGATATCGAGATATTTCAATTGATTAGTGTTTTTGTTCAATTACCGTTTACTAGTAGGTAAAACTCACACCGGACTTTTAAAACGGAGCAAATCTCTTTATTGCGACCGGTCCGCTCTAGGTAGATCAGCATAGCGATCATCCTACAGAGATAACCAACAGTCCTGATTCTCAATGATTAAATACTGCAGACTTTCTTAGACTTGTATCGTAATTGAGATTGACTATTATCGACTCTCATTTCCTCGGATTGCGAATACCAGATTGATAGCTTATCGGTGTACTTCAGTTCCGCAATATATTAGTCAGGATGCACGTACTCACGAGTAGTAAGGGATGATTAGATTTAGATCTATCTAAGATTAACGTTTCGCGTCTGAAGTTTAATGTAGGAGTTTATTTATTTATTTATTTATTTACCGCGTAGTTAACGAAGGATAGTAATGAGACTTTATGAATCCTAGAGGGATTATTATGTATACTCTTGTAATCACCGATTATATTTGATACACTTCGTATTCCGAAAACCTCTCGACCAACTAGATTATATCCGAATCAAACCCCATCGCTATTATATCATCATCTTGCACTGCTTGATTAGACGAAGACGTCGAAGGAGCCTGCGCTATACTGGGCTCATCCTGCGAAGACGGCCCAGGAACTGGGGGCACAGCAGACCTGCGAACAATCCTCCTCTTAGCGCGTCTGGTATTATTAGTATCATTGGCAGGTGCTGGAGGTTGCGGCTTGTTGTCGCGCGTGAATGTTTGAGGTTCCGGCCTTTCTGCTGGAGGTTTCGGCTTGTCGTGGTGCATGACTGTAAATGACTTGATGTCAAGCAGGTCACATCTTTCGCACTTGAAGATGAACTTGGGACAACAGAAAAACCATCCTGGTTGCCAGGCTTTTCTGAATCCGTAATCATAAGGAATACCCTTGCCGTCATTTTTGACTGCGTGACCTTCGTATTTTTTTTCCGGCTCAAAAATTGGAATGAGCCAGCCAAGCAACATGTCGAAAACTGCCCGGGTAAGCTCCCATAAGTCGAGCACAATGGTAGTCACAGCGTGCGGATACTCAGTCGTTAAGAATTCCCTCGTATTAACTTTGGTGACAATGGTATTCGGCTCAGTTGGCAACAAGTACTTGGTAGCTGATAGCTGGATTCCAACTTTTTCCAATACTGCATCGCTGATATATGCAGATTTCACAGTATGAAGTGGATTTGATCCCACTACCGTTGCAGTTTTACCATCAAAGAGACCAGCATCATCACTTAAAACGTAGCCACTCTCGGCATTCTCAATATAGGACGCCAAAAGGGAGTGCTGTCGTCGGATAAACGAGATATACGTATCAAAGTAAAACCAACCGGTCCATCGTACATTTCGGTGCGATAGAGGTGCGTAGTGCATGTACGTGTACTTTCCACCAAAAATATAGTTATTCACTGCGGAAGAAGCAATGTCGATGAAGATTGAAGAGTACATTCCAATAGCTGCGAATGCAATAAGAACCGACGTGTTCACTTGGTATATATCTTTGGCCACAAAGGTACTGATCAGTGTATTGGCGGCCGTGAATGCCATGCCTACCGGATTTAGAAATGTCGGTATAGTGTACGACAGAAACTCTTCTATATCAGTGTTGGGAAAGCTCGTGGTATTCACAGTCTGTCGCGATGGCAGCTTTTTATAATATCCCTCTGGCGTTTTCTCCAAACCGACTGGCGTATCCTCGAAACTGTCTTTGGCTGACTCTCCAAAAGGGATGCAGTCAATAATAATTGAGCACATTATACCACAAAGACTAAGCTGATTACCAAGGTCTGCATAGGATTGGTTAGCCCATCTGTAGTCAGCGGAACATCAAAATATGTGCATGCATCACTAGCCTTGAAATGTCCCTCCCGAACTATACTGAGAGATCTCAGACTTTTTCCGATTGATAGACTCATAAATTTCGGTAAGCGTTTCATCAACCGCATCGTTGTGCGCGAGCAACTGGAATTTCGGAATAGTCCCACTTTTCTCAGCAAAGGAAGACTCCTTTGGCCTTACACTGCCAACTATACCCCAACGGTCTTTGATCTTTCGAAAATGGATCTGAGAGCAATCCAGGTATATCCTGCATAGAGTCGCTATCATCCCTTTAACAGCTCTCTTCTCGGCTGGAGTGAGATATTTGTAGGATAATAGAGTATCGGGTGACAGTTTTTGCGTCAATCCATCAAATCTTGGGACCTCAAACTCATCTGCCTTCTCATCTGCTTCAATCTTCTCCAAAGCCACCTTCAACTTTAGCCTGAAATCATAAAACTTATATTTGTTCTCTTCTGTGTTCCCGGTAGTGAAGACAGTATCCTCAAGGCCTAGACTGAAGTCTGGAATTTTGATAGCTCTCCGTCCAACGCGCCAGCTGAAAAACTGTAGCAGCGTCAACGTCCCAAAACATACTATCCATAGAGGTAAAATCACAGGCCAAAGCAAAAGGACCCAAGTAAGTGGTGGAAACTCCTGCATAACCTCAGTCGCTCTCCATGCCATAGATCGTCCCTCGAGTTTGCGCTTTCGTTTGATTCGCGTGCCTCTACTCATGACAGAGCGCATCGACACCACTTTTGTAATCCCAGTAACAAAATCCCATAACGAAATCCGGAGAGATCTCCTGGCATATGTAACATTTGACAGGACGATATCAGCGGAGGTGGTACCAACATCGTCGATTGTCGTCCTCAAATAACTTCTGATTCTTCTGACCTTCTGGGCTTCGCCTGACTTTTTCTCGTCATCTGGGGTATCGACCGAGAGCTTGGCCTTCCGAGCCATAGCCTTATTCACAAGGGTCGAAAAATTGTCTGAGTATGAGTTGGACGCTCGATTATTGTTCAGAATGCGATTCTGCTGTACCCGCTTTCTCCCTAGCTTCTCATCCAGGCCGTAAGCCGTCGGCGTCGTTTCAGAATTGCGGTCGTCTTCCTTTGGTTTGCGCTTGTTATCAAATGTTTTCAGCTCTTTTTCAGCGGTTTCCATCTTTTCATAAACGGTTGGCAGCTTCTTGTCAACATCTAGTTTTCTCTCCAAATCTTTTAACTTTCTGTCCACCTCCGCAGCCGAAGCAAGGGTCTCCAACTTCTCTTCAAGAGCGCGCATGCGTATTCGCAATCGCCTGTATTTTTCTTTGTAATCGCCAGCAGACTCTGTGCTTGAGTCTCCTATATGTCCGGTCGTTTCATCGGCCGCGATTGTCGTATCGAAATAATATGACTGAGAGGAAGTATCGCTTGCAATATCGTTGGTCGGAGATGGATCATTTAACTCCGTAGAAACAGCCGGCTGAGAAGTAGAATTGGATGGATCGTCTGGAGCCGACATATCGCCTGATTGATATGAAGACAAAGGTATAAGGAAGTGTCGTATAACAGCGAGGAGACAGCATGACTGACGTGACTGACAGCAACGACAATCTGCTGCGTACTTAACAGCACGGCGCACTATACGATGGCTCCTCTAGACATCCGAGACGGAGAGGCAATTCGGCATTCAGCCTCTTGTCTTAGTCAGTTAGTAGTTAGTAGTTAGTGTGCAGCAAGCCTAAGCTAAGCCAATCTTAGACTGGACGCCTTAGCGTATCGCATATCTTCGCTAACAACAAGCGGAACGCTACCAATGTCACACAGAGCCAATTATATTTCGGCAGTGACAGATCCTAGCGCTCGCCAGATCCTGCTCATTGCTTGCTTTCACTGCCATGTTAATCAATCATCAACATTGATATATAGATAATCTCAGCACTCATGTGCTTGCGCGGCTTGGGTAAACTCCGCCGATAAGCAATTCTTATCGTGTATTTAGGGTTTATACTTTAGACGTCGGCAGTATGAGTTAAAAAAGATGCGCGTTTGCGGTTTCATTTTACTTGCTGCGTTTTACTAGCTAAAGCCAAAGTAGTTGATATGATGATAGTCTACACTTCTTCGGAGGATTCAAAGACATAAAAACCAGAAAAGAGAAAACTGACTTTCTATATAATAGCTGCATATAAATCACATAAAGCAGATGAAGAGGTACAAAATCGAAAAACATAGTGAATATCTTCCACTTGATTATAGCACCAGGTCGACGAGCCAGCATTATTGAGCGACTAAATGAGATCCGAAGCAAAATCCAAACAATGCTGTCAGAAGAAGTCGTTGAAGCAGATGTTCCTAGCTCGGTTGACTGCCCCCGAACCTCACCTTCCTGGTTAGATGTTCGCGTCCCAAACACGTCATCAATAAATATTTGGGCCCTGTTTGTTCTTACGGTCAGATATCAGCACCCATTGCCAAAGAAGTATGACTGGGCTTGAGAGCGTCTTTCATATACGCCAGCTGCTATAGAGGCTTGTGTCGTGCTTGCGACAGAGATTGAAACAAATTGGCTTATATTGTTGGGTTCATGGAATCGCTCTATACTGGGAAACAAAAGATGCAACAATCTATCTCTCGGCCATCAACCAAACAAGCCAGAGTAGTCAATATCCCCTGGGTCATAATTCTGCCTTCTACCCATTTGCCAAACAAGGAGAGTAGTTGATTAGATAATATTCGAATCAAAAGCTCTGGTATTGAAGATCTGTGGGGCTGCTTGCATCGCTGAGGCCCGCAGTGGGACAGGTGGTGATTCTGCTTGCCCAGAAGGCCTGTTCTCGGTAGACTGAACATCTGTTAACGTTCCAGACCGAGAGTGTGTTCCTTGATTTCCAAGGTCATTTGAAACAGAAGACATAGTAGAGAATAATGGCGATCGAGCAGCTCGTCTCGTCGATGGCGCAGCCTGCTGTGATCCGGATGGTTCTGCCTGCTCAAGAGGCCTACTGACAGTGGATTCGGCATCCGCTAATAAGTCAGATAATAATGATGACTGAGGGAGCATTCCTTGCTCTTCATCGACTATTGGAGTTCTTGGACGGCGACGGGACATCTTATTGCTCCGAGGGGTCCTAGAGCGAGAAGACTCAGCATCTTGATGAGCGACATGATCAATTCTTTGTTGCAGTACAGAGTCTTGTTGCGGTGCAGTTGGATCTGGTTCTATATGCTTCTTCATAACCGTAAAGGACTTGATATCAAGAAGATTGCATTTCTCGATCACAAAGAACCTGATGTCGCTTGATCTGCACTCGTTGCATTCGAAGAACTTGACGCTGCCTGATTCGCACGTTTCGCATTGAAAGAACTTGATCTTAGGAAACTTCTGCAAATCTATCTGGAGATCGACCTTGTGCGAATCCAATTTGCTGCACTTCAAACTGAAGTTTATATCTTCCGAATTGCATCGGCCGCACTTGAAGAACTTGAAGCAGCGGAAATATTCTCTGGCATCCCATGCTTTCCTGCATCCATTTTCAAATTTGATGCCGTTTTCATCTTCATCGGCATTCGGAGAACGACTTTGGTATTGTGGAACAGGCTCAAAAATTGGAATCAGCCAACCAAGAAAAATATCAAAAACTGTTCGGACGAAATCCCAGACATAAAGGAAGAGAATGCTCGGAGGGTCGGCAGATGCGGTCGCAGTAGACAGCGATGCTGAGGGTGCGTCTGAGGAATTAGCAGTCGTGTGAGACTCCCCTATCTTCAATTTTCGAACTATGGTATTCGGCTCTGTCGGCAAAACGTACTCAGTTTCCGACAGCTGGAATGCTATTTTTTCCAGTACGGCATCACTGATATATGCAGTTTTCACTGTGTGAAGGGCGTCAGATGCAACTACCTTTGTGGTATCACTTGCCAACAGGCCTGCTCCATCGGATAAAATGTAGCCACTCTCTGATCCCTCAATGTAGGTTGCTAAAAGAGAGTGCTGCCGACGGATAAAGGACATATAAGTATCAAAGTACAACCATCCAGTCCATCGCACATTGCGATGCGATAGAGGCGCGTAGTGCATGTACGTGAACTTGTCACCAAATATATAATTGTTCACTGCTGCAGACCCAATACTGATAAATATTGAAGAGTACATTCCAATAATGGCAAACGCAACAGTCACTGACGTGCTCACTTGGTATATGTCTTTGGCCACAAAGGTACTGATAAGAGTATTAGCGGCAGTGAACGCCACGCCTACTGGATGCAAAAACGTTGGTATGGTGTATGAAAGAAATTCCTCTGTGTCGGTGTTTGGAAAGCTCGTAGTGTGCACAGTCTGATGCCATGGAAGCTTAACGTATTCGGTTTGACTATTATCATCGGTACTAGCAGAGCTGGTATCTGCGGTGATGTCTGTGGTAGTGTCGCTGCCACTAGCTGTGCCGTTGCTGCCTGGGGTAGTGTCGCTGCCCCTAGTTATGCCGTTGCTGCTTGGAGTTGAGTTACCTCCTGCATTACTAGAGCGTTCAGCATCTGCGAGGCCTGTAGTAGAGCCATTACCTTCAGTATTATCAACGGCTCTAGAGATACCAATGCTTCCAAAAGCTCCAGCAGGTCCACTAGTTGCAGCACTGTTGGTACCGCCTTCAGTAGGGTCGATTTCCCCAGAACCTTCAGAACGTTCACTGGCTGCAGTCCCGCTTCCCGTTCCCTGACTTGAGCCGTTGAGTCCAGAAGCGCCGGTACGTCCGGATGTTTCAGTTCTTTCAGGAGTTGCAAGTCCTCGATCAGTAGTATCGGTGACTTCAGCAACTTCTGCATAAGGAATGCAGTTGATAATGAGCGTGCACATTATGCGACAGAGATCTAACTCGGGCACTGAGAAACGGTTAGTAAACAGATATATACAGCTTTCTTGATCTCGATGCACTCACCAGTAGTATTGGTGCTTTCATATATCGACGTGAGCATCTTATCGATTTGATCTGTATGTGGGAGCAGCTGAAACTTAGAAATATACCCTCCCCTGGCTTGATCTTCTTCTGCAGACGCTTTCGGCTTAACCTTGCCAACCACACCCCAACGGTCTTTGAGTTTTCGGAAATGGATTTGAGAACACTTCAGATACATATTGAATAACATATGAATGATGGTCTTGGCGTTCTCCATCTGAGCAACTGACAAATCCTTGCACGACGACAGTGTTGGCCGTCTCAGTTGAAGACTACCCTGAACAACAGGAATTGAGAGAGAGTCGCCTGGATTCTCTGCGCTCTGAGAACCAGCAGCTTCCAATGCTGCTTCCAGGTTTTTGACAAATAATATGAATGCAGTATCATCAACAGAGCTATTGCTTTTATGGATAGTACTCTCGATTCCGATACCCTCTGGTATTTTGATAGCTTTTCTTCCAAAACGCCATACTACAAACTGTAGTATGGTCAAGGTCCCAAAGAAAACTATCCAGAAAGGTACAATCACAGGCCAAAACAAAAGACACCAAGTTATTGGTGGAAACTCCTGCTTCACTTCTGCAGCTTCCCATGCTATAGATCCGTTTCTGCTTTTGAGCTCTCGTTTAAATCGGGTACCTTTATTCATGACATTGCGCATAGATACCACTTTAGGTATTCCAATGAGAAAGTCCCAGATTGATTTCTGCAGAGGCCTTTTGGGGTATGTGGCATTTGACAGGACGATATCAGCGGACGTGGTACCTACGTCGTCAATTGCCATTTGCAAAAGATGACTGTCTGTGTCCCTGGTCTTCCGAGCGGGGGCCTCGTGTTCAGTAGTTTGAGAAGCGGCCGTGTCTCCGGTCGGTTGAATAGCGGGGCGCACAGCTGCTATCAGAAATGCACCTGAGCTTCTAGTCTGAGAAGCGACACCTGGAGTTCGGGCCTGCGAAGCAGCGGCCGAGTTTCTGGCTCTCCGAGTAAAAACGTTATTCAGAAGAGTGGGAAAGTCGTGTGCGTATGGATCGAAAGCTCGATTATTGTTCAGAATGCGAATCTGATGCACCCGCTTGTTCCCCAACTTCTCATCGAGGCCCGAAGGCATATTCAACTCCTTGCGAACGTCCGGTACCGAAGTACGCGAAGTATCTAATATCCGTTGCAAAGCGTCTATACGTCTGCGCATGAGGTCGATTTCAGTTCCGGTATCTCTAACTGGCTCCCTGCTTCTGTTTTCTGCAAACTCTTCAACAGTTTGATCGGCCACAAGCGTTGAGGAATTGCCAGTCTGCGAACTATCACGGCTTGCGATTCCCTGCGACGATGAATCGATAATTGGAGCAGCATCAGCAGGCTGTAATCTTTCGGCCGCGGGGCCCTCTTCCGGGGAAATGTTATCGTTTGCACCGCTCATATTGCTCAGATCGAGTGTAAAGGTAAAGAAGGTAGGATGAATTATATAAATTATTATAAACAGCGAGGAGACAGCATTGTATATAACTGATCTGAGAGCGCCGACAATATGCCGCGTACTTTGACAGTACGGCGCCTTACACAATAACCCTAGTCTAGTCTAGGTATCCGAGACAAAGAGGCGATTAGAGAATCAGCATTTTAGCCAGTTTAGTTAGTGTGCAGTGAGCCTAAGCCAATCTTAGACTCAACGCCTCAGCGTATGCATATCTTCGTCAACAGCAAGTGGAGCGCTAGCCGTGCAGAACAGAACCATTAGTTTGGTATTATAGTGACAGATTTTAGCGCTCGTCAGATTCCACTCTTTGTCCGCTCTTGAATCACCTTTGATTGATTTTCTATCGATATGATCTGTACGGGTTTTTCCTTTGATGATGAGAAATTATATGGAGAGTGGTTAGAAGTGTCAGCAATAAGGGTTTACTGCCGTTCATCATAGTCGTAAACCCTACAGCAGTAACTAATTTATCCACATAGACAAGACAAGTCTTCTGTTGGAAATGCCATCTTTATACCTCGTTTATATTATACAGTACTAAGAGAAATTTTTTTACACCTCAAACAATGCTTCAACACCATCATCGTTTACATCTCTAATCGCACCTTTCGGCATCTCCACCCCCGAACAAACAATAACTTTTGAGGAATTACTATGCTCAGCCTGCATCAAGACCGCCATGGATTCCACAGTCTGCGCATCGTCCTGTTCTCTGCTTATTTGCTGCTGTAGCTGCGACGGCTCTTCATCTAAAGCATTCATTCCTTCCTGGAGACTTTTCATAAATTCGTCGAGCTCTGCTTCCGTCGATAGCATTGATGGAATAGCGATGCTTGTAAAATCTGAAGATAGACCCGCCCCGATACCTGCTTGACTAGACACCAAGGTCTTGCCGTCAAGCATACGATCCTCAATCTCCATCTCTCCTAATCCTGCTCCTGTATTGCCTGTTGCTGCCGTGCCTGCTACTGTACCTTGCCTCGTCATGAAGTCCAGTCTTTGTCGAAGGCTCTCTGACAAAGCCATGATCCAATCAGCATGATCCCAGTGATCCTGCGCCTGATATATTACCATCTCACAAATCTTCAGCTGCGTCTTGAGCAATGCCATCAACGTCGGGTTTCGACCGCCCGCAAGATTTCGCATCTGCGTGAACAGCATCACTATAGCCATGAAAAATGCGGCGTATGCATTCTGCGGTAGTCGGGAGATTTCAGAGTGCGTGACCAGTGAAGAACCAAGATCTGCAATCTGGGATACAGCTTCCTGTATAGCTGTCGTTGAGAAAAACTCAACTGCTTTATCATAGCCCAGACCTTCCGGTTCGTTGATCCCCGGGATCCCAGACGCAATCTGATGAGCATAGATTATGTGATGACTGTATATCAATGCCACGGAGATGCAGTATATGTACTGAGGGGAATCCTTCCGTCGGCTTGACAAGCGCAACTGCTCGGGTAGGTCATGCGACCAATTCTGCAGATCCTCTTTGATTTTGCACAAGAACCCCACGTTGACGGTGTTTGAAGCCCGTGCCTGTAGCATATGTCGTAGAATAAGAGCAAGTCTTGTCATCGCTATCACGTACATCCCATGCGCAATCATTCGAACACTCCATTGCTCGCCTTCAGGGTCGACGTCCGACTCGAAATCCTCCAGGACGGTAAAATCGGCATCGCACTGTAGCAAATTGATGCGTAGTGGCTTGCCGAGTAGAGCGGCACAAAAGCTGTCGCGGGAAACTAAGCATGACCAAATCCGTTTCCACAGCCCCCGATCTTCCTCTGGAATCTCAATCGACGGCCGGCGTTTGTGTATGCCAAGAGTCTCAGCAACATTCACGGCAACATTTATCCAGGAAAATGTATTCCAGTAGTCGTTTGGTTTGCCTCCCCAGAACGACAGCAAGATCGCCGACTGAAGAAGAACGAGCTTGTTCTTCTCGTAGCTAAAGTCGAAAAGCGACTTCGCCCGCCAGTAGAATTTCATTCTTGCCTCCCGTCGCGTACTGGCGTCTTCACTGCAGACAAGGCTCATGGGGCAATACATCACAGCCACGAAGCATATCGAGTGAAGCAGTAGCCATGGACATTTGTCTTCCTTGTACATTTGAGCGAAACCAACGCGGTCGATGATTGGATATAACGGATGGACATTCTGGAAATAGATAGACAATAGTTGATCGAGCACCTCAGACGGAGGTTTCTGGAAGCAACCTTCTGACTCGAGATATGAAATCTTAGGTGGAGTCATATGGCTCGGATGATGATCCGGAATTGCTTCAGATGATATGCGACCGGTCCTTGACCGAGGACTGGCCTCAGAGTGCGGAGGCGAGAGCGACTGAAGCAGACCTCCCATGGGAAATGAATCTCCAAAGTATGAGATTGTGTTGCGATCAATCTCATCGTCGCTGACAAGACATTTGAAGACAACCGACCATTGCCTGATTGGCTCTTCAGGACTCGTGCGAGTCGAAGTCTTGTGAGAGTCGTATGACTTGGTGCTGCAGCCGTTTTCTGTTGCTGTAGAGGTTGCAATTGCAGAAATATGTTGTGTATTCTGGCTATTGCTCTGTAATAACTGAGAGGTTGTGATGGACTGAGGGCAGTTGACTGCACCGGCAAACAGATTTTGAAGAAAGTCATTGTGAGATGTCAATGATTTGGCGTCGGGCAGAACGAAGCACAGCTGAGGCTGAGTGGGAGTGCTAGCAGACAATTGCATGCCCGAGTCGAGAGAAAGGGATCTGACCGGAGCAGTACCACGCATTGGTATCTCGTTTACCGAAGAGGAAGTTGTCGAGGAAGAGTTCGTACTCTTGCTTCTAGCGTTGCCGTTCCTCAATTTCCGCATCCAGTCCTTGCGATCATAGAGTCCCCGCCTCGACTCAATAGGCTGGCAATCGGTCTGGCTGCGCTCGCGACATCTTGTGCAAGGTGAACCGTTTATGGATACGTCGCAGCGAATTTTTGACGCGTGACAGCGCTTGCAGGCGATTGAGGAGCGACCGAGCTTGCGCGGTGGTTGAGGCGGTAGAGATGACGGCGATACAGGAGCTGGCATTGCTGGGTATTCATTTGAAGATTGATAGGCAAGGGAACAAGGAGGGTTCAAAAGATCCACTCCAGTGTACGGAATTGTCGATGCTTTAAGAGAGGTTGGTGATCTGAGTAGCGGCAGATAAATAAGTGTTTTAGTTGAAATTGCGGGGTTGGGAATTTGAGCGTCTTTGGAGCTGAGCTGATGCCCGATCAGGAAATACCAAACTTGATCACAGAAGCAGCAGTATCTGGAGTGCTTTTAGAACAATAGACGGCACAGATTATAATTGACAAGATCTTATAGATTTGTTGATTGAATCAAAAGATGAAAAGAGCGTGGGAATAGGAATAATCGTAGGGTTCCTACTATTCTACCCCAGTACGCTGCCCCTCCTCCCCTCAGATCATCTTCCTGATCCCCTTCACCAGGTGGGATCACTACTCCTTTTGCAATAGTTTGCAACTCTATTAACCACTCAGCAGATCTCATCATCGCCAGATCGCAGTAGTCTCCGCTGACCTCACCCGGCTGCTTGCAAGACGCCGAAGCCGCACGACTACCGAGAAGCCGCACTCGCCTACCCCGGATTTTCGTTCTTTGCTCGGCAGCACTCGCGAGTTGCTCAGTGCTTTAAATACCATCGTAGATATCCTTTGCTGTAGAGTTATGAGCTGTTGTCTGTATTCAATATGACTTTGGATACCTTGATTGATATCCTCTATATCGGGGCGGGAAACATCACCTTTGGCAACGACAACGTTCTCTGGAATCACTCTCTACGCGTTGAACGACTTCTCGGCCCTCGTCTCAATGTAGTCGCCATCATTGATCCAAACTATGAACGATACAAGCAAGTTTTGGGTCAGAAACTGGCTTCTTCCGCTGCAGCTGCCTACAAAACTACCAAATACTTTCCTTCACTGCAATCTCCTGGTGCACTCGACTACCTGACCAGCACAAACATCGATCTCTTCATCCTCGGTACTCCTCCACTATATCGCGGTACGACGTATCCAAACCGAGATTTAGAGCTTGAAATCCTAAAACACTTTGGAAACAAGCCCACCATCTTTCTCGAAAAACCCGTCGCAGTCACTCGTCCTGACCAGCCTCTCGAAGTCGCTCACAGTCTCAACGATGCAAGGCTCACTATCGGTGTTGGGTACATGATGCGCTACCTGAAAGTCGTTCAAAAAGCAAAGTCGATCATCTCGAAAAATAACCTCACAGTCAGCTGCATCATTGCGCGCTATGCAAATGCATACCAGCGAGTCCGCAAAGTGGACTGGTGGACAAAGTCGCAGCAAGGAGGGCCTATCATCGAACAAGCTACTCATTTCTGCGATCTCGTTCGTTATTTGGGCGGTGAAGTCATCATGGAGTCGGTCAAATCCCAAGCGTTAGAGCACTGGGAACCCGCTGGAAAACTATCGCACCAGTGCATCGACGAGTCAGCCATCCCAGCAAACGATCGGATTCCGCGAGCTACGACAGCGATGTGGAAGTTCGAGTCAGGAGCGGTTGGTACACTGATTCACGTTGTTGCCTTGCACGGCATCCGTTTCTCAAACGAGATAACTATCTACGCAGATGGCTACCAACTCCGACTCCGCGAACTGTACACAACGCCGACCTTATACGTGCGTTCGCCAGAGTCCGACACTGAGGAGAAAGTCTACACATACCCCGGCGACGACCCATTTTTTAACGAGATGGAGACATTTATATCAGTAGCTGCCAAGCGCGCAAATAAGCCTCTACCTGACCGATGTAACTCAACAGAGGCTGACGAACCACCTCCTGCCGAAGAGATCCTGACAAGCTACGAGGATGCTTGTAAAACCTTTGCGATGACCTGGAAGATCAGAGACGAGAGCGAGATCAAGGCTGATTATGAGCGCAGCTTTTGACGTGGTCATATGTACAATTGGTAGTTGTAATATGAGCAGTTAATAGTAGTATCTATTTATATAGAAACACATAAATTCACAGATTTCCTGGCCTTTTCAAGCAATCGTCTACGCCGTTTTAGTCTTTCCTATACTGATATCAATCCGTCCCAGCACAATGACAGCAAAGAAAACGGTAATCAGAGCGGTAGCGACAAGCATCGGCTTTGCATACTGTCCATTGCTGGGAAGCGTATACGTCACATACAGCTCGCTCCGCTTTTGCTCATCAATCATGTTCTTGGCCTTCAGCTTGACGACCGTCCTACCGACGGCGTCGAGGTGTGAGAATAAAAGCGAGCGTTCCTCGGTGACGTCCGTGTAAGTGGACTCCACGCTCAAGATTTCGGCAGCCTCTGGAAGGACAACTGAGACCTCGACTTCGTTGTAGTAGACGTTCATGAGTCCCTCTATCAGAGGGACGCGCAAAACATATACTGTCTCTCCTTCGCTATCAACCAACGAACGAAGACTACGTCCAAGATCGTGGTTCCATCCCAGCGTGAAACTGTAGTTCCAACCTCCAAAGATAGGATATCGTGGACGGATCTCCATAATCGGCGAGCGGGGATCGTCGCGGAAGTTGCTCGTCGACACGTTGCCAATCTCGTCAGTGAAGTACACGTCGCGAACACCAGGTCGGAGATGCACCGATGCTGATCGAAGAGCCGGCGTGCGCTCTCTCGCCATTGTGCTCGCCTGCCAACGAATACGCGAAAAGTTGTCCTTGAGCTCGGCGCCCGCGTTCTTCAGCCAGTAGCGTTCCTCGGTTGCTAGATTGCCTCCGGTGTGGGACACCCAGAGCTCACGCTCGAGCTTGCTGACCTCGATGACCGGGATGTTGTACTCGTACTTTACAAGAATGGGATCGTACGCGTAGGGCTCAACGTCGTTGTAAGGACCGTAGGTCAGAGTAGTGCCCTCGACTAACGGGTCATCTATGTGTTTGCTGTAAGCGTTGGGCGGACGATCGGCAGTCCTATAATGAGATTCATTAGTCTACTCGTTACCATCACATAGTCTCAAAATTGATACACTCACTTGACCTTGGTACGCTGCTTAACAATAGGATAAGGCATGTACGATACCTTGGTTCCCTCCCACATCAAGTTCTGGGGCTCCGACTGCTTGATCTTCTTTGGGATAGGAGACAGCTCACGCACAACTGCGGTCACAAGCTGAATTGTTTGACTACTGCCGACCTCCAGCGGAGTCTTGAGCGCAACCTCCACAAGCCTCATACCATCCTCGTTGACCTCCGGAGCAATCTCGAATTCCAACGGCGTAGTAGACGCATCATCAGCCTTGAGCTTAACCTCATACATTGCCAGTTTCGGCGTCGTCTCGTCATCGTCAAAGTAGCTCGAGTTAACCGCCAAGTAAAAGCTCGACTTTGGCTCGGAGCTGGTGTTTTCGAGAATGAATGACGATGAATCGCGCACATATGCTTTCATCAAATCAACTGTGCGGAGCATGTTCACCACCTTGAAATCAGACGGCGACGGCGCCGAGAGTACCGTTGCCGCATACGCCAAAAGCGCAGATGCAACAATTGAGAACCGCATCACTGTTATTTCGCGAATCTGCCAAAGTGTTGTCTGCTGAAATGTCGAAGAGAGCTCTAAGGCAGTCTAATTCTGTTGGCAGCCTCTGCGGTCAATCCTAATATCGAATTAGCTATCAGTTCTCAATCACCGAGCAATCAGCAAAACACAATTCTGCCTCTCACTCTCAATACGAAACAACAGAATGCTCACGCACAATTGAGCTGTAAATTGACCAGATCGAAAACGAACAGGAGCCCGGTGATCTCGACCGAGGGGCCACGTTGCACACGCGCGTTTTGGGTGGGAAGTTACCCGGACTTTGACGTCAAATCGTCGATTTCAACTTCTCGGAGACATCATCACAAATATCTTTCCAGACTTGAGAGCATACACAGAATGTCTTATAACACAAGGGTTAGTCGCTTCTTTCGTTTAGTGATTTGTAAGTCTTTGTCTGGTCACGTAACTAACGTTCCATTTCTGTCTTTATAGAAAGTCTCAGCCGAAATCAACAGAATTCTCTTCGTCAAGAATCTGTCCTACAACGTTACCTCAGAAGAGCTATATGATTTATTCGGAAGATTTGGCTCAATAAGGTACTTGAACTTGCTTCTCAATTTTATCTGACTTTATACTGATCTGTTATTCTGCAGACAAATCCGTCTCGGCAACGCCCAGGGCACAAAAGGAACCGCCTTCGTCGTCTACGATGATATCCAAGACGCCAAAACCGCATGCGACAAACTCTCCGGTTTCAACTTCCAGAGCAGATATCTAGTCGTTCTCTATCATCAGCCTGACAAGAATATGCTAGCTGCTGCCGCCGCTGCCGCTTCGGGTGGGTCGACTACGAATGGAGCTGATAGCGCGGATGCGATTGGAGCTACACCCAGACGTCGGATGCAGTAGTATTATTTAGTGTCGCTTGCGTTATCGTTTTCATTATCTGTAAAAGGAGTTTTTGGGTTCTGGGATTTTGTACAATATCGATATATAATCAACATAGCTTAATTTGTTCAAAGCATTCTTCATCGCGGGTCATATGAAAGAATTGGCATCAACCAACGTCTTCTCTTCTCTCCCGACTGCATCGGCATCCACGATATTATTCGTCTTGAATATTAGACCTGGAAAAAAATACTAAACGCAAAGCACAAGCAAAAACAAAAGCCCAAGCAAGTTCGCATTCGCAAATTAATCCAAAAAAGAGATCATATTGAAGGATGCGAGGTTCGAACTCGCGCGAACTTACGTTCAGCAGATAAAACCTCAAGCTGTAAGTGTTGCCTTAAACTTAAGTCTGCCGCCTTAGACCACTCGGCCAACCCTCCATAAATCTAACAAATTCTATTTTCCCTGCGCACTATAATCTAAGGTGAGAAGGACCCTAACCATGTGGTTTTGGCGTTTTAAGGTTGTAGATTCTGTAGGGTTTTTGTTTTGAAGAAGTGGCATTTTAGCGGTTTTCCGTCAATATTTTTGATAATAAATATTAGTCTTGCCATAAGATCTTAGAAATTTACTGGAATATGTAGTTATGTAAGAAAGCAGAAAGAAATGGGTGAGTAGACTGACAATCAACGATTCTATCAGACCTTGTATTATGTAACTTTATGCTGATATGATATAAGCGTACACGGTCTCGTTCCATGGTCCCAGGAACGTCTCTCTGTCCGAGAGGCAGCGCTTTATCTTTTTGTGGCTTATAGGAAGGAGTATACAATGATCCCGAAGTAAAAAGAGGGCATTGATCTGAAAGCTAAAGAAGCGTCTGGAGTGGAGTGCTGAACGGCTTTGATACTACAGTAGGCTGAGTTAACCCTTGTGATCCTTGATCCGAGCAGGATAACTACTACTACTACTAATGGGTCGCTTAAATCGGTCTTATAAAGATATTTTTTATCTGTGCAGCCTGGTAGTTATATGCAATCGGGAGGCGTACTGAGAAGTTTTACGTCTCGATTGTTCTGAATGACATTCTTGGTGCTTTCCCCAGAATTAGAGTCCGCCGTCATAGACTGCACCCTGGCGACTGCTGCAAGCTACAGAACTAGTGGTGCGCATCAGCCAGGTTGGCTGACGTCACTAAACGTCTCAGGGTGAAGCAGATCCGTCAATCATATGAACTGGCTGAAACAAGAGAAAGATCCCGGAGAACTTTGCAGAAATGAGGGTGAGAATGTTATCTTTTGATTTGTAATACCATTACTCTCCTCTCAAGAATAGAGGACGTTGGTGGGGAACGTGATAAATTGATTATTAGCTGGTTTATTCTTGGAGAGCTGCGTCCTAACAGAGAGCCAGCCAAGAGCCGGTCCTTCCGCCACGTCATAGACACAGCTTCTATAAGAAGGACATATTTCTAGAATGTAAACTCAATTGATATCTATAAACTCCCTAATCAGAAAAAATCGAGGTAATTCCACAGTTTGAAGATCATTCGGCCCGTAAAACACGCTTGGCCGGCCCGTGCTCATGCACCCAAAATTACCCAAACGCCTGATCAATCATCCTCATCTTCACACTTGTCCCTCTTTCCCCTCTTCCTCTCGATCTCATCCTATCCCGCTATACATACCTTTTACTGTGTAGTTCAAATCCGGATACGTAATTCTTATACTTGATTGACCTGCTGCAGAAACAGCTTTGTCTTTTGATTTACTTTCACCTACATCTACAAAATGGTTCATTTGGGTCCGAAAAAGCCGCCTTCCCGCAAGGTACTATCCTCCTCTTGCTCTTGATTCGGCATCTCCATTTCCCCTCCCCTGTTGTGGCTTTCCGAGAGCTAACTAAGATATGATATGCTATATAGGGATCTATGATTGATGTTCCCCGCGATTTGCTCGAGCAGATTGCGCAGCTTGAAAAGCTCCTGACAGTTGATACTGCTAAGCTTAACGAGATTGTGGATCACTTCGTCAAGGAGCTCGAGAAGGGTTGGTCGTCTTCCTTATTTCTATATGTGTTGTCGGGAATTATACTGTAGAGTCTAACACGTCTTGTTGTGCGTTTAGGTCTATCCAAGGAAGGCGGAAGTATTGTACGTTATCACACGCTGAACGTCACTTGCTTCATCTATACTGACAGTGTTCTTTCGTTAGCCGATGATCCCGACTTGGGTGATGAACATGCCCGAGGGAACGGAGACTGGCAAATACCTTGCTCTCGATGTAAGAATTTCTTATCGTTTACTTCTATACTAGCCAGATCCTAACTGAATTTTAGATGGGCGGCACCAACCTTCGCGTTGTCGAAGTCGAGCTCCTCGGCCACCGTGACTTTGACGTCAAGCAGAGCAAATACCGATTGCCTGACGAGATGAAGACCGGAACTGCTGATCAGCTATGGGATTACATCGCTGATTGTCTGAAGGCGTTTATTGATGAGAATCACGAGATTCCTGAGGATGAGGAGGAGAAGGAGAAGAAGAAGCAAGAGACGATTCATCTTGGCTTCACTTTCAGTTATCCCTGCTCGTAAGTTCTAATTCATATGGATTGACGAGAATTCAGTACTAATTTTTACTTTAAGGCAATCCGCAATTCATAATGGATTCCTGCAGCGATGGACCAAGGGATTCGACATTGAAGGCGTGGAAGGTCACGACGTCCAGCCCATGCTTGAAGCTGCCTTGAAGCGAAAGGATGTGCCGATCAAGGTTACTGCGTTGATCAACGATACTACCGGAACTATGGTTGCGTCCAACTACACCGACCCCGAGACCCAGATGGGAGTTATTTTCGGAACTGGCTGTAACGGTAAGTGACTGGCAAACTCTGTGAAGACACGTGGTGACGACTTACTGATATTCCTGCAGCTGCCTACTTTGACACTATTGGCAACATTCCAAAGTTGGAAGGTCTGGTTGACCTTCCTCCTGAGACGCCGATGGCGATCAACTGCGAATGGGGAGCGTTCGATAACGAGCACGTCGTTCTTCCTCGGACGGCCTACGATGTCCAGATCGACAACGACTCTCCCCGTCCTAACCAGCAGGCATTTGAGAAGATGATTGCTGGTCTCTATCTCGGCGAGATCCAGCGCTTAATCATGCTTGATCTTCATGAGCAGGGATGTATTTTCGAGAAGCAGAGTGTTGATAAGTTGAAGGTTCCGTATTCGATTGACGCTTCGCTTCTCTCTCAGATCGAGGAAGATCCGTTTGAGAACTTGTCGGAGGTCGAGAGCATTTTCCTCGAGCGCTTCATGATCACCACCACCGGTCCCGAGCGGAAGTTAGTGCGTCGTCTGGCAGAGCTGATTGGCACACGCGCCGCTCGTCTTTCGGCATGCGGTGTTGCTGCTATCTGCAAGAAGAAGAACATCACTCGCTGCCACTGCGGCGCGGACGGCTCGGTGTTCAACAAGTACCCGAACTTCCAGGAGCGCGGCGCGCAGGCGTTGAAGGAGATTTTTGGCTGGACAGAGACCAACCCAAAGAACTATCCGATCCGCTTGCTTCCTGCCGAGGACGGTAGCGGTGTCGGCGCGGCGTTGATCGCTGCGTTGACGCTGAAGCGGATGAAGGAGGGCTTGCCGGTTGGAATGTCTAGGGTGCCTGAGGGATTTGGAACTAATTAGACGCGTAGACTGTATGTGTGAATGTGTGTATAGCGGGTTTATTTATTTACATTTGAATCTAGTGTAAGTATGAATATGTACCAAGCGGTGCGGTGCTAGCGAAAAATCAAAAAATAGACATGCAATCCATACAGCGATAAAAGCGATTACAGACCGAAAACGCTCTTGTCGAGGTTGCAAACAAAGACACCGGGCGCGCAGACGCCACCGCCAATCAGCTTACCACTCTTGACATCATAAGAAGCCGAGGTCATGACACTCATCTGGTGCCCATCGTCCCAAAAGACGACGTGGGGGATAGCAAAGGATTCGTTCTTCTTGAAGAGCAGAGCCATGCTCTCCGAAACCACGTCTTCGTTGAATGGAGCCTCGATTTTCGGCCAGATCGAGGCGCCGTTGGGGAAGGCTGCGACGAGGATGTCGCCGGAGGGGAGTTCGGAGATGTTATCCATCGAGGCGTGCACGGAGACCGCGAGTTCGAGGTCAAGGTTGTGCGTGAGCGGGTCGACGGAGAAAACGGAGAGTTTTGCGAGACGGGTGTCTGTGACGACGAGCTTCTTGCCGCCGTCGACGAGGAGGATGCCGTTCGCGTAGGAAAAGTAGTTTTTGTTTTTGATGGAGCATTTCGGGTGGTTTGTCGAGTAGCTGAATTCGCAGAAGACGATGTTGGCCCACAGGAAGGGGCCCATGGTGTCTTCGATTGCGCGCCAGGTGCCTTTGCGGTACTTGTGGTCGTTTGTGATATAAAATGAGGTTTCGGAGACGGCGACGACGGCGTTCGGAGTGACGATGTAGGGAGAGCGGATGTCGTGGAGGAATTCGAGGTAGTCGGTTCCGGTTGTGTATTTGAAGACGGAGATGATTGATGACCCGCGCTGATGGTTGACAAAGAAGATGATGCGAGTGTCGGGCTTGTCGGGGGGGTAAAAAACGTTCATACCGTGCAGGATGAAGTCTTCGCGATCATGGTATCCACGGAGCTCGAGAGTCTTCAATTGCTCTGTTTGCGGGTCAAACAAGACGACCGAGTCCTGCATTGGCATCTGCTTGAACTTTGGGCGGACCTTGTGGTGGTTTTGCGGGGGGAAGAACGACATCCGTCCCTCGACGGAGCCGCAGCCCATGTAGACTTCGCCGGTGAGTTTGTCAACCGCGACGTCTTCGCATCCTTCGGCGCCGTAGATGAGCTTGCAATTGTCGTTGTTGACGGCCAATGAAGACGAAGTGTAGCGGTCCTGCGGGGGCAGGGCAACGGGCAGCCAGGTCGCGGGGTGAGGAAAGAATTCTTTGGACAGGAAGGCGAGGAAGATGCCTATTCCGTAGACAATGTACATTCCAGGAGGAGCCATGATGATGCAGATTCTAATTATCTCTCGAGTGGCTCTGGTTGGATGATAGTTATCGTCATGCAGAAGAGAAGAACAGGCCTTCTGTTATCGACGCTCGTCGCCAAGTTCTTGTTATCTGGGGTTCTTGGTGCTGACGTAAGGAATTAGAAATTAAATATAATCACGTGATTAGCAATGAAAGTAAACAGATTCCTGCGCGCGACGCTAACACGCGCTTGCTTCATGTCCAACTTTACTCCGACTGCTGAAAGCTTCCCAATTCAGCTTTACCGCTCGGTTTCTATACCTAAACGCGTCTTTGTATACGTTCTGTTATAACACATACGAGCAGTAGAATTATAATTGTACCTGACGGGTTCTTTTTGTGTTTACTGGGCAGTCTTCTTACCGCTGCGAACAATGCCTGGCGATGAGTTCAATACTCTATCTAGTGCCAATGGCTTTGGCTGCTTTTCTATTAAAGCACATGGTGTGACATTCACCTTAGAAACGATGAATGAAGAACCGTCACATATTCAGTACAGCTCTAGTTGCTATTATATCGCACGCTGGGGAGTCACGCCGACGACGCGTCGTCGATACCGAACGTATGATAGCTGGCCGGAGTTTTTATAGTCCGCGCAGGACTGGCACGATAAGGTATAGATTGGTTTTTTTTCTTGGTTTCTGTTTGTATTCATGCTGACAAAAGAATCAGACAGACTTGGAACTGTTAATAATCGAGAAAACCTTTCTGCTTGCAGACCCGCCAGTTAGTTTCATTACCACTCCGTATTCAGGCGTTATCGACAAGGTGCTGCTGGAGTCATTTCGCCGGGTGGGCACGCAGCTTATGGAAGCTCTCTGGAGAGCAGGAGGCTACAGGTTCAAATTCCATCGAACCGAAGTACCCGTGAGGAGAGAGGGTACTGCCACCTTGTATTTCCACTGCTGTCAAGATCAGTCCAAGACCAGTCCCATGCGTGATTTAGCGAAGATGATACGGGAGACGAGTTCACTGCAATAGCAGAGTCGCGCTTCGGGTTGATTTGAATGAGGAGACAGTCTGCTTGAAGTTGACGCACAAGCACCATGATGCCTACCAAGATACCAGTCTCACGCCAGCGGTGCAAGAGTTTATAAATGAGCGGATCTCCGTGCAAAAAGCAAGCGAGATTCTCCGCGCCCTGAGAACAGTCAAACATACAATCGATGGCGCAGAGCATGTCACATTGATGCAAGTCTACAACCTTTGACGTAAAGGGCGCGGGAAAAGGCGACGTTGGTATCGAATCTGCTCGTTATGACGATGGAGATATAGCTTTTGCTTATAGTCTATATGCAATGACCAGTTTATAACAGACTGATTGCGACAAATTAACGGCAGCTGGAACACCGATAAGCATAATCAATAAGTCAGATAAATATATTGCTGTAATCAGTTAATGAGCGAGCACAACTAAGCCCGTAAACGGCAGGATATTGGCGATCAACCGATATTATCCATGCATCATAAGCCTTTTCGGGAAATGTATGGCAAGAAGTCCCGGGCGTCCTACGAATGGCAGGGATTGATTAAGATTCAATTTAGGTCGAGGTGATTCATGCTTCGTAGACGTCACGACGGCCTTCACATCGTTAGCGGCGCTAGCAGGGACTGCGGTCAAGAGCTGCTTTCTCCGGGGTACCCGCGGTCCACCTGTTGTGTTGTTATTGTTTTATGCAGTTTGTAGTCTACAACAAAAAAATACGTAATAAAGAACGAGCCAGACGAGTCGGTATCAGCAGCAGAGCTGTTCCGCTCCGCGCCCGGGCTGCTGGTCAGGGGGGAGTTGACGCGTCAGGAACGCGCGACGCGTTTGGGTTACCCTGCTCTCGACGCGTCGCGTGGAAAATATCGCGGCCACCGACGCTGGGGTGCGCGACTTGCCAGCTGCAGGTCGGTGACTGTGGTTGATATTAGGATGACCCACTTCGGGTTCTGATCGACTGTTGATAAGTACAGAACAGAGTAGCTGCGTGAAGGCGACGACTGAGGACGTAGCGTAGAGCAGAGTAGGAGGATTCAGCGGCCAGGGCAGAGCGTACAGCGCTTGGCAGCAGCGAGAGCGGACCGAAAGCGGCAAGGTAATGTGGCCCTGAGCTCCGACAGACGAACGAAAGCAGCAGCTGACGAATGCAAAGGCGCAGGCGGAAGCAGCAGAAGCAGAAGCAGCGCTGCCTTCGCGTGGAGGCGAAGAAGGGGCGAAGGGCGGGTAACTCCACACACGCGTCGCCAGTCGATCACCGCCGGAGCGAACCCCTTGCTCTCCTTCTCCTCGGTCCCTATCTTCTATCTTTTTCTTATACCAGCACGCGCTCCTCTTCCTCATCCTCTTCCTCGTCACTCCTTCTCACTCCTCCTCCCCCGCTCCTCCCGCACTTGCAGACCATGAGTGTCTCGCACAGCACCACCGCCAGCCTCAGCATGTCGCTCGCCTCGAGTGTCTCGGGCACCTCTTCGTTCTCCGCAATGCGCAGCGCCAGCACCGGATACTCGTTCCAGCGGTTCAATGCCCTCACCGTCGACGACCTTTTCCTCGAATTGAAGCGAACAGAGCAGCAGTACGTCCAGGACCTCGAGTGCATCCGCGACGTCCACCTCGTCGAGGAGCTCCTCATCGTGCATCTTGCATTGCAGCCGTCACTATCAAAAGTCCTGATTTGGGTGAGTTCGCTGCTACATATTAGTATTCCTGTGTTTCTTTTCAATTTTTACTGACTGGCTGTAAACAGGGCGAGGAAGCTGCTCCAATCTATCGCCAGTACGTCAAGGAGTACGTCTACGATCCCGACGAGTCCGAAGAACTGCGTTATCTCAAGCGACGACCGCTGGTCCGCCTACGCTTCTTCTCAAAGTTCTTCAAGGTGCCTCCTTCATTATTACTACCTCATCACTCTATTCAGACTCAACTAACAACATTATAGAAACTCGAGGAATTCCTGCCAAACGTCCGTGGCATCGTCGCACACGCGGCCCTCTACAGAATCCTCGTGTCCACTGCCAGAGCCAAGGTGGAAAGCGAAAAAGTTCGCACTGCGCGTCTGAAGATCGAATTCTCAAAAGTTCGCAGTTTTGATACACTTCAGCCAGTTGTATGTTCCCCTCTCGCATTCCTGTACTGCTGTTTCATACTCACAATACCATCCTCTAGGCAACACAAGTCAACCCAAAATGGATCACAGCGCGCTCATACTGTCAATGCCATCTTAACCATCGCACGGGAAAGACATTCGAAGGTCTCCCTGTCGAAATCATGCTCATCTCAGAGCCTCTTTGGTCTAACGCCCTCGCGATCTGTCAGCTGCATGAGCTCCAACGGTTCCTTCTCTTCCCCACATTCCGCCGAGCCGACCTGGTCTACATTCCCTCTGAAGACATGTCCTCGCTCGAAATCACGCTCAAGTCGTACGATGAGAGTTCAATCACGCTCAAGTTTTCTTCCTCTGAAAACAAGAAAACGTGGGCTTCGACTTTCAAGGAACTCTTCCCGCCAGCGCCCGCTCTTCCTGCCGATGTAGCGCCCCGGAAGCCTAGTCTATCTGGCTTGCAGATCATTTCCGGTGACAGCGAGGCTGCGCGATTGGATACAGAAGCACTTGACTCTGAACTTCGTGGACCAAGACTTTTCGAAGAACCAGAGCTGCGGCCCTACATAGTCGAGACCGAGATTTCTCCCAAGAAGAAGCGCCATTCGATATTCCGATACGGCAGCGGAAACAGTCTCAACCGAGTCAACTCCTCTTCGCGCCCGTCTGTGCGATTCAGTCGCGTCGTGAGCGAGTCTCGCATCTCTCCTTCGTCGAGCAGTACCTCTCTTTCGCCATATAAGCGTCTCCAGCAGCGGCTAGTTGAGAAGCAGCGGTCGGTGTCGGCTATTGCCTCGTTGCCCTCGATCCAGGATATGGTTTTGAAGGAAGAATCCCCCGCTACATCTCCAGAGCTCACGAGATCTCCTAAAGAAAACAGCGCCGCTGCCGCTGGCGCGTCGCCTGCTAACCTCGCGCGCAGATCGTTTTCTGATCGAAGATCATCGCTCATGACAGCCGTGACCAACACATTTAACCAGTCAAGGTCAGTCTCGGCACCGAGTCCTTCTCAGGCCCAGTCAGAAGCAGTAGCGCCTGTCAAGACTCCACGCGAGACGACCGTTGCCATCGCAAGGCTCAGAGACGACTCTTCTGGAGAGCAAAAGTCCAAGGCCGAGTTCCAGTCTTCGCGAATGGAAAAGACAATGTCGACAGACTCTGTTCGTCTTACCGAGTCATCGTCGTCTGGCATCTATCTTGTTCCCACTAGCGCTCGTGAGAAGAAAAACGCGGCCTCGCCAATTCCTCGCGTGCGCGATCCTGAGATTGCTCCTTCGCCGCCCGTGAACCGCGAATCCGTCTTCTCATTCACGCCCGAGACATTTGACGTCAGCCCTCGCCCGCCTCAGGAGAGCAAGACCCCGGTCCAAAATGCAGAGCCGTCCCAGACTCCTCAGTTGAACCGCAAGAAGTCTTCTTTCGGATTCGGCCGCAAGCAGAAGGACTATATCCTGGACGAGAACGCGGGAGTGTCGACCACCAGATCTGGCTCTGTCTCGTCTGTCTTTAGAAAGATCACCCCCCGCTCCCACCTTGGCATGTCGACCCGTGCGTCAGAGAAAGAGATGGATACCGAGAAGGCAATCAGCGGGATGTACTCCCGCATGACTCGCCGCGCCTCGACCGCGCTCGCGAATCTGTCGCCAAACATCGGCTCGCCAAAGTCTCCTAACGTCGACTCCCCTATCCTCTCCGACGCCATTGCCTCTCCCGCGAGCGTGTCTTCTGAGTTTAGCGACTACGAGGACTCGAAAAATCACAAGAGAGTGTCGTCGATGGGATTTATGCGCGGATTGAGAATGTCGCGGATCAGCATGCGATCTACGTCCACGACAGGTGCGCCAAAGGTCGAGCAGCCTATCCAGGAGCAGACTGCTGCTGCTCCGGCACCGCATGAGCCTGCTCAGCCAGCTGAAGTGTTGGTTGCTGCTCCGGCTGTTGAGACTGCTCAGAAGGTTGAGAAGCCTGTGGAAGCTGAGAAGCCTGAGAAGCCTGAGGAGAAGTTGCCTGAGCCTGCGGCAGCCGTCCCTGCTCCAGTAGCTGAACCCCACACTTCCATGCCATCTGTTCCAACCGTTGTCCCCGCCTCCCGTCCCAAATCTACAGTCAAGCCCGAACCTGCTGCCGTCTCGAAAGCCGAAGAACCCGCCGGCAAGACAAACAAGTTCAGCATATTCGCCCGCAACGCGCGCAAGATGCGCGCAGCTCTGCAGTCTCAGCAGCAGCCGCAGCCTGAGAGCACGAGAGAGGACGAGTTTTCTGCGCCGGTCGATGTCGAGCGGATCGATATGGATTCGGGAACGGTGCTGATTACGACCGCGCCGCCGTCGCCGAGTGCAAAGACGAGGATTATCGATGTCAATGGCGAGGATCAGGCCGTTGCTGCTTCTGAGGTTTCTGAGGAGAAGACCGAGGAAGTTGAAAGCAGCGAGGTTGACGAGCCGGTCGAGGTCGAGGTCGAGGTGCTTTCGAAGCCGTCGACAGCCAACACGGAGACAAACTACACGACTGCATCTAACGGCTCGGAAGCAACTATTCAGAACGAGGATCTGCCGGTTGCGATCGCGTTGGCTTCCGACGCAGGCACCTCTGAGCGAGACGACGACAGTGTGTACGACGACGCGCATGACGATTTCCCGGTCCCAAAGGTGTCGCCGCTGAAGATCAACACGAGCGTGCGAAACTCGCGGGTCGTCGGCGAGAGCGTTCTGTCGCCGGGATACCCTCCGTCACCGAGCAACGAGATCGTCGACACTTCTGCATTTATCAGCACAGAGGAAGATCTCAAGTTGAAGGAGATGGAAGAGATGGCAAACACAGTGAGCATGTCGTTTCACCGCGCGATCAAGAACGGCGAGCACGAGCTGTTTGCCAACAAGCCCGAGCTCGCGGTGTCGGAGCCGCCGTCGCCTGGTCTGCCGCTTGCGGGCGACGAAACTCCGATTGTCCCGCCGTCGCCGCTGCGGGTCCCGAAACGGGGCTCGTCATTGCAGTCGCCGTCTTCGCGCGCGTCGACGTTGCGGGACAGTCAGATTACAGTGTACGCGGACACGCAGCTGTGGACGGGCAAGCGTTACTCGTTGAGGGACGGGGCGATGTCTGATGACGCGGAGGAGGAAGAGATTCCTCTTGGCGAGAAACGCCCCGTCGAGGCTGTTGTACGGAAGGATTCGGCCGATGACGATTACTACAGCGTGATGGAGATGTCTGAGAGCTCAGGCTCCGCGTCGGATGATGAGAAGAGCGAGGATGCGGATGAGATCAAATTGCCTTTGGCTACGAAGCGATCGTCGTCGGCACTGCACAGGGCGGAGAGTGAGGGACGTACGGCTTTGAAGCCAAAGTCTGTCAACTATTCCATCCCTGGAGGGTTCACGTCTTCTACCTTGCCCGGGTCTATTCTAAAGAAAGAGTATGATCCGTCAATCATCTCCTCGGGCGAGTCAGACGCCTCATCGACAGCGACAACGACCCCTTCGCCGAGCATGAAGTGGAACATGCAGGATACCGCCAAAGTCGAGGACCTGAAGATCGTCCTGTTCAAGAGCTACGCTTTCGTCTCGGAATGGAATAACAGCAAATGGGAACGCATAACCCCGAAGGAAGTCCGCGTGCTCGTCGCCGTCACCGAGGGCACGGCCACCGTCGAAGTCTGGCCAAAGACTATCTCGCCGAGTTCGTCGACCCCCAGCTCCGGAACATCCACACCCGCGCACACGACGTCGGTTTCGGAAACACCAAAGACGCGGAGCGTGATGTTCAACGTCGCGGGCGACAGCGTGCTCAATATGAACGAGACCGCCGCCGCGGAGGGCAAGCCGATGCTGTCGGTGCCGCTCACGGGCCAATCGACCGTCAGACGGAGCACCGCGTTCGACGTGCATCTCAAACGCACGGGCGCGTCGGGAATCACGATGTTTCGCATGCGCACGGCGGCCGAGGCGGATCATATGATTAGCGCGATCCACTCGTGCCGGAAAAACTACCATAGCTCGAGCGTGCGCTCGCGGCCGTTCGGGTCGTCGGTACCGAGTATCGCGAGCAGCGAGTCGTCGATGAGTAGCGGCGCGTCGATGCGCCTCGGCCGCGGCAGCACAACAACGAGTTGGTACCATCCCACGCTCGAAAGTCCCGGCGGCGAGGGTGTGTTCTCAGCCGACGGCACGGACGAGGTGATGTTGATCAAGGACTTCAAGTGTCGTTTGTTTCAGCGGTTCAACGCGCTGAAATGGCGAAACGTCGGCGCGGCGAAGATCTCGGTCAGCGCGCTCGCGGATGATAACGGCGTGCAGGTGTGTGTGCGGATGCAGGACGGACAGGTTGCGTTTGATGTTTTGGTGCGCAAGGATCAGGTTGCAAAGTTGGGCAAGACTGGGGTTTCGATCTCGATGGAGGCTGATTCATCTGCTGAGGAGTCGAAACGCGATGTTTACATGCTTCAGGTACGTTTTTCTTGTGATTTCTCTTGTGAGATGGTGACAGATAGTCGCAGGTAGCTAACCTGATACCACAGTTCAAACGAGACAAAGAGGCACAGATCCTTCTCGAGTCAATCAGCGAGTACGCACTCCCGTCCGCTGCCGACGAAGAGAACTAAGAACTAAGAACAAAAGAACTAAGAAAACAAGTTTTGGGAGTTTGTTATCGTTGTTGTATGTCAGTCAGTCAGGGTATTTTTGGATGTTTAGTTTTGATTTGTTTGGATTTGTTCTGTATATATATCGATATATATGCCCAAAGTCTTGCGGTGGTTGTGTTGAGGACGAGGACGAAGAATGGGTTTATTATTAATGTTTGGAAATTTTTGTTGTGGTTTGATGATCTAATTATATAAACGCAATTGTAGTAATGCTATATCTATGATACTTTATCTCGAGTTCCAACTACCTCTATATATGTACAAAACCTGTGTGTTCAACCTAATCAGTAATGAGGAGAACAGCAGCGCTACCGAGCTGTCGTCGCAAATCCGCCCAATCGACATCATGCGAATCCTCGACCTCGCCCCACCTCCGCATCTGGTGGATATTCTCCAAGCTGACGAGCTCGGCCAGTTCGCTCGTCGTCAGCTCTTTCCTCACAAGCTTGATACCCCCGAGGAAAGACTTGCCGCCCAGCACGGCGCGCTCAAAGGCAGTCAGCTCCCAGTGCGAGAGACCGAGCATGTATTCCAGCGCGAGGTTGCGGATTTCTTCGGTTTGTGGGTTGCCGGTTAATCCCTTGTCGCCGTCCATGTAGCTCAGTTTATTGCCGTTGAAGAGGTGTGTCTCGGCCCACTCGATGATCGGGCGATACCTCTCCTCCTGCTCTGCGCGCAACCGCCCGTCGTACTCATGCGACGGCGCAAAGATGAGCATGGTATCCGTATCCACGTACGGCAGCAGCGCCTTACAGATCGCGTTCCGCACGTCGTCGACCTCCGCCTGCGTCGGCATCTTTTGGATATCGATCGCGCGCGCGGCGATCGACGTCAGCGGAAGCGAGTGGGGCTTGATTTGCAGATTCGGCAGCGTGGCCCATTCCTGCACAATCAGGTGCGCGAGCGCGGTCTTGTTGTGCGGTACCACGAGTGGGTTGCCGGACGAGGTTTTGACCGGTCGTGTGCCGAGGTTGATCTGGTGTCCGTCTGTAGCTAGCTGTTAGCACATAACTCCGTTTCTGTAATTCACGACGACTATGCTCTGCTCACCTTCCGTAGTCTGCACATTCGCACTCTCCCAAAACCTTTTCGGAATGGCTTTATACGCGCCCTGCGACCCCGACTTTTTCAACAAATTCGCAGTATCAAGCGCGGTCGCGTATGTTCTGCGCGACAGCCTCGACACCGGCAGCGACGCAGACACCGGCGCTGAAACGGTTGCGAACCGCGATGCGCATTGGCGAAGTAAGACGCGGGGAGCGGATCTGCACGCTCGCGAGATGGCTGACATTCTCTGAAGTTGTTCCTACTAAATAATCAAAGTAAAGAAGATGTTCAACAGACTGCAGAGTGCAATTGTAATTGCAGTTCTAAATATCAACGATATCGCTACAAAATCCGCCATCCGAACTTTTCTCAGAAATACACTAAACCCTTGGATTTGTGAGCGATGTAAACTTTAGAGATGGTCATCGATTGATCTGATTATCGACTATGATAAAGACCATGCTAAAGACTATGAGAAAGACTATGATAAAGAGCTGGGTGATTTTGATTATGTTATGGTTGGGGAATAGATTTGAGGTATGCTATATGCTGCATCTGTTTGTAGTGGTAGCGTCTACGTAGTGCTGAACATGAAGTACCAAAAACGCTGTTAACTACTATATTGCACTATTCTACTATGCATAAACAAAAGCTCCTGACTATACCAAACCAAAGCAGTGAAAAGAAAAAGAAAAAAGAAAGAAGAAAACTAGAATGCAGCATATCCATCCCTCGTGCTCTCAGACCTCGAAAACCCAGACGCGATCTTCTTGACGAAATCCCTCGCGACATAAGGCACGTCCATGACTGTCTCCGACGACGGCAGCAGATCGACGCCCGTGGCGCCCTTGCGGTAGTTGGAGTACGCTGTCGCGCCAAAGTACGCGCCGGCGAAGAGGAGGATGCCGATCAGGACGTACTTTGTGATGCGGTAGGCGGTTGAGGAGGAGGTCGGGGTTTCGTTGTTGTTGTTGTTGTTGTTGTTCTGCGCGGCCTTGACGAGTTCCTGGTCGCAGACAACGGCAGTGTCCCACCGCAGATTCAAAGTCTTCTCATCCCAAGACACGAACCTGAGCCCGGCAGTATCGGATCCCGTGTCCGCCAACTGCGCCGGGTCGGGCGTAACATCGTACAGCGTCGGATCGCACGCAAAGTCAATAAACGTCTCCATCGCCTCCACGTCGCCCCACTGGCCGCCGACGAGGTTCACGCTCAGCGCGGACTGGCCCGCCTTTGCGGTGTTTGCGCCGATCCGGCGCTCGGCGACGTGGGCCGCGGTGGCGCCGTTCAGGTCGCCTGAGATCGGGATCACTTCTGCCACGAACGGGGTCTCGTCCTGCAGGGCGATGGTTTGGACTCCGCAGACTGTTATCGCGCGTTAGTACTCTCTTTGTGCTGTTCATATCGTCGCATCAGTTTAGTCAACGGCAGACGCGGGGCATACCTTGGGTTCCGGCAGCGCACTGCTGATTCGCCGGGACGCCGACCTGCGGCTGCAGCGGCGCGCACAGATCAAACGTGAACTGGGTGATGGTCGTCGACGGCGGCGTGCTGCGCAGGGTCTGGACGGTGTGCGGGCCCGCGAGCGCAGTCAGGTTGAGGGACTGGCCGTCGACGACCATGCCGCAATCAAAGACGGCGTTTACCGTCGCGGCCGAGGCCAGCAGCGCGAGCGCCACGGTGTTCTTGAGGGACAGCGGTGCAAGCATCTTCTCCTCCGTTTCGAGTAAGCAGCAGGTAGAAGTTGAGGCGGGGAGGAGGCAGAGGGACAGACAGAGGCTGCTGATAAAGGGATCTGGAGATACCTGGCGGCCTGTGGGCGGCCCCGGCTTCGGTTTGGGTTTAGCCCGAATAGGCAGTTTGGATGCCTGATTAGGAATTTGGGCGCAGATGGGCAGGGCCAGACCGTGAACCTGTTTTCATGACGGTCGACGATGACAGATGGGTGATAGCGGAGGGATAGTAGTAGTCGTGAAGTGAAGAGAGTGTGGGAAGTGGAATGTGTTGATGTAGATTGTAGTCCTGGAAGAGGAAGTCACTACAATACTACTACCAACAGATCACCAACTGCAGTCATAACAGTCAGTCTATAACAGCTATTTTAAAGTGCATTATATACCAAAACAGAAACCACAAAAGATTGCAACAAAACACACGCGAAAACAAATCAAATACAACCATGAAAAAAGAGCATTAATTTACAAAATCCTTTGCTTTGACTTTTTGCATTCCATATTACTCCTCCAGCTCTTTCTACTCATCTCTGAGTCGTCATCTTCTTACCCAAAGTCTCTGGAATAAAAGAAACTTAAGCGCTCTGGGACCGGACGTACTTGCCGACAACAATGCAATGGTCACGCTCGTAAGGCTCGAGGGTCAACTGCTCTTGGGGCTTGACGCGCTCCTTTCTCAGCTTCTGGATTTCGCTCGCAAAGACGGTCTCGGCATCGACGGTGGAGTCGATACAGTTGGCCTTGATCGAGATCACGACACCGCCGCCGTCCTTCAAGAACATGTGCGAGTTGAGGGCGATGATACGGGCCTGATCCGGCTGCGCGACGTCGGCAAAGACAACGTCGACCATGCCGACGAGCATGCGGTACTTTTGCGGGTGGCGCGCATCCTCGATGATGGGGATGATGTTCGGGCGCTTCTTGGCCATGGTTATCAGATCACGGCCGGATCGGTGCGAGAACTCGACAGCGTAGACGATGCCCTCGGGGCCGACGACGTCAGAGACGTGGCTGACAGAGGTACCGGACGCGGCACCGAGGTAGAGCACCTTCTTGCCGGGAGCGACGTAGAGCTCGTCGAGACCGCCCATGATTCCGGCAGCCAGCTTTGATCTGAAAGGGTTCCAGACACGGTACTCGACCTTCGTGGCCACGCCGTCGGGCGTGGTCGCGGGAACGTCGATCGAGATGCGCTTCTCGCCGTAGACGGACTCGCCGGGGGTCAGATTCCGGGTCACCAACATGTCTTCCTTGCCGCGAGCGATGAACACACCGGCGTGTCTGTGGGGCTCGATGATCACCTTCGCGCCGCCCCTGGCTCCTCCCGCAGCACCTCCGCGGCCACCACGGGGACCACCACGTCCACGGGGGGCACCTTGAGATCTTGTCAGCGCCTGCACAACAACACATGCACATCTCAACAAAGACAAGACAGAGCAAAAACATACCTCCACGGCCTCCTCCACGAGGACCGCCACGCCCGCCGCCAACACCACCACCACGGCCGCCTCCGAATCCTCCACGACCGCCTCCGCGAGAAAATCCACCACGACCACCGCGGTCGCCGCCGCCTCCGCGCGAGAAACCTCCACGGCCGCCACCGCGACCTCCTCTAGGTGTGAATGCCATGACTTAATATGCTGCTGTTCTTGTTCTATAAGAGTAGAGTCCTCGGGGTGGGTGAGGAGAAGAAGAGAAGTGGACGATGAGACCGAGCAGAGACAGAACTGAGCCCGGAGATTTTTTTTCTTTCTGCTCGAAAAAATTGTTTAAAGTTTATTCTGCTCCCATGCGGAGATGTACTCAGTAACTGGTGTTCGCAGTAGTTCTGAGCACGGTAGTTTCTTATTTAGTAACCCCCGCCCTGTATATATACTTATGAAGGGTATTTGTATATTATTTGTGGTGGTAACAGATACAGAGGAGAATGAGTGGAATCAGCAGTAACTTGACCGCATCTTGAACTCAGTGGTGGGGTGGTATCAGAGCAGGCAGTGCACACAATACAACTGCAAACAATACAGACTGCAACAATACAGACTGTAAACACACAGTAAAGACAAACACACAGACTGCTCAGCTCATTTCAACAGAACCGGCAAAAAAGACCCATCAGACCTCTTGCCCCTCTCGTCCTCCAAGCTCCTGATCCGCGCCTCCATGCCCGCAATACATCCCTCCATCTGCTCGCACATCGCGTCGCGCGTCTCGATCTGCCTGAACAGAGCCTCCAAATGCCCGTCCAGTCTGTCGATATGGGCCTCAAGACCTGCGACTCGTGTCTCGAGGTGGGCCACGTAGGAGAGTTGGTAGTCGAGCTGTTGTTGGTGGTAGTCGAGCTGTTGTTGGTGGTAGTCGGAGGGGGGAGGCATAGTGAGGAGGAGGTCTTGGGATGCTCCGGCGGGTTGGCATGCTGCTCCGACTGGTTGGCATGTTTGGTCTTCCAAGGCGGTGGTGTAGCTCATTGTTACTAGTAGAAGACAGATCAGCAGAATCAGACAGAGTGAAGGTGTTGTTGGAGTGCGAGGAGTGTGGGAAGTGGGGAGAGAAGTGAAGAGATGAGACGGGCGGCGGTTGGGAGTAATTTACAGTAATTTACAGTGTTTACGCGTCTGTTTCTTCAGTTCCCCTTCCTCAGTTCCACTTTATACATTTAAGCTATTATACATCAAAGCTATTACAGTGGATTATGAATAGCGTTTATTGTTGTTATTACTGAACCGATTGGCTGAATGTTTATTTGGAGTAGAATCTGCAGGAAACTGTAGCTGCAGAATGAGCACTTGGTCTACGCGTTACGACCTCATGTACTTGCCAAGTTGTATGACTATGGCCCAGTGACGCTCCTAATGACAAGCAGATGCAGCATATATTCAGATATATTCAGATAGATACATATAGTTGAACAGAATAGACAGCCCACTAGTAAAGAATAGCAGACACCTCATTGGCTGATTGCGAAGCGGGCCGACCGTCTCAACGCGACAAAAGTAAACAAACGCGATATTATGATCTATAAGGCCCGCCCGCTTCCCTTCCTCTCTTCCTCTCTTCTCCTTCTCCCCCCATAGTATTTTTATCCCCTTTCTTCTGTATCTCTGTATATCTTATTCTTCTGTATATATTATCACCATGTCCGCACCCGCTCCCATCCCCCCCGCCGACATCACCTACATGCCCGGCACGACCTCGAACCCGTTCGGCTACGTGGCCCCGATGCCCAAGCACCTGCGCGAGAGCTACCTCAACTTCTTCTCCGCGCGCTTTGCCTGCGCAAACGCAAAGGCGATGGCGCACTACCACGAGTCGATGATGGGCTTCCGTGCGCTCGCGCGCCGCGAGATGGAGAAAGATCGCAACCGCGGGCTCTGTGCGGAGGTCGTCCAGAACGGAAAGATCACGCTCGAGTTTGTGGCGCCCGTGATGCCGGCTCATCGCGAGGAGGGGCTCAAGATCTCGGATGAGGAGTATGAGGATCTTGAGAGCGTGTCGCTGTTTCTGCAGGTCTGTAGCTGTCCCTTCTGTTTTGTTTGAGAGAGTACTAACCGTTTGCTGTGATGTAGCGCCACGGTGAGGGAGTCATGGACGTCGTCTTCGAGGTCAAGAAGTGCAAAGAGCTCTACGACTGGGCAATAGCACACGGTGCGCACAGCGTCGCCGAGCCCGCGCTGCGAACAGACGTCTACGGATCAGTCCTCGCGGCCACCATCAGGACCTACGGCGACGTGCTCCACACGCTCGTGGAGAGAATCGACTACTCTGGCTGCTACCTTCCCTGGTACAAACCAGTAGAGACCGTCGTGCCGATCAACAGCGATCTGAGTCACACCGTTCCGTTCGTGAAGATCGACCACTGCGTCGGCAACCAGGACTGGAACCAGATGGAGGGCGTGTGTAAGTTTTACGCGCGAGCGCTGGGCTTCCACCAGTACTTCACCGACGACGACTACAACGTCACGACCGAGTACTCCGCGCTGGAGACTACCGTGATGGCGTCCGAGAACGAGAAGATCAAGATGCCAATCACGATGCCGGCGATCGGCAAGCGCATGTCGCAGGTCGAGGAGTTTGTCCGCTACAACAACGGGCCCGGCGTGCAGCACCTTGCTCTCCTCACCGAGGACATCGTCGCGGCGGTGACGGAGATGCGTCGCCGCGGAGTGCAGTTTATTGAAGTCTCGCCGCAGTACTACGTCGACCTGCGCGACCGCGTCAGGGACTACCACGGCCCGCCAATCATGGAGAACCTCGACGATATCGAGGCACTCAACCTGCTCGTCGACTTCAACAAGGACGGATACCTCCTGCAGACCTTTGTCAAGGACCACATCTCCTCGCGCCCGACGGCGTTCTACGAGATCATCCAGCGACGGGGCGCGCAGGGTTTCGGGGGTGGCAACTTCCGCGCGCTGTTTGAGAGTATCGAACGAGAGCAGGCGAGGCGGGGAAACTTGCACCCGCACTCGGGACCTCAGTCGCAGTATCCTGAGGAGGAGAAGGAAGGCGAGAACCGAGGCCGACGACGAGAACGCACGGCACACGCTGCCAAGCAGGACTGACGTCTGATTCTCTGAACTGTCCTGTTCTTTCTGTGATATCTGGGTTTGCTGTGGTATAGCCGATTTTCTGTTGAGTAGTGGACTGTTGCGAGTGCTATACCACGGCTGGTGTTTTTTTTTTTTCTATTTTCTTTTCTTCTATTGTATTATATTCAGTGACCCGTAATAAATCCTCGAGATTGTCACCATACAATGTTTCCATAAACTGTAGGAGTAGCAGTAGACGTAAGAACAGGCGGCTGATGTGGAGACGCGTCATTCCCACAACGCATCGTCGGTGATGACGAAGACGAATCCACTTTTCGTCATAGGATCACAACGGCTATGACTGACCTTCCTCGGGCCATCAACAACAACAGCAGCAACAGCAACTACACCACCACCACCAACAACAACAACAAACAACAGCAGTTGCTCACCAACAGCAGTTGACCAACCTCACCAATGGAAAAAGCCGACTCCACCCCGTCGAGCTCGTCAGGGTCCCTCACGCCCTCCTCGCCCGCGGCATCAAACCTCCTCCCTCCGCGCTCGCCGGCATCCCCCTCGACCGCCCGCGGCCGCGCGCGCTCGTCCTCGATCGCAGAGATGCTCGCGACGCCACCGCCCGTTTCTGCTGCCGTCCCGTTCTCGTCCTGGCAGGGCGTCACGCTCGGATCGCTGATGCAGCACGACAAGCTGCTGTCGATTACGGGCGACGTCCCGGTCGCGGCTGCCTACGACAAGATGGTTGAAAACAACTTCACCTCGCTGGCGGTGCTGATGAAGCCCGGCGTCGACAACACTGTCGCCGAGAGCTTTGATTACTCCGACATTGCCTCGCTGCTGCTGCTCGTCATGGGTCACCTCAAGCTCAAGTCCGGCGTCGAGCCCTCGAATCTGGAGGAGAACGTGCGCAAGGCGCGCGCGGGCTTCGACGTCCCGGTCAACTTTGTGCTTGATCTGAGTCCGCGCGAGCCGTTTATCACTCTGCAGGCCTCCGACACGATCTTGACTGCGGTCGAGTATTTCGGCCGGGGACTGCACCGGCTGCTTGTGACGGACGACGCCGAGAAAGAGGTCATGGGTCTGCTCTCGCAGCGCCGGCTGGTGCGGTATTTGTGGGACAACGCGCGGTCGTTTACCGACATTGAGCCGCTGTTCCAGTCGACGCTGCAGGAGCTGGGAATCGGGTCGGGGAAAGTGATTGCGATCGGCGGCGATAAGCTTGTGGTCGAGGCGTTTGAGAAGATGCACAACGAGTCGGTCTCGTCGTTGGCGGTTATCGATGGCGAGAATAACTTGCTGGGGAATATCTCGATCGTGGACGTCAAGCATCTGACAAAGTCGACGTCGGCGCATTTGTTGCAGGTCACTTGTTTGCAGTTTTTGACAGTCATCTTGACCGATCGGGGACTCGAGAACGGGAAGGACTCGTTCCCTGTTTTCCACGTCACTCAGAATTCAACACTGGCTCATACCATTGCCAAGCTGGTTGCTACAAAGTCTCACAGGTATGTATCTTTTTTTATCTGAGCTACATGTAAGAAGAGACACTGACAGTTGTAGAATGTGGATTGTGCAAGGAAGCCAGCCGTACGGCTCCTCCCCCAGCCCGGCCGCTGCAGGCTCGCAACCGCACGGTCTAAAATCACCCAACCTGCGCGCGCAATCGCCCTCCCCGATCGCGTCCTCGCCCAAACTCGTCCCCGTCGCGTCCCCCTCGATCGGCACCGGCACGCGTGGCCGCGGCGGCAAGCTGGTCGGCGTCGTCTCGCTGACGGATATCTTGTCTGTGCTGGCAAAGTCTGCAGGGAAAGGAGACGTGGACCCGTCCGAAGCCAGACGGCAACGGAGACGGAGCTCGTCTAGTAGTGTGCGCTCGTTGACGCTGGACGCGAACGCGAGACGGAGCGTGAGTGTTGAGAGAGGGGCGTATGCGCCGCGGGGATCGATGGACCGGGGAGGGAGAAGATAGTGTATTATGTTGAAGCTACAGCGTGTTTATGATTCTCATTCTCTTGAAAGTGTATGTTGTGTTTGTGTGCATATGTGATGTTATTTCTAGTTTTGTTTTGTGTTTTGGAAGCACTCCACATGTTAATCAGTGTTGATGTTGAATTGATTCTGATATCAGGTCATGTCCTTCAGGGTGCGGCTCCTTGTTTATGCGTCTGCTACGTCACCGCATAAACCACAGATGTCACTGCTCTAGTTGAATAGGATAGGACACGTCTTATAACAACTATTCATACCAGTTGATACCACTCTTCTTATAGCAACTACGATATCTTCTTCTAGCCAGAAGCAGAGCAAAAGAAGACTCTGGTGGGGGGTGGAAGGTTCCAAACCCTCAGCTGACCGAACCTTATTCTCCCAGCTTTTCTATATTTTTGATTTGCCTCCGCCCTCAGCTCAATCGCTATTCACTTTAGAACAACACTAAACAGCAACATGTCGACAGAAGCAGAGAAGAAGAAAGAGGAGTTCTTTCAGCCGGTTGGACAAGCAGTCGAGGAGATTGCAAAGAACAGGACCGAGGACGAGGAAGACGAGGACGGACCGGTCGAGGACACTGCGTCCGAGGAACCGCAGCCTATCCAGGAGATTGAGTCGCTGTGCATGAACTGCCACGAGAACGGCACGACGCGGCTGCTGCTGACCATCATCCCGTTCTTCCGGGAGGTGATCCTGATGTCGTTTTCCTGTCCGCACTGCGGGTTCCGCAACTCGGAGATCCAGCCCGCGAGCACGATCCAGGAAAAGGGATCAAAGTACACGTTCGTGGTCGAGTCGAAAGAGGACCTGAACAGACAGGTCGTCAAGTCCGAGTCCTGCGACTGCGCGTTTCCCTCGATCTCGCTCGACATCCCGCACCAGCGTGGCCAGCTGACGAACATCGAGGGTCTGCTGACCGAGGTGCGCGACGACCTCGCAAACGACCAGCCCGTGCGCAAGCACGTCGACCCCGAAGCGTACGATAAGATCGAGGAGTTCCTGGGCAAGATCAACGACATGCTCGAAGGCAAGTCGTTTCCGTTCACCGTCATCGCCGACGATCCGTCCGGAAACAGCTGGATCGAGCTGTCGCCCGGTGAATCGCATACCAAGTGGTCGAAGGTGGAGTACGAGCGCACGCCGGAGCAGAACGAGTCTCTTGGATTGGTTAACGCGGATGCGGAGGAGGAGCAGCAGAAGGAGGCGGAGCGGCCGGTGACGCCGCCGATCTCGAACGACGAGGTGCATGTTTTCCAAGCGACGTGCCCGAGCTGTCTGAGGCGGTGCGATACGCATATGAAGATTGTCGACATTCCGCATTTCAAGGAGGTTGTTATCATGAGCACAGTATGTGATACGTGCGGATACAAGAGTAATGAGGTTAAGACCGGTGGCGAAATCCCAGAGAAGGGACGCAGGATTACGTTGAAGATTGATGATCCTGAGGACTTGGCCCGCGATATCTTGAAGGTATGTATTCTTTTTTCTTTTCTCTTAGGTATTTGAAATTAGGCTAACAACTGCAGAGCGAAACATGCGCACTGAGAATCCCGGAGCTCAACCTGGATCTGACAGCCGGCACGTTAGGCGGCCGATTCACCACCGTCGAAGGCATCCTGCGCGAAGTCAGCGAGCAGCTCGACACGCGCGTATTCAGCGAGCAATCCGACAGCATGGACGAAGACCGCAAGGTGCGCTGGACCAAGTTCTTGAAAACCCTCAACGACGCGATCGACGGCAAGACAAACTTCACACTGATCTTGGAGGATCCGCTGGCGGCGAGTTACTTGCAGAACGTGTACGCGCCTGATCCGGATCCGAATATGACGATCGAGGAGTTTGATCGGACGGAGGAGATGAATGATGATTTGGGACTTTCGGATATGCACGTGTAGAGAGCTGTGGAGAGCAGTTGGGGTGTAAATATAGATACAGCTGATTAATATTAATATATGCTTCAAAAGCAACAACATACTACGATACAGGTATAAAATCTCATGCCTCCTCCTTTGGCAACCGATTCAAGAGATACTCCACCTCGACCTCCTTCGTCAGCGGAATCACCCAATTCTCATACATCTCCACCACAGCCTCGACATTAACCCGCGACGCCTTTGGCTGCGGATCCGCGAGCGTGGGGTCGATCCCGTAGGTCTCTGCTTTCCGCTTCAGACGCGCGAGCACTTGCTTCTCGACCGCCTTGTTTGTGATTGCTGCGTCGAGGCCCGCGACGTCTTTGGATTTGATGAGCGAGGTCATGTGTGCTGTTTCTGTCAGGTACTTTGCTTCGGCGACGAAGCGGCCTGTACTTTTCATGTTAGCAACTCGACGAGGAAAGATCAGAGAGAGAGATTGTAGAGGGCGGTGCTGACCGAAATGTATACGCCGCGAAAGCGACCGGAGACACTCAACGTCGCAAAGCGAGCTACTGCCGAGGTTCTCAGGCTGCTCGCCGTCGGCGCAGATGCGCGGGACGATGTCGTTGATGTAAAAGTCCTTGATGGTGTCGTTGACGTTGACTTTATTTGGATGCGGGTAGAGAACGGGGGGGTATTCGATCGCGGGGAGGATGGGCTCGGGGAGGTCGTTTGGGAAGAACGGGATTTCGTCTGGTGATTCGTATCTCCTGATTTTGGCTGTGAGAAGTATTAGCATCTTATCGGCGAAGTTGTATGATGAATATCAGAGGGAGATACCATGAACAATCTCCTCCTCTCTCAGCAACCACTCCACAAACGACCCGTCAAAGTCCGAGATGTTGAAAGCACCGGGTTTGTAGATCGACGGCTGCCGAGGGAATTTCGCGCGCTCAATCAGGTTGAAGACGATGGTGTCTTCCATCCGGATGAGCACGTTGCGGATATTGTTGAGGTCCACCACTGTCTCTGGTTTGGAGAAGTCCATGATGCTTTTCAGTGCGCAATTGCACGATGTTGATTCTTTAAAGTCTTTTAGAAGTAATAAACAGCAGATAGAAGATATCTGATAAGTGGAACAGAAGACTATGGATAATTGTATAAAAACAAAAGAATTGTGGAGATTTGGTGAATTAGTTGCGGCGTTGGATGTTCGTCGGCCGGGCTTTGTTCTGAGCCGCAGTTTCGAGATTTTCGTTTTTATTTTGATTCGATTTTTGTTGATAACCCAGCAAACCACAAACTACTACTACTTCCACTACTGCTAGTTCTTAGTGAAAGCATCTCAAAATGCAGGAACCAGCGAGGAAAATGTGCAATATCGCCTTTGAAGGCTGCTGCCATGGCGAATTAAACAAAATCTACAGAGCAGTCGAACAGCTCCAGCACAAGATCGACCTTGTGATCATTGGTGGTGATTTCCAGGTATTTCCCCCCCATCATCTACTCCCTATCACATTCGTCTCTCTAACAATCTACAGGCCGTGCGGAATTACAGTGACTTACAAAGCATGAGCGTGCCGCCAAAGTACGCGCGGCTGGGCGACTTTGCCGACTACTACTCCGGCAAGAAGAAAGCACCCGTGTTGACGATCTTTATCGGCGGGAACCACGAGGCGAGTAACTACTTGTCCGAGCTGTTCTACGGCGGCTGGGTCGCGCCGAATATATACTACATGGGTGCCGCGAACGTGCTTACATTCAAGGGACTCCGCATCGGGGGTCTGTCGGGGATTTACAACGAGAAGCATTACAACATGGGCCATCATGAGCGGGTGCCGTATAACGCCGATACGCTGAGATCGGTGTATCATGTCCGGCAGTTTGACGTGATGAGGATGTACATGACCAGCACCAGGTTCGAGTTCATGCTATCGCACGACTGGCCGCGGGGGATAGAGCATCACGGCAAGCTGAAGAAACTGTTATTCAAGAAACCGCATTTCAGAGAAGATGTGGAGAAGGGCGAGATAGGGTCTCCGCCGATGATGACGTTGCTTAAATACATCAAGCCAAAGTACTGGTGGAGCTCGCATCTCCATGTCAAGTACGCGGCCATGGTCAGGCATCAGACGCTGAAGAGAAAGAGGAAGAACCGTGCTCAAGAGTCGGAGGAGGATTTCGCCGCGGAAGTGCCTTTGGCAGATGGCTACATGCGCACGCATTTCTTGTCGCTCGATAAATGCGTCAAAGGCCGAAATTTTATTCAGCTGACCCGTGTTCCATACGAATCGGAACAAGGTCTGTGCTACGACCCCGAATGGCTTGCGATGACAAAAGCTCTGGAGCCGTACATGTCATGGGAACGGGAAGGATCGAATAAGTTCACCCACCGAGAGGACCGCGATAAGCTGATTGATGAGATCAGAAAGCAGAAGAGATGGGTGCATGACAATATAGTGATGAAGGGAAAGCTTAAGATTCCGCAGAATTTCCAGATATCGGCGCCGGTTGTGGATCATAGCCAGGAAAAGATCTGGCAGAGGTTGCCTTTTCGTGAGTCCCCTCCTTAATGTCTTACGTATAGAGTGGTTTACTGACATTGACATGTGCTCTAGCGATCGAGTATAAAAATAATCAGACACAGGAGTTTTGCGATTTGCTGCAGATGGAGAATCGCGTATACAAAGGCCCGGCTAAACCTCAGTCTCGGGCTAAAGGAGTGGCTAAAGGAGTGGTTTCGGAGAGTGCAGGTAATACTGCCGCTGAAGCTCCGGATGAGGATGAGCTTGAAGAGAGCCCGGCTGGACTTTATTCTCTGGATGAAGAAGTGGTTGCGGAGAGTGCAGGTAATGCTGCTGCTGAAGCTCAGGATGAGGCTAAACCTGAGGTGACCCCGGAGAGTGCAGGTGATGATATGGAACAGGACAAGTAGATATTTAAGATACGTTTGTAGTTCTAGCTATATCGAATAATAAACCATACTCCACTCTTGAAACAATAAAAAAACGCCATATATGCAAACCCATCTACTTCCCCGCCGACTTCATCATATCCAACAACCCCAGCCCGCCCTGCTTTCCCTCTCTCTCCGCCTTCGCCTTAGCCAGCATCATATGCAGCGAATTCTGCTTCCGCATTTTCTGCCTCTTCTTCCCCGAGGAGCCCGTCGCTACCTTGTCGGCTGCGGACGGGGCGGTTTGTAATGGTGTTCTTGGTGAGCTGGCGGTTGAGACCTGCGAGGAGGAGGAGGAGGAGGAGGAGAGGGGGTGTGGTCTGGAGGGGGTGGAGGATGCAGGTGGGATGAGGGAGGGGAGGGGGGTTGATGGTTGGGTTTTGGGGGGGTCTGTGGATGTGAAGCGGGTGACTCGTTCGCAGGACAGACAGATGTAGCAGAGGATCTTGCCTTGGCTGAGAGGCTTCGTGGAGTCGTTGTTGTTGTTGTTGCTGTTGTTGTTGCTGCTGCTCTCACTCGACCTCTGTTCCTGATCCATCTTCTTCAACCTCATCCTCTCCCTCCGATCCACCCTCTTCCTCCCCCCTCCCCTCCCCCCTCCCTCCTCCTCCTCCTGGCAACCCCCTTCCCATCAAGCACCACCACTTTCAAATTATACCCCGGCACCCACACCGCATGACACCCCGCGCACGCCATCCGCGCAAGCTGCACCGGCAGCACAACCCCTTCCTCCGCGGCCGTCTCCACGAATCTTTGGTAGATGTGCGCCGCCAGCGCGGGAGACGTGCGCGCGAGCGAGTGCGCGGCAGATTGCAGGTGCACGAGGGTGTGCATCGTGTCGCTTGACTGTGCCATTGCTGCTGTGGTGTAGGAGGTGAGAGCGAGTGCTCGTGAGTAAGAAATATTTTAGAGTTTGGACGTCTGATATTCAGTCATTTGCATATTCTTTTCTTATTGTTTAATAACTAACAATCTACAGTCTACATGAATGTGCGTCCACGTTCAAAACCCGAGATCCACAAAAGTAATAGGAAAAACGGGTTCTGCCGCAGACAAGCTGGCCGCCATAATGGCAAAGCAGGTATGTAAGTACCTGCAAAGCCGGCAACCACCAGAATCAATATTCGGGAGTCGTTTACCACTGATCGCACCTAGAGAGGTCGTACGCGTGGAGATAAATTCCCAGGATTACTGCTTATAAGAGTCAGATCGATACTGCATGAGGTATCCTTAGATTCTTTGAGAATCCCTTGGCATAGGCTGCATGCTGTAGACGAAGATCCGGACTAGAATAGAATGACTGGAAGTGAACTAGAATGATTGAATGAAAGCATTTTCCCAAATAAAATATACAAACATGAGAATTATAAATGACAAATTTTATTACATCCCAGGCTATTGCATTTTCGTTTTCTTTTTTTGTGTAAACACCTCGTCATACTGCCGCGACTCTAAGCCTTGCCGCTAGCCTTTCTGGTAAGAAGAGCCTCGCGGTCCTTGTCGAGCTTCAACTTGGTGATCACAACCTTGGACGGGTGGACCGAGACCGGGGCTGACGAACCGTCGACCTTGTCCTTGGTCAACTTCTCGACCTGGATGATGTACTTCAAACGGTAGACCGAGGTGACCTTGCCCTCCTTGCCCTTGTATGATCCCCGAACGACGGAGATCTCATCGTCCTGACGGATGGGAATCGATCGGACCTAGGAAATCGTCAATACCTGTCCTGCTGTTGAATCTCGCTCCGCTCTTCTTATACGGTCCATCCTTCACTTCGATCCATTCAGAATCACTAACCTTGTACTTCTCTCTCAGCTCCTTCGACAACGGGGCCGACATTATAGTTCTCTTGACCGACGAGGGAGCGGCGAAGTGCGCCTTGCGCGACTTGCTGCGGGAGGAAGAAACGTCTGTTCAAACAACATTAGCCATCCATATTCACCACATCACCACCGTCCAAACAGCACGTCCAGAGCAGAAACAGCCGATAATAACGATAGCCAAACAACATCAGCAACCTCAACAACATACCCTTGGAAACCTTCATTGTGTCTGTGTATTATTTGGCTGAGTTGCTGAGATTTCACTAAACTAAGGATCTCTGGGCTTTCGAACTCTCACCAAACCTCGACCTCGCCCGCAGCAGAGGTTGGTGTCGCCTGCGGCTCTCTGGTTTAGCAGTCACGCAGTTGTTATAACCCTACACTCAACCCTACATGCTGCTGTAAGTAATGAGTCAGCGTGCACGTGACTTTGAACTCTGCTGTGAGGAGTTTAGGTTTCGGCTCACCTCCCAGCCAGGGCCCGGCAGCGGGTTAGGACAACTCCATTGTTCTTCGTGTGGATTATTTTTGCTGGTTGCTGTGTTCTTGCTGGTTGCGATGTATGGAGGCGTAGTCTAGTCAGGTAGTCTTGATAAGTAATAGTATGCTATAAGTAGATAGTATGAAACAGTACTGCAGAACTATGACGATGCATAGATCCAGGGCGTAGACACATAGACCAAAAAGCTGTTCAAGACTCTACACCTGTAGCCCGTAAATCAACAGGCCGCCATCTTAAATCTCAGAAACCCGCATCAAACCAGCAGTAGAGAAAGAAAAATGACGAAGCATTAAAGCATGAACATACAGAACATCAAATAAACTATATATTATGTTCATGTATACAGATGCTCGTTTTGGGCGTCTCAGGCCGCTTCGAAATCCTGAGCTCGCGTATTTCAGACCGCCCACTTTCCTCCTCCCGCTCTCCCTCTCTTCCTCCCCATCATCAGTCCCCCAGTCTTCCCCAGCTTCCCCCAGCCTTCCCCAGTCTTCCAGCCTACAGCTTCCTATCCAACAGCCTTCAAACAGCTTCTACAATCCCCACAGATCATCCACATACCCCCAGAACACAGCCAAGATGTCTATGCCCAGCTACATGCGCCCGACCAAGGCCTCCGCCGCCAAGCAGGTCGACCCTGCTTCCCTCCCCATGAACCAGCCCAAGTCCAACCCTGTGAGTTCCCACATCTTCTCGATCAAAGTTATATTCAGTTCAAAGCTAACAGAGCACAGTTCTACGTTAGCAAATACCCCCGCCCTACCGCCCGCAAGGCCACCCCACAGTCCACCACCACCACCACCACCACCACCACAGTCAAGGTCAACAGACCTCCCCGCTCAGCCAATGTGCTTGAGCATCTCCAGGAACAGACCTCATCGTCTGCTGCCAAGATCACCGAGAAGTTCGAGTCCACCGCGCTTCCTGTAAGTTCAAATCCGCCCGTCATTACTCTGATCAGCCAACTAACAGCAGCAACAGTACTTCTACACCGGAGTCCAGCCCTTCGTCTTGCTTCCCCCTCGTTTCCAGAACGTCCAAGGAAAACGCACTATCACAGTCACCAGAAAGGCAGTTATCCCCGCTGAGATCATCCTCAGCGAGTCTGTCTTCGAGCTCGAGACCGAGCCCAAGATCCCCAGCACTCCCTCACTTTCATCCGACTGCGGCTCCAACCTCACTGTCTTCTCTGAGACTGATCTAGATGGATCTTTCGAGCTCTACCCCGTCGATACGCGACCCGTCGCAGAGACTCTCGACGCCTCGCTGTCGTTCGGTGAGATCTCTGAGTCGTCCGTCGCGCCTGAGTGCCCTGCTGAGAAGGTCTCTGCGTCGAAAGAGGCCTCCGTCGTCAGCAGCAGTTCTCTTCGCGGATCCCCCGTCCTTCTTCAGCTCGGATCCACTGCCTTCGAACTCTCCATCTCCTCGCCGTCCTTCCCTGTTCCCTGGGACGCGCCTGAGATTGCAGCGGTCCGCGCCTCGTTCAGGCTGCCTCCCGCCGCGGACGACACTTCGTCACAAACTCCTCAGGACGACAGCCCGTCCGCCAAACTGGCGACCATCACGCTCGAGATCGACGTCTCGAACCCGGACTGTCTGTCCACCACTGCTGCTGCTGCTACTGCTTCAAGCCCCTGCTCCTCAGCTGCGGCAAGCGTCGAGTCGACGCCCCGCAAGAGCTGCGCGTCGAGCCCATCTCCCACGCAGCTCAAGCTAGAGGACGACAGCAGCAAGAGTCCTATATTTTTACACGAAGAGTGCTATCCTGAGTCTTGCGACATTGCGGATATTATTGAGGGCGCACTTGCTCGCAGACGTTTGTCGTACTCGCTCTCGCCCTCGCCGTCTCTGCCGGCTATTGAGGAAGAAGACCGCGAGGCACCGTTGCAAGACGCAACTAACACGGCCGCGCAGCACTCTTTGGAGCCTATCCTCAAGGCTTCTGAGGATGTGACCTCTGATTTGGCGTCAGAGGTGTCGTCGGCTGAAGACAGAGCTACACCATCTCCGTCTGGCGTGCAAGACGGGATTCTGCAGTTCATGCTAGCGACGCAGCGGCCTCGCGCGAAGGTCGCTGCTGTGAAATTCGCGCAGCCGGTAGTCGAGGAGTGGGTTGATTGCTCGGATGAAGGCGAAGATCACGACGTGCTAGCGCCTCTCGTCTCTGACAACGGCAACGATCCTACTTCAGAGGACGAGGCAGTCGCGCGCGGTTGCGAGGAGCGTAACGCGCTGCTGCCGAAGTATCTCCTTGCAGACAATCCGATCGAGGCAAGGAGAAGTGCTCCCCCGCCGCCGCCGGCGATTAGAAGAGCAGTCGTCAAGCCAGCGCTGAAAGGCATTCTCAAGAAACGCTACGATATATACTTTCCAAAGAGTGTCTTCCAGCAACCCCCTGACGACCACTACGACGACATGGACGAGTACTACGAGGACTCGGAGTCCGAAACTTTCTGATGCTGGCCGCTGTTTCCTGTTCCTCTTTTCTGTTATTATATCCTTTACTCTATATCGAAAACCTCAAAAAAAGGTGAAAATACCAAAATTCGCAAAAAAAAAGATTTGCTTTTTTGTTCTTTGTTCTGCTTTATTCTGCTTGTTCTGCTTGTTCTGCTTTGTTCTGCTGGTTATCATACCTCTGCTTCTGAAAAACTATTTCAAAAAAAGAAAAAAAAAGATTGAAAATATCAAAATGTTGGAAAAAAAAGGTTTGCTTTTTATGTGTTTTGTTCTTGTTTGTTTGTTGTTAGTGTCTTGAGTAATACCAAGTTTGTTATTCTGTTCTGTAAAACTGAGAAATGGCTGTAGAGTGTCGTTTGTATACCGCGGTTACTGTTTTTTTTGGTTACTATTAAATACTATGGAGGACGGGCGGGAGGAAACTGCTGGCGGAGCGTGGGAAAGGAAGAAGTTGTTGTTGCGGAGGTTTATTGTTTAGAGAGGGTTCTCTGTCTTTCGGACTGGGAAATGGTTGTAGGGTGTCGTTTTCATACCGTAGTTGCTGTAGCTACTCTTGACTGCTAAATTGAAGTGAGGACGGACCAGAGGAAATTGCTGATGGATCTTCTGGTTGCGGGGGTTACTGTTTGCAGGGGGTTCTGATTCAAAAGTGTAGTTGTGGTTTGCTTGATGAGTTGAAGGAGGAGTGCGGACACTTCAAGATGTCAGCCCAACCGTCTACTCTTCTTCCACTCAAATAAATCCCGTCCTTCTCCAGATCATCTAAACTACTTCAAATCTCATATAAAATATAAAAACCAGTGTCAAATCAACCATAAAAATCGTTAATGTCGCTCGCCGCAAGACAAACCCGCAACCCCGAAAAACAGACTTTTAGAGAACCCACCAAAACTTCCCAACCACCGCATCTTCCATCATCATCACGATAATCGATTCCTTCTTCTTCCTATCCTTACTTTACAATCCACCCAGTTTTTCTGCAGGTGTTTGTGTAAGGAATTTGTGGTGATTGAAAGGAAAAAGAGGATATTTAGTTGAAGAAAAGGAAGGAAGGAATTTAATATACAACGAGAATGGCATCGCGACGAACTCAGGTGTTGGCAACATACCGGAACCTCCTCCGTTCCGCCCGAATCGCATTCGACCGTACTTCCCCCCCCTTCCTCCCCCCTTCTCTTCTTTTCTCTCTAACTAACACTGCTTTCTTTGTGCACACACAGAGGACCTCCGCATGCGAACAGCAGCGCACGCGCAAATGCGCGCACAAATGGACCTCGGCCGTCGCGAGCTCGGCGATTCGCCGGCGGACTTTGACGAGATTGATAAGAGGCTTGAGCATGCTGCGGGGGTGTGTTTGATTTTGCGGAGTAATATCGCGCAGGGCGTGCTGGAGAAGGATGCGCAGGGAAATCCGGTGCAGAAGAATGAGGAGGAGAGGGAGAGGAAGGTTGGGACGGTTGAGTTGGAGGGGGGGGAGGGGAGTGCTACTACAGAGGAGGGTGTTTTCAGTGAGTCCTCTTTTTTATTCTTCTTCTGTTTTATGACGATAGCTGACAAGTGCAGAACTACGGCTACACAAATACTCCGAGCTAGGCGACAACGAAGCCGTGAAAGGCGGCAAAACCACCCTCTCCGGTCGCGGCAAGCGGATAAACTGGCAACAGCCGTCTAGCCAGTGATCTGTGATCTGCTCGCTGTCACATCTCTACTTTTTTTTTTTTTTTTTTTTTGGTGTATTGTAAATAGGATGAAGGATGAGGGTATTGGTATATAGCTATGTCGTGAATTTATTGCGAAGTTCATTATGACTACAGATACACTCAGCACCACCAGACTATGATAAAACCCCTTCCGACACCCGACTACATCCACCACCAGACAAATAACAACAAAAGCAGAGACCAGCCAGAGCTCATGAATGCAACTTACTCCCACCGAAAATGCATCAAACGAATAACTACGAGACAACAAGCTAGCGAGGACATAAACCAAGATAGATATACCCCTCACAAATGCAATTTTACATAATCTCTGAATGCATCATAAATCCTGCGCGAGAAGGGCAGACGCGAACTCGCTGTGGGCTCGGATCTCGGGGCCGAACTTGTAGAAAACGACGGTGACCGGCGCGAGAAAGAGCGCGACAAAGGCCCAGAGGGAAGTTGCCCAGTGCACGCCCATGTGGTGGTACACTAATAACTCAGTCAGTTTAGAAGCAGAGAAAAGAGCAGAGAGAAGAGTAAGGGAGACATACTCGCAGGAGCGAACAGCGGAAAACTGGCAGCGATCAGACTGCGCGTGACGCTCATGATGCCGTGGGCGCTTGCGGCGTAGATCTTGTAGCAATCGGTGACGTAGTTGAGGAAGCCGATAAACAGCGACGTGAACCCGACGCCAAAGAAAATCCCGCCGAGCATGACGACTTCGTCTGGTACGCTGGGGTACGATGTCCATGCGAGCCAGAAGAGACCGACGGGGATGAACCAGCCGGAGAACATGGTGATGAATAGACGGTCTTGTTCGAGCGTGACCTGCACTTTGTTTTTGCGGAGTTTTTGGATGTGGATGTCGTATAGGTAGTGCGCTATTGTCACGCAGATTGCGCCGAGGCCGACTGGGATTGTTAGTGTCGATGGCAGGAGAAGTAGACGAACGACTTACTTGGTAGCAGCATAAGACCACCCTTTCCGGGGCTCAGGCCTCTGAGTTCTTGAAAGATGATAGGGTAGGCTAAGAAAAACATGTACAGCAAACCATACATCATACCAATATAAACGCAGATAGCAGCGACGATAGGTTCTTTATACAGCATGATGACAGGCCGCAGCAAGACATGCACGACAAAGCTCTTGAAATCCTTATCCTCCAACTCATAAGCCGAGACCACGTTCTGTCCCTGACTGCGCAGCTTTTTCGCCCGCTTCTGCAACAACACAGGCCTGAACGTCTCTGGGACAGAAAAGACAAGGATGGCGAGCACGCAGCCGGCGAAGATGGCGTTGACCCAGAACGCAAAGCGCCAGCCCATGTGCGAGGCCGCGATGAAGCCCGAGATGAAGGGAGCGGAGAGCGCGCCCATGATTGTCGAGCCGCAAAATAGAGCAACGGCGCGGCCGCGCTTGATGGGGTCGGCGTAGATGTCGGCGAAGACGCCGCCGGAGACGGCGATCGGACAGGTTGCAAAGAGACCTTGCAGGAAGCGGAAGGCGAGCAGGCTGCCGATGTTTGGCGCGACGGGGCACGCGACGGAGAAGATAAAGTAGAAAGTAAAAGCAGCAACAAGAACAGGACGGCGGCCGATGTGCTCCGACATTGGCGCGTAGCAGAGCGGGCCGAGGACGTAGCCTACCATGTAGAGCGAGACGAGGAGGCCGGTCATGATGGAGGCCACGCCCCATTGCTCGCGGATTGCGCGCGAGAGACCGGAGGTGATGGAGGAGGCAAAGGTTGAGTTGAGCAGCGAGAGGATGATGGTGACGGTGATGAGGTTCTTGCGGAAGGGCGAGAGGTTGCGCGGGTCCTCTGGGTCGCCTTCTTCAAAGTCAATGAGCGTCGGCGCATTCTCCTCGTCTGCGTTCGCGCGGCCGGAGGACGACGCCGAGTCTTTCTCAGAGAGCGAGTGAGTGTCTTTTTCATCGACTTTAGACACCACACGAGCAGAGCGCTGGGAGTGGTGGGTGGGGACTTTTACGAGGCGCTCGCCGTCGCGGGAGATGTAGCGGTGGAGGAGGAGTTCGGGGTCGGTTGAGGATCCGGCGACGAGTTCTATTTCGACTTTTGACTGCAGCTCGTCGCCGATGGGGTCGTGGACCGCTACCATGGCGAGTAGAGATAGTGAATTGAGTAGAGAAGGAGTAGTAGAAGAAATAGTGGTTGTAGATAGCTGTAGATAGTAGCAGGCAGAGTAAGCAGAGCTCCATTGTCTGCGCGGCTTTTCCGAGATTCCGTTTCGGGCCTCAAAACCTAATTCTGCGCCGCACTGCGGGGCTCCAGCAAAAATTAACTATTCCGCTAACAAACACTTAATTAAATCATCATTTCGCCGGACTCTCGGCGACAACGCGGCCGCCGACGCAGACCGAACCGCCGACGCCCCACCATCGCCAGCTGCCGTCGAGCAACCCGACGGATTCGCCTGGGATCAGACCGGATGTGCGTGAGTTGGATGGGAGCGCGATCGCGGCGACGCGCGCGGGGGTGTCGGCCCAGAAGATCACGGCTGCGCGCTCGTGGCGGCCGGCGTAGACGAGCGTTGCGTCGCTGCCTGCGCAGAGATCGTCTGCTGCGCGGCGGTCGAGCTCGAGAAGGACGGATTGTAGACGTGTAGGTGGTCGTGGCTGCTGTTGGATGATTCGCGCACCGCGGGCGATGTAGGGCTTCCATAGTAGTTTCGGGGCTCTGAGGAGATTAGGCGGTCGCGCGGTGAGTTCGACTCTTACCTTCACCGGCTCCAGCGCGTCTACCGCAGCGCAACTCGCCCGCTGCGACGACAGGATCTGTTTGATCTTGACCTGCGCGAACAGCTCCCCCCGTGAGCCCGCGCTGCACGGCCCAAGCAGGTAGCTCTGGTTGACTTGCAAGCACCCCGCGTGCCCAAACAGCTCAATCTCATACCCCCCGCGCGCCGCTCTCCTCCACGATCTCTGCACGTTCGAGGTCACGTAAAACAAAGGCAAACAAGTAGTCTCACACATCCGAACCTCATTCCTCAACGACCACCTCTCCAGCCTCGTCGTCGTCGTCGTCGTCGTCGTCGTCGTCGTCGGTCTAGCAGCAGCCCTACCCTCCTCCTTCGCCGCCAAACTGCGCGTCCCTGTATCCCGCACCTTCATCCCCTGCCTCTGTCCCCGCAAGATCTGCATCCGACGCGCCACCCACCGCCGCGTAAAACCGTACAGAAACTCATGCAGCTCCTCAACCTTCTCGAGCTCCACCACCGCCGTCAGCCGTCGCGGCGCGTCGGCGCTGCTGCTGCTGCTGCTGCGCTGCGAGTGCCATGCCATCTCCGCGAGATCGCGCACGCGCGCAAGCTTCCGTCGCGACTCGAAGCTGAAGCTGATCCCAGACTTTCGACCACCCCCGCGCGCATCAACCACTACCGCAGTCTTGACCCCGACCCCCCGCGTCAGCCGAAATACCTTCTCGAGCCTACTCTCCACCCGCTTCTCCTCCAGCGCACACGGCACCCTCACGAGCACAAGCGCCGGATTCCACAGCCTGATTGCAGAAAGCACGCCCGCTGTGCCTGCGGACGCCAGCGCGCATGAAACGGCGTGCACGTCTGTCTCGGTTTCAGAGCTGTAGAGCATAGTCCGGTAACTCCAGCTCGCGACGCATTCTCTCGCAGAGGTGCGGTGGATCTGCGGTGCCTTCGAAGGAGCAGTGCACAGATCGCTCTTTTCGCACTCGCTGTACGCAGGCGCGGGGGTTGAGGGTGCATACTCCAACGACGCGGAGGAGATCGCAGAAAGGAACCGTTCGTGTGGCATTGGCGAGCTGTAAAGTATCGGGATGCTCGTCATCGGGATACGCAGATACGACGCCGTATCGACAATCAACACCGTCAATCTCTCGCGACGGAGACGTGTGTTCTGCATACCGACCATGTTCACTAAACAGACGGATTGGTGATGAACAAGTTGCAGGCGCTGCGCTGGTGAAGCTGTGGGCAGGGCGGACAGGATATTTGCTCAAAAGGGCCTCGCGTGGCATGCCATGCGCTGTCTCTTGTCGCTAGCCACGGAGGTCTTTGAAGATCCTGTATGGTCCCTTTCGACTCTGTTCCTTCCAGAGCGCGACGATCTATAATATAGATAATGTCCTGCAAAAGAGAAAAGCAGCAGCTTGCATCCAAACGACAGGCAATCGTCCTGACGATGACCACCCCGACCATCAATCAACGTCATTCCGCGCCACATCCCTCATCTCTCACTCATCAACCCTCTTTCCCAACATGACTTCAGATCCCCCGCAGATCTCTACCGCAGTCGTCGGCCGCGCATCCTCCTGTCATCTCGTTGTCTTGCGCACTGAGCCGAGACACCTTCCGTTAAATCCCGCGATGATCTGCTTTTCTCCCAGTGACGTCATCGGCCTGCTCTCCATCATCCATCCATCAATACTAGTTAGTTAGTTGTTGGTTATAATTGATTATGATTATATAATTTATACAGAAACTTCTATAACAAGTCCGTAGTCGCAATCGTAGCAAACAAAAACAACAAGTATGTATAAAAACCAGCAGACACTCACGATAAGCACGCGCGCAAGCACATAAGCACGCACGCACGCACAAAAAAAAAGACAAAAACAAAAACAAAAAAAGCGATACAACCGACACCGACACCGACACCGACCGACACCGAACAAATAGAACAGCCAATAAAATACGTAACTGTCGGGCTTTTAACATCTACATCTGCGTGTGATGTATGCAAGCCGTGAGAATACTAAACTGAGAAGAGAGATAGGAGGAGGAGGAATGTAGAAGCACAAGAGGTTGCACATGCTGATAACAATACAGCAACAACACAACCCCGCCAAAAACAACAATATACATTCAAACGCAGCCATAAGTTAAAGCAGGAGCCTCACGCCCTCGCGCCCCCGCCAAACCCGCCAAACTGCTGATCGGCCTCGACGCAGTGCCCGCCATGACTACCTGCCTGATCGATCGCAAAACTGACAAAACTGGCGTCGACAATCATCGACAGATTCCCCTCGGTCGCACCAAGCACGACCCAGCCGATCGCGCCGCCCATCAGACCGACGACGTACCCGTACAGACTTCCTCCGTTCACGTCCTGCGCCGCGTGCACCCATGCGCCGAACCCGAGCGCGAGAGCGGTCAGCGCGCGCGCGGAGGAGAGAAGCATTTTGGACAGGCGGTAGGCGGTCCAGGAGTCGTCGAACGACGAGTTCGGGCCGAGGTCGATGAAGCGCAGGTTCGAGATCCCGCGCGACGAGGGCACGAGCGGCTGGATCGTGATGGCGGAGTATGACAGCGTCAGCGGGTTCACGAGCGCGTTCACAGGGCCGGGGATCAGGTTAGCGCAAAAGCGGGCAACGAGGGAGAAAACGCGTCGAGGGAGTGCAAGCACGGGAAGGCGGATTAGAAGCGCGAGGCAGGATGCGAAGCAGATCGTTCCGGAAAAGGCAGTGCAGGAGCGGGTTAGCGCTGCTGAGAGCACGTCGGTGGATGGCAGGCGAGGAAGCTCGTTGCGGTGGAAGTACCACTGCGACACGGCTATTGAAGTGCACGCCCTACAAAAAGTTAGTATAATCATCAATCAACAGAAGAAAAATAAGAATGACCCACCTCTGAATCCCAGAAAACACCCCCCAAGTCCAGAGATACATCAAGATATACCACGCCCCCAAAGCCCACGTATTCTGATCGAGGATCCACATAAACGTTCCCGAGCTCCCGACCACCACCCTTCCCTTCAAAAACACGCGCGCAAACATCGCAAACCATAACCACGTAAAGGCCGTGAACGAGGCAAGAATGCCGAGGCTCAGCACGACTAGGATCTGGTTCTCGGCCAGGATCTTGCACGCGAGCTGCACGATCCCGATCGCGCGACCCAACGCGTTGCGCGAGCGGATCGCGAACCAGACCCAGAGCGCGCCCGTGATGGCAGGCACGAGACTTGTCCACCGCATGGCGCGGTCCTGCACAGAGTTGCCGCCCCAGCTGTCGCGGTAGGACATGATGAGCGGGTACATTGTCAACCCGAGCAGGCAGAACGGGATCGAGATGATCAAGAGCATGAGCAGCGGTCGCACGCACTTCTTCAGCAAGATGAACCAGACCGCGGACACGCACACTGCGAGCACGGTGTCAAACGCCAGGATCGAGACCGAGCCGCCGATGACGGTGTAGATGCTGTCCGTCAGCTTGATCGGCTTTGTCACTTCGGTCTCAAGCCAGACCGTGAACGAGGTCGCAAACAGGCAGCACATCGAGATCAGATACAGCTTGAACCACATCCCATCCTGCGAGTAAATCACTGGCTGGAGGTCGACCAGGCTCGGGGGGATGTATCCCTCACTGATAACGCGCCCGGTCGACTGCTGAGGCATGAAATCGCGCGGAATCGCATGTTGAAAGCTATTCTGAGCTGCGTCGTCCGCCGGATCAGCAACATCGCGGGGGATAGTAATGTCGCCAGGGAACGCTCCCGGAAACTCCGCATCGGCATGCCCAATAGCCTCAAAGTCCGCAACACCCGGCTGCTTCGATCGCGCAAGCACATCCTCGTACTCGTCGTTCTCCGCATATCGAAACTGGCGCGCGTTGGCCGCGTTCATGGTCGCGGCGGTCATGTTGCGCGGATACGGGTTCTCCTTAAACCGCAGCCGCGGTGGCGGAGGCGAATACTGCCTCGCTCGCGACATCACGCTGTCCAAGCCCACGCTCTCCATCGAATTCCGCGACGACGACAGCACGTCGGATTTGCTTGCGGTGTTATCGTCCTCGGTCTCGGCCTCATCGTGCTGCTGTGGCCGCCGCAGGTGTCGATCACTGGCCTGCAAATGATCGCGTGCCTCGTCTTCCTCCTCTTCTTCTTCCAACTTCCAGCTGCTTTTGATCGCAGAGTCGGCGCCGTACAAATGGCCGGTATATGTGCCAGCCATATGATCGTCGCCTCCGCCTTCGTTGGTATCGTCGAACGCGCCGTTCAGCGTCAGCCGGCTATTTGCAAGCATGTTGTTTCCCGTGTTTGTCGCGCCAATGATACTACTGCTCCCGTTGACCGACTGCGCTGTAGGAGCGTGTCTAGTGAAAAAACTGCGCCGGCCGAGTAATAGCCGGCTCGGATTCAAGCTCTGGCTGTGCTGCACACTCGCGGCCGGCTGCTGATCGTCGTTACTCCCCATCGTGCGCGCGTCATCCTCATCCTCGTCTTCCTCGCGCAGTTCGTTCCTGTGCGCGACGCCCGCCCGCGGACCACCACCACCGCCAGCAACCCAGTGCCGCCGCGGCGAGTACAACGATCGCGGGTTGTCCTCCGACTCAGCGAGGGTCTCGGTCGCGGAGTAAAACAGCCGCGAGGCGGTCGCCGACGCCGAAGCGGGCTGCGGCGGAGCGTGCCGGGCGGGCGCGTGCGGTTTGTAGACGTGCGTCCGCGCGACTGACGGCACGGCCGAGGCCGGGACTGCGGAGGCAGCGGGGGGCGAGGGCGCGGAGGGGTCGGTCGCGCTCCGCGGTTGGGATGTTGTCAGGAACTTGGAAGCGTCTGGATGGATGATGCGCCGTTAGCTGAGTCACACGCCAGGACTGCGTGGTTGTCGCGGGGCAGAATAGAGAAGATACGTACACTCTGAAAACATGACCGGTCGGGCTCGCCAATAGCATCTGAATACGAATAAAAACTCAGACGACGGTGGAGGCCTGCGATTAGGATGGCAGATGTTATGGCGCAAGAGCAGTGCTGGCGGAGAGTCACGGCGGCGTTGGGAGTAATCATGTGACTACGCAACCGCACAGCGACGTTGCTGTTATGCTTACACTCAAAGAGGAAATAAGAAGACTGCTTTTGATTGATGAATACCAGATACATCGACATTTCAGAACTTTTGCTCTATCTCAAACAAAAAGACATTGTCTACTGACAGACACTGCAACAAAAGCACAGACAATACATACATAAAAAGACAATGCAATGAAACGATATTAGGAAAAGAAAAACCAGAACTGAGCCCAAACATGCTCCGCAATAACCATCCATGACAGTCGCAGATTTCTTTTTTTCTTCTTTTGAATAACACACACACTAACGTAACTCCCAACCTTTTAGAACAGTATAAAACATTACAAATAGACATGGTAAATAAGACGTGTAACAGCAGCCAAGATGACAACAATTTGACGTAAGATTAGAGAAGGTCGAAGAACTTCTGTTTTATTTTCGTTTTTTGCATTTAGGCGGCGATGGCCTCAGCAATCTCCGAGCTCTGGTCAGCGTGGAACTGGCGGATGATGGAGTCGACGTCGTCGATGTTGAGAGGACGGATGTCTCCGAGAGCCTTGATCTTGGCAGTGACCTCCTTGCACTGGGCGTCAGTGAGGTTGAGGTTCAACTGGTCGACGCGCGACTTGATCGCGTTCCATCCGGTGAGACGGTTGGCAAAGTGGATGTAGCGGGTGAGGCCAAAGTCGGAGGGGTCGAGGATCTCGTAGGTGGAGGGGTTGGCGAGGATGGCCTTGGCGTGGATGCCGGCCTTGTGGGTGAAGGCGCAGAAACCGGTGATGGGGTTGTTGAAGGGGATGTTGATCTCGACGAGGTCGGCGACGAGGTTCTCGAGGTCGCGGAGCTTGTGCAGCTTGTACTTGGAGAGCACGTAGTCGCGGTCGGCAGCAATCATGCGGGCCATGAGACCACCGAGCGAGGTGATTCCGTTCCGCTCACCGATTCCGAGGACGGAGACGTCGATGAAGGTGGCACCGGCCTCGAGGGCGGTGTAGGCGTTGGCGATGGCGCAGCCGGTGTCGTTGTGGAAGTGGCACTCGATCTCGCACGAGACGACGGATCGGAGGGTGCGGACGAGGTCGTAGACCTGGCGCGGGTTGGCGCAGCCGACGGTGTCGGCGATTCCGACACGGTTGACACCGATCTTGTCGACGGTGCGGTAGATGTTGAGGAGGTCGACGAGGTCGGAGCGGAAGGAGTCCTCTGACGAGAAGCGGATCTCGATGCCGTGAGACTTGACGAACTCGATGACCTCGATGGCGGACTTTGCGATGTAGTTCATGTCCTTGCCGTGGGAGTACTCGCGGAGGAACTGCGAGGTGCCGATGACGACATCAACACCGTCGACACCGGTCTGGACGGCGATGCGGGCGTCGTCCATGTGGCATCGGATGTGGGTGAGGATCTTGGCCTTGAGGCCGAGCTTGCAGATGGCCTCGCAGTCGAGCCTGCTCTGCTCTGAGGCGGCCGGGGAGGTGAGCTCGATGTAGTCGACGCCGAAGTCGTCGAGGGCCTTGGCGATGGCGATCTTCTTCTCGGTGTCGAAGAAGGCGTTGGCGAACTGCTCGCCCTCACGGAGGGTGGACTCGATGAGCTTGAAGCGGGAGACGTTTGAGAGGAAGTCGGAGGGATTGGGTCCGTAGGGGTTGGACTTGACCTGCTCGGGCTTGACAGCCTCGGCGACTTTTTCGAAAGCGTCTGGGGGAGTTAGCGACATATTCAAGAGAGCAGAAGAAGGAGAAGAAGGAGACGACGATGCATACCAGTGGTAGATGGTGGCATTGCGTGTGTATGTGTATCTGGCGAGAAGCAGAGGCAGGTGGAGTGGTGGTGAAGGGGTGAAGAAAAAAAGCGCAGAGGCGGGCAGCGAGCAGATTTATCGCCCGGCTGATTACTCACAAAGAAAGAAAAAATTTTTGGGCGGAGGGCCCTTGCCCTGGATTGGACTGACTAAGCCAGAAGAAGAACCCGAACCCCGCTTTCTCCTCAGGCGGGTGCCCGATTGGGTAATTAGTGCAGGCGCCTGAGCCTACGCCCACGCACGGCAAAACCGCTGTGGAGGAGCCGCCACCGGAGAAGGGCGAGGTGTTGTTGTTGAGTGTTGAGTGTTGTGTAGTTGTGTTTATTATTCCATATTCTGTATTATATTCACTAATACTATCTACATTATCTAGAATACTGCAATCTGCTCACTCACCTCTCTGGATCTGAATCTAGATAGCAGATAAGCAGAGCACAAACCTGCCGCACTTAAAACCTCAAACCCTACTCAAACTATACTCCAGGCGCGCCTCCACCAAGTGATCCTCGGACGCGCTGCGCATCACCACCGGCATCTACACCGCACTCAGCTTCGATGCCGCCAGACGCTCAAACGCACTCAGTTGCGTCCGACGTCAATCCCTCGGCGAGCAGGGTGTCTGACGCGTCAGATCAGATACTGCCGATCGCCGCGCGTGCTCTCAAGGCTCTTGGTCAGTCCGCCGCAGTCGCTGATGAAGACTGTGAGCAGACGCAGGCCGGGGCCAACGCGCTCACCTGCATCAGCTGTCTGGCGTGGAAACCCACATACGAGTTCACTCTCGACGATGATCCCAAACTGTACAGATCGTGCAGTCGCTGTCGGCTGATGCAGTTAAGAGAAAGTTGCTCCTCATCTTGCTCTAACTCTTATCGTCATTCTAACATCTCCCAGCTCAACCAACTCGAACTCATCTCCACCTCCAACCCCTCATCCACTCCCACCGAAAAAGTCGACTGGACCCCAAGAATCACGCGTCCCAGATTCGACGGCGTGCAATCCTACTCCGACTCAGACTCTCTCAGCAAAGCCATCCGCGACGACCTTCGCGCTGGCGACTTTGAAAATAACGCCAAACTATTCGACTTCTCCTACTTCCTCACCAGCGACTTCCGTCTTCCCAACCGCCTGCGCATCAATGATCTGCGCCAAAGCAATGGCAATTCTGCCGCTGTCAATGAACGACTGGTCCAGCTTATATACATCACCGCCAACATCGTCTTTACGCGTCACTCCCAAACCCGATCCGCAAAGGGCCTCATCAGATGTCGCTATACCTGTACGCAAAAGGACGAAAGCGGCAACCGCAATTCGCAAAAAAAATCAAAGAAACTAAACAGATGTATGCACACCTCTTCCTCTATCCTTCCAATCTGATCATCTAACATCGCAATAGCCCAGCGCGAACTATTCCCCTGCGACGGCTCACTCGTCATCGCAGAGCTACAAGACGGCTCGATTCGCCTCACGCTCAAGCATCGCTTCATCCACACGCCTGCTGAGACTTCTCGCATCAAGCGAAAGCTTGCTTCCATGACCGATTAACGACCTTTTCTTTTTGTCTTCATTTTTGCTTTTCTGTACGGAGTTATTGAGTGTATTTATAGGAATAAAATGCGTCTGCTTTTTAAACATATCATATCATATTGGCAAAAAATAAATTGCACTATCAATTGCAGTAGCAAAAAATAGAAAAAAACAATTGATTCGACCCAGGATCGAACTGGGGACGTTCTGCGTGTTAAGCAGATGCCATAACCGACTAGACCATCGAACCAATAATTATCAAAACATATTTATTCTGACAATGATAAGCTGCTCCTTGTAAGCCGCAGGCCTAGCCCTTGTGAATAGTTTTAGTGTAGTAATAAAAAGATTAATAGTGCTGCAGCAGCTAAAACCACACTTCGGTGCCTGACTAACATTTTTGTAAACAAATAAAAATAAAAAAAATAATCCATCAGAGCTCTGGCGATGACTGACATCTGAAGCGACTACCTGATCCTCGGCAAAAATCGACTCCACTGAATAGCCTCACCTGCTTTGTTGTCATAATAGTCAAGTCGACTGTTTTCCTGACCGGGCAGAGAAGAGGACTATTGAGGTTTGGTTGCAGTCAGGCCTTGCAATCTTGCTGTCTTTGGTACGTGTTGTTGGAGCTGCTGCCTTGTGGTCTGATGAAGTCTAGACGAGGACTGCACTGAGTAGAGCTACCTCGCGACTTTGGACTTTTGTTGGCTAACTCTGTCCTATCTGCGCTCGCTATAGAACACCGTCAGACTTATGATTGCGACTCGCGCGTAACATTCATCCTACATTCATCCAACAGAAGCTGCTCGACTCGACTTACTCTCTGGAGAGGTGAAGATCTGGTGGTGAGAGATCAACGCAGTATTCCACCTGGACGCCTACGGGTACACCCAGCACCGCCCTCCTACATTCAGCACATCAATGACATCCTACCCGTCAATCTTACCAGCTGCCGGCAGCCGCACTCATCACCCGCCGGCAGCGTTCAGGGTAGATCGCCGGCGCCATTCCCGCTCTCATCAGCACCAACCCGAACACAGTCACCACCACAAACACCAGCAGCAGCCAAAACACAACCCTTATGGCCCATCAGTCGAGCTCACGTTCAAATTCCACGACGAGCGAACAACGCCTGACATCGTCGTCATCGACGAGAACGTGCTCCCCGGCGCGCGCGAGGGAGACGTGTGTCAGGTTCTGGGCAAGAGCGGAGAGGTCTTGGAGATGTTTGAGCTGAAGATTCACAGTCCGGAGATTAAAAAGAAGATCTTTTCCGCTGGAAATGTTAGCACTACGTCTGTCTATTCATGAACGACAACCGGCTGACTCGTTTCTAGGGACAAATGTCTGCGCTGGCAGGCTCCAGATTAGCAACCTACCGTGGCTCAAGAATCGTAACCGTGCGCACGGTCGAGCGCAAAGAAGTCGAAGCAGACCTCCTCACATTCTACATCAAAGACACCTACATCACCCGCAGCGACATGTGGCATATCCCCTCCGCGCTCGTCGGCAAGTGCATCACCGAGGGCCAGGCAATTGACTTTCAGCGGTCGTACAAACTCAATATCAACACCATCCACAAAGACGGCCAGAAAGTAAAAGTCGCCCTCGTTGGCGCCGAGACCAGGGCCGCGTTTCGGTCGCAGTCGGTCCGGTATCTGATCTTCCTGCAAATGTCGACCGAGATGTGGTACTTTGACGAGACCGGCGAGAGCTATTTCTCCAAAGTCATCAACTCGTACTTACCCGAGCTCTTTCACCAGTGGCGCGAAGCCGACGCACACCATCTCGTTTCCATCGTCATGTTCACAAGCGTCGACCTGAGCTCGGTATCCGTCAACCTTCCCCACGGCGTCCGCAGCCGGAACGTGCGCGACCACTACCGCGTCGTCGTCGACCGCATGCGCGTCTCGGACTGGACCGAGATCATGATCACCCTGCGCAAGGAGTTTAACGATTTCCAGCGCTCGGTACTCGTGCGCACGGGCGAAGACGGCAAAAGCCATATCTCTGGCTCGATCTGTGCGGCGATTAAGGGAAATATTCTCGAAGCGATCAATTTCGCCGCTACGCAGACATCCCTCGATATGGCGACCGACGACAGCTTGCGGGGAAACCTGCAAACCATCATTGTGTCACCTGGAACAGGCTTGTTTGACGTCGAAGCCGACCTGCTCCATCGTACGACGCAGAATCTCATCATGGCCGGACTCAGCGTGGACTTGGTCTGCCTTACGCGAATGCCGCTCCACGCCGTGCCGCTATTCCGGTACCGCGACGCGTTCAACAATGAAATCCACTGCATGCCGCACTGGATCGACGTCTCGTTCTGGAAGTCGATTTCCTCCGAGAGCAGCAGCAACGCCGTCTGGGTGCCTCGCTGCCGCATCTACGAGATCCAAATGATGGGCGTGATGGAGAACGAGCTCAGCGCGATCAGCGTCGACTATCTCCCCTCGGTGCTCGACAGCGACGTCGAGAAGTTCATGGAAGAGTACGACAGACTTGCGGTCACCGCGCAGACCAGCACGGGAGAAGGATCTCCTGTCGTCGCACGCAGACAGTCTGAAACACTACGCAGCAGCGGCCGACAGTTCAGAGACGATAACCCGCTCTGGACGACGATCTATAACCCATCCAACCCGACCGAAGAGGAAAAAGTGAGCGCGATGCTGCACGGTAACTGGCGACACATTTATCCGCGGAAATCGCTCGGCCGGTCGATAAAATGGAAGTCTGTGATTTCGCCCGCGGCGATGCCGATCACGACCGAGGTGTTTACTTCCCCAGAGGAATTTTATCGCGAATACGCGGTGCAAACGTATGACATCAACGTCCACGTCAACGACACCGGCTCCGAGCGCGACCGGACGACGATGGCCTCTGCCCTGCGCGCGATGGTGGCCTATCGAGTTGGTATGGGTTTTCAGATCGCGGTCGGGTCGATTGTGGAGGCCGTCGAGAGCCAGAGCAGGGTTGATCCTCAGCCGTCGAAAATCACGCAGGGCATCCAAGACAACGACTGCGACGACTTACGGGTCTATCTGTCGACCGGAAACCAGGTGCATCGACTTGCGGTGAAGAGCAACAGCACAATCACAGTGCAGCTCTTCGTTCGCAAGAACCAGATCCCGAGTCTCGACCAGGACGTGATTTACAAACCCTTCATCCAAACCCGCTACGACGACGATTTTTGCCTGCGCAGCATCCGCTTCCCCGGCTCGCGCGCGCACGAGCGCAACTGGAAGGGTCTCGATCAGTACATTGCGGGCGACGACAACGTGTCCGGCGACCCTTCGCGGTTCTACCGCTCGCGGTACGTGCTCATCCCGACGAATTTCCAGACGGTGCGGATGCAGAATCTGCAGCTGCGGCCGGTGGACGATACGGTTGACAATATGAGTCCCGAGGAGATCAGGCTGGATGGGCTGCGGAAGCTCAACGATATGTTTTACAGAGCGCAGTATATGACGCCCGAGGAGCGGAAGCGTGAGCGCGAGCGGAAGAAGAAGGCGATTGTGCCCGAGCTCAAATTCTACACTGGCAGTCTGTCTGCGTTCATCACGCAGCTGGTGCAGAACGCGGGCGAAGACGAGAGCGCGCGGAAGAAGGACTCGATTATCATGAAACCGTCTGAGCGCCTCGACCGGACAGTCAAGGTCCCCGTGATTGCGCAGGAGATGCAGACCGAGCGGGGCGTCAAGTTTGTCGACCGACGCTGGCACTGGAAACTGCATCAGCACTGTTTTGTCGGCTCGGAGTTTGTCGCGTGGTTGCTTGAGAATTTCAAGGATATCGACACGCCTGAGGTGGCGATCGAGTACGGCAACGAGCTGATGGCAGCGGGTCTGTTTCATCACGTCGAGCACCGGCATTCGTTCCTCGACGGACATTACTTTTACCAGTTGAGTCCAGAGTATAGCATCCCGAGCGCGCAGCCAAGGTCGATGGGTTGGTTTTCGTCAATCAGAGTCGCGGCCTCGCTGACGCCGAGTACTTCCACGCCGGTGACAACAAGCAGCGGACCGTTTAGCGGTATAACCAGCAGTGTTGCGTCGCTTGCAGACTCGGTTGCCGCGCTGACCACGGCTGCTTCTTCCTCATCTCAACCTACGCAGCCGCAGCCGATTCCCGGGCGCCACGGCTCAGCTACGAGTCGGTCGGCGTCGACGACGTCGGTGAAATCAGACTCGACGAACGAGTCAAGTAGCGAACTTGCCGATTCTACAATGTCGTTGGACTCCGACTGGGGCCATCGATCGCAGACGTTTGGCGACGTGCAGTCTAATCTGAAGCCGCGCGTCGAGCTGACAAAGTCGATAAAGCTCGACGTGGACCCGCTCAGGAAATCCTACCGCCGCGAAGTAGCGACGCTGCACTACGACCGGCTTCACAACCCCGAGTCGTGCTATCACCTGCTTTTCGAGTGGCTGGACACGACGCCCAAGTTCATCGACGACACGATCGCGCAATGGGGTCGGATCTGCGACCGGTCGGGACTGAAGCTGGTTGAGGTTCCGGTGCTGGAAGCTACGGCCTTGTGCGAGATCGACCCGTTTATCTCCGGGTCGAGGATCAAGTTCGCGCTCGAGCCGCCGCGGATCAAACCGGCGGAGAAGGGCGACCTGATTGTGTCTGACCGACTGTTTTACCAGACGCAGGCGCTCATCAAGCTGGACTACGTGCTCGACACCGACGCCGCCGACGTGCTCAGCTCGGCTTCACCTGACGTCGAGATCGTGTACTCGTGGGGCAAACCACACTTCCGCTACTCGCAATACGTGCACAAATCCGGCGCGACGCTCGCGCAAATCATCCCCGAAACCGGCGAATTCGTCATCGTCCGCAACCCGCTCGTCGGCAGCAAATCCTCTGTGTTTTCGATCGGCGTCGATCCCGAGGTCGTCTGTCGCGAGGCCATCGATTTCATCCAAAACAACCCGCGCGAGCTCCGCGAGTTCTTCTCCTCCATCCGCGAGAAATTCCTCAACCGGCCCGCTGTCGCCGTTCCCTTCTCCGCAAGCCCGACGCCAAACATCGTCGGCTCTTACGGATCTGGTGGGACGATCGCGGCTGCTATGGCCGATAGTTTCACAATCGGAAGCTCGAGCAGCGAGTTCACCGTCAGAGCAGGCACTAGTCCGGCGGGGATGAACTTCACAGATGATCTAGAGCGATCGCTTAGCGCGTCGCCTAGTACGCGTCGCCCGCCGCCGCCGCCGTCTGATACGCCCGGCGCTGCAAGTTACATTGTACGTATATCCACTCCTGTTGATTTATGTTTCCAGTCGATTTACTAACGTGGGATTGTGTGTAGTATTACGATATTCGCATGTTTTAAAGAGTTAAAAAAGGCTTTAAAAAAGGACATTTGCATTTTTGATCAAACAATTTTTTTCTAATCTACCCTAAATAGTTTTACATTTATCTTCAACAGTTTCACATTTTGGGCAATTTATCTCTTGCATTTACTTCTCTTGTATTTAATTTTACCTTCTTTATTTTCTCTGTTTTATCTTAATTTATATCACTTTCCGTGTGTGTGTTTTTTTGTGCTTATTTTGTTTGGGTGTTTTCAGGGATTTTTTTTGTTTTGCATAAATGTTTTATCTTGGTGGTTTAACTAGATTTAAACTAATAAATATTTGAAGATAATTACACATATTCATAATCTGTATTTTTAACAATTTTCTTGTTTAGGTTGTTTTAGCTGTTGTAGCTCTGTCATTTTGTAATTATTCAGAATTACTATGGAAAGGAGAGAGTGTAGATTCTCAACATCGAGAAAAGAAATGTCTTTTAATTTGAGAATAACAATTATGACGATATCGAGCAGTAAAAAGAAAAAGAAAGTGACCACAAAAGAAAAAAAAAGCGATTTTTATGCACCCAACTAATGACTCGAAACAAAAAAGAGAGAAAAAACGAAGACGATTGGAAAGAAAGAAAGAAAACCTCAACTTTATAAAAATTAACGAAAATGGATGGAAAACACCTTGCTAAACAAACCACGAAATATGTAAGAAAGAAATTAGAGAACCAGAAACGCACTATATGTTACTATAAATCCGCAGCAAAATCGAAACCAAAAAAACTAGATAAAAGAAGATGATGATGAGGAATTTGGATGGAACACGGACGAGATCAGCAGCAGAAAGTGATTGAATTCAAAAACTCGTTATCCCGCCTCGACTCGATCTGCCCGCCCCACCATCTCTCGACGATCGTGCTCACGAACCTCGAGTCGCTCTCGCTCCAGGGATCAAGGCCCATAGCCAACATATCGACTTTGGAAATCCACAGCGTCTGCTTCGCTTCCATCACGCTCGGAGCTTGTGCGGCGGTGCTTGCGCTGCGTCGGCGGCGGGCGGCGGGTTCGAGTTTTTGGATCACGAGGTTTTGCTCTTGAACCATGCGCGAGAGTTCGGAGAAGATGCGCGCGGTGAAGCGGTGGAAGAACGCGATGATGGAGACTTGTTTGGAGGACTCGATAGCGGCCGCGATCATCGCCGCGCCTTCGACTTCTTCGTCGTCCGAGACGCTCGAGCGGCGCCGGTCTTGTTTCGTAGCAGACATGCGGCGCATAAATGCTTCGTCTAGTTGCGAGATATCCTGGAACGGCGAGATATACGTAAAGCTTTCCTCGTTCGAGAGTGCCATCGGCGTAGTTGCCACCGACGACGACCGCGAGATCGAGTCGTCGAGAAGCAGCGGGCGCGTACCTCGCTCGATATGCGCGGCTTGCCGGTCAAGCGACGTCGTCGTCTCGTTATTCACAAGACCCCGCGCATTCGTCTCCGCTACTTCTTCCTCGTCTATCCGCGCCTCTTCTCCCGCTGACGCCCACCACAGGAAACCAAGCCACGTGAGCTGCTTCCAGGACGGCTGCTCGGTCGCGAGGTCGGTTTTCGTAGAGAAGAAAAGCTCAGGGTCGTCGTTGTAAATCTCGTCTTCGCTCGCGGCGGCGGTGATGTTTTCCGACGCCGCCAGCAACGCCATCGTCTCGCTCGAGGGAGGCCTTCGTCGTCTGCGATCCGTGTGTGCGGAAAACTCGTCCGTGCTGCTCGAGCTCAGCGAGACCCTCCGCTCTAGATTCACGTACTCGGCCTCTTCCTCGGCAACCTCCAGGTCCTGATAAAACCGCTGATACCACCGATGCCGCGGATCGATCGAGTTCCCGATCTGCGCCTCCAAGCTCTGGAACCGGCGCATGTCTCTGATCGAGGCTTTCAGTCGCTCTTTCGGATTCGACTCGTAGTAAATCGCAGGGTACCTGATCTTCTCCTGGATAGTCTCAGTCACGGGGTGATACACTGCCGAGTAAGCATTAAGCGAGTGCGGCGACGCCGGTCGCGAAGAGGTCGATATCGCTGCCGACGCAGCAGCGGAGATCGAGGCCGCCATCGGAGGCAGCTTCACGACGACATCGTACAAATCTTTTTTCTCTTGCAGAAGCTTATCGGTCGTGTACGCGATCCACCCATAAAACGGCCTCGGCTTCCTTTGTCGCGCGCCCTCGGCGGGGGTGAGATTCGACAGCGAGCGCAGGTAGTCGATGTCATTCAGTCCGACTGAGAATAGCGGCCGTATTCGGTACGCGGGGATCGGAAGCATCTCGGAGATCGCCTGGGGTATATTCGCGAGGATCGCAATGTCGTAGACGAAATTGCAGCCTTGCTCGAGCGGGATATCGCCAACGATCAAGATCCGCTCGCGAGCTAGTGCTGCTTTCCAGATCTTGAATACCAGGGGTCCGAAGGTGTCGAGAAACGACGGGAGCGAGTGCGCGGGATGACTTTTGGGTAGAATCGGCGCCGCGCCGCTGAATGACTGCGAGAAGGTATCGTTGTCGGATGAGGCGATGGTGCTGGGTTGTTGCTGTGGTTGTGGTTGTGTTTGTTGCAGTTGAGAAGGTTGGAATTTGATCTTGGAGGAATTGAGCTCGAAAGGACGGCGTGGAGGGTTGTAGATTGCAGTTTCGGATGCAGACGTACTGCTAGCCGACGTTGAGGCAGAATCAGAAGCGCTGAGACCGAATTCTTTGAAATACGCCTCCAGCGGCTGGAAATCTTCCGCATTTCGAGAGTAGTCGCTGTCATTTAATGTTAGCTTTGTATTTGTACTACCTTTGAATGGACGTGGGACTCACTCTAGTAACTGCTTCAACCCATCGACATGACCCCAGCTTCTACCCAGGCGTCCAGCACCGGCAGTAGACTTTCCTCGTTTGACCAACCCGCTAGGTACTAATACACCCAGAGAATACATTCGTGCGAATCGCTCGGCCGCGTTGTCGGTGTCTATCCGGAGAAAGACAGAGACTCCGGAGTAGTACTCGCCGTGCATGAAGTATATGACATCGCTTTTGAAATGATGCAGGCCCGAGGGAAACGCTTTGTATTCGATGCTGTCCAATGTTATCGCTACAGAGTGTCAGTTAATACCAAATCATCTCTCATCATAGACGAGTGGGGAAGACATACCTGGTGAAGAAGTTCGACTCCAATCAATGACGTAGCTGCGATAACCCCGTTAGCATCTTCATTCTCGCAATACCCCGACACATATAAAGCAGAAACGTACCCGCGACGAGTATCAAACCGAATCAGAAACAAAGCAACGATCGGCGGCGGTGTATTCGGCAGCGGCGCCTGCGCTGCGCCGTCTCTGAGCGGTCTTGAATTGCTACCAGCACTATCGCCGGCTTCGGCCGAGGCGGCGGCCGTCGGCGGCGCAGCAGCAGCAGACGCAGACGCAGCAGACGCAGATGCCTCGGGGACGGTCGCGAGAGACTCCGCCGGCGTAGGCATTTGCATTGCAGGCGAGAGAAAGTGGTGAAAAAGAGGCGATAAGCAGAAGTCGCGATCTTTTTGGGTCCAAAAACTATTTCGACGAGGTGGGAAAATGAATGGGTCTTTGTGAGAGCTTGTTTTGGGGGCGGAAATACCAATCCTCCCAACCAGATATCGTGGATCTTGATGAATTGATTGAATAGCAGACTGGTTTTGGAGCAATTGGATTGCTGTTTTGGAAATCGGGATCTGATTCAGCGGGTGCGGATACATGGATTGTATTGATGCCACCAGCTCCACCGGTATTAGCACAATCGACCTAGTACTCGACGCATACACGCAGGTTCACGAGTTCAAAGAAGGCACTACAGCAAAGGTATTTCTCAATTGTTTCTTTTCAGACGGCAGTCTCTGACTCTACATAAACCAGTAGACCTGGATTGAGCACAACACAAAAGGCCCATACCTCGTTCAAAGAAAGCCCTCTCAAAGTGCGCTCCTCGTCCTCAGCGGCCTCTCCGACGGCAAACTAGACATCCGCGGACAAGCAAGCGCAGCAGCTGATCTCGGAGCGTACTGCACAGCCGCGGAAAAGCTGATAGCTAAAGGTCTTGCAAGCGTTGGTTTTGATAGTCTGAATGTCGCGGCTGCGCTGAGCAGTCTGGATGCATTTGCTGTTGCTGAAGTCTGTGAGTTTGCTGAAGCTAACGAGCTTGTGTTTAAACTGTACATTCTTGGAGTCCACAGTATATCCTCCGGCACGGCTTTTCAAACAGAAGCAGTTGCCAGTCTGACAAAGACCTTTGGACTCTGCCGTCCGACGATAATTCCGGATTGCACACAATTGCGACGCCATTTGCATCGCTCATCGGTTCTCGATCCGTCAGGCACTGACATAACTACAATTCGGTGCACGGCAGTTGCTCCCTCCGCTCCTCATCTTTCTACTATCACATTCAACAACGAGGTTGAGGAACCATTTATGATGTACCGAGCCTGGCATCTAGCGACAAAACAGATGCTGAGGCATCAGCCCGTGCAGATCACAACGCATAAGAGAGTAACTGTGCGCTATCTTTCGTTTGCGCAAAAGTTTTTCAGAAACAAGGCGGATTTTTCAGTACAGTATTTGAATGATCGGGGCGTTCGCAAGGTGCAGGAACTTTTTCTGGCGGAATGCGGTATGACCAGTGCACAGATGATCGACGCGGAGCCGAAAGACGAGACTGATGACGAGATGGTACTAAATATGGATATAACATCAACCGGGTCTTCGAACCTGATTGACGCCGAACCTCCGAAAACAAAATACATACTTGTCCCAATTGCGACCCTCGGCTGCGGCAAGACGACTATCGCGCTTGCACTGACAAAGTTATTAGGCTGGGGCCACGTTCAAAACGACGACATCCCCAAACGCGGCGGTGGCGCGGGCTTACGGTTCTGCGAAGCAGTTAAATCATCGCTTGCTTCCAGACAGGTGGTGTTTGCGGATCGGAATAACCACATGAAGCGGGAACGCGAGCAGTTTATGACCGATATGAGGAACTTGATGCCGCGGACTGATTTGCAGTTTATCGCGATTTATTTTGATCATACTAGTGGGTCAGGGAAAAGAGGCGTGAGAGCGGTGACGGTTCAGCGGGTGTTGGCGAGGGGGGATAATCATCAGACTGTGAGGGTAGGTGCGATCGGCGAGCAGAAAGTTGCGAAAATCATGGACGGCTTTCTGCATCGATTTCAACCTCTGAACATGCAGCATGCGCCGGATAGTCGGTTTAACTATGCGGTCACCTTGGATGTCGACAGTAGCTTGCAGCTGAGCTTGATGAACATCATCTACTGCGTCAAGCAAAAGTATCCTGAGATTATGCTCGAATCTCCGAGTCAGGACGAAGTCTTAGCCGCTGCTCAGTCCGTTCTAGGGAATAGGCCAGCAGCGGGAAGTTTCCAGACAAGTCCTCCCAGACGCCGGCAGCAGGCATTACTATCGTCGTTCCAGCGTAAAGAGACGAGCGCAGCGACAGGTCTCGCGACGTACTTTGCCCTGAAGATTACAGACCCGACCGCTCTCCTTGCTCAAATCGACACTCTTCTTCCCAGCGGTGATCATTTCATTTGGAAGAAAATGATAACTTCCGCTTCATCTCCCACGCTCGTCTTTCTCCGCCGCGAGAAGGCGGTTGCACACCGTGCGCTATGGGATGCTCTGAGTACGATGATAACAGCAGAGGGAGTTGATAAACTTACTGCGGACGTCGTTATACGCGGAATAGCATGGACCGAGACGTGTGTATGGGCGGCAGCATATATCGAATGGCACGCCAATCCGATCAATGAGCTTCTACCGCTGCGAGGGGTGCTGTTCCCGATCGTACTTGGTTCGACAGGCGACGTGGCTGAGACGGATTTGGGAGTTGGCGCGGCTCTGGAAGAGAAGTTTCAGAGTAGTTCGAGCTATGAGTTTGGTGAGGAGTTGAGGATATCAGGTTTACGGGTGCATGCTGGCATGTGAGAAAGCCTACTGTAAATACAAGCAGAATATGATACGATAGTACAGGTAGTATTCGGTAGTATATACATTGATGAAACATTTTCCTCGGCACGCTTTTCTACTCGCCCAACAGCCTTTTAGAGAAGTAGCTCGAGCTACGAATTGGGGGAAGGGCTGAGGATATCAGGCTTACGATGCTGGCATGTAATCAAGCAGAATATGATACGATTGTACAGGTTGTTATAGGTAGTATATACATTAATAAAACATCTCCTCTGCACGCTTTTCTACTCGCCCAACAGCTTCCTGGAAAATCTAAACTCCTTCGTGATTGCCGCGTCGTCCAGACCGAGACGGGTGATGCACAGCATGTATCTCGCAATGCTCTTCTTCTTCAAGTACTTGAGCATCGAGTTACGCTGCTGAATCAACATCGTCAGTCTCCGCGTCGCCGAATTGTCCTTCTTATTCACCCTTACGTGCTCCGCCAGCGTCACGATGCGAACAGTCATCACCGCGGCCTGCGACTCCGCCGACCCCGAGTCCAGACTGTCCATGCCAAACTCCTTCACCGCGTTCTTCACCATCCCCTTGCGCCACGAGTCCGCGTCCGCGCGGGTGATGGCCATGATACGGTTGACTGCTTGCCGCTGGTGCTCGTAGCCGCGCTCGACGTCCTCCGCGGCCGTGTCTTTCCACGGCTGCTTGCGCGCCTCGTCGATGTACTGCTGTTGCGTGGCCTCGACTTCGGCGAGGTAATCCCTTGCATCCTGGAGTTCATCGGCATCGACCGCGTCAGCGACCCGCTGCTTGGCCTCTTGAATCACAGGCGCGTACAGCTCCTCGACCTCAGCGACGCCTTTCTCGACCTGTTCGCGCGCACTCGCAAAGCGCTCCTCCGCCTTCTTGTTCTCAATCGCAAACATAATCATATCCGGCTCCTGGTTCGAAAGCCCGTATCCAAGCTCCAACGCCTTCTCCTCCTTTTCCGCACCATCAATCTTTTCCACCGCCGTCTTCGGCGCATCCGCAGGAATCCGCGCGCCAGCACCCAACCCGACCAAAATTTTCCGCACAAAAGGCGTGTATCGCCCGAAAATCGGGTTCACGTCCGGCAAGCCCGCCTTGTTGAGATACTTCTTGGTCTCAATGTACGGCACGCGCTTCGACCGAATCGCAGCCTTCTCCCGCTTCGTCATCGCTTTCCGCGCATACGTCCTTGCCGCGAAAACTCGCGCCGGCTGCTGCTTGCGTACTAGCAGCCCGCCGCTGCTTCGCAGGCTCTGCATTCCACACCCGCTGCTGCTGGTACTGCTGGTCGTACTGCGCCACCAGACATTCGACATTGTGTAGGCGCGGAGGAATTGTTCTTCGTCTTCTGAGTGGGTTTTTCTCGTGGAGTTGACGAATTGGGTGCGTAACTTTTCTTTGCGATTTCGAAAATTTCGTGAAGTCAGTTCGCTGACTGAGGTTGAGGGTGTGGTGGGATGAGTACTGTATTATGTAATGTTTTGTTAAGAGTCTGAGATATTGTCAATGATTTGATGCTGCTATTAAACTGAAGAAGGCAGGGAAATGTAATTAATGGGATATATTCAATCTATCAAAAAAAGCAAAACGTATTATACACAACAAAGATGAAGCAAAAGAACAAACAACGCTATTAATATGTGAGGAATAATGAGTTAAAACTGTAGTAGCAAGAGCGACCCTCAATGCAGCAACGATGTACAACTGCAAACTACTCAAAAAACACAGAAAGAAGAAAGACACACGACAAGAAATGGTAATGATACAAAAAAACAAACAGTTTTCTTTGCCTACTTTTTGACGACGACGCGACCCCGGTTATCCCACAGCCGTTCAAACTCGCGGATGCAATTCCGCTCGGGCGCTTCGCAGCCGGCAAAGCTGGCGACGAAATCGCCGTCTTGGTAGAGAGACTCGCCGACGCCGTTGGGGTAGGAGTTGAACGTGCGCTGGGGGATTACGGCCATTTTGCTGAGTACTGTTGGGTGCCATTGCGCGAGGTGTTCCTGTGTTCTTGTTAGACGATATATAGGAATAGAGAAAGGAGAGTGGGGCTTACCAGAGCTCCTTTGTCTTTCTTTGCAAAGGTGTATTCTTGATACAATTTATCAGACCACGAATCCAACACAAACTTGGAGTACTCCTCATTCTTGAGAATGAAGCTCCCGGTCTGCAACCCCTCGTGATCCTGCGAGATGATGAACTTCATGCGGTCGGCCGGCACATGCCTGTACGTCCTAATCGTCCCATCAGGCGGCACGATCGGGATATCTCTCAGGACGAGCGTGTTGAGTTTCTTTGGATCGGTGATGTGTTCCTCCAGATTCAAGTTCGGGTTCATAATCAGCGCGTTCTGATCGAGGTACCAGAAATAATCCGACCGCGGGTGCTGGTCGATCGCGGCCCGGATCAGCGGCATCTTCTTCCACTCGTTCTTCTCAGGGTCGTTCACCCGGCTGTCAAAGTCGTGGATGTCCCGCACATACAGGCCGTAGCCCTGCGCGTCCGCGTACTCTTTCCGGTTATCGATGATTTTCTGGAGATAGTCGTTCTTGTACGCCTTGTAGTCGAGTCCCAGCACCAGCACCACGCTCGGCCCATCAGGCTGCACCGAGCTGGTAAGTTTAACGGCGACAAAGTAAACGACGAAGAAGAACGCCACGACGACGAGGATGACGAGCAGCACGGCGGCCGACACGGCCGAGCGGCGACTGCTCCGTCGTTTCCGCTCAAACGAGTCGGACTCGGAGGCGAAGACTGAGGACCAGAGCTGCGAGAGTAGTGGCGGCGCGTAGTTTTTTGATTTGGATCGCATCTTGAAGGTCGGCGAGCCGGGGAGCGACTGATCGGCTGCGCGGGAGGGTATGGCGAAATGCATGGTTGTATGCTAGAAGAGGTAGAAGTGCTGCTGTTGGTAGAGGAAGAAGTAGGTTGAGCTGTGAGGTGAAGAGGTGAAGATGACGAGATGGTCGCGGTGGTGAGGATTAAATAGCAGAGAGAGCCTTTGCGGCAGCAGCCTGAGGTAAGAGACGAGTTGGCACGACGAGCAGACTAGAGAATCCAGAAGAAAGAGAGCAATACCTATACACAATACGACCAAGGCAGAGAACCAGCAGCGACTGAGAAACCGAGGCGGAGGAGGAAACGGACGGAGGAGGAGAAGGTGGTTAAGTATGGATTGTTGACCGAAGTGGGATCGCGGCGGGAGGTGTGCGGATTCCGGCGGATCTGTCGTAGTGTACCCAGTTTATGATACACAGTCAAAAGTACATGGGGTTGTTAAAAGTGGGTTCACTAATACTGACACCGCATCCAAGAATAACTTGTAAACAAAAACACAATAAACAGTCCTCTGCTCGCGATTCTACAGCAATTCAGCTTATTTATCTTCTATTCTCTCTTCTATATAATCCGAACATCTGCACTCTCTTCTCAGCTGCGTCCGGCGTTGAGTGCTGGATTGGGTGACTGCGCTGTTGCTAATAATAATCCTATGTGACTACAGCCATCCTCATGCACGTCAAGTCCGCTTCGGGCAGCCAACCTGCCTCTGCTCTTGTTCCTGCTGTTTGCAGACATCTGTAGACTGCTTTTGTCATTCTATCTGTCATTGTCATTGCCTTGTACTTCTACATTAAATCAAGCATTACTAATATTACATGCAATTCAACCAGAGTTCCTAGCTGTCTATGACATATCATCCGCAATCATCATTTCCAGATTAACGTATGCTTCTCTCTCTCTTCTTTATACCTTCTCTCCATCTCCCTACCACACATCCTCCTGGTACGTATTTTGCGAGCGCATGCTCTTCACAATGTCCTCCGCCTGCGTCAAACTGATCCCCCGCTGCGTCGAAATAATCTGCGCCAGCCCCGCGCTCACATCCTTCGCCATCCGCGCCGCGTCGCCGCACACGTAGAAATACGCGCCCTGCAGCAGCAGCTTGTTCACCAGCTCCGCGCTCTCAAGCAGCCGGTGCTGCACATACACCTTCTCGGGCCCCTCCCGACTAAACGCAGTCACCAGCTTGAACGGCATCTTCTTCGCCGTCTCCTCCCATTCTTCGCGGTACAGGAAATCCTCGGTACGGTTCCGGCTGCCGAAAAACAGCACGCTCTCGCCGACTGCGACGCCCGCTTCCGCCTGCGCCGCGCGCTCGTGGATGAACGCCCGGAACGGCGCCACGCCGGTGCCGGGGCCGACCATGATGATTGGCGTAGCCGGGTTGCTCGGTAGCTTGAAGTTCGAGTGGCGGATGTGCACGGGCAGCTTGAATCCCGTGAATTTCTTGCGCGGGCCTTCGATCGCGTAGGTGACCGCCGACGGGGACGTCGTCTCGACGCCTTCCATCTTGTACTTGAGGTCGAGCAGGTAGTTTGAGGCGACGCCCTTGAACGGGTCCAAGCCGTCGGTGTGCTCGATCGATTCGACGACGACGGTGATTGTAGGCTTTGTCTTGTCGATGTAGGACGACGACGAGATCGAGTAGTAGCGCGGCTGCAGATGGTTGATTGTCTCGACCACGAGCGAGAACGGCACGTTCGTCCACGGCTGCCCGTTCGACACCTTCTCGAGCAGCTGCGCAATGTTGAGATGTTTGTGCGTGACGTATTCGGCAAACAACTCTTTGCTGCTGCCGATCTTGGCCAGCTCGGCCTTTGCCTCGTCCGACGGCGCGAACCCGGCGAGCGTGTTGAGAAACTGGCGCGAGACGACGCCGCAGATCTCGAGATGGTAGCGCACGACGGCGTCGTAGGTCGTCGGGGTCGGGAACGGGACCTTGGCCGTGGGATCAATTGTGGTGACGTCGATGACGGTATGGCGCTTGTCGATCAGCCCGAGCACGGTCAGGAACCGGTCGACTTCCTTCTCTGAGTTTTGCGGCCATACTGCGATGTGGTCGCCGGTCGTGAACTTGAGGTTGCTGCCAGACAGATCGACCTCGATGTGCAAGCAGTTTCTGCTCGCCGAGTTGAAGATCTCGCGGCTGACGGTGACGGGCGCGATGTAGGGATTGTTGGCGGAGTGCGTCTTGGCGTCGACGGCGCCCTCGAGGTGCTGCTTGTTGAACTCGCCCACGTACACGGACTCGTCTTCAGCGTAGAGATCCTCGATTTCGGCAACATTGAGCACGGGCTCATACGTGGCCTCGCGCTCTTCGAGTCCAATCATCTTGCCGACGTCTTCCCACATCTTATCCTTCCACGACAGAAAATCTTCCTCGAGCGTGCCCGCTCCGTCGTCACCCAGACCGAGGTCGCCGATTCGGAACGCGCCCAGCTTCGAGAGCTTTTCGTCGAGGATCTTGATGACGGCGTTGTAGTGTTCGTAGGTGTTGTTGCCGAGGCCAAACGCGACGTACTTTAGGTTTGCCAGCGGAGCGCTCTCGTCTTCCGGGTTTGAGAACGCGGGCGACTCGTCGGTGATGAATTCATAAAAGGGCGCGGCGTTGTCGGTCGGCTCGCCCTCGCCGTAGGTGGCCATGACGAAGATCGCGAGCTTATCGGAGGGAAAAGTGTCGAGGTCTTCGAGATCGTACTCTTCGAGATCAGCGACCATGGTCTTGAGGCCGAATCTGGAGTGGCCCTCTTTGGCCAGGCGCGAGGCGTAGTCCTCGGCGGTGCCGGTCTGGGAGCCGTAGAAGACGACGACCTGGCGGTCGCTAGATTCGAGTTTCTCGACTATGCTGCGGGTGGTGGAGGAGGAGGAGGAGGAGTTGCCGTTTGCGTGGGAGCCAGAGGCGAAGGAGGAGGAAGCCTTCTTGCCCCAGAAGGTGCCTTTGGAGAAGAAGGCGACGGTGCCGACGAGAACGGCGGAGAGGATGACGATGTCAAAGAGATCGAATTGGGCCATGATTGCAGAGGAGCTGATGGAGGGGGGTTGTTAGTATCGGGGAAAACGGTGGGGAGGGGAGTGAAGGAGGAGGTAAAGACCACGACAGGGAACGACATACGGCATTCATGAACAGCAAAAAGGCGCAAGAACAGACGGCAGCCGGGATCTCTTTCTCTTTGCTGAGCAGACAGAAAACAGGGAATAATTGGCTGGCAAAAGACGGTGAAGCTGGAGCAAACCGAGGGCAGAGCTGCTCTGAGCGGTGAGCGGCTTTCGGTTTTGCTCAACAACCGGCGCGCTTAGGGTTTTAGGATTAGGGTTTGAGGGTTGTTATGCGGAGAGTGGTTGCGGACTTATGCCGGCCTGGGCCTGTCTGTTGGCTGTAGAGTGAGTGTTTGTAAGTGTTTGAGGTGTTGCGTGGAGTGTTTGAGAAGTGTTGAGTGATGGTCTGGAGTGATGCTGTAGAGGGAGTGGAGGAGGCGGAGGGAGTGGAGTAGTATGGAGAAAGTAGAGAGCAGATATCGAGATATTTCCCCATACGGATATCAGATATCCTCATCCACAATCCTCCTCATCCTCCTTCTCTCGCGTCATTATTCTCATCAACTACATCTCTCTGACCGGCAAATCCGGAAACCGCCCCGCACACCGCCTCCGCAGGGCTCTTGCCTGCTCTCGCCCTACAGTCAGCTTTTGACGTAATGCAATCAATACTCGTAAACGGGAAACATTAACCGAGACAATACTATTCCAATATTATTACAAAAGATGGCTCTCTCTATTAGATATTTGCACACAGAAGCAGAGAAGTGCAGTTAGCAGCACCCGCCCTTGGCCTTTGCCTCCTTGCCCTTGTTCCCGTCCAGATTCAGGCCGTTGCCGTTTGACCCGTACTTTGCGTTATTAATCTTAATCCCGTGTCCCTGAATCATCACTATCGTCAGTATATCCCACTTCTTATCTCATCAAGAGCAGAACACTCACCTTATCATTCACATCAAACTTGCCGCCCTTGATCTTATAGTAAATCTCCCGCGCGACCTGCAAATACGCCTCCTCGACCCGATCACCAGTCTTTGCGCTGGTCTCCACAAAATCCATCAGCCCGTTCGCAGCCGCCCACTCGCGCGCCTCCTGCACCGACACCTGCCGCTGGGTTTCGCTCAGATCGCACTTGTTGCCGACCAGCAGCACGCAGATCTCGGGATCGGCCTGCGCGCGCAGGTCGGCGAGCCATTCCTGCACGTGCAGAAAGGTGTCGCGTCGGGTGACGTCGTAGACTAGAAGACAGCCTGTTGCGTTGCGGAAATATGATCTTGTTACGGCTCGGTAGTGCTCTTGTCCTGCCTGTATATACTATTAGCATTGTTACTGCCATCTTTATAAACTTCTGGTCTCATACGGTATCCTAGTAGCACATAAGTTAGCACATCCACAACTCTACCCACACAGTATTATCAAAAGACATACCCAAATTTGCAGTTTGATATAAACACTATCATCCACCGGCACGATCTTGGACCCAATCTCCGCCGCAATAGTCACGTCGTGGTTATCGCTGAACGTATCGTCTGTAAGCCGGATAGTGAGCGACGACTTGCCACATGCCCTGTTTCGTGTTAGTCCAATGTACATAGTAGAAATAGAATAAATAGAGGACATACGAATCACCAATCATCACAATCTTTGCGATGTAGTCCCATGTCTTTGAACTCATCTGTACGTCTGTGTGTATATATCTCCCGAAAAGCTCAATCAAGCCCAATTGAAATAGCTCGTGACTGTAATAACTCAGCCAAACTATTATCAAACAACTATTATCCAAGTCTTGTATCCAAACAGACTTATTCCTCGTCAAAACAAACAACCTGCGCTGTATCAAAGTCGTTATCAATCAGCTCGACCTGTCTCAGCTATGACGATTGCGGCCCAGTCCTCAAGCGGCCGGGTAACTGATTATATAATACGATAATCTGATAACTCCTACTTCCATCTACACTACCTCTATCTACTCTACTTCTATCTATTGTAGTTATCTATTGTAGTTTGTTATTAGTTACAATATTACTCAAAACTGCGAAGTGACCGGAGTACCGAACCACAGCGCAGCCGACGCCTCCTTTGGCGGTTTAAACTGCAGCTTCCCAGCTTTCGAATCAATCCTAATCCAACGCATTCAGAATGATATCGACACAGTTAGACAAATCAACAATTACATACCATTCAACGTCCTTGACGTTATCGTCCTTGTCTAGCAAGTCCTTCGTGGTTTGCCAGGAGAACCGGACGACGTTGGTCCAGCCAAAGACTGGGTCTATGGCTTCTTTTAACCACCGTACCGTCCGGGCGTCTATATTTCATCAGCATGGTCTGTAGAAGAGAAGAAAGAGAGAAAGAGATATAGCTCACCTCCTGGATACCCACTTCCCCAGCTCTCCTCCACTCTCCTCGACAGCATCTCCTCTCGCCTCATTAACGCGATATCCCTCGTAACCTTCGCACAGATACTAGCGACCGATACGATCGGAAACAACGAGTCCGCCTTCTTCGTGACCGTGACCTTGATGCCCGGAAAATACCTCGCCAGCTTAGCCTGATACGACGCCGGCGGACCGACGGTATCCACGTAGATCTCCGTCACGTTCACCCCCGCCTTGAGAACCTCCGAGATAAGCGTGATGGTCGTGTCGTGCGCCTGCTCGTTCAGGTTATAGGCGCCGCTGGCGTTGGAGCGAAGCATGCCGCTTGAGACGTCGCGGGCAGACATTGTTCGCGTGGCGTAGCCTATGTTTCTGTATAGTTCTTCGTCGGACTTGTCGTTGCAGATCTGGGAGAATAGACGGACGCGCACGTCGTGTGTCAGGGTTTTTGAATCGGCAAAGCCGAACGAGGGAAGGCGGTCTGAATACGACTTTAGACAATAACTGAGGGCATAAACCATAGCACCTACACACTCGTCAGTCTCTCTCTCCTCATCAGATCACATCAGATCAAATCAGACCAAAGCGATACCTAAAACAGGCCCACGACCAGCCTCGTCGACGCCCAACACACAGCCCTCAGAGGTCCCAGCTTTAAGAACTTCAACTGGAATAGCAGAGTGATATGTACTCGAGACGTCTGGGTCTTTTTCAAGCAGTCGGACGCCGGGCGGGACGAATCCGTTGTCGTTGCTAGTGTCGGTGGTGGTGCTGGTGAAGACCTGGGCTTCGTCGTCGCTGATCTCGTCGAATTGGACATCTGCACTCATTATTATATCCTTCTTCTATTTCTGCACTCTTCCTCTATAGCCGCAATAACTGTTAGCAAACAAAGACGATAAGAAACGATAAGATATCACACGATGTCGAGGCCACCACCCTACGTCCGTAGGCGGGAGAAGAATACGCGTTGTCCGGGTAACAAATAAGGTTTTACCCTAAACCTTGAACTTACTTTGGGGAGCAGAGCAGAGCAGAGCAGAGCAGAGCGCAACCCTTTTGCGCATCAAAACAAAGCTGAGAACAGGAGCAGACACGCGTGTTTTGAATCATCGTCAACCAAGTCTGGAACTGTGAGTATTCTTTGAAGTGATGTTCAGTCTGGGCTGTGTGTTGTGTGGTGTTTGGATATTAGGTGAGGGGAAGTTAGGATCAGAAAGAGGTGGAGGTGCTGACTTGCTGTTTACTCTTCAGAAGAACCGGATTCTAAACAACAAACGCGCTTCTCCAGCAGCAGCAAGAATCATCAATTTACAACAAAAGAGAAATACGTGTTGATGTCTGCCACAATCGAAGGACGTCTCTCGCGACCGTCTCACTTTGCCGATGTTGGCGTCAAGGGAAGGTGTGTTCTAACCTCCTGTCTGTGCCTGTGTTGACGAGACACGCGTGTGCTGATACAGATATGTTTAGAAAAACCGGCATCGAACTCCCAGAGACCGGACGCGATGAACTCGGGTTCCAGAACATGGACGGCATCTTCTCCCCCGTCGCATCAGAGTCCACCACCACAACTACTACTAACAACGACGCGCGCGACACAAACAACCACACAATCGAAAGCGAAGCATCAATGGAAATCACCGCCTCCTCAACCCACACACGCACCCGTTCCCCCTCCTCACCTCTAAAATCCTCGCCGCGCCGCGCACCCGGCTCCGCTGCGGGAATCTTACCCCGCCAGACGCCCGTCAAGACAAACATCGGCTCGCCCCCGCGCCGAAGCGAGCCCGGACGCGCGCTGTTCAGCGCTGCCGCGCGGAAACTCGATTTCGCGAATCTGCCGCTCGCAGACACGCAGCCGTTCTCGTTTGACGCGTTGGATTCCGCGCCGGCTACCACCGCTACTGATGCGGTGGAGAAGGCGAGTCCGGCGCTGAAGCAGATTAATGGGAATACGGCGATCGTGCGCACGGCAAAGAAGCAGCGGAGCGCGAAGCATGCGCGGCCGTTTTCGATTGATGATTATGATGTGTTGGATGACGAGGAGGAGTTTAAAGACGCGGAGAGCGAACCTGTTGATTCCGAGACGTCGTTCCAGAACTCTGGCTCTGCAGCTGAAGCAGCCGAGGAGGAAGAGGCAGAGGAAGAAGAGGAAGCAGAGCTTGATCCGTTCGACGCAAAGTTACAGAAATACAAAGAACTGCAGGAGCGAGAACGGCAAGAGAGCGAGGCGCAGTTGAAGACGATTGCGGATAAGCGAGGAAAGCGAGGACAGAGTGAGACGGTGGAGAAGACACAGATGCGAAAGAAGCAGACTGCGATTAGAACGAAGCCGGGGAAGATGGTGGAGCCTGTTTCGCAGGCTACGGATTTGTTTTTCGAGTCTGAGAGTGAGGGGGAGGAGGAGGAGGAGGAGGAGGAGGAGCAAGCTGTGGAGGAAGTAGAGGAGGAAGAAGAAGCAGAGGAAGAAGAGGAAGCAGAGGAAGCAGAAGAAATTGAGGAAGAGGAAGAGGAAGAAGAAGAAGAAGAAGAGAGATACGACGTCGACTCCGAAAGCGATCCAGAAACCTACCGACCAACGCGCGCCAAACGTCGAACGACGACGACGACAACAAAACGCGCGTCGTCAGTGACTGCTTCTGCATCGCAGAGACGATCGACGAAGAACACCAGAGTTGCAGCCACGCAGAGTAAGAAGGTTGCGAAACCAGCTGCTGTGCGCAAAGGAGCTGCGAAAGCACCGAAGCGCGTGCAAAAGACGTCTCGCGCGCGCAGGACTACCAGTGTTGATACAGAACCAGCCGCAACGCAGCACAAGACCGGGTTTGTGGAACTCGTGCGCCCCGCGTCCCCCGCGACAGAAAACACCGCGGTGCGCAGGTCGAAGCGCACGCATATCCAGCCACTGGCGTACTGGCGCAACGAGCGGGTCGTGTACGAGCAAGAGCGGGACGCGGAGACGGCGATTAAAGTTCCGAAGGCTACGGGTGTGTATCTTGTTGAGTCGCCTGCTGCGTCGACGACGGTGAGGGCGGCGGGTGGGAAGAGGAAGAGGGCGAGGAGGGTTGAGGAGGAGGAGGAGGAGGAAGAGGAAGAGGAGGAGGAGGCGGCGGCGTATGTCGAGACGGATGTGCAGGATATCAAGACCGGGACTACAGTTTCGCGAGGTGCGTATACTACTTTCTCAGCAGAAGAAGGAGATACTAACAGCAGTATAGTGGTTGCCTACTCCGCCAACGTGATCAAATACACAAAGACCGACGAGTTCCAATACGCAAAGACCTTCTACGAAGACGGTTTCTTCGCCGGCGGAATAATGAAACTGCAGCCCGGCAAATCGAAGCGCGAGCGCCCGTCGCGCCATAACTTTATGCTGTTTATCGTGCAGGAAGGCACATTGGAGGTGAAGATTGCGAGCACGGTGTTTAAGATGGGAAGAGGAGGGCATTTCCTTGTGCCGAGGATGAATTATTATTCGTTTAGGAACGTGGGGAGGAAAGAGGCGGTTGTGTTTTTTACGCAGGCGACGGATACGTTGTATAATCAGGCGATGGAGGGGAAGAAGGCGGGAGAGGAGTCTGGGGGGGAGTGATGTCGATGTGCTTAATGTCGATGTGCTTAATGTGCTTAATGTGCTCGATATGCTCGATATCTGCGATATGTTACGATAGTACTTGGAGATTGCGTTTTGTTAGTGAGACTTTTGTTGTGGTGTATTTATTTGTGTGGAGTGGTATAATACATGCTTGATAATCTACACTATCTATCTACACCTCCTCATCGCTATCATCAAACAAATCATCAATCTCCGGATACTCCCCCACCTCGACCTTCTCCGGTCTAAAAAACGAGCCATGCTTGTTCCGCGCGGTGAAATACCTCTCCCCCCTGACGCTCCCGTCGTGTTTCCCCACCGGCTCGTCAAACTCCACGCCGACCCAGATATCATCGTCGGGATCTGCTCCAGCAGCGGAGGGGAGTTCAGGTACACTACCCACGTAGCGCACGACGCCTCTGCGCTCGACTGGTTCGAGCACACGACACCGCTTACCGACTTCGATCGCGCGCTCTTCAATCGTCTTTTTGAATCCTGTAGTCAGAGCAGGCTTTTGCGCGTCGTCCGCGAACCGGCCTAGTTTATTCCGCTTCTTGTACGCGAGCACGGTGTCGGTTCGCCGCGCGTACTCGTCGTCCGTCAACTCGAATTTCTCGACGCCGCTGACGTCCGTGTAATTCTCCTGCACGCCAGGCGGCCTTGTGTCCTCGACATTCAGTCTCGCGAAGGGCACAAGCGCGTCGGGAAACTCTGATAGTGCGGTAGATTCGTCTGAGCTGCCGGGCGCGGGGGCGAGTACGATCGGGGTCTCGGAGTGGGCGATGAAGATTTGGAGGGTTTGGAAGGAGGGGGGATTCCTGTTATTGGCTCGAGGCGCTGTTTGAGGTAGGCGAGGGACCAGTGCGGGGAGATGCGGCGCTCGGAGGAGGTGTTTGGGGAGGTTACTATGAAGGAGATGTCTGCCATGGTGGTGAAGATGAAAGAAGAGAGGAGTGGTGGTGGTGACGCGTGAGAAGTGTTGATGAGATTCAGGGGACGCGTAAACCAAACCCTCGCCTCAAAGACTTTTCCTCGCCCCACGAGCAGCAGCAGCAGCAGCAGCAGCAGCAGCAGCAGCAACAAAGAAGAGCAGCGATGGAGGAAAAAGAAGCAGAACAGCTCGAGCAGGAGCACGTCCACGAGGTCTACGACCGAATAGCCTCCCACTTCTCTCAAACTCGCTACAAGCCCTGGCCGATCGTCGAGCGGTTCCTGCAATCCCTGCCCGCAGGCTCGGTCGGTCTCGACATTGGCTGCGGGAACGGCAAGTATTTATCGGTGGCCAATCCGGGGATCTACATATTCGCGACGGATAGGTCTGCTGCGCTGGTGCGGATCGCGGCGGCGGAGAGAAGGGCGCGGGGCGCGGACGTGGGGGTTGCGGATGGGATCGAGATGCCTGTGCCGAGCGGGCGGTTTGATTTCGCGATTTCGATTGCGGTCGTGCATCATTTTGCGACGCGCGCGAGACGGGTGGACGCTGTCCGGAGTGTTTTACGGGGGCTGCGGGAGGGGAAGGAGGAGCAAGGGGGAAAAGCGCTGATTTATGTGTGGGCGCTGGAGCAGGGGGGTAGTAGGCGCGGATGGGACGAGGGGGATAGTCAGGACGTGATGGTGCCGTGGGTTACGCGGCGGAAGAAGAAGGAAGGAGAGGAGGAGGAGGAGAGGGTGGAGAAGAGGTATTATCATCTGTACAGGAAGGGGGAGCTGGAGGAGGATATCGCGGCAGCCGGGGGGGTTGTGGTTGAGAACGGGTATGAGCGGGACAACTGGTGGGCGGTCGCGAGGCGATGATGTAGATAGAACAGCATTCGGAGTCATGTAAGTATAACAGATCATAAGAAGAAGAACAGAACAGAACAATGCAGAGGATGGGAGCATCTGAGCAGATACAGGCTGTGGCGAAGCAGGTTGATACCGACACGAGATGGAATGTTGGCGCAGCGAGGAGGTTGGTGCGTTGATGCTGCAGCTGCACTTGTGCAGAGTAGTTGAATAATAGTAGATGAATCTGCATGGAAATAAGAGTAATAACAATGAGATGAGATACAATAGAACAATAGAACAATAGAACAGAAGTAACATATAAAGACGTGGCTTACTGCAACAACAGATGATAAATAACAACAACAAACCGTTGATCCGAATCTTGGCTCTGCCGTGGCTGAGCGGTACTCGACTCTTTGTTTACTCTTCTTCCCATCCTTTGTTTACCACCACCCAACTACTCTGTTCACTACCACGTCCCGCCGTATACCCTCCATTCCTCGCTATCCAAAACCATCCCTGCCTCCGACCGAGATTGAACATTCCTACCCAGCCACCGGCCTCTGCACCTTCGTGAACTTTCCTCCTTTTAAGCTTCTTCTCTTCATCTGCTTCTGTGATCGGCTTGTGAACCTGTCTTGGCTCGTCCTGACGCGTCCTCGTCTTCTTTCCATCAAAACAAACAAACAAACAACACGTGCATTGTATACTTACTATATTACTAACACTTCCCACATCTGTAACTAAACTACATAAAAATCAATATCGTCTCCGTCTCATCATCCTCCTCCTCCTCCTCCTCCTCCTCCTCATCACCATCCTCCCACAACTCCCCCTTATCCTCCCCCGTCTCCTCCGCCTCATCCGCATCCAACGACTCATCGGCCGCCAACCCGCCCGAAAACTCCCTCAACTCCTCCATCAACTCACTCGAAATCCGACTCATAACCCCCTCCTCCTCCCGCTGCTTCCCCGCCCCCGCCCCACCTCCCCCACCACCTTCACCCCCCGCCGCCCGCGTATTCTCAATCTCAACCGCAACCTCCCCCTCCGCGACCTTGACGGTAACAATCCCGATAACCTGCCCATCCACATCCTCGAGCGCGACGAGGAACGAAAACTCGTCGGCATCGGTAGCTACCTCGCCCTGCGGCGTCAGCAGCGTGCCGGCAGCGATCTGCCGCTCAATGTCCCGGATCAGCATCATCGCAGAGGTTTCTAGGTCTGGGCCGGTTCGCGGCGGGCGGTAGTTTGATTTGCTTGCTGCTGTCGTGCTTGCTTCCTCAGGAAGTCCTGTGGTTCCTTCTGTGGAGTCTACCGTAGTTGATACTTCGTCGTCGTCGCTTGCGTCTGTAGTCGCGTCCGTCGACTCCTCCGTAATCTCCCCCTCCCTTTCAACCCCATCCACAGCCATACCCTCCCTCTCCTCCCTCCTCCTCTCGACCTCCTCCTCCCCCACAACCTCCACGCACTTAATCTCATTCGCATTATCCTCCTTCGGCGGCAAAAACGCCGGATCCTGACACAGCCGCGGCGAATGAATCACCATCAGGTAGCAGCACGTCGTCACCTCTTTTATCCACGCGATCCGGTCGTTCGAGTTTTGGTTGCAGTGGAACTGGATCTCGATCTTGCGCTCGCGGCCGGTTAGTTCGCAGATACTTCCGCTGCCGATCTTTTGCACGAGGTAGCGCACTTCGCCTGCGGACTGCACTGAGGTCTCGCCGCCGACGCGCAGTTCTCCATTGTCATCGAGAGCGGAGGAGTCTGTGGGCACGCGGCCGAGAAGGTAGGGTTGGATATTCGGATCTTCTTTTGGCGGGTAGACCGTCATTCCCTTTTGCGGAGCGAGCTGGTGGAATTGTCGCACCTCCATCTTATGACAAAACGCATACGTCCACCACCCAGCCACCTACACCAACAAGTCAGCCCTCTGTTCCCTTACACAAAGACAGAAATACTCACATAATAAATGCAAGTCCCGCTCAACGGCTCCAAAAGCTCCCACCCACTCCTCTCCGCCCTCGCAAGCTCCTTCTCCTCCTCCGCCTTCGTCAGCGCGCTCGCAGACTCATTCATCCCGCCCTGCTGCTGCTGCACGACCGGCAGCGCACACAGATATCTTTGTCCTTTCAACATCATTGATTCGTATGTCTCTGTAGATTTGTCGGCAGAGTGGAGAAGAGTGTAGGCGTCTGAGTCGGAGATGTATTCGTTTGTCATTGAGACTTTGAACTGGGTGTTTGCTGTCAGTTAGCGCTGTGCAGCTGTATCGAGACAGAGGGTAGATACCTGGGGATATGCTAGAACGTCATCTTGTACTGAAAAGAGGGCAAGTGCGGGTACACCTGCTAGTAACGACAGCAGCCCAATCTTCGTCGCCGTCCTCATCTTCATCTTCATCTTCCAGATCTCTCTCTGTGCTTCCTCTCTGTGCTTCCAATTCACAATCGTCCTCTCAACCTTCAATTTTCTAATCACCTCACACAATTCAAAACCTAGTAATCTCTTAATCTATGCGCACTCAACCCAACAGCTATCTCAGATCTAGAACATTGACCACGTATCTCGACTTCCCATCGCCAATCCTCCATTTCCACCTTCGCTAAGCCGCACGGGGTTGTCACGTGCGGAGAGATCAAAGTATAGCAGCAGTGGAAGGGATGGTGATTATTGTTTATTGTTTATAAAGAGGGATGATGTAGAGGAATATGGAAGAATAGAAGGAGAGGAGAGGAAGGATGAGGTTTACTGATATCATCTGCTTCTCCTCACCACGCTTTCATCCCTCGAATATCCTCCTCCTCCTCGTCAGAGCCACATCGGTCTACCACAAGCTACATCTACACCCTCCTCCTCCCCAACTTCCTCGGACCGCGCTCGTCTTCCGCACCCTTGTACTTACCCAATACTTGAACCCCCTCCGCATCATCGTTGCAGACGACTTAAAGCAAAACCACGCCCTCGTCTCTCTCATCTCATCTACACCTTCGTCATAGCCATAATGCATTCTCTCACACACAGACATCACCTCCCCCGCTCGGCAACCAACCGCCGCATAACCCCCGCCTCCCCCGCCTTCGCACTACTCAACCGCTGCCCGACATCAAACACCGTAAGCCGCCCACCCACCCCCCCGACCGCTACCTGTCTCCCCTCCCTTTTCTCCCACGCGATTTTATTTAACGGGGCCGTCTCCCCTTTCTCCCCTTTCTCCTCCTTCTCATCAGTAGTATGAGCAGCAGCAGCAGAAGAAGAGACAGACGCAGACGCAACAGGAACACCGGTGTCAACTGTTAAATCCCAGATATCCACTTTTCCCGCACACCCGGTCGCCGCAAACACCGCCGGCCGCACAGGACTCCACGCGACATCGTAAATCGCGTCCGCGCCCGCAAACTCCGCTACCGCCTCCAGCGACAGTCCTGCCGCTGCTGCATTAACATTAGTTGATGCTCCTGCTCCTGCTCCTGCTCCTGCTCCTGTGGAGGACTTTGACACACGCCATAACTTCACCGTCCAATCTAAACTCGCGCTCAACACAAACTCACTCAAATCCCCCGCCGCTCCCCCTCCTGCTCCTCCAGCAGGATGAAACCCCAACGCCGACACCGGCGCAAAGTGTCCAGAAGGCTGTGTCGCAAGCGCGAGACCCGCTTTCAGATTTGCGCGCGAGGTGGTGCGGTTGTAGCTGTAGATATTTCCGTCTTCGGAGCCGACGAGGAAGTAGGTTGGGTCTGAGCGGGGGACACAGATTGTTGTGGGGGCGAGGTCTTCTGTTCGGGACGGAGGGGGGAGTTTTAGATCAATTAGTTCCTACCCGTCATTAGCTGTAGCCTCTCATAAACCCAAAACATACAAAAGGAATGGTACCTGAGGCCGAGCAAGCATATCAACAGTCCACGAACACACCCGTCCGTCAGTACTACAGCTCACGATCGTATTCGACCCGCTCGAATTCGCGAAATCAAGCGAGTAAATCGGATGCGCGTGCCCGCTCCCGTTCAGCGCAGACCTGTGCACGGCCTCCGTCGCACCGGAGCGCGTGTCCCAGACTAGGATCTGGCCGTTGTAGCACCCGCCGATTACGAGGTTTGCGTTGAACGGCGAGAATTTGGCGACTAGGACGTCGCTCTGTTTTCGTTAGCTGCAGCGCGGGGATAGAATATGGAAGAAGGGAGCTCACCTGCGCTTGGAAGACAAATTCGGGACGACTTTGTAGATGCGTATTCCACACCTGCACCACGCCCGCCGGTTCGCGCAACGAACTCGTGTTTCTCGAATACGACGCCAGTACCAGTTCCGGGAACTGCAAAATCAGTATCGTCAGCACAGGCTCTTCTCAAGATAATAAGTAAAACGTGGGTGCAACTCACGTAGGACGACCAATCTATCGACGTAACCGACCGATCTTTCGACCACTTTTCAGAAAAGAACTGATAACTCTGCCGAACCAACGACTCAGACTCCGCGTCCCTATACATCCCCAATCAGCCCCCTCTCTTCCTCTCTCAAAAAACCAGTAGTAGAAACAAACCTGGCGTCGGCGGATACACCCACCGCGTAATCGTACAAGACGTCATACTCCTCATCCAGCGTGCGCTCGACGACTTTCGTGGACGATTCGAGGAAGGTTAGGAAGGATGAAGTCTTTAGCACCTCGCTTTTTTCGCTGATTTTAAAGCGTACTTCTTTTTCTGGCTGCTGCTGTTGTTGCTGCTGTGAGGAGGAGGAGGAGGTGCGCAGTTCGCGCTCGATTTCTTCCCGGATCTGGCGCCGTAGTGAAACCTCGTCGATCTGCCCTTCCCTCTTCTCCTTCTCATTCTTATTCAGCTGCTCGTGCTCATCACCGCTCTCGTCGCTACTGCTCCAGAAGTCATCTGTCTGCACTTCCTTACTATACACGATCCTCTGCTGCTGCTCGTTCTGCACCTCGCCCTGCGTCCGCGGCGCAGCTTGTCTCTCTGCTGGCACGACTTCGAATAACGTCGTCGTGACGATGCCGAGTTCTCTACTATCAAACCCGCCCGCGTTCCTACCATAAATCAGCCCCCCTCCTCTCTCACTCTCTCCCAAAGCAGAAACATACCGGTCTTCAAATCCCTCTTCGACCCCGCCGACGTCCGAGAATGGATCCCCGATCCGACTAGCGGGCCTCGACACACCCCGCGACGGCGTCCTAGGCGAACCGACGAGATCGGCGACAAGTTGATCTATATCCGCTCTTCTATCGCCCTGTGTCCTAGATGGAGAAGTATACTTCTCCCCATCACCTGTTAGCCTCTCTCTCCCTCTCTCTCTCTCTCACTCAAGAACAGATCAGAGTATATCAAGACATACAACATCCCGATGCACACTATGCTGCTGTACCCGCTGCTCGCGCAACCGTCGCAAATCAGCTAGCCGCGCTTTTTTTGCCTCGATCTCGGCTTTCAGTTCCATCTGCGCTGCTGCTGCTGCTGTCGACAGATCTATCTCCTCTTAATAGTTGATTGATATCAGCTCTGCTCTACACGTTGAGTTGACGCGTTCGAGTGTAAGCAGTGGGGTTTGTGGCGTTGGTTGTGTTTGTTTACCTTTGTGGTTGATGGTTACGCGCGTCTGATGATGATCATAATCATGAATCTATACTCAAAAGTAGTTGCAGAAGCTAGACTACGATAGTGTGCTTTGCTTAATTGACTAGATCAATACCAGCATTTGAATTGAGCAGAAAGCTGTCGCAGCCAGAATCTACACTATACACAGGAGCGCGTCTAATTGTCACAGCTATATTAACCAACTAACTTATATAGAAATCAACACAAAAAAGACCATAAAAAATACAGATACAACACTAAGTAGTAACAAGATAATAATAATAATACATAGGCAGACTAAGAAACCGTTCCAAAAGCACGTAGAAAGAGCGTGGGTGCATCAAGAGGCTGATGCAGGGGTTACAAAGGTACAGCATAAGAAGAAGAAGAATAAACTAAACGAGAGAATATTGTGGAAAACAGCAAGACACGGTCAGAAAACCCGGTTTATATGACAAAAGGGGAAAAGGTTTCGAGCTCGTGGCTTGTACTCTGAAAAGGAGAAAAGGAGTCCTTTACAGGTACTTTGGCGGCTCGTAGCCGGGCGGCATGCCTTCTCTGACAATCTTGCCCTTGTCGTCAAAGTACGAGCCCTCGTCGCTGATTCCGATGACCGAAGCAGTGGACTCGACCTCGGTCGTCGACCAGCCGTACTGATCCCGCGGGATCCACAGGAAGGGGGCTTCGGATGTGATGGCGGGGTTGTGGTACGCTCCGCGCTCGTCGTCGACGGTGTAGTTTGGCGCGGCCCAGTCGGGAACCATCGTGTTCTTCATCTCGAGGTAGGACGCGTAGATGTCCGGACGGAGGAAGCGGAAGATCGGCTTGGAGTACTTTGCCTTCAAGCGCTCGTTCTCGTACTTCTCGCCGGCCTCGACGTCGTTGTTGCCGAGCGACTTCTCCGTCAATGTAGGCGTGGTGTTTGACGCACCAGTAGGCGAGCTGCGGTCGACGCCGGCAGCGTGCGCGCGCTCCATCTCGACGGACTTGGGCAGGACCTCGAGCAGCGGGCAGATGGCCTTCTGCAGAGTGACCTGGTAGAACGCGGTGAAGGCGAGCATGATTGCGGTGAGGACGATGCAGGCCCAGTTCTTGCCGACGGCGAAGAGACCGATCAGGCAGACCTCGGACAGGTAGAGACCGGTGAAGGTCTGCCAGAGCGCGCGCGGGAAGTTGAGACCGGTGATGTCCATGGGCGAGCGGTAGACGTAGAGGAAGTTGTAGAGGTAGACGAGGTACAAGAGACCGAAGCAGACGGCGCCAAAGAGGATGATCAAGGGCGAGATGATCGAGTAGGTGAGGCAGATGACGAGCAAGTTGGTGTAGACCGGGAAAGTGGTACCCCAAGCCGGCGCCGAGAAGTTGATGAAGCGGTTAAACATCTTGCGCGGGGTCGAGTCGAGGATCCGGGGTAGGATCTGCGAGATGATGAGCGCGACGATCTGCAAGGCAAGGCCACCGGCACCGGAAAGACCCTGGAGGAGGATGTAGGCGATGAAGAAGTTGGAGGCCTTGGGCAGGTTGTTTGCGAGCAAAGACATTGCGGAGGAGGGCTCCGAGATAATCTGGGTGACGACCGAGGCAGCGGCGGAAGAGATGGTGGTGATCAAGAAGACGTGGACGACCTGGAAGCTAAAGTAGGAGTTTTGCACGTGGAGCTCGACCATGGCGGTGGAAGGCACGCCAGAGATGCGGGCAGCAAGACGGAGGATCTTGGGGAGCATCATCATGAGGAGAGCGAGCAAGACGGTAGGGAGCAAGGCAGTGACGAGACCAAACAAAGGCTTGGGCAGGTTGAGGATGAAGCGCAGGAAGTGGACCTTGTCGGTGAGGTAGGTGATGTTGGAGATGGCACCGACAGCAGCGACGGGAATCGACCAGAAGATGACGAGGGCGATGAGGAAAGCAGTGCTGGCGTAGCCCTTGATGACGCGCTCCCACCAAAACAAACGGAGGTTAGCCCAGATAATGTCCTGAGGACGGACACCAAAATGACGGGGAGCCATGTGCAGGGGAGAGTGGTGAGCGAGGAGCTGGTAGGCGTCGTAGGCGGCCTCGGGGGTGGAGAACTCAATGAAGCAGGAATTGAGACGCTTGCTAGAGAGCGAGTCGTCCTGAAGGTCCTTGATCTTGGGGTTGAGCTCGGCGAGCTTCTCGCGGGCGTAGTTGATGGTGTCGACCTTCTTGCCGATGACGGGTTTGAGCTTGTGGTGCGGGCGCTTCTTCTCGGGCACGTACTGGTCGATGGAGGCGCCGTCGAGGGGAGCAGAGTCAGTTCCCTTCTTTTCAGCCTTGCGCTTGTTCTTGAGAGCGGTCTTCAAAAGCTTGACCTCAGCGGCCTCGAGCTTCAAAGCGAGCTTGTCGCGCTCCTGGACAGAGTCCTCGAGATCCTTGACGCTGCGGTTGATCCAGACGTTCTTGGCCTCGGGGAAGAGGTTGAGGAGGACGCGTTCGTTGAGGAAGGAGTCGGGGACGGTCTGGAAGAGGACGGTGCGGAAGGAGACGCGGTTCCAGTAGTAGGGGGAGGTGAGGACGGCCTGGCGGACGGAGATGAAGTACATGAACTCGCGGTAGAAGACAAAGAGGATGAAGGCAAAGTAGAACCACATGAGGAAGACGTGGGCAAAGTAGCGGTTTTTGTTTTTGATGTTTGAGAAGGCGAGCTGGTCGAAGCCGGTCTGGCCCGCGCCGCCGGTGGCGTTGACGGGGAGGAGGATGGGGAAGAGGAAGATGATGCCGACGCAGCAGATGAAGACGGCCATTTTGAGGTAGCGGAGGAAGAAGAAGCCGTCGAGGCCAGCCTGTCTGAGGACGTAGGCGTCAGGGCAGGTGAGGAGGAACTTGAGCCATTCTAGTTTTCCGGTGGGGAGGGGTTGAGTGCGTTGGCTGTAGAAGTTATTAGTAGGTGTAGATAGTAGGAGAGAGATAGAGGAAGAAAAACATACTCCTCGGGAATGATATCGACGAATGTTTTGGGCTGGTAGAGACGGGTGAAGCGACCGCGAAAGATGAGGAAGAGGAAGATGAAGATGAGGAAGATGACGCCGTTGAGGATGAGGGCGGAGACGAAGGAGGAGGTGGAGGAGGAGGCAGTGGAAGCGTCCGCCATGGTGGAGAGTAGTTATGGAGTGGTGAAGGTGGTGAAGAGGACGAGGAAGAGAAGAGGAGGAAAAGCGGCCAAAATAAAGAACAAAAGTCGGTCACAGATTGCGCGTGCCAAAGAAGGCGTACTAACCCCGATTGGGGATAGCGTGATAAGCCAGCGCCGCGAGGGTTTCGGCGCGGCCTCACGCCGTACCTGAGGCGCAGCAATTACTGTTTGTAGTAGTGGAGAAGATGTTGTAGAATGTAGAAAGAGGGGAATAAGAGTTGTTGCTGTTATTACAATACACTACACTGCTTTTTTAGTATCAATGTTGTCACTGCTAATACTATCTCATGATCTCTACTTCCAGATCTGGTGGCTGGGAGGTGGCGAAATAGGTACCCACCAGCCACCCTGCGCCGCACGGAAGCAGTGGCGGTGTCGTCGTCATTGTCGCGCTCAGATCCGCCGGGACCCTGAGAATTGCTGACTAACATCTATATTTACATCTTTTACTATTTGTAGTGTATTGTTTTGTATTGTGTTGTGTAGATATAGAATATATGTGCTTATTCTTCTCTAGAATCTCTACTTATCTGTAGTTATCTCCCTTGCAGCTCTGTGCATGATGTAACTGGCGTCGTCGATCACGACGTCATCGCATCGCATCTCTGTTGATCACTTCTCCTGCTTCCCTAATCGCTCTCCGATATCTTCTCTTCTTATCAAAGATATTAGGAATATCCAGCCAACTGCTCCGCCTGATTAAACCTCCACAGCCCAACCTCCCTCGCCGCCTTCCAAACCGCCTCCTCCTCCTCGTCACTTATCTGCCTGTTGATATCCTCATACCGCACCCCGCTTCCCCGCGCACTCTTCCGCCCAACATGTCCCGACGGAAAGTACTGGCTCATGATGTGCACAAAACTGTCCTTATCCACCTCCTCCGCGATAAACCTCATAATCGCCTTCGACTCCTCCACGTAGTTTGGCATAATCAGATGCCGAATCAGCACCCCCTGCTTCGCCAGCCCGTCCCCCGTAAACTTGAGCACCCCGACCTGCCCCGTCATCTCCACAATCGCCTCGCGCGCGGTGGACGGGTACTTCTCCGACTTTAGCAGCCGCTTGGCTGTCTCTGGCGACCACAGCTTGAAGTCGGCCAGGTAGATATCCACCAGCCCGTCCAGCAGCTTCAGGCTCTCGACAGAGTCAAACGACGACGTATTGTAAACCACCGGGATCCTCAACCCTTCCTCTCTCGCGCGCACAATCGCCTTCGCAACAACCGGCACAACGTGCTCGGGCGTCACCAGGTTGATGTTATGGCACCCACCCAAATCCTGCAGCTTGACCATCCACCCGCCCACCTCCTCCGCCGTCAACATCTCGCCCGCGTCTTTAACATGCGAGATATCGTAGTTCTGACAGAACGCGCACCGCAGATTACACGACGCGAAAAACACCGTGCCCGACCCGTTCGTGCCCGTGATGCACGACTCCTCGCCAAAGTGCGGTGCTATCGTCGCCACCGGCACCCGCTCGGCGCCAAGTGCGCAGAAGCCGGTCGTCGTGTAGCGGTCGACTGAGCAGTTGTGCGGGCAGAGGTTGCAGTTGCGCAGGTGGCGCTCTGCTGCGGCCTGTTTCTCGTCCACAGAGTCCTGCTGGAGCATCATGTACCGCGGCGTGTAGTCATCGAGGAGGTATTGAGGGGGGATCCTGATGCCTCGTCTGAAGACCGATGACCTGAATGAACTGTATCTGGAGGATCTGACGATGTGTCCTACTCTGCTGGTGTATCTGATGTGCATGGTGTTGATGAAGAGTGTGTCTGTTCGTTACTTTGCCCTAATTATCGCCAATTCTATTGGTCACATGAACTTGTAGTGAATAGTTGATGTAGTTCAGTCAGTCTCATAGAACATGTAGCATATAGATGTTATTACATTACTGATTACTGATTACTGATTACTGATTACTGATTACTGATTATTGATTGAGGGGAGATAATTGAGTAGTTGATATTCTTGAACATTCCCCACATCCCCACACTCACTCACTCACTCACTCACTCTATTCACTATTCTACTCCACTCTCAGATCCACCATCAATTCATACAAGTTGATAAAGTAGATTCAGAGAGCACGCTCAATCTGACATTGCTCAACATCATTCAAAGACACACTCAATAGACACGCTCAAGCCAAATCACGCCGAGACAGACACTGAGGTCTTCTCAGCCTAATCAAGCGGAAGGCATCGGCCCCTTAGGAGGATAAGCACTTCCCTCAGGCTTAGGACACGAGCACCTATAAATCATCAGTACTCCCCTCTCTATACTCTCCTCTATACTCTATACAATGACAACAGACTCACCACTCAGACTGCGGAACATTGTCGAGAACAGACGGAATATGGAGTCCACATCCAAACCAGGTCTTGCCGGCTGCGATTGTCAGTCTTTGATATAATCCTATGCTCTTGATATATCCACTTACAGCACTTGTCGCAGGTAGTAGGCTTGCACATTGTTGTATCTTTTACTGTAATGATGATACTAGATACTACTCCACTACTCCACTACTAATACACAATACGCCAGGGCTAGGTTTGATCCCGTTATTCGCCAGTTAAGCGTCAGCCTTAAACCCGACATTAAACGCAACGCTTTTTCTGATGTTTCTATTCTTTATATCTCCTTCTTATATCATTATATTCTTGTATTATAACAACATCTACTCTTCTTCTCTTCCATCAGGAGCTCTCATCACCGCTCACGTGCACAGTCACATGTAATCATGCGAGGGTGTCGTACTCCGCGTGCGGCCACCCAATTTGGGCCTGAGCAACCGAAGCCGCGCTGCTGCTCCATCTCCTTGTCTCCTTCCTCTTCTTCCTCCTCCTACACCCTCTTCCTCCCTCCTCCCCTCCTCATCCCGACCATGGCCAAGCAAGGCGCCACCTTCAACGCCTTCGCGGCTCAGGGCTCCGTCTACCGCATCTCCGCCCTCGTCATGTTCACCTGGGCCCTCTTCCACTTCGTCTTCTCCCCCTCCTCCTCCGCATCCATCTCAAACGAAGAAGCCCAGGCAAAAGCCCGCGTCGCCCTCCAGCACAAAATCGAGACCGCTGACGTCGGCCCCGACGGCTTCAAAATCATTGCCCGCGACTACTTTGAGGACTTCTACGGTGCCCAGGAATGCAAGATCTCCTCCACCCGCCTCTACAACCCAATGACAAAACCCGACGGCTCCCTCGTCCGCCCCTACTGCGACTCCAAAGCAAAGCTCCTCGAGGCCCTCTCCGGCGGCGGCAGAGTCGGCTTCAACGCGCCCTACCACCCCCGCAGCTGTGAGTACCGCTGGTTCGACCCTGAGGAAATCTGCATGATCCTCGACCGCTTCGACGCCGTCATCTTCATCGGCGAGTCCAGCATGACCTCCCACCTCTACGGCGCATTCAACTCCCTCCTCCGCAAAAACCTCGCCTGGGGCGCCCTCAAGAACTGGGAGCTCAACGAGCAGCAGCGCCAGCGCTGCCGCTGCGACTCCCAGTACACGAACCCGCAATGCGGCGGCTCCCAGACAGGATCCGGCGACCACTTCATCGCCGACTCTGCCGAGATCCTCGACGCAAAGGAGGAAGGCACGCGCGTCGGTGCGCCGTACGTCTGCAACCGCGTCTTCCACGGCATCGTCAACGTCAACTCCGAGCCCGTGTCGCAGTCCACGCTCGAGGAGATCGACGAGATCTTGACCACCTACCACAAGACCGCCAAACCGGTCCCCATCATCATCCAGCAGGGCATGTCTCTTGGATTCAACTGGGACCGCACCACAAAGGTCATCGACGCGATCTCAAAGCAGATCGAGCTCCACGAACCCAACCCCGTCCACCGACCTGTGCTCTGGCTCGGCCCCACCGCCGCCGGCCATCTCAAGCCCCCCGGCGCAATCATCGAACAAGGAAACCCGGCTCTGCATCACTTCACCATCGAGCTCGCCAAGCGCGCCCAGGACAGAGGATTCGACGCTCTAAGTCTTTTCAACCTCACACTCCAGGCAGACTCCTTTGACGGAACAATGTATTCTGGCGACGTCAGTCTCACCACCGCCATGATGGTCGTCAACTGGCTCAGCCGCGTCGAGAGTCTATGATTCCTCTTCCTTTCTTTCATCTCTGTACCAAAAGTCTCGACGCCACTAGTCTACCCCATCTACCCTGCTATCTACCATTCTATCTGCTATCTACCCGTACATCCTTGCGATCTACATTTTGGATCAGCCTCACAGCACACACAAACGCTAATAGACTGTGGTCCGTCTTCTTTCTTATAAGAAGCTATGTCTTGTTTTCTTGTTCTGGTTGTTTAATATTCTTTGATAGGAAGAAATTGTATCAACTACGTACATTGTATCCTCGCGTTCTTATCTAATGTGATCTTCTTCTTCTCTTCTCTTCTTCTATTTTTTCTTTTGTATATTTGTTCTTGTATCTATTTTCGCTCATCCTGTCTTCCGCAATAATCATCACCTTCTATATCTCATCTCCCCTTGTTCCCTCTTCTTTACATCTCTCAGCACACTTACATAATCCCTCACTAATCACCTTAGGGCTACAACCCCAACCCCGCCCGCTATAAAACCCAACCTCCTCGAACCTCCCAAATTTTTTTTTCTTCTTTTTCCACATCAAAGGATTTGGACAACGACCAGCCTGGCCGAGGTTTTTCTAAGGTTCAGAGTTCTAGTCGTTGCGTTCGATGGTAAGCGGAGTTGATCAGAGGCAAATATCGCGCTGTCGCTCAAACGTTTGCCCGTGTCCTGTTCGTTCCGGCCTCTTCGTGTGCTGGGTCAAGAGTCGATGGACGTGTGGAAGGATTTGCCCCCTCGTTTTCAAAGAGATTTGAAGCGTGCGCGCGGGAGATTCGTTTATAAAGCATGGTTCGGAGATGATGGCTCAGAGTCGGAGGTTCATAGGACGGAACGTATATGCAGGCACGAAGCACGTTCGAGACGGCAGCCGATGGTCTTATAGATGATTGATTTTTTTCTCACGACGGAATCCCGGTCGACGAATCCGATAGTGAGCCTCTAGAACCTTACTGTTTTCCCTTCTTTCTTGCTCACTGCTTCGTGTGGTGGGCGAGAGGGGAGGGGCGGTGGGGGTTTAGGCAGCATATTCCTAAATGCTACGTACGGCCGTTGGCTAATGGACGTTTGGGTGTAACCATGCTGCGCACATTTCTTCATGTAGTTAAAGGCCTTGGGATGGTTCACTTATCTGAACGGCCCGAGTCTTCTACTACTCTTCTCTTCTCTTTCTAGTAATAATAATAATAATAATAATAGAATTGCATCTCATAACTTTCTAAAACTTTGCTCTTCTTCTCGGCTTCGGCGCCGCCCGTTCCTCATCAGACTCCTCCTCCTCCCTCCCTCTCTTATTCTTATACTTCAACTTATTCCTCTGCCCCCTCACCGGCCCGTTCTTCACCGCGTCCAGATACGCATTCACCGGATTCGCCTCCGCCGCGCTCGCCGCCAGTTTCTGCACAACAGCCGCGTCGGGGTCGATTGCTTTCTTATTCGCCTCCTCGTCGTCAACCAGCATCTTCCCCGACGCCTCGCTCACGCGCACTTTGCTCATCCGGCTCTTTCTTGCCGCGCCGGATGCTGCTGCGGTAGGCTTCGTAGATGAAATCCGCGCAAGCGTCTTCTTGTCGAGTAAATCGAGCGGATCATCGTCGTCGTCAACGATATACGTCTCTCCCTTCTTCTTCCTCCCACCCACCGACGTCTTCGCCCGCGCAGCCTTCCTCGCCTGCCGCGTCTCTTCGTCGTCAGACTCGACGTACTCCGAATCACTATCCGATCCATAAATCGCCTCCTCAAACTCCGACAGAAACTTCTTCTGCTTCCGCTGCTGTTTGCCCTCCTCCTCCTCCTCCGCATCCTCAGCCCCCTCCGCCTCTTTCTTGCGCGCCGCGCGCTCTTTCGTCTTGCGGATGTTGGTCAGCAGCTTCTTATCCGCCTCCGGAAACACCTTCTCCATAGCCTCGACGCCGAATCTGCGAACCAGCCGCTCGAGAAGATGCTTGACCTTCAGCTTAAACCGCGCGTGGTGCTCGTGCGCCCACTCGAGTAGATTCGGCACCAGCGTCGCGAGCTTGGGTTCCACAAACTCCTTTGGCAGCGAGGTAACAATCACCTTGACGAACCCGAGCGCGGCCTTCACGATCTCGCGGTTCTTGGACGTCAGAAACAGGTCGATCGTCGCCACCAGTTCTTCAATCACGCTCGCGTTCAGGATCGATTTGTATTGATACAGCAACCTGCTCAACGCCGTGATGCTCGCGCTGATCATATGCGGCGTCGCGCCTGCGAGTCCAGCAGACACCATTGTGAAAAACTCATCGATCGAGGCCTCGACGTCCGCTGCGCCGGCGTCCATGTTTGGAACTTTCGAGATCGCGACCGAGCCGCCGCCCGCCATCTTGTCGCCCATCGCAACAAGCAGGTTATACGCTGCCTCGCGCGTCTTCTCATTGACTTCCTTCGTGCCGATCACAGCCTCGGGAAGGATCACGGGGATGAAATGAAGGTCGGAGGAAGGTAAGATGCGGACTACGTCAATCAACGCAGACATCCGCGCCCCGCGCGACGGCGGCGTCACCTTCTCAGACGCACCAGCAATAACCCCCTCCAAACTATCAATATTCGCCACCAAAAACTCCGCTCCGTCCTCGCTCTGCGCCATCCGCGTGATGATCCGGTACCCGCGCTTCTGGAGCTGCGAGTCCGGGTTCTGGATCGTGGCCATGAAGATCTTGCTTAGCTCGCCGTAGAGCGAGATAGGGAGGTAGGGCACCATCGCGACGGCGAGGTCCATCATCGTGTGGCTTACGGGCGGCACGCTGAATTTCCCGGTCGGGTTCGCGCCGGTGTCTTTTTTCTTGGACGCGGATTTCTCCAGCGCGGGGGTGAGTAGCGAGACTACTTTCTGAAAAGTGCCTTTGATGTCCTAGATTAAAGTTAGTACCTCGAAAGTCATAATATATAGAAGGAAGACACACCTCCGCAGAAGTAATCGAGAGAAAAGAGTTGATAGTATCAAGGATAAACACCCGATGCTCCGACACAGTCTGATTAAACACATTAAACAGCACCGCCAAAAACTTCGACGCCATCCCTCCCAAATACTCCAGATTCCGCCCCGCCTCCTCCTTCGACAGCCTGGCCTCGAGGAACGGGTTTTGCCCATCAATCGCGCCCTCGACGTACAGCTTGTTACTCTCGACCAGCACCCTCAGCGACTTACACACCACCTGCCGCAGCTCCACGCGCTGGTACAGCACGTTCGCGAGCGCCTCCGCAAACGGCTGCGTGAACGAGTCGCGCAGGTCGAGCGGCAGATCGCAGTACCGCGGCAGCAGCGCCCAGATCTGCTCCACGAGCGTCTCGTAGATCTTCACTTGCACCGTGCGCTCGCTGTCGCCGCCGAGCGACTCGACTTTTTGGTACAGCCGGTCGCCGAGCGGGGCCATTTCGGTTACGTAGTGGCCCAGCGTCGCGTTGCGGATGTTGTCGCGGAGGAGGGGGAGGAGGAAAGCGCGGCCGGGTTTGCCGGGTCTAGAATCGTCAGTAAGCAAGTTCAACAACAAAAGATAAAAAAAAGAGAGAAGACACACCCAGGACTTTCCAAATTCAACGGCAAGATAGCCAACACCTTCTCCGGTCCGAGCGCGCGAATAGCAGCACCGATAACCTCATCCGCCTCCGCTCGTCCTTCAAACTCGCCTCCGGTCCTCAACTCGCCAACCGTGACGAGGATATCAATCAAGTACGGATCAGCAACGAATCCAAATGCGTCGAAAAGCGCGGTGAGGATGGTGAACACGTCGCGCCAGACGGTCTGGTACTTTACGCTCAGGAAGGAGTTCGCGGTCGCAGCGATGGCAGCGAGGGTTTGCTTTGTTGACTTGGCGAGCGGTTGCGCGACAAGCGCGTCAACAGGGATACAAGTCGTCGCGAGCGCGATGAGACACTGCGCGGCAGAAGTCACCACGTTCTCAGGCAACCCCGCCTGCATAAACTCCGCGACCGTCTCAAACAGCTCCGGGAGCTTGTTAAAAGTCTTGATCTCGTCAATGTCGCTGTAGGCCTGGAAGCACTGCGCGAGAATCGCGAGCCACGACGGCGCAAGATGCTGATCCGACTCCGACGGCCGCAGATCGAGGATCGAGCTCGCGATCTTTTCAAACTTGGCCGCGTCAAGCTTATTGTCCTCGTCCGCAGACTCCGCCATCGAGCTAAACAGCGCCTGGAACACGTCCATCGACGCAGTGACGAGGTACTCCTCCGCCGACCGCGAAATCGTGAGCAACACATGACACAGCGCCTCCACGTTCGCAGCCGGCCAGCCGCCTTCGCCACCGGCAATCGACCTCGTCAGCTGCAGCGCAAAGATCAGCCGTTTCTCCGCCGGCCGCGGCGCGCCGCCGCTCTGCGCCTTGCGCTTCTGCCCGTCGCTTCTGAACGCCGCGTACAGATCGTCGATCGACCGCAGCGTGCTCTCCGTGCACGAGACCACAGCCGGGTGCACGGGCGAGGGGCCCGCAGGCGGATGGCTGAGCACGTTTGCGATTCCCTCCTGCGCGCGCTTGCGCACTTTCGGCCGCTCGTCGAGCGCGAGCGACATGATTCCGTTCAACGCCTTGCGCGGGCCGAGTTCAGACGCCGGTTTGCGCCAGGCCGCGGTGTCCTGCGCGATCAGGATCGACTCCAGACATCCGATCGCGGATCTGATGAGCGCGGGGCTGGCGTCGGCGTGCGTGAGCGAGGGCGAGATGTAGACGAGGATGGAGGCGAATTTGCTGATGAGCAGCTGCGGCGGCGCGTGCGGCAGGACGGTGTCGAGTAGGTACACGACCGACGAGGCGAGCTCGGGGTTTTTGATTTCGTCGTCGGAAAAGGCTTGGTTGAGGAGCGAGAGGAGGGCGATCACGTAGGCGGAGGGCGAGAGCTCTGTGTTTTGCTCTTTGAGAGTCTGCTCAACTGCGTCCAGGATCACAGATAGCTGAAGTGTTTTGTTAGCACCTTCTCTTCTATCTGTAGATATAAATATCACTCCTACCTGCTTCTGATGCTGCAGCTTCGACGTTTTGTGCAGTCTTATTCTATCCAACTTCGATTCCAGCGTAACCTCCCCCGCTGCATTCTCCTCCACATGCAAGTTCCCAATTTCCTCCGGTGCCATTTTGTTCTGCGCAGTCATCTCTTTCTTCACACTAGGCACAACAAAAGGGTAGAGACTCAGAGGTGGGAAAGATAAAGGTGCTGAGAGAACTGAGAATAAAAAAATCTTTGCTGCGGCGGGCGGTTGGGAGTTTTGGCGCCGGGTAAACTCGTGCGGCTCAGCGGGTTTTTTTTCTTGAAGTCTGAAATGGAGGCGATGAGAGAAGAGGAAGAGAACAGCTATATAACAACAACAACAACAACATCGCAGCATTGAACGAGATAGGTCGAGGAGTCTGGAAATGTCGATAAATTTTGGACTGTCGCGGATAACAAACATCCTCAGCGCACTGCGCGACCCGCACAAGAACTTCAGAGTCTTCCATGTGGCGGGCACGAACGGCAAAGGCTCGATATGCGCATACCTGGCGTCGATCCTCACCAAGGCGTCCTATACCACCGGGCGATTCACCTCGCCGCATCTGCTGTATCCGCGGGACTCGATCACGATTGACGGAAAGGCGGTCAGTCAGAAACTGTTTGACGACGCGTACGGGCTCGTGAAGAGCGTGAGCAGCAGGATTGACCAGGGCTCGGCGACGAATTTCGAGTTGCTGACGGCGACCGCGTTCGAGATCTTCAGTCGGAGGAAAGTCGATGTCGCGGTTATCGAGGTTGGGATGGGAGGAACGCATGACGCCACGAACGTGGACTACAAACGCAAAGGGGTGGGGGCTACGATTATCTCCCATATTGCAATCGATCACCAGGCGTACTTGGGCGAGAAGCTGACAGATATCGCCAAACACAAAGCCGGCATCATGCGGCATCGAGTACCGTGCGTGCTTGACGGCACGAACGAGCCTAAGGTGCTTAAGGTACTCAAGGCGACCGCCACGGACCCGTCATCATTGGCGTATACGACTGTTGTCGACCCTCAGAGGTTTATCCAGCGGCCATCGACCGAGAAGGAGCTAGCCAACGGGGCCCGGAGAACACAGCAGTATCTCTATACAGTGAAATTTGGAAGAATCCGGCTAGGCGGCGGACCGCTGCATGGAATCTTCCAGATTCGCAACCAGGCGCTGGCTATCAAAGCCTTAGATGTATGCGCACGCAAATTTCCACGAGTCAACGTCAAGGCGATCAGGCAGGGAATCGCAAACGTGAAGTGGCCGGGCCGGTTGCAGATTCTGCCCTCCAGCCTCTTCACCGGAGACGAACAACGGCAACAGAATGTTATCCTCGACGGAGCACACAACGTAGTAGCAGGAAGGGTTGCCATGAGATACTTGAGACAGCTGAAGAGACAGTACCCGGACCAGCCGGTTACCTGGATCGTCGCGCTCTCGGGCGACCGGGATCCGGACCAGCTGTTTAAGTTATGGTTTAAAGAGAACGACCGAGTTATCGCGGTCCCGTTCAAACCGGTGGAGATGATGCCGTGGGTGAAGCCGATGGACCTAGACGTGCTGTTAGAGTCGGCCGCGAAGTTAGTCGGGCGGGAAAGGGTGATTGGAATGAGTGGCAATATTCTCGATGTCATTGCTAATGCTTGCAACGACAATCCAGATAGTGCGCTAGTGGTTGTTATAGGCAGTTTGTATCTCGTCGGGGACGTCCTGCGCGGGTTGGTAGAGAGCGGGAGGATGAAGTTGGACGATTTGATGTAGTATAGCCGTAGATGTTTACGATTTAAATAGAATCACGATTGAGGATAGTAGCGTAGTATTGATTCACTATGGACAAATCTCCTTAAACGTCCAAACATACTCGCCCGCCCGCTCAAACAAGATGCGCTGGCCGATTCCCGAGACATTTGTAAAGTCGACCAACTCAGGCGAACACATAATCAACACAAAGTTCTTCTTCCCCTCCGCCATAAACTCCTCCGGGATCTCCTCGCCATTACGCACGTTGTTTGTCGCCTTCTCAACCTTCTCGAGCTGCTCAAAGTGCTCCTGCGAAAACTCCGCGCCAGGCGGCGGCTTGCAAAAGCTCAGCTTCATTGCAGGCGAGAGCACGGTCCAGGACTTGTAGAACTCGGACGCGACAGAGTCGTCGGCGGGCTCCTCGGTGCCCTTGGCCGGGTCCGAGAGGTAGACCTCGCCGGAGTGGTTGAGGAACGCGAGCTTGCACGAGCCCGCGATGCGGAACTGCACGAGGTCGTTTTCAAAGTAAAAACAGGCCTCGAACGCGCCGTGCGTGAGCGGCCGCACAATCTGGTCGAACTTCGCCATGCGCTTGTCGGTCGTCACGGTCAGAATGCCGGAGTTGGGCGTGAATGCAAAGCCGCGAAACATGCACGTCCGCGCGTGCGGACGCACAAAGCTCTTTGTCTCGCCCGTGCGCTCGTCGGTGAACTCGCTGACGGAGACGGTCGAGAGCGTGAACGGGTAGGACGGCGCCGGGTTGGACTCGTCGACGGGGCCGTCGAGCGCTGCCGTGGAGGACTGGCCGTTGTGCTTTGCGGCGGCGGAGCGCAGGAAACTCTTGAATGTCGACACCCACGGCGCGATCACGGTCTCGAGGTTGTGGTGCGCGGCGGTGTCCATGAGCGGGTCGCCTGTATTTCTGTTGGAGTGCGAGTGCGAGTGAGCTGACATTGTGGTTTGTTGTCTGGTCAGACGGTGGTTCTGCTCCGAATTGTCGTAAGAAATTGTCGACGCAGACAAGAGTCGGGGAGGAGGGTGGGCGGTGAAGTCTGCGGAGAGATTACGTGGAGGTGAATCAGCATCACGTGCACGTTCTGTTAGTTATAGGTGCAATTTCTGGATATGATCTACTTGAGTGTTTAGAGAAGACAATGATGCTGTTTTTAGTGGTTTATCGACGAATTGGATGGAAGAAGACGAAGAGGAACTGACGAGATATACGGCAGACGGTCTACAGGAGCTCCATTGTTATCAGCGCAATTGACCAGAGGCCAGCGGTAAACACTCAATTCCTTTCTACAGTCTACACAAAATACAGAGTCCAGCAGCTTAGCCACCGCATCTCCTTCGTTCTTCTTCTTCTTCCTCGAGGAGTCTTCTCCACCACCGATAACAATCAGCTCTGCGCTGGATCCTAATCAGTACGTCGCCCTCACTGCTTACATAAACCTCACAACACCCTCACTCACTGTCAGCAACCTGTTATCGCCCGCCCGCATCGCGCTTCGACTATCACACCGCTGCTCCCAAGACACGTAAACAGAGGACGTAAACACCCGCGTCCACAGACACCAAGAACACGATAAAAAAAAGAGCAAGAAGCAATGGCACAGCCAGAGGACGCGTCCGCCTCCGCCGCCTCCGCACCACCCCCCGCACCTACCGACCGGCCGGCGGCGGTGTCGCCCGAGCTCGAGGTCTTCCGCTGCCCGGTCTGCGACAAAAAGTTCCTGTCCAAATCCCAACGGTCGATCCGCGAACACGTCTCGCGGCGGATGCGCGCCGACAACCCGGACGGGCACGCGCACACGGAGTACTACCGCGCCGAAATCAAGCGGACAAAGCTCTCGGAGGACGAGCGCAGACGACACAGCGCGGCGGCGCAGCACCGGTATCGGGTCCGCAAGGCGCTGGACGCGAAGGAGTTGGCAGAGAAGCACGGCGGGCCGCCGTCGATATACGACAAGTGCAAGTTGTCGGATAAAAAGTCGGGCTTGCAGAGACGGGTGTTGAAGAAGAAGATGGCGATTCCGAAACCGCTGCCGCCGGAGCTGGCCGAGGTCGAGATACCGTCGGCAAACCCGTTTGTGTATATCCAGAGCCATTGGCTGGTTACCTTTATCGACCAGAACGTGCAGTTTGTCTCGTTCGAGGAGGCGTTGAAGAGATCGAGAGATCGTCTGGGGAACGACGATAGTAAAATTGAGTCGGTACGTATTCCTCTCCCTTGCAAGACCAACACAGCACCTAACATCCCCAGGAATTCAACCAACTCGCCAAAACCTCCGTCGGCCCAAGCAAAACAGACATAATAGCCGCCTACGTGGTCTGGAAAGACCCCTCGGCCTGCAAAGACGCCTACGAGCAATACGTCAACTACCTCAACCTGCAGATGCTCAACATCGGCCGCCGCAAAGCGTACGAGGAAGATCTCGCAAAGTGGGAGGAAATGGTCTCGCGAGCGGCGCAGGGCCGGAACGAGGACGAGGTCAGGGAGAAGTTGGAGGCGTGGATATATCGCCAGAAAGTCCTGCACGGCGCGTCCGAATCTCCTGAACGCAGCACGAATACTACATCACAGACAGCTGAGCTGCAGAGATCGCAGAGCGAAGGCCCGCAGCAGGAACAAGAGTCGAATGACGACGCCGAAGATCCAGATTCGGGAATCGACCCGTCACTCAGATACGACGTCCGCGCTTCGTCTGCGCCGGTCTCTGTGCCGGCCGCGGTCGTGCAGGTCTCTGTGCCGGTCGCGGTCGTGCAGGTCGCTGCCGAAACTATTGCAGCCTCGGACGCTGCCGCATGGGAGCAGGCACAGTTGGGCACATGATAAATTATACGAAGATATTAATAGACATCTATATTCCCAAGGCACACATGATTAAAACCGTAAATGCATTATTATTATCTAACTCTGATTATCCTCCGGCGTGAATGTAGTCTCGCCCAGCGCGCCGGTCGTGTCCTTCTTACTCTGCGACAACCGCTGATCCAAAGCCTTCAACGCCAACGCGCGACGCCGCTCCGCCTCTGCTCGCGCGCTTCCCGGCAACGGCGCCACAAACCGCTGCCGCAGCTGTCCGTTGCGCATGTTTGAAGCCTCGACGTCTTCCTGCGAAAAAGGCGTACACAGCCGCAGCGTGACAAAGAAGTTGAAGGTCTTGTCGGAGATGAAGCCGATGAACGGCGCGATGGCGTCGGGGAAGAAATTCGCGAGCGAGAACGTGTCGGACGCGTCGCCTTTTGTGGTTGTCGGTTCGGCCGTGACGGGCGCGGGCAGGCCGCCAGGGGACGAGGCGGTATAGAGGTCGTTGTCGAAAGGGAGGTTGGAGACGCGGTAGAAGCGCAGGTAGATCCAGGAGGTGAAGAAGCCGGCCCAGGTGAGCATGGCTTTGACGCGGCCGCCAAAGAGACCGATGATGGTGTTGACGAGCAGGAAGATGGCGGGAAGCTGCTTGACGCGGATCTTGATGAGGCCCCTGAAGAGCACGACGGCGTGCTCAGGCACGAGCTGCTTGAAGGCCACGAGGAAGCCAGATTGCAGGGCAACGCCTCCGCAGATTGTGAGGAATCTAAAAGATTATTAGCAATTTGCGATAAGTAAGTGAAGGACTGAAAGAAAGGATGAACTTACCCTATATCAGAGTGTCGAGTTATGCCATAGATAACGATGCAGACGAAAAAGACGACAAAGTTGGAGGCGACTCCGACGATAGCCAGAAACTTGAGGAGCTCCATCGATCCCCAGACGCGCTCACAGTACTTTGCACCATATGCAAGCGTTGCGACGGAAATCAGCAGACTCAGAATGTTCTGCTCGATGTATGAGGCAGTAATGAATGTCCAGGGAAAGACGATGGAGCTGGCGGGGACGACGGTCAGGTACGAGACGTAGACGGAGGAGAGCGGCAGTTTGTTTTCCGGGTTGGCGGCGCGCATGGTGAAGTAGGCAGAGTAGCGGATGATGGCCACGACCGCGGAGAGGATGACTGTGATAACGACTGCGGTTCTGGTAAGGGGCGGGAGGTTGACTCTGAGCAGGCCGGAGCCGGTCTGCGACAAAGCCAGACGGGCCATGCTGTGTGGGAGGAGGAAGGAGAGGGTGATTGAGGGGTATAGAGAGAATTGAGGTGTCTCGAGCGAAGAAGTCGAGGATCAAAGCGAAGAAGTCGAGGATCAAAGCAGAACGAGCCGTAGAAGCAGACGATGCAGCAGGCAGGGTTCGAGGAGCCGAGTTCAGTCGACGGAACCAGGTCAATTGCAGCAGATATAAAACCAATTGCAGCAGCAGCACTCGCTTTCAGACCTCAGACACACGACATCAGCACGCAAAAACGGCAACAGAGCAAAAGCAGCCGGCTGCACAGCTTCTGCTTCTCAACGGCGGCGACGACGACGCGATGCTGAACGGCCGAGCCTGAGCGCAGCCAAACCCTAATCACGTGGTCTGCTGACTTAGCACCGTAACAATCACGTGGCTGCTCGACTTATGCTGCGTTCCATTCCGGCGACTCTTCTTCCTCCTCGTCCGCTGAACCACCTTCACGGCTTTTGAAGACCGTCTCCAATCCCGCTTTTCACTCCCCGTCGGGCCGCCAGATGCCCGCAGCTCCCTGCTGTCTGCGTCCTCTGTCTGCGCTGTGTTGATGTCTCTGACCGGCTGCCTCGCACTCAATCAGCGACCTGGTCTACGCACCTGCCCTGCTCTCTACCACCCACCATGTCTATAACTTCCCGCGAACTCAACTACCTAATATGGCGGTACATGCAGGAGTCCGGCCTCCCGCGCTCGACCTACGTCTTCCAGGACGAGACCGAGGCAAACGCGCTCGACGCCTCCTACGCCTCCGTGACCCCCGTCGGGCTGCTCGTCAACGTGTTCCAAAAGGGTCTCCAGTACATGGAAATCGAGTCCACTCTCGAGGCCGACGGCGGGGTCCGGCCGTCTCCGCCTGTTTTTAATTTGTTTTCTGACCAAGTCGCGCGCAAAATCGATCAGCTTGCGGATGAAGAGCCGCCGGAGGAAGATGAACTGCCACCTCAAGATGTGACCCCGGATTCCGCGGCACCACCACAACAACAAATACAGTCAATAGAACAGCCGGCCGAAGAAAATGAAGAGCAACCGGAGCAAACAGATGTGACGATGAACGACGCGTCGCCTGAATCAATACACAGTCTACCTGCCGAGCCTGCTGCCATCGAGCCACTTCCAGCACCTACACCTACACACACACACACACACACAACAGCACGGAAGCACTCAATAGAAGACGACGGCGACGAAGAACAGCAGCAAGAGAGCACAAAAGCGCAGACCGCACCGGTAGAGGACGAGCCAAAGCGCGTAAAAACATCACACGTGCGAACAACAAGTACTGCGACAGCAAATCTCTTTCAACAGCCACCCCACGTTCCCACAAAACCCACGCAGTCGTCGTCTGCCTCCGAGCCTATCCACGAGGTCACCAAGGTCAAGTCAGAATCGTTATCCTCCGCCGCCCCCACAAAATCAAGATCGAAGACAATCTATCTTGCGGGCGTGTCTGCAGCCGTCGACAGCGCCTGGAGTCCGGACGGCACAAAACTAGCAGTCTCGACTTCGTCGTCTACCGTTTTCCTGTACTGTTTCTCAAACTCGACATCCGAGCCAGTCTCGGAGGTGCAGATAACTCTGAACGCGATCGAAGAGATCTCGAGCCTGGCTCTGAGCGCAAACATGCTTGCCATCGGTACATTCTCAGGCACGGCGCAGTTGTGGAGTATAACAGGCGAGAAACCAAAGCTAGAAAAGACGTTGAGAGGACTCCGAGAGGCGCCGATATTATCGCTCGAGTTTGTGATTTCAGAAGGCAAGCTACTGCTAGCTGCGATCGACTGTCTGCGAAATGCCGCGGTGTGGAGTTGCGCAGAGGCCGAGACGCCGCTGGCGTTCCTTGTGCCGGATGCAAGCGACTGCACAGACGACGAGCTGAGCGCAGATATCAAAAACTCAATCTCAGACCTGCAAGTGTTGACGGCGATGAAAGCAATTGCGACGACAACAGGACGGAACGGGACCATTGATGTCTACGACCTCGCGCGGGTTTCTAAAGGAGGCCAGATCCAGCCTCTGTATTCGCTCAAGGGACATACGCGAGCGGTCAACGTGCTGCGATATGTGTCTAAATCCGGGATACTAATCTCTGGCTCGCAGGATAGTAGTATCCGGATCTGGGACCTGAACTCGAGATCAGAGAGATTTCTACTGGAAGGACACAATACCGGCGTGATTGCGCTGAAGGTGTATGAGCGCGAAGCGGAAGAGAGTCAAGTGATGGTCTCTGGCGATGTAGCAGGCCGGCTGCGGGTGTGGGACCTGACGACCGGCACGATGCTGGCGCGCATCGAATACAGCTACCCCGTGTTTGCGTTTGACATTCTCAAGCGGCACATAAACGAGCACAACACAAACAACGGCGACGGCAGCAGCAGCAGCAGCAGCAGCAGTAGCAGTATACACCTGATGCGCATCGTGACGGGCTCCAAGGACGGGATCATAAATACGTGGAAATTGAACAGCGCGGGCGACGGACACAAGTTGCACGCGCAGTCGATCGGGAGCGGGATGGGCGGCGTCACGGCGGTGTCGCTGTGTTGTGATAGTACGACGGGGGAAAGTCGGTTGGCGGTGATTGCGAGGGGGAAGAGCTGTATTATAAACGAGAGTAGTTAGAGCTGTTTTTCATTCTATCTTATGTTCCGTATATTAGTCTTTTTTGTTGTCTTCTCTCTCGATATGTATTTTTTCTTGTAATCTTGTAACCTTAGTGGATGGTCGTTTTCAGCTTTGTTTAACAGGATAGTTTTCTGCTTGTCAAGGTATTACTTTGTGTTCGGCTGTTATTTTACAATGTAGAACATGATTTTGATGTATATTATAATCTATTTTTCAATGCTCGAGGTAATCCACGAATCTCTCAAGATAGAAATAGTAAGAATCAAGATGCAGATCTTTTATTTAGTGATACAAATTACATTTTCTAAAGATGAATCGCTCTTAATAATACAACAACCAAAACAAATCTCTTTTTAATTCACACTGAAGAATCTACTAGACTCAACAGCTCACTTGGTAGCATCGGTATAAGTAGCCTTGAGCTCGTTGTACTTGTGGAAAGTAAGCGCGTTGACGTACTTCTCCCATCCGAGCGAGTTCTTGACAGCCGAGCTGACCTTCTCGGGCGACTGGGCGGCGTCGATACCGGTCCAGATGCCCTGGTCCTTGTAGAAGCTCGCGATGGGCTCGGTCTGGGCGTGGTAAGTGACCAAGCGCTTCTTGAGCGCCTCGACGTTGTCGTCCGAGCGCTGGATGAGGGGCTCGCCCGTGACGTCGTCGGTCATGGCGACCTTGGGCGGGTTGAACTCGGTGTGGTAGGAGCGGCCGGAGGCGGGGTGCACGAGGCGGCCGGTGATGCGGGAGACGAGGAGCGAGTCGTCGATCACGAGCTCGACGGCTTTCTCGAGGGGCTCGTTGCGGGAGACCAGCATCGAGCCGAGCTTCTCGGCCTGGGGGACGGTGCGGGGGAAACCGTCGAGGATGAAGCTGCGGAGGATGTTAGTGGGTGGGGGTGGGGTGGGGTGGGATGAGAGGAGAGGAGAGGTGTGGGATGGCTTACCCGTTCTTGCAGGTGGCGTTGTTCTCGAGCTCGTCCTTGATGATGTTGACCATGATGTCGTCCGAGACAAGGCCGCCCTTGTCCATGATCTCCTTGGCCTGCTTTCCGAGCTCGGTGCCCTTGGAGACGTGCGAGCGGAGGATGTCGCCGGTGGACTTGAAAAAGTGGAGTTAGGTGGGGAGGTGCTTGGAGAAGACAGGAATAAAGTAATTGAGTCTTACCAAATGGCAGGCCTGGAAGTATTTGCTCAGGACGGGAGCCTGGGTTCCCTTGCCTGTAGATGGTGGTTAGTCGGGATGCACGAACAGTAGAAGAGTAGAAGCACTGCAAAGCCTGCAAGCTCCACAGACACTCCCGTTCTCTCTCACACACACAATCAATCAACTAGAACATACCAGCGCCAGGAGGACCCATCAACACAATGCGGATATGAGGAGTGTAGAGGTCCTTGATGATCTTGTCGTCGCCGGTGAAGCACTTCTTCAGCTCGGCCATCTTCGGGTTGTAGTTAACCTCGGAGATGAAGTCCTTCGACGGCATCATCGAAGCGAGCGCGAGCGCACCTTTGAAGGTGAAAACAACCTTGTCGTCTGACATTTTCGAGCGTGCAATTGAGAATTGAGGAGAAGTTGCGGTGGAGAAGAGGACGCAGCAGACCTCGGGAGCGAAAAGCTGCGACGACGAAATATCGCGCGGCGCCGGGTACAAAACCCGTTTTTGTTGTTGCTGCCTCCGTCCGCCCGACGGTGCTTCGGGGGTGATTATTGTCTGTCTGCTGCTGTTTATTACTGAAAAAAGGACTCTTCTATTAATGTAATATTCTAATAATTCACTATCTTATTCCGGCCGCAATTGCATCTTCTCTTCCTAGTACAATCCAGGTTAGGGCATCCCAACTGGGCCACCTAAACTCTAATCAGTTCGCGCGATCACTTCGACATCGCATTCATCCACTGTCGTCCATCCACTTCTCTCTTCACCACTCCAGCCATCCCATCCTCCTGCTCGTCGTTGACCGTGCTCCAGAGTAGTCAAATCACCGTCGGTGCTCACTTTACAATGCCTGCCGCAACTACCGACGCGATCACGCAGGTCAGCCAGTCGGTCACCGTCGCCCCGCTCGTCCTGCTCTCGGTCGTCGATCATTACAACCGCACCGCCAAAGGCACAAAGAAGCGCGTCGTCGGCGTGCTTTTGGGTAAAAACAATGGCTCCGTCGTGCGCGTCTCCAACAGTTTTGCTGGTGAGTCTGAGGTCATCTGTTGCTTCTAAGCTATGCGTTGTGTGGCGAGGCTGATTTGTGCTAACATCTGCCACCCCAGTGCCCTTCGAGGAAGATGACAAAGATCCCTCGGTCTGGTTCCTGGATCACAACTACGTCGAGATGATGAACGACATGTTCAAAAAAGTCAACGCCCGCGAAAAGCTGATTGGATGGTACCACACCGGCCCGAAGCGCCATTCCGCTGACCTCGAGATCAACGACCTCTTCAAGCGCTACACGCCCAACCCGCTTCTCGTCGTCGTCGACGTCCATCTCAAGAGCATCAACGTGCCTACCGACGCCTACTTCGCGGTCGAGGAGATCAAAGACGATGGCTCGGCCACTTCGCGCACCTTCGTCCACACCCCCTCGCTCATCGAGGCAGAGGAAGCAGAGGAAATCGGCGTCGAGCACTTACTCCGCGACATCCGCGACGCCGCCGTCGGCACGCTCTCCACACGCCTTACCCAGCAGCTACAGTCGCTCAAGGGTCTGCACTACAGACTAAACGAGATCAGCACATACCTCGCCAAGGTCGTCAACGGCGAGCTGCCGGTCAACCACATCATCCTCAACAAGCTGCAAGACATGTTCAATCTCCTGCCGAACCTGTCCACGCCCTCGGCCGAAGCGAAAGAGAAAGCGCTCGTGGGCGGCAACGCGGAAAAGAGCGAGCTCAGTCGCGCGTTCACAATCAAGACGAACGATGAACTGATGACGGTCTATCTGAGTTCTCTGATCAGGGCAATCATCGCCTTCCATGATCTCATTGAGAATAAAGTAGAGCAGTCTACTTAGCATACGCATACATATCTTTTACATATAATGTCTCGTAGGCATACGTAATGTATATTATCAAGAGAACTGTAATCACACGCCTTGAAGCTCACCTTTCTCCCTAGTAATCAGTATCATCTATACAATTTCCAAATAAATCACAATATTCCAAACAGATCCTTCCCATTACTATCAAAGTCACATTAAATTACAAAAAAAGAAAACTCGCGGTCAAAATGCCTAAAATCAACCAAAATCAACTCAAAAAATTCCCAACGCGCGTTTCGTTTAGCGCCGATTCGGATAACTAATCGACCTTCCGCCTGATAAAACCTCCTTCCCTCTCCACCGACCCCACCGCTCATTCTCTCCTGCGTTTCTTCTGATAATGGATTAATTTTGCTCATTTCTAACTGTCGAGAGCTCAATTGCTGCTGTTGTTTTTTCCTTTCCTTCATCTCTCAATTGCCAGGAAGGCAGGGTGCGCGGCCATGTTACTTCGTCGAACGGATCCTAAGCTTCCCGAATGGTCGCCCACAAGCAAGTACGTGCTTCTAAACCACAAACAGACAGTCTACAATGATACTAACAACCTACTCTAAGGTACTACGACCACAAAAAGTCTCGTAAATACTCAAAACGGAGAAAACTCCCCGGCCGCCGCTTAGTCCTCGCCGGCATCTGTCTCATCTTCCTACTCATCTACTCGCTCCTGCCTTACCGCGAACCTGATTTCCACGCGAAATTCGACAAGCTGCCAACCGAGCTCAACATCGAGTTCTATGACCTGGCAGACGCGACCGCGACGCCCTACGGCTGGACCGAGTCTGCGAAAGAGCGGGTACTGTTCTGCATCCCTCTCCGCGAGGCGTCGGATCATCTACCGCTCCTGTTCACCCATCTGAGAAACATAAGCTACCCGCACTCGCTCATCGACCTCTCCTTCCTCGTCTCCGACTCTGAAGACGACACGCTCGCGCTCCTCACCTCGCTCCTGACCGAGATCCAAGAACACCCCTCGCCCGAGCTGCGCTTCAACCGCGCAGACATCTACGAGAAGGACTTTGGCCAGTTTGTCAGCCAGGGGTTCTCCGATCGCCACGGGTTCGCAGCGCAGGGACCACGCAGAAAACTCATGGGTCGAGCAAGGAATTGGTTGCTGGCGTCGGCGCTCAGGCCGGAACATAGTTGGGTGTACTGGCGGGACGCGGATATCGAGTCTGCGCCGTCGACAATCCTCGAGGATCTGATGATGCACAATTCGGACGTCATAGTCCCAAGTACGTATATATACCCTTGCTATCTATATTCAAATTTCATCCTAACTAATCTCATCACACAGACGTCTGGCGCCCACTACCCGAATGGATAGGCGGCGAGCAACGCGAACAACCCTACGACCTCAACGCCTGGCAAGAAAGCGACGCCGGCCTCGAGCTCGCCAAGTCGCTATCCGAAGACGTCGTCATCGTCGAAGGCTACGCCGAGTACGCGACCTGGCGCCCGCACCTAGCCTACGCGCGCAACGCCGAAGGCGACCTGCACGACGAAGTCGATCTCGACGGCGTCGGCGGCGTCTCGCTGCTCGTGAAAGCGAGCGTTTTCCGCGCGGGCGCGAATTTCCCCGGGTTTGCGTTCATGAATCATGCGGAGACGGAAGGGTTTGGGAAGATGGCGAAGAGGATGGGGTACCGCGTGATTGGCCTGCCGAATTATGTGGTGTGGCATGTCTTTGAGCCGAGTGTGGATGATATGTCTAAATTGCCGAAAAAACATGGGAGTAAGCGCAAGCCGTTGACGAAAAAGGAGAGGGCGGAGAAGGAGGCGGAAAAGAAGGCGCTGGAGGACGAGGAGTTTCAGATACCACAGGTTCCTCAGGCTGATGAGAGCGCAGAGGAGAGTACAGATTGATCATAGAAGCTGTAGTTATTCATACCGGGTGGTCAAATGATGTTACGAATATATGTTAAAAGTAAATATTATTAGCAGCAATTCTATCAGCGCTTACATCTTCAAGCGATTATACACATTTACAATTCATCATGCTCTTCAGGGCCACTCTCGGTCTCGACAGGAGTCTCCTCCGCATCCGTAGCACTCGCCGTCGCTTCCTCCATGACCGTCGTCGACGCCGACAAATTATCCTTATCGATAGGCAAGATCGTAAACGCCTCTTCTTCCTCCGCCGAGCTCGTCTTTGGACGCAACATCTCCTCCAAACTCGAAAGCTTCGCCTTCTCGCGCGCAATCACCACGTTCTCAAACTGCTTCAGCTGGTCCAACCTAGTCTTCAGCGTCTCCAGCACCGTGCTCTCGCCTTCCTCGTACAGCCAATCCAGCGTCGCCATCGCCATCGCCAAAAACGCCTGCCGCTCTTCCTCGTTAGAGTGCTCCATAAACCGCACGTTCTCGTACTCGATCCACTCCCGGATTCGGTACGCATACGCCTCCAGGCTGTTCCGCGCCGTCTCCTTCGCCTGCCGATCGCTGTCGAGACGGTCGAACGCCCGCAGACGAGACTGCGAGGTTGTCTTTGTTGCGCGGCCGAGGTTGCGCGGGCCGAGGTAGGTCACCTTGTATTTTATTGGCTGCTTGGTAGTCCGTGGTTTAGGCGGCAGCGTAGGCTTGGGTTTCTTGGACGATGTTGTGGCCGTGCTTGAGCTTGTCTCGGCTTCTTCAGCGGAGGTTTCCGTCGCTGTCTCTGACGACGACGCGTCGGCGGTGGTAGAGCTGCTGTCCTCAGACTTTGAGCTCTTGTTGAAGAAATTGAGTAACTTGTGCTTGAGATCATCGCTCTCGGGCCCCTCGTCGCCCTCAGCGGTCGGGATTGTGACGTTACAGAACCATGCGACGGCATGAACGTCGAACGTTCTGCTGACCGAGAGTTCGGACTCGATAACGGGATACAACTCCGAGCAGTTATTCGCGGCCAGAATCGTCTCTTTCGACTTTTGGATGTCGTTCAGGCTGTACTTGAACAACGTCGTGCTTCCTTCGGTGAACTCCAAAACAGCCTCATTCGCATCCTCGGGAATCTCAAGACGCGTCTGCGTCCTGTTCTTGCTCACGATCGTCCCTGAAGGATACAAACTCTGCGCACCAATCACTGATCCCTGCGCGTCCTTCACCGTAAGCGCAAACTCATCCTCAACCGGCTCGATGATGTTGATGTCCTTGGTCTTGAACTGCTTAGACACCGACACGCCTCTGAACGTAGCTCCCAAAACAGCCGCCTCGTCCGCGTTCACGTTCTTTGACACTTTCGACGCATCACCCTTCAACACGTCCTTGACCAAAACCTGCTGGAAAACAGGCACGCGCGAGGATCCGCCCATGATGATCACCGAGTTCACGTCAAGGATATCAGCGCCCGCTTTCGCCAGCGCGGCCTCGAACGGCTTCCGGATCCGCGGCAGCAAGTCCTCGATCGCGGCCTCGAACTCGGCGCGCGTGAGAATCGTCCGGAAATCAATGTCGTCGTACAGGCTCTCGGCGGAGACGCGCACTTCGGTGTTTGCGCTCAGGATCGTCTTTGCCCGCTCGGCTTCTTTGCGCAGACGGATCAGCGCGCGCGGGTTTGACTCGATCCCTGATCCGTGGGCTTCGACGAATTTCGAAAGGAGTAGCTGGTAAACTCTGTCGTCGAGTAGGTCGCCGCCCAAGGCTGTATCGTATCCGACACCTTCGACCGTGATGTTCAGGGCCGATTTGCCAAACATCGAGCCAGAAGCCTTGCCCTCTTGGAAGGACACCAGCGTAGCTGACGTGGATCCGGCGCCGACGTCGAAAATAAAATGGTACTGCTTCTCGGAAGTAAAAGTCCGCGAAGACGCGTAGTTGATCGCGGTCGCGACACCGTCAGAAACAAGCGAGACAACTTTAAGTCCGCCAATCTCGGCCGCATCGATGATTGCCCTGCGCTGGACGGTCGTGAAGTACGGTGGTACGGTGACGGAGGTCTCGTAGACAGAGTTGGTGGCCGAGTCCTTTGGCAGCATCTCCTCTGCGAGTTTCTTGATGTGCGAAAAGGACATGCCGAGTAGCTCTTCGATCGGAAACGAGGAATCTGGGGTCTTGAATGAGACCGTAGACCGGTTGCCGGCGGGGATCAGAGTCGAGCCGGGGTGTCGGGAAAGATAGAGCTCGGCTTCGTCCGAATCGACTGACTTGCCTAACAAGGGCTTGAAATTGAGGAACGAGGTCGCAGGAACACGGGGCGCCTAGAATCAATGATTAAGAGATGTCAGCTACCGCACTCTTCTGATCGACAGAATAACTCCTCCACTCACAATTGCAGCAGCACTGCCGCCATAAAGTCGTTCGTCACCCTTAAACGCGAGTCCAGAGACATCTTTCCGCTTCGAGTCTCGGGTGAGCACGATCTCGAACGGCACGCCGGGGGAGACCAGCGCCGCTTTTGTGCTCGACTGGCCAAAGTCAATGCCCAAGACTGCGCAGAGAACGGCGCTGGGGGCGAGCGCTAGGGCGAGTAGAGCGAATAGGAAAATGTGTAGTCGAGGCATTGTGATTGATCTATGTGCAGGCGTGGATCATCAACAGAGGTAACGATGGATGATTGAGCTGATGATGATCGCAAAGATATTCAAATCAGCACTCTATCAGAGATGAACCAGACCGAACCAAACAACGATCGTAGAATCAGCACGAATAGTGAATAATGTACAAAATTCTCTGACCGAACAAAGACGAGGGAAGATGCTGTGGATGATTTGTTTTGAATTTCACCAGACGGAGGAGGTTCTTTCTTTCTCGACGCGCCAAAGTTGATACGTGTGCATAACAGAAACCCTCGTTGCTGTGCATCATCTGCATTTCTGCTATGTGATTCAACTGCGTTCTAGCTTGCTGTTTACTGTGCGTTTTATACAGATGAGAATGATCTACTTATAAAGAGCATTCTATATTCTACACAATCGTTCTCTAATAAAATATTCATTCACAATGCCATCAGAATGATATCTCAGAACTGCATCGACCCTAACCTCATCATCTTCCTTACAGCCTGCGTGTCCTCGAGCATAGCGAACCCCTCGAACCTGAGCTTATCCTCATCCGTGGATCTAAACGACAGACTCAGCCAGATGGCGGGATACAAAGGTCTGTTCTGCTTTGAGGACACATGGCCCGGAACTGAACGATGACACGCTGAACAGTCAACTGCAGAGAAAAACCCTACTAATATCCTCAATCCAGCATCTTCATCGCTATCCCTATTTCTCAACTTCTACACCTTTCATCGCCCAAAAAAGTATATCCAAACCAAACATAGCCTAACCAATGCATCTAGAATATAAACTACATCATACATACACAACACAGCACTGAAATCGCCCTTCAACGTATACCCACCTAACCCTGAAAGCGCTTGCTGGCGGGCTACAAAATTTGAAAAATAAAAAGACGCGTTAGTGGTTTAGCGGTAAAATTCGTCGTTGCCATCGACGAGCCCCCGGTTCGACTCCGGGCTGACGCAATGTGTTTTTTCTTTTTTTTGCTTTATACTGTTCTTTTTCTTTTTAGTTTTCCTTCTTGATAACTAAGCTATTACTGCGTTGAGACTTGGAGATTATCTGGTAGGCAGCGTAGAAATTTAGGGCACTGCGTAAATTGACTTTGTAGCAAAATTAAAACCGAAAACAAACACGGCGCGCGTAATCAAAGATCACTACGAAGAAGTCCACCCTCTCCTTTCACCTTCTATTTTGCAATTGAAAACACTGTTATAACAACAGACTAGAGACGAATCAGCTTTAAAGAAATGGGCTCCATCGATCCAGATTTTGACGATTGTCCCGATCTAACAAAGTCCGCGCCGACGCTTCTCCAGGAATTCCAAACGCGTCTTGACGAAGCTCTCGAACTGACGCCCAGCCAAGCGGCGGACTACGACCCAGCCGCGCTGATATCTCAGATCGAGCCCTTTCAAGATGCACCGCAGCTTATAGATCCGATATTGGAGAAGTCTGTGACTGGTGTTTGTCGCGCGTTGCTGGAGGATCGGAGGCCGTGGCAGTTTAGAGTGCTCTATGTGCTTGTGAAGATACGGGGCGCAAAGACCGTTTGCAGGTTTCTCTTCAACGAAGTGCCGCTTGTGCAGAAGATTCTGGGATTTGCGGAAGCTTGCGATGCGACTAATAGCTCCTGGGAAGAGAGGTACATTATTCTACTGTGGCTGTCTGGGCTGGCGCTCACGCCATTCAACTTGGACACGGTTGGTGAAAACGTTCCAGATCGGTTATTCGAGGTTTCGCAGAAATATCTCGGGGCGGCTGGTAGAGAGCGAGAAGCGGCGTCAACTTCTCTCGCTCGGTTTATATCCAGACCAGACACACTCAGCATATATCTCCCGAAATTCATCGACTCCAGTTCGGGCGCAGATGACTCTGCAGAATCCTCAAAGCAAAGCATCTTCTGGACCCTGGGAACCGTTTCTTCCATGGCGCAGATATTTGCCATCTGCCAGGCCCACGATCTGAAGCCTTATATCCAGCCCCTATCACAACTGCTCCAGACCCTGAAGAAGAACCCCGAGGCCGCATCAAACACGCAACTACGCAAGCTACTCTGCAAAGCAACCTACCGTCTCGCTCTGCGCGCGCTCGAGGTCTCAGAGTCCGAAGTCCCTACGGCTGTCGAAGTATGTCTTGACGAACTACTTACAAAGTCACTGGCAGACAAAGACACGCTTGTTCGCTACTCTGCCTCGAAGGCGTTCTCGCGTGTCGCGCTGGCCATGACGAAAATCGACAGTGATGGCATCTTTGTTTCTGAGATTATCGACTCGTTGCTGCTGTCTTCGTTTCCTCTTAATAAGGCCATGGGAGACAGCAAGACCGCCGACAGATGGCACGGAGGCCTTCTTGCGCTCGCCGAACTTCTTCGTCGCCATGTCCTTCCTTTGCCCGCCTACGCGCCCCAGCTCTTTGACAAAATCGACTCTGGTCTGCGTTTCGAGATCCGCAAATCCACGCACGCCCTCGGCGCAAACGTCCGTGACTCGGCCTGCTACGTGGCTTGGTCGCTGTTTCGGCACTACCCCGATCTGCTGTCATCCACCAGCACCGCAGCGCCGACGCAAAAACTTGTCAAGGGCGTTCTCGCAGATTTGGTCCTGGTCGGCTGCTTTGACAGAGAAATCAACAACCGCAGAGCAGCGGCCGCGGCGGTCCAAGAATGCATTGGTCGTCACGCTGGCGCAGTCGCGTCGCTAGAGACCGGTGTTGCTTTGGTACAAGCGCTCGACTACTTTGCGATCGGAAACCGCGCAAATGCGTTCCTTGAGGTATCCAGACGGATAGCAAAGCTCGGGATCGCTTCGGCGGGCGGGGGCGAGATGGTTGAGTTTCTGTTGAACGGTGCGGTTACGAGCTGGGATATTGAGGTTCGAAAGCTCGCGGGACAGGCTATCGCAGGGCTGGCGAAGGATACCGAGACCGAGCTTGAGACTATCGAAACTGTTTTGGTGATTGCTGAGCGTGCTGCCGGAGGTGGTACTATTGACGAGCAGCATGGAAGTCTGTTTACGCTGGGCGAATTACTCTCAGTGGTGGATAGCTCGACTGATTTGAGCCAGACGGTTCTTCCGCGGGTGGTGCAGTTACTCGAGAACCTGAAATTCCCTCCTCACGTCGCAATGACTCTCTACGACGGCGCGCTGCGCGTAATTTCCGCATCAGCTTCACGCTTACAAACCGATGCAGAAGTCCCCCCGATCTTCTACTCGATCCTCGACAACGCACTCTCAAGAACCGACGACAACGCACAGACAAAGGTACTCCACGCGTCAGCCAGAGCCGCCACGGCCGACTTTTCGCCGTCGCAGGTGAATGTCTTAGAATGGCTGAGCTTTGCAAAGGCGGGAAAGTTTGGGTATATGCTCGCGCTGGGAAGTCTGAGGTTTGAGATTCCTGAGCAGGTCATTGCGGATATTTGCAGGATCGCGGCGTCGTCTGAACGGCAGTACGGAGTCGCGTTGAGAGTCGCGAGTGTCGATACGCTGCATTCGCTCTTAGACGCAAAGAAAGCATTGGTCGCACAAAAGTACAAATCCGAGATCTTCTGGTCGCTAGTCTACGCCCTTCAAGACTACACCATTCTTCCCACCCGAGGCGACGTAGGCTCGCAAACACGTCTAGCCTCGATCTCAGCACTGACCGCCCACGCGGAAACACTATGCGCAGATCAAACCACCACCGCTACAGCCGAGGCCGCGACCGCGTGCGTCGCGAACCTGATCCGCATCTCGCTGGAGAAAATGGATAAACTGCGCCTACGCGCGGTCGCGTGTCTGTCAGCGCTTCTTCCGCACGCGGCGTCTTTAGTCCCGTCGGCTGCGGCCTTGCTTGCGATCATCGCTCAAAAGACAGATCAGGATGCGACGAGCAGCAGTGCGAAGGAATACTACACACGCATGATCAACCTCTGCGTCTGCGCCGAGACGGTGTTTGCGCAGGCGGCGATCACGGGCATCGCGGCATCTGTCGGCGGTGGAACGGGCGAGAGCGTCGTTCGCGCGTCGAGCGAGGCGATAGTGCAGTTCATGACCTGCACTGATGATGACGAGGTAGACGATAAGCGACGCAGGTTTGTCGAGAACGTGGTGGCGCTTTTCGTCCAGAAACCAGCTGTCGTCGCGAACCCTGCCGACGGGACGAAACCGACGCCGCCGAAACGCGATTTCGAACTTTGTGAGGTCGTGGTCTTGTTATTCGAGACGGGGAGTATGGCGACGTACGCCTCGTCGTCGATGTACGTCTCGATCTACAACAAAGCTGCGCGTCTGCTGCAGCTCGCGACGAAAGCGAACAGTATCCCGAGATTGGAAAGTCTGATTGGTTTATTTTCGGGGATCGTGGAAGCTACGGGGGTGGGTAGTAAGGTTCGCGAAGCGGCGGTGAGGAAGTTGGTCAGTTTACTGATTGGTGATATGCGACGAGTAAGTCTCACCTGTTTTCAATATATAAAAGGAAAATCAACTAACCTCGAAAACTAAAACAAGGTCCGACAACCAGCAGCCGAAGCTCTTTTCCTACTCCTAAGTTCTGGCGCGGAAAACGATATACAACCCGACGACGAAACGGAAGAGGAAAGCGGGGGGATAGACGAGCTTTTGACGTCGACGGACTGGGCTTCTGTATCTGAACCTGCGATGTTAAAAGATGCAGAGGAGAAAATTCTGAAAGCGCTCTTGGGATAGCGAAATTGTATGAGGTTACAAATGTATGCAAGTATAGATTAGATTTTGATAGGTTACAGTGGAATACACGATGGATATAGCTTATTAATATGACAAAAATAATACAAACAGAGATACAAAACACAAAAAGAGCGTCAGATTTTATTAAAAGAACCAGCCTCTTCGACTACCTATTCAAGATGAAATTTTTGTGATTACTTACGACCCGCCTTGACGGTGCTGATGATCTCCTCGACAATCGACGGGTTCGACAACGTAGAAATATCACCAAGACCATCCTCCTCACCCGCGAGCACCTTCCGCAGAATTCGTCGCATGATCTTGCCCGATCTCGTCTTTGGCAGGTCAGACACGATGATAATGCTCTTCGGGGCCGCAAACGGACCGATCGACTTGCGCACAGTCAGAATCAGCTCCTTCTTCATGTCGGCGATCGACTCGTCAATCACGGGCTTGAGCACGACGAACGCGTTCACGGCCTGGCCGGTGAGATCGTCGGCGGTGCCGACGACAGCAGACTCGGCGACGTTGTGGTTCTGCAGAAGCGCGGCCTCGATTTCAGCCGTAGACAGGCGGTGGCCGGAGACGTTGACGACGTCGTCGACGCGGCCGCGGATCCAGTAGTATCCCTCGTGGTCGCGGCCGGCGCCGTCGCCGGTGAAGTAGTAGCCGGGGTAGGGCTGCAGGTAGGTCTCCATGTAGCGGTTGTGGGAGTTCCAGACCGAGCGGGCCATGGAGGGCCAGGGCTGCTTGATGGCGAGGACGCCCTCGACGTCATTTCCCTCGAGCTCGACGCCGGTGACGGGGTCGATGATGGCGGGCGCGATGCCAAAGAAGGGGAGCGAGGCCGAGCCGGGCTTGGTGGGGGTCACGCCGGAGAGCGGGGTGATGATGTTGGAGCCGGTCTCGGTCTGCCAGTAGGTGTCGACGATGTGGGCTTCCTCGTTGCCGATCTTCTCGTGGTACCATTGCCAGATCTCGGGCGCGATGGGCTCGCCGACGGAGCCGAGGGTGCGGACGGAGGAGAGGTCGTGGTGAATGAACTCGTCGCCGGCACGCTTGAGCAGACGCAGGGCGGTGGGCGCGACGTAGAACTGTGTGGCCTTGTAATTTTCGATGATGTCCCAGTAGCGCGAAAAGTTGGGGAAGGCAGGCGTTCCCTCAAAGACGAGGGTGGTGACACCCAAGAGAAGAGGCGCGTAGAGGACGTAGGTGTGGCCGGTGATCCAGCCGACGTCGCCGGCGGTAAAGTAGACGTCGCCCGGGTGGATGTCGAAGACGTACTTGCCGGTCATGGCGGCGCCTAGCAAGTATCCGGCGGTGGTGTGCAAGACACCCTTGGGCTTGCCGGTCGAGCCGGAGGTGTAGAGGATGAAGAGAGGGTGCTCGGAGGGAACATCGACGGGGGCAAAGTAGGGACGGTACTTGACGGTCTCCTCGTGCCACCAATAGTCGCGGCCGGCGGTCCAGGGGATGTCGGCGCCGGTGCGGCGGTAGACGAGGACGTGCTTGACCTCGGGGCAGGACTTGAGGGCCTCGTCGACGATGCGCTTAGTGGAGACGGCTTTGCCTCCGCGACGGCCTTCGTCGGTGGTGATGACGACCTTTGAGTTTGCGTTCTCGATGCGGTCGACGAGCGAGCCCGAGGAGAAACCGGCAAAGACGACAGAGTGCAGCGCGCCGAGACGGGTGACGGCCAGCAGGGCGATGATGGCCTCGGGGATCATGGGCATGTAGATGGCGACGGTGTCGCCACGGGTGACGCCGAAGGACTGCAGGGTGGCGGCGACGCGGGAGACCTCGCGGAGGAGCTCGCCGTATGTGATTTTGCGGGAGTCCTTTTCCTCGTCGGCCTCGTAGATGATGGCGACGCGGTCGGGGTCCTCGAAGGCGTGGCGGTCGACGCAGTTGTAGGAGGCGTTCAGCTGGCCGTTGAGGAACCAGGAGACGTCGCCGTGCTCGAAGCCGCCGTACTGGACTTTGCTGAACGGGCGGGAGAAGGAGAGGAGCTCGTTGGCCATGCGGGCCCAGAAGGTGTCTGGGCTCTCGATGGACTCCTTGTACATTTTCTGGTATTCCTCGAGGCCATTGATGTGGGGGGCGGTAGGGTGTTTTCTAGGTGAGGTTAGTATGGAGAAGAGGAGGGATGGTGGTGCTGGTGCTGCTTCTTGCTGGTCTTTGTTGCTGCTGCAGTGGCCGAGGAAGCTGTTGGGAGGGAGAGCCGCACATCGAATGTAGGTATAGGAACTACACTCCGCAGCCGATGCGGCAGAGGCAGCAGACGGTGCGTGGAGGGCAGAGGGAGCATAGAAGTGGTGAGGAGTGAGGAGGAAGAGGACGATGGTGATAGCGACAGTCATGACGAAGCAGCAGCAACAGAGCAACACCAGCAGAGACTAGAAAGATAAGGCAGACAATTGCTAACGGGGACATACTCAAAGTATTTGTCGGGCACGGGGAGCGCGACGACATTGTGCGCCTCAGCGACGACGGGAGTACCGTTTGAAGCCATGATAAGAAGGAAGGACGAAGAAGAAGACGAGTAAGAAGGAAGTGAGAGGGATTGAGTGAGGACGAGGCTGGGAGGAGGAGGAAGGAGGAGGAGGAAGAGAGCGAGCGGCCGGGGGCCTAAATAAAACTTCACGGATTACTGCGGCTTCGGAGGCAGCAGCCCCCAACGCCGTTTGTGCGTATGCTGCCCGATTCAAGCATATATGCTGTTTACACTAGTTTAAAGATAAGATGATGCACAATTGCATCTCTTTTGATATAATCCACGCACTCGGCAGTCCACCCTCTCCTACCAGAGCCCAGCAACAAAGCGCTGACATAATCCCTGACTACGCGAGAGTGCCGGTGCGGCTCCGGAGGTTATTGCCCTGTGCAGCACTGACAGAACGCAGCCAATCCGTGCGGCCGGATTACGGGAGGCCCAGCAGCGCCTTTCCGCAGCAGCAGCCGGGCAGCCGGACAAGCGGGAGGAAGATGGTGATCCGCAATAAACACAGACTGCGGGGCAGCCGAGAAATAAATCAGAACGCGGGGACCGGCGCGGGGACGGCGCACGCGGGCAGGGCAGCGGGCACACGGAGAGCACCGAGAAGCGACGGTTTGGCTGCTCTCGGAGCCGGCACGGAGCTCAGATAGCGGGTTTTAGTGCATCTGTGCCCATAATACATTCATATTACACACTGCTGCAATAGCGATTTGTAGCAATTTGTTACGAGCACTCTCTACTCTTTACTACTCAATTCTCTACTACTCTACAATACCTACAATCCATTGTGCCTCGGAGAATTATGTAATCATACCACGTGATGTTTCAAATCACGTGCTCGCTTGTTTGCCGATCTTGCTTTCTTTGTCTGCAGATCATCAGAACATAATTTATTACTTTAGTTGCAGTAGTAGTAGGAGAGCTTATAATAACTTGTTTAAACTAATTAGACTCAATTATAGCTTCTACTGACATCTCGCTTTAGTTCACAGACGCCTTGAAAGCAGCCTCGAGAGTAGTCCACTCCCACAACCCAGGGTTCACAAACTCGTTGTCGTTCGACTGGAGGTTGAACGATCCGGTGTCAGGATACGCCGACAAAGTGCCCAACTGCGCAAGCGGATCAAGCGTGCCAATCTCAGCCAGCGACGCCGGCGCGCCCGAAGACTCAATCTCAAGCTTCTTGCCCGTCGCCTTCTCGTACAGCGCAACCGAGTCGTTCAGGGTGATGCTGGTGCCCTGCAAAAGCAGCTGGTCCGGCAGCTCAGACGCCGGGCGGTAGGCGACCGAGGCAACGGCCTTGCCGATGTCAAACAGATCCGTGAGCGTGACCTTCTGCGTGCCGTCGCCGTAGAACTTGGCCTTGCCGTTGGCAAAGTCATGGCCAAAGAAGCCAAAGAAGACAAACTTTTGGAACAGTCCGTTGTAGACCTGCACAACCTTGGGGATCCCGAGCGATCGGGCGTACTCGGCGTGCTCGTTCTTCACCTTCAGGACTAGAGAGAGTTAGTGTCAATCATTCAGAAAACCAAAAACCAAAAGGAGTAATACGACTTACAGGTATCAACCTTATCCGCAAGCAACTTGCGATAGTCGCAGCCGAAATCCGAGGTAAAGTACTTGGACACGCCCGCCTTGGCCGCAGCATCGGCCAACACCTTCCACTGCGGGATACCGTTCGTGCCAATCAAGTTGATAACGACATCGACGCCCTTGAGCGCGCCCTCGACAGACGACGGGTCCTCGTAGTCGACCTTGACGAACTCGATGCCCTCGACAGGCGTCTCCTTCGAGGGATCGCGCGAGAGAGCCTTGATGGGGAGCGAGTACTTGCTCTTGAAGAGAGGGCCGACAAAGGCGGTCGAGATCGGCTCGAAGAGGAAGCCGTGGGTGCCAGCGATTGCAACAGAAGCCATTGTGTGTGTGTGTGTGTGTGTGTGTATAGGAAGAAGGCAAGAGTGATGAAGAGGGTAGAACGGAGGAAGAAGGATGGAAAAGACGGAATCCAGGCCTTATTTGTATTATTGCGGATGGAGGGGCTATTACGCAATACCCCCACCTGAGCCACTGCCCCTCCATAATATACCGTAAGCCAGCCAGATTAAGTAAGCGCCCCACCTTCCCTTTTGCCCTAAGTCCACTTGCGTGATCACCCAGTTGTAGTTGACATCTAGACTGCTTGTACAGATTAGTGATTTCTTATGTTATAGTTATCTCGCTACAATTGTCTTTAGTTGTCGTTGAGTAAGCATTAGTAACTACTTCATCTCTCCTATAATCATCCCACTATTCCTTTGCACCTACTTCTCTTACTCGTCTACTCTCTTACTCATCTACTTCTTCAAGTATATCTCATGTATTGACGTATTGCCACTAACTTATCGCACCTGCGCATTCACAAGCGTAGCGCTCTTCACCGCCTTGCCCTCCTTATTCACCAACTTCCTCACACTTCCATCCTCCATCTTAAACACCACATCCAACTCCTCCGACGTCGTAAAACTAGGCTGCAGCGTCTCAAAGATCTTCTTCTTCGGATTCAACACCGGCTCCGGCGTCCCGTCAAACCCTTCGAAAAAGATCTTGTCGCCCGCCTTCGATCCCTCCGGCGGAACCGTAAACTCAACCGTCTCCTCGTTCGACGCGCACAGCACCATCGCCTCAGACTTGATCCCGCGCATGCTCACCGGCTTCAGATTCGCAACCACAACAATCAGCCGCTGCTGCATGTCCTCCAGCGGAATGTACTTCACCAGTCCGCTGCACACCGTCCGCGGCCCGCTCTCGTCGCCCATGTCGATCGTCGACACATACAGCGAGTCCGCATCAGGGTGCTTGACCGCCTTCTGAATGAACCCGACGCGCAGGTCAACCATCGCCGGAGTAATCGGCGCCGCCTCCTTCTTCGCGGCCTGCGGCTTCGGTCCCTTCTCCTTCTTCGCCTTCTTCTCTCCACCCCCCAGCACCGCAAGGTTAATCCGCTGCGACGCCTCCTGCTTGCCCTTCAGCAACTCAGACTTTTGCACACGGTCCGCCCAGCGAATAAGTTTCTCGTTCGCCTTGTACTGCTCCGGCGTCCACGACTCCACAATCGGCTTCTGCACCCGCGCGTACGTGATCAGGTCCACCAGCGCGGGCTTGTCGGTGTCGAGGAAAAACTTCTTGCTTCCGAGCGCCTCCGACAGCTCGGCGGCGGACTCGGGGAAGTTCTCCGAGAGCGCCAGGAGTGAGGCCTGCTGAGACTCTTGCTCGGCCGTCAGCTCGGGAAGCTGGCTCACGATCGACGCTGTCACCTGCTGTATTCACACCGACGTCAGCATTAATCCCTTCCAAACAACTATTTTTTCTTGTAACAAAAATACAAAAATAGACGACTCACATCAGGATCAGCATTAAGCATCATAGAAGACGCAAACGTCTTTGAAAGCAACTCAAGCGCAGGATCAGACATTGTACTATACCCCTCTGAAAATTTATTCCCGTGAATTCCTTGTTTTCTCTGCAATCGCAATCGCAAACTACCGCTCGTAGAAATTAATCTCCCGATCTGTAAACCCGATGACCAAACTGGTGTGCGGATTAGCGTTGTTGGAGGATGAAACACAAAAGATCTGCGTAGAAGGAAGCTCATTGACGAGGTTTTTTTTTGCGCTTTGGTGAGGAAGCCGGAGAGGGTTTGGTTGCGTGGAAATTCAAAAATCTCTGGAATTCTATTTCCTGTGTCTCCAAATTCTCTTTTATTTCAGATTAACACAATTGCATTAACTAGCAGAAACTATTCAATCAATGTAGAAAGATCCTTCCTCCTCATCAACATCATATAGCCTATCACATCCACTATCCTTCCTCATCGCCCGAATCTTGCCGATATTCCACTCCGAGCTAAACGCATCGCCCCCGCTCAAATCCGCTTGTCCCAACCTGATCGTATCAGACAAGATACAGCAGTCTTTCTTATACTTGAACTGCAAACACTCCGGATCGCTGTCGCATTTCTTCCTACACTCTGCATGTGACGTATACGCCGTCTCGCCCACCTCCGTCTGCACCCCGTCGTTCTCCGTCGGCGGCGTGTACTTCTTCCCCGACGAGCCATTGTCCCAATTTCCCTTCCGGCCGGGCTTGATGTGCGGCATCACAAACCGATTATACACATCTTTATACAGAATCGGCTCGGTCGGACCAAACTGCGCCTCGAAATCGTACAGCTCTGTGGTCTCCTGCGGCGTCAGATGATGGAACGTAACAATCTCCTCGCACCAGTCCTTCGGGCTCAAATACACCAGACTCGGAGGCTCGCCCTGAAACCGTTTCCTAACGTGAGGATACCCCGGTCCATGACTGAGTGGAATCCCCTCTTCAAGCAATGCGTGCGCAAGCACATGATCGCCGCAGCAATCGGCAATCGAAAAATCGTCGTACTCATACTCAATCGGCGTCCTCCATCGCCCAAACACCTTTCTCATCAGCCCGTTCGAAAGAACCACACCCGACCCGCCGTGCGCAAAGTCCTCATCCCCCGTAGTCGCTCGCGAACCCATATACAGCACATCATCCGGATTGAGCGTATTCAGCCACCGCATCAGACGCGTCCAAAACACAAACGTGTCGCCGTCGATGAAAATGTACCATTTCGCGTTCGGCTTGGTGCGGTACGCGTGCGCCAGCATCGGCAGGTTCTTGAACCGATCAAGCCACCACGCATCCTTGACCACCGCCGCTAGTTCTTCGGCTCCGATCTCGGGGCGTTCTCTCAGGATCCCTTGCTGCTGGCGGTAGGTGATGAACGCGTCCGACAGACGAAGTCGTTCAGACACGTTCGCGAGCGTGTCAATGACAGGAATACCCGCAAACGAATCCGGCGCGTCCGAGTAAATCGCATAATTCTCAACTTGCGGAAAAGTAACGTTCAGGTGAACGGGTAGTCGCTTCCAGAGCACAGTCGCCCCGGTCTTGACCATGAGAAACACCGACTCCGTACCCGGCACGCGCGATCCATGAACAAAATGCTCCGGAAACCGAGGCGCGGGCGGCAGGGGAACGAAGAGCGGACTGTTGCCGGTCACGGAGAGCAGGTACGAGCGAGGAAAGCACAGGTTGGCGATAGTCAGCAAGACAAAGACTAGACCGACCGTTTGCAGCAGGCGACGCGACGAACGCGTCCGGAGACGCGCAAAGTTGGCGATGTCCTGGACTGATAATTGAGTAGGAGATTCGATTTTGATGGTCATGTGAGACGGAGAATCAGGTTTGCATTGAATGAATGAATAGGCGGAAGTTGCCGGACGCAACAAGAGAAGCAATTGAGAAGGAAGCAACAAATTGAATGAAGAACAGAACAAATACAAGAACAAGATCAAGAACCGCACCGACTGAGGCAGCCGAGCACAGGGGTTAGAACGCGACAGGAGCAAATACGGAGCACGCAGACAGGCTGGCGCCTAGGCACATAGTGACAGGATGCAGCTGCGAAGAAGTGCGGCAGAGGAGCAGCCAATTGTGGTGACCGCGACGCCTGACAGTCAGCCGCACGGCTGGCGCGCATCTAGACGAGCGAGAAGCACAGGCAGCGTCTTGACGAGAGAGAATTGGTATCAGAGCAGGATGATGAGGGACACTGTCGCGAAGTGGTGAACTACGGTGAGGAAGTGTGGAGTAGGAAACAAAAATATCAACTAATTGCACTATAGACAGACGACGAGTGCACGTGATTTATAGTACCCTCCCACTATATCGCTCGCCCACCATTGTCTCCGCCGTCCCGACTCTTTTCTTTTTTCGTTCTTCCTTTCATCTTTCCTGATTTACATTACATGTTCAGACCGCCGAACGCCCGGAATCTGCGCTGATCTTCGTGTCGGAGAAGACAGAAGACAGCGGAAATCGGATTTACGCGTGGCAGCCAATCAGCAGAAAACGCCAAGACTGACCTTTGGTCACCAAGAAAAGCTCGGCAGTGGCAAAACAGGTCTGCAGCTCCAACACAGTTTCGACGTCCACGACTCATCAAAAAGATATCAAACAAATGTTTCTATGACTGAATACACGCAAAAAAGAACAGAGACTCCGTTATGAAAACCATCGTACGCAAAAACATCGCCAGGGTGCACTCCCACCCGGAGCGCTTCGATTAGATTAGATTAGATCGGCTTATCGACCCTTCGTCGGCACAACCCGCACATGCATCCCTCCCACCGCCTTCGCCGGCCACAGCACCCACCACGCCCATGTCTTCCACAAGTATGCTGTATCTTCGGCCGTGATCTTCTCGCCCAGAAAGACAGAGTACAGACACATGCACGCGCCCGCCAGTCCGCCAAACACGAGCGCGACCGCGACTATCGGCGTCAGCAGATGCATCACCACCAGCCGGCCCAGTCTGAACTCGAGCCTCGGCCGCTGCTCCACCCGCCGTACTATAACCTCTTCCTGTGTAGCGCCTGCAAAAGTCTGGCTCCGTGTGCGCGTGTGCGCCCGCTCAGGCGACGCAATCGTAGCAGCGGCCGCCGCCAGGTGGTGCTGGCTTTCGTCGTCCTTCACTTGCGACAGAAACGGCCCTGCCGTATCCGCCGTATCCGTCGTCGACAGCGATCCCCGCTGCGCAACAAGCAAATCGTATACATTGTCATTACGAATCGTCACCTCGTCAATATCCCTCTCATCGTCGCCGTCGTCGTCGTCATCGTCGTCGTCATTATCGTTGACGATCCGCACCCGCACTCGGTGCAGATGCGCGAGCGCCATCGTCTCCAAAACACCCACGAGCACATCGTTGCGCGACAGCTGGCGCGGCGGGGTCGCGTGCTGCTGATGCTGATAGTGCTGCGTTACCGGCATCTGCTTCTCCAGATCGTGGGTCTTGTCGCTGCTGCTGCTGCTACTGCTGCTGCTGCTACTGTTACTCCCACTGCTGCCGCCCTCGGCAGCTCGCGGGCGGCACGAGAGGAGTCTGAAGATCGTCGCAAAGAAACAATAGAACGATATCAGAGGGTTGACCACACACACGCACAGGAGCAGGTTACATGTGCTGAACGCCTGCTGCTGCTGGTGCGGTGTGACAGGGCTCGGGGTGAACGAGTGCGAGACGGTGTGGGCCGGCGTGTGGGCGTGTTGCAGCGACATGGTCAGGCGCGCTCTTCGTCAGTCCTTGCGGCGTGTGCCGGGCTTCTTCGCGGTCTTCGTTTCTCAGTTCCAGATTGACGCAGAAAGAGAGCCGGCTGTGCGGGAACGGCGCAGCAACGACGGGCGGCAACGCGCTCCTTATAAACCAGGCATCGTGGGCCAAGGTTCCTTGGTCATTTCTTGGTCTTCTCTGGGCAAGTTTTCTCTTTGTGACTTCGCTGCTCGGCCCGTCCGACCTGCAGCCGCTCGGTGTGCGGCGGATTTGAAACTCTGTTTGCGGCCGGTCATCAAAGGGTTCCCTGCTCCGTCGCCCTCATCTATCGCGCTTTCTCATTTATCTGCGTTCGTATCCCTGATGTTCCCCCTCGAGTCCCCGCCCAGAACCACCCTCCTTGGTTCTGCCCACCAATATCTCAGACACAGAGAGAATCGGAACCATCTGCGGTCTAGAGCGCCTTGGCCAGGGTTGTCTGCTCTTCGATCTATCTCCGGTCTCGGCGCTCGTGATATTCGGCCAAGCCCTCCCCACCCCGTCCTCCTCGGTCCTCTATAGTTCGAGCGATCACCATCACTCTGCTGTTCTGTTTATTATACCTCTCGCATTCATTTCGTCACATTCTCTATCAAAAAATGATTATTAAAATACAAACAAATCGGTCATTCATTAACTTCATGCTCTCATCTCGCAAACATCACATCAGCCAAGATATCTAACCCTGTATGTCCGCCTTCTACTGGCTTTTGCTGCTGCTGCTGCGGTTGTTGCTGAGGTTGAGGTTGAGGTTGTGGTGGTGGCAGCTGCTCCGTAACCACATTCACCGGCCTGGGCAACGCCATGCCTTCTACCTGATTCACCGGGAACCCCGGCAACCGGTCCTCTCCCGCGACCAGCGGCGGCAGCATTACCCCTCTATTATCACCTTGTGTCAACGAGCTCAGCGGCGGCAGCGCAGTAGCTCCCGGTCCACTCTGCGGCATCACCGGCGCCGTAGGACCTGGAGTAGCATACACCGGAGTAGCTTGCATCCCATTATTCGTAGGAGTAGCCATAGCAGCGGCGCTGGAGGTGACCGGGGGAACCGAAGCCTGCAACGTTGTGTGCACACCTAATCCGGCCTCTTGTTTGACCGCGTGGACGTTGCCGATCCCCGTCTGCACAGGAAGACTCGTAGTTCCGTTCACGAGCGCCTGCTGCTGCTGCTGCTGCTGCTGCTGTTGCCGTAGTTGTTGTTGCTGCTGCTCCTGCAGCGCCTTTGCTTTCGCTTCCGCAGCCAACCTCTTCCGCTCAGCCTCGCGCTTGCGTTCACGCTCACGACGACGCGTGCGATCAAGCTCACGCTTCCGCTCAAGCTCAAGTTCCAGCAGCCTCTCCTTCTCCAGTCGCACGCACCGATTGCACACAAACTCTGCCTCCTCGCTCGCTTCCTCCTTTTCCTTTTCGTCTTTAGGCGGCGCTGACTCCGCTTCAGTCTTTGCTACGACTTCATCGCCTTCGGCGCTGACTTTCTCTGCGTCTTGCTCATCTTTGACCTCCTCCGCAGCTTCTGATCCGCTCTCCTCCTTTGCCCTCACAGTCTCCTCAAACCTTCGCGTCTCTTCAGGCGAGAGATGACTGACATGCATCCAGATATCGCATTTCCCGCAGCAGACCGATAACTCGCCATCATCGTAGTTATCACCAAACACTCCGCAGTAGCAATCAAAATACCAGTGATCAGCACCACCACCGGACGACGACGGTGCTGTCGTAGTCGCCATCGTTGGCGCTGATTGCGGCTCTTGACTCTGCTGATGCGCGCGTCTAGTCGACCGCCGCGTTGGTTCCCGTGGGCTATCGACCGAGCTGTGGCGATCGCTCCTAGCCGGCGAATTCGCTGCACTGATAACCAAAGTTGACGGTGCCGCGTGATTCGAAACAGGAGTCGCCTGCTTTGGTGGCGGGGTCTTTCCCAGAGCTGCTGCCTTCGCCTCTGCCGCCGCTTGCTTCGCAGCCAACTGGGCCTCTTTTTTCTTTTGCGCTTCCACCAGTTTAACCTCTCTAATCTTCAAGCGCTCCTCGCGTTCCTTCTCTCTCTGTGCCCGCATCTTTCTCTCTAGCTTCCTCTGAGCCTTCTCTTGCTCCTGCCGCTCAAGCTCTAGCCGTCGCTCTTCTTCCTCCTTGCGCTTCTGAGCAATGGCGTCTCCACGCCCAGATCGCTTTCTATTTTCGTAAATCCGAAGCTTCTCAATCTCTTTGAGCTTGGCCTCTTCCTCCTGGATTCTTTCATCCTCAATTGACTGGATAACAGGCATCACCTTTGACTTAAGGAGATTATACAGCTCGCGTTCGGCCACCTTCGACTTGTCCCGACACTTCTTTCCCAGGTCGGCGAGAAAGTCTTTCCATTCGGTATACACCGCACAGACGCATTTCCACGTGTATTCCTCGCCATCGCGAGAAAATTCCGCCAGCTCAGAGTAATCACGCTCTTCCTTTGACTGCTCTTCGTCCTCCGCCTTTGCTGCCTCGTCGCCATCGACACCGTTTTCAGCAGCACCTTCTTCCGCCTCAATCTCAATCTCAGCCTCACCACCGTCGACTTCCTCCCCTTCTTCATCTGATTTCGGGGTGGGCGTGGCAGTCCGCCTCCGCTTCGATCGACGCGCCGAAGGCCATCCTGTGACAGCTCGACGTCTCTTGCGCTTTGACTTTGCCGGGGTCGACACTTTCGCAGCTTTCTTTGGGGTTCGAACGATTGGGGTGTATGTTCGAACGTATAGTCTATTGTCATCGAGGAGGTAGTATGCATTATCATATGAATCGGTTCCGATTGGATCAACGCGCTAGAGGAAGACGTTAGGACTTTGAATCGAACCAAGGTAATTATCAAACATTTAAATCACAGCTGCTTACCCATGTCACTTCTTCAGACTCCTTCAAAAATCCCATGCGCTCGCGGAACCTCTCCGGCAGAAACGTCTGCCATTCACACAATTGGTGGATCACCAGCACCTACAGATAGATTGTCATATTAGCCAATCGATAATAACTTAGCGTAAAGCAAGTGACGCGACGTACTTGATCAAAGACACTGAGCTTTTCAAAAGACTTTGGAAGTTCGTCTTCTCCGAACGGGTGCTCGAGATGGGGAGCCTTCTGGCGGTATTGTCGACGCGTGTAATCATCAAATTGATCGAGCCTGATTCAGCAGCAAGTTAGCACAGCGTCGCGTTGATCAGCAGCCAAGACTACGCGATTTCAAAACCTCCGGGCGCGTACCTTAATCCACGTTGGCTCGAAAGACTCTGAAGAAGATTTAGTCGTATTTTTGGGAGTAGAATCAGCGGTCTCAATCCAAGAAACTCCTTTTCGAGGTCCTACAAATATGATTCCTCCTATTAGCAACATGACAGAATATATAAAACACGACTTTAGCGGCTCGTTACCTCAATCGTAATCTCATCATCCTCCATCTTGATTGAGCTCTTAAACATGAGCAACCATTGAACGAGTGCGCTGAACTGCCACATATTTCTGATCTGCTTGAGCTTCAGCTGTACATCAGGATCCGGAACAGCGTCGGCAGCCGTAATTGCGGCCAGAGCAACCTCCACCGCAGACATAGTCTGGCCGGTCGCAGTCAGATTGCTGGTTGGCTCCGCGCCTGCGGGTGTTGTTGCTGTAATTGCCGTCCCGTTTGCAACCATTGCTCCCGAAACCACTAGACCGTGCACGCGTCGCGATGGCTTGAGTTGAATACTGTACTGTGACAGTCTTGATGACTTGCTGGTCTGCTTCTCGCACAAGATATACGAATGACAGAAAAAACAATCAGTCAAAAATCAATAAAGAGCGCATATATATCAGGCTGCGTGTCTGATACGAGCGTAGAATAGGACCTGCTGGTGGAAAAGCACGCGACAGAATCGACCTTGCACTCTGTTTGCGTGAGCCTGCCGAAGGGGATGCGCGGTCGGCTTCCTGACGAGCTCGCCACACTGAACCCTCGCACCCAGAAACAGCCACAAACCCCTTTGTGAGTGTCAGTGCGCCTTTTATTTCGTACTCGACTTTTGATCTCAGCAGCCATCTCCGCATCCGCTCGTTCGTACAGTGAAGGCAGACGAAGGAAATCGAAAAGAAAAAAGAGAAGAAATATCCTGGCGATGTCTAGTGCTTCTGCATCCCAGCTGCAATCGCAGCTCCAGTCTCAGCAGCACCAGCAGGTGCAGGCTCAAATCCAGGCTGCCCAGCAACAGCAGCACCAGGCACAGCTTCAAGCGCAGTTGCAGACGCAGCAGCAGCAACAGCAGAGGGCAGCGGTCTCTGCAGCGCTGGCCACAGATGACGAGAGCAAGATCTATGCGTGGATCTTGGAGTTGATGCAGGGACCCTCGCGGGAACAGGCTCTGCTGGAACTGTCAAAGAAGCGCGAACAGTTTGAGGATCTTGCGTTGATTCTGTGGCATTCCTACGGAGTGATGGCTACGCTTTTGCAGGAAATCGTTGGCGTGTATCCCGCGCTGTCTCCTCCTACGCTGACGTCGTCGACCTCGAATCGGGTGTGCAATGCACTGGCTCTTTTGCAGTGCGTAGCATCACATAACGAGACCAGATCACTGTTCCTCAACGCCCACATTCCGCTATTCCTCTATCCGTTCCTCAACACTACCTCGAAGACGCGTCCGTTCGAGTACCTCCGACTTACTTCTCTCGGTGTTATTGGAGCTCTCGTGAAGAATGATTCGCCAGATGTGATAAATTTTCTCCTGTCGACCGAGATCATTCCGCTCTGCCTGCGGATCATGGAGTCGGGATCCGAGCTTTCAAAAACAGTGGCTATATTTATTGTCCAGAAGATTTTGCTGGACGACACCGGACTCGCGTACATCTGCCAAACGTATGAGCGATTTTATGCGGTCGGCACTGTCCTGGGCAACATGGTCACACAGTTGGTTGAGCAGCAGACAGTGAGGCTGCTGAAGCACGTAGTGCGATGCTATCTGCGTCTGAGCGATAACCCGCGCGCGAGAGAGGCCTTGAGACAGTGTCTTCCGGAGCCCCTGCGAGATGCCACGTTCAGTCACGCGCTGAGAGATGACGCGACAACGAAGCGGTGTCTTGCTCAATTGCTGGTTAACTTGGCGGACAACTACGATTGAAGAGAGGAATGCTGATGAGGTATTTAACATGTGACAGTCGACGACGATGATGATGACTTTGTTTTCGAACTTGGTTTATATGGGGGTGAACAGAGCGTCATTGATGAGGCAGGGCGAGCCGGGCAAAAGGCAGCCAACAAAATTTCAAATTACAAACCGCGGCCCAAGGCAAAGGAAAGCCAAGCAAATGAAAGAAGCAGAGGCGGTAAAACGAATGAGGAAAGAAAGTTAGAAAACAGGACTGGCTGCGATGACGGTCTGGAGCTGAACTCTGGGGGCGACGAGCAGCAGCAGGGATTGAATGACCGAATGACAGGAAGAAGCTGAGCGGTGATTGTATACCATCTGTATTTAGAAGCTGCTGAGCACCACAGGGACAGGCTCAGCAGCAATTGTGTATAACTGATTGACTTGTATTGTAATTTAAATCCATATCGTAATAAAAGATTAGTTGTTGATAGCAGTTGCCTGCAGAAGGGAGCAGTAACCAGCGGGGTCCCCTTCTCTTCCCCAATTCGAGCTGTTTTCTATTTTCTCTTCTAATTAGCTTTGACTGGTTTTGTCCATAAACTTTACAGTTTAAAGATAAGTTAGAGAAAAGGTGATATCATCTCGACAGAGCAAAAGTCAATCAACGACAGCTCAAAGAAAGACAGAATCGCAGCCGGCTTTTGGCGGTCAGCTTGAGCACTTTAAGCTGCGGATGTTGGGCCGCATTCTCAAAGCAGACCGAATCCCCGCGGAGGTTACCGGTGAGGTATTCAAGATAACTGCACAGTGAGCATATTTGAACAAAGTCATTCTTATTGTTCACAATTATCGACAGTAGAACAAATTTCTGATTAACAGCACAAATAAACAGCATCAAACACATCTTTCTCACTAAACATTCTGTTCAGGTTCATTGTTGTTCAGCGGCCGCTATCTCTCGCTCATCGCATTTAAGGTTCAACCCACTCGCGAAGGTTTTCGTCAGAACCTTAATACCGCCCCCCTCCTCCTGATTGGCCGGCGCCAGACAAAGTGTTAGTCACTCGCATAACCATCAAAACCGCGCGGCTCGCTGAGTCACTCTTAAGTCCTCTCGCCCGCCCGCCCCATCCAACCTTCTCCTCTTTCCTTCTCCATCCCCCAAGCCTTCCACATCACCAGAATAAGTATTTAGAAACTAGTTAATCATGGCTGCTTTCTAAATCTCGTTCTACTTCGGTCTCCTGCGCTCTATCTCAATCAACAAGCACTCTACTTAAGCTCTTAGCTTAGGAACCCCCCCCGTTTCCCCTAGCAACTCGCATTGTCTGGTCAGCATTATCTGCTAACCCCCTCCAACTACCGTCACCCGTCATGGCTTCCCTCTCAGAATATTTGCGACTTAAACAGTCAGCATCAACACAAACTACTCTACCTTCAGCAACTGTTCTCTCAGCAGCACAGTCTCTTTACTCCCCCTTCCGGTGCAGCGTTTGATATCGCCACTTTGCAGTTTCTCCAGAGTTCTGGTTATCCTTCTTCTATCCCTCAACAACTGCCTACCTCTTTCCCTGTTCCCATCGAGCATTCAAACATGGTTCTCGCTACGAAACAAGAATTCGATTCCGATCTCCTCCTCCTCCCCGGATTTGATCATCAGAAAGACAGCCAGTCGGCTATCTTCGATGATTCGGGTGCGTTCCCTGATATCGTGTCTATCCCCGTCGACGACGTGATCTCAGACGAATCCTCCCGCCGGTCCTCCGTCTTCTCTACCCCCCAGTTCGCGACCATCTCCCCCGACGACATCTTCGCGACTGGGACCCCTTCCCTGGAGTCTTCCAGCATATTTCCTTCTCCTTTCGACTCTCCTGATGATGCTTTTGAGAGTTCTCCGATGTTCGATTCCCACGATCTTGGAAACCCCGACCAGTGGCCTTCGCTATTTGGTGGTGATTCCAAGTCGAAGGTTGAATCTACATCGCAGAAGCCTCTCTCGACTCAGCAGGAGCTCCCCCCTTCGAAGGACCTTGCTCGCTCTCTCTCTGTTCAGTCTTTTGCTTCTGATTGCCAGTCCAGAGATGAGCGATCGGCTTCTCCCGAAGGAGTTATCGTTGCTTCCGATGGTTCTGTCGTTGGTATCTCTGAGCGCAAGCGCAAGCGCGTTACCTCTCAGTCGTATGCTCGCAGACCTCGGACTGAGCCTCTTCCTCCTATTGTTGTCGGCGACGCTGAGGACAGTGTTGCTGTGAAGAGAGCCAGAAACACTTTGGCTGCTCGTCGTTCGCGAGAAAGAAAAATGTTGCGTCTGACTGATTTAGAAGTACAAGTCGATGGCTTGGTTGCTGAGCGTGATCAAGCATTGAAGCGTGTTTCTGAATTGGAAGAGGAATTGAGAAGACTGCGTGGGTTGTGAAAAAAAAATCGTGTTTTTTGTTAGGATGGGTTGGCAAAAGTCTTTTATCTAGTTCTTGCTGTGGATATGTGAATCGTTACGATTCAGTTTTATTTTTATTAGGCTCAAGATTGGTACACAAAAGTGAGATTTCGTTGTTTTTCTGTTTTAATAATTTTGTTTTAGATCTGTGATTTATTGCTACAGTCATAAAATCAAGTTCCTTGTCACTTTGTTATAATGATATTTCTATTCTATACAAACACCTATCTTAAATCCCTTCAATCTCCAAATATAGCAGCAAATAAGTCACTAGGCGCCTTCGGTCGCTCTAGAGCCTCGTTGCGTTCTGGTTCAATATTTGTGGCTGTGGTGGTGATGGCATCCAAGTCAACCTTCAAATCTGCGTCTGCCGCTATGTTTTTCAACACCGTATCAGAAACCAGCTCCGTAGCACGCGGAGCAGTAGCTTTCATAGCAATTGATGTAGTGCCGCCATCATCGACATTCTCCAGTAGGGAAAGTGGAGGAGGCACCCCGAACCGCTTGCAAAGCAGCCTACTAGGCGACCAAAACTCCACCCGTCTCGTCAGACTTCCGTACATTCCCATTTCTGCTGCCTGCTTTCTCTCGTCGACTGGAGCACTGCTTGGTGCAGAGGCACTGCCGCCTTGTAGTATTACCACATCATCATCGGAATTGACTGGCATCTGGTTTGAGCTGGATGACGATGAGGAAGTAAATCGGTTGGCGAGCATGCCACTCAGAGGTTTGAAGAGCTCGGCTGATTTTTTGAACTCACGCAACTCTTTCTGCCAATCTTCCCTATCCATCGTTCCAGCCTCTCCATCCGAAACACCTCTCCTCCGTCCTGCCAGTGGAGACAGAATACGTTCGACGTCCACCATCTCGGCATTAGCCTCGAGATAGGTTTTGTAGCGCTGACGCTTATCCGGATTATCGCCATATGGCAGGAAAGCTGCCCTGGACAATGCCGCTAAAGCTGTGTCGCGTCCAATCAGAGGAATCAAATGGATCAAAGCGTTGTCATCTGGTACCGACGACTTTTGTGCACTTTCTGCCATAAGCCGATCCCGCTCGGACTTGGCAGGAGGCAAGTTCGTGTTTCCCGTCAACTTGACGAGTTTCTCTCGTTGCTCAGGAGTCATGAAATCAAAGACAGATTTCCCCTTGTTGGCCGACTCTCCAAGCAAGCGAGATCTATCCGCGGCAGAAAGCTGTGATCTATCTGATTTTCGCTGCTCGGCATCTCGGGCGGCATCTGGAGGCAGTGAGCTAGGTAGTTTCTGTCTTTCCACATGTTGACTCCGATATTCCGCTATCATCTTGGGCGTGACGATTGTATTTGGATCTTTCATGATCAGGATGCCGGAAACAAAGGACGAAGGAATATCTGGGGGGCCGTACTTGGCCATCAGACTGTTCCAGGAAGAAAGAGGAGGAGCTGATGATAGGACGAAACCGGATAAAGGTGGACGACCATCACTGCAATGCCGAGGCATTTTAGACAAAATTTTACTCGAAGTGTAGACCAGAGAGCTATTCCGCGCAGCTGTAGACGGCTTCTTTGCCTGCACCTTTTTCGCACTCTTCTTGGAACCAATGCTTTTGTCGTATTTGATAGGCTTGATCTCGTATGGGTCTTCGTCTTCTTCGTTGTCCTCGTAATCAGCTAGCACACCAGTACCTATTCCAGTACTCTTTTTCTTCGTTATAGTAGAAGCTGCTGGTAGACTGCTTTTCGAACCAGCAGCAGGAGACTCACCGGATTCTGCCTCTAACGAGCTCAGAAGAGACACAGGAGAATCTTCAGCGAACCCAAGCCCTTGCTTTCCTTGCTTGGTTTGTAGATGTAAACTAGCTGCCGCCAATTTCGGCGGCATCATGACCTTACGTCCCTCAATGACTGTTTCCGTTAGGGGCCCAATTCCATATCCTGGCTTCCAGCCCAACTTTCGCAACAGCGCAATCCCAGAGGACTCATCATTTGATTTAGCAAGCGCTATGATACCGAATAAGTCCTGTGCACCGGTGGCTGGATCGGCGCGTGATTTCAGAGATGATGCAGCAACCAGTGTCTCGTTTTGTCGAATATCCGCAAGATCCTCTTCGTCCATAAAGTCTTCCGGGGTGAGCTTTTTGCCCTTCCCATTCTTGGATATGTACTGAGAGGGTTGCCAACCTAAAAACAAAGAGCACAAGATTAGCATTGAGCTCATAAACCATGACAGTCCCTCAAAAGCAGTTTGGATAAACTTACCCTCCTTGGAGCCTACGGTATTGAAGTAGCCAGCAGAGAAACCGCCGGTGAAGGCACCATGGAAGCGCTTGCGGCCCTGCTCGTCTCGAGCGTCCTGTTTCCAGACTGGCGCATACTCTGAGCTCGACGACAGAGCCGTTCCAAGAAAGATGGAGTCAGCTGGCTGCTCAGTCGACAACGGCCGCTTGCGCGACATGCTACATCAGCCGGAAATCCAGAGCGAGTGGTTTGCTTTCGGGGTCGATACTGATCTGTGGGATCATATAACGAGCGCAGAGCATAGAATTGGGACTTGGTCGTAGTCAACAAAGAACCGGTTCAAGACTGCGCATTCCGGTAGCGGTTCAGTTCAGGTTTGGTTTGCAAAATGCTCCCACCACCCACCACCTCGCCCGCGATCACCACGCTTTAACCGACTCCTGTTCCTTGGCTCCCACTTCCCTTGATCCGCAACGCCAACTCACCAGCCATGGCGCCTTCCGCGCCATCTTCGTCGTCGCAGGCATCTCAGCCTCCGCAGACTCAGGTACCTCCTCAACTGCACCGCACTCATTCGTCTTCTTCCAAACGCCGCACGCTTGGAGACTGGGATCTCCTGAAGACCATCGGCGCGGGCTCGATGGGCAAAGTCAAGCTCGCGCGCCATCGTCTCTCCGGCGAGCTTGCTGCTGTCAAGATTGTCCCGCGCTATGTCCCAGAAGGTCAGCTGCAACGCCATAATCCAAAATACCTGCCCATCATGCGCGCGGGGCCGGACGGTGTTTCAACCGAACAGCCAAAGCTCTCATCCGACGAAAGCAAGGAAATCCGCACCATCCGCGAAGCCGCCATTGCTTCCTTACTCGATCATCGCTATATTTGCAGTCTACGTGAAGTAATGGCAATGACTCATCACTACTACATGGTGTTTGAAAACGTTGCCGGCGGACAGATGCTAGACTATATTATCTCGCATGGTCGTCTAAAGGAGAAGCAGGCGCGCAAGTTTGCTCGCCAGATCGCCTCTGCCATCGACTACTGCCATCATAACTCGGTCGTCCATCGCGATTTGAAGATTGAAAATATTCTTATTTCAAAGTCTGGAGACATCAAGATTATCGATTTTGGACTTTCGAATCTTTACTCCCCTCGATCGCTGCTCAAAACATTTTGCGGATCCCTTTATTTCGCAGCTCCGGAGCTATTGAACTCGAAGCAGTACATCGGTCCAGAAGTTGACATTTGGAGTTTTGGAATTGTACTCTATGTTCTGGCGTGCGGCAAGGTTCCGTTCGACGATCAGAGTATGCCAGCTCTTCATGCAAAGATCAAACGCGGTCACGTCGAGTATCCAAATTGGCTCTCGCCAGGTATGATTCAAGCATTTCGTGATTGCTTATTGCTTTTTTTTTGGAAGATTCTAACTCCCCCTTTTTCTACAGAATGCAAGAACCTGCTGTCGCGCATGCTCGTCGTCGATCCTAAAGCTCGAGCAACGTTGGCCGAAATCATAAATCACCCCTGGATGCTGAAAGGATACGACGGACCTCAAGACTCCTATCTACCAAACAGACGCCCGCTCACGTTACCCCTTGACCGCGAAGTTATCAAAGGGATGCATGGATTTGAATTCGGTTCTGACGCGCGCATAGAAGCAGAGCTCACGGCCGTGCTGGAGTCTCCAGAGTATCAGGCTGCTTGTCAAGCATGGTATCGCTCAGACGCAAATATATCTGGGGGTTCTTCCGGGGGTGGACACTTCAACGCATTCTTGAATGGGTCACTCTTCGATTCGTCTAGCGGCTCGCCAACTAGCGCACACACTCCAAGGAAAAAGTCAACCTTTAGCTTTGAGTTTTACAAAAAGCGTCAGTCCAATACGTCGCCATCGTCTTCGCAGGAAACATTGAACGAACGGTTCCCGGATCCAACGAATGCTTACCACCCCTTGATCTCAATCTACTTCCTAGTCAGGGAGAAACAAGAAAGAACAAGGAGACGACCTACATTAGAGACCGCAGGATCTACTCGATCTGTTCTAGCTCCTCTGGAGGCTCCTGTACCTACTGCTTCAAGTGAGTCTTCTGGAGCAGTACCACGAATGGAACTGGCTCCTCCTCCTGAAATAAGTAGCGGCGAAAAGCAACCTCGACTCGGGCGTCTCGAAATCCCAGTCATTCCGGTACCGGAGACCGCACACACGCATAGTCAGCCAACAGCTAGGACCGCGTTTCCGGGACGATCACGCAGCGTTAACCATGGTCACAGTGGGTACATACCCGATAGGTCTCGGTCTAACGTGTCGACATCTCCTACGAGCAACAAAGACAGCTATCCATCACCGGTACAGCCACAATACTCTCCAGTATTCAGTAGTTCTAGGCAGCATCATCCTACCGATCTACCGACTATTCCTTCAGAGTCTAATAGTCCAGATGAGTTTGGACATCCCACCCATTTGTCGCCCGGACACACTAGTCATGATCCTCACAGCGGTATGAACGTGACATCACCAACTAGTCCGTCGAAGCGTGATGGAATCTCTATTGGTGGAATCTTCCGCAGACTGTCCACTAGACGTCAACACCGGTCAAACAGCATGAGTACCGGTGGTCACAGCGGTGGTACGATTCCTCCCATGAGTCCCAGCGCAGGATCCGCATCCTCAGACGATGAGCGGCCACCTCCCTTGCCAACTATGGAGTTCAACGCCACCTACGAAGATCCGCCTACAGGAATTCCAGTACCCGGATCCCCTCAGCAAGAGAAACGTCATCCGGGGGTGACTTTTGCGCCCGACCACGAGACCCGCTCGGGATCGGGGTCCGGAAAACAATCTGGAAATGCGCCACAGTCTTTCATCCGCTTTGAGCGCCTGTTTTCAAGAGCTTCCAATCTCGGTAGATCCACATCGATCTCTGAAGGCACCTACAATAGACGAGGAAGTCGCGTGCTGAACTAAAACAAGACGGCCGTTTCGTCTCATTCGTGAAAAACATAATTTTGTATATATATCTACAGCTATATCGTCTTTTCTTTTCCTCACTTGTATTGTCGTGTTTAGAAAGACTTGACGGATCTATAAACTGTTCTTGGTTGTCATATTGCTTTTTTTTAGGTTAACATTCATGTTGGCGAGGATTGTTGAAGTCTGAGAGACTTCTTTTTAATTTCACTTCTCTATTTTTCTGGATTTGAGGCGATTAGATAGATCTACTTATCTCTGCAGTGGATCTTTCGGAGAATACTACACTATAGGATTTATATAAATATAGTTCCCTAGTCTTAATGTTTGTTCTATAAATTCTCGTACGAAGAACAGCTATTTGCGATTGATATCTATATAAACTATCTCAACAAAGAATTCAAAGTTATCAACTTTTTTCATCTTTACTCGATCGTAACTCATACATCGTATCTATCCCTCAGCGTTTGCCTTACTTCATCGGAGATCTGACTCATGATCACTTGATCCCAATCTCCAACTAAGCCCCTGTACCCGCTCAATATTGTCGAGAACATGTGCAGAAGCTCATCCGACGGCTCGGTATACATCCCTATCGCCTCGATAAATTCCGGCAGACAGCCCTGTAGACCATTAGGATTCACAACTACTATCTTGCACATTCCTTTGAATGCACTCTCTTTCTCGTCAGTATCGCGGATAATTCGAAGAGCCTTGCACCAGTAAGCGGCAAAAGTTTCCAGACGGGGCGCAATAACGTCCGGACACGATATTCCTAGTCGTCCAATTGTGATTGCAGCATTTTCGACAATCGTCTGCTCGACATATCCATTAACGGCCACCACAACCACCAGCTTTTCCATAAGTGGGGCAACATATGGCCGTACATCTTCTCCGAGTTTGAGCGCGATTTCGCCAGCCGCCCAAGTTGCATTATTGCAAACTGCAGAGCAGCTTGGATCACCTGAATCGATCTGCGGGATCAACTCTGTCATGATAGCAGGGATGTATGCTTTAATTACGTCAAAAGACCCAATAGCCATATCTCCCAGAAGTGCAAACGCACTTTGCCGAACTTCGTGAACAGGATCATTCAAGCAAGCAAGAATCATTTGCATTAATGGGTACTGTGATTGGTTGACGAGCCCGACGGAAAGCGATCCCAGACCCTGCACTAAGCCGTCTAGTAGATCCAAGGCGGTGACTATGAAGTCCTTGTCTGGACTGTCAAGAGTAGGATCATTAGAAGCCTCCTGGGCCATCACAAGATTATCGTGAAGGATCTTGACAGCACGCTGGAAGACTGGTTCAGCGTAGGGAGCAAAATGCTCTCCAAGGGCCGCCGTCACCGAGGAAAGACATTCGAGCAGTGGGAACAGATCAGTGTCATCATCACTGAGTTTCTGCCACCGTTCTATCAGAGGTGGTAGCAGGAGATCGATATACTCTTTGCTCTTCATTGCGTATCCGACTTTGTCTACCAAAGTCTGGACAGCGTCATAAAGAATGGCCAGGTTTTTGCTTTGATATTTGAGAAAGCAGAGCGTAAGGTTTTGCAAAATGTACATCAGATATGGAACTAGCAGACCACCGGCTTGGTCCGCAAAGTTTGCGAATCCGCTGCATCCTGCTTCCTGAACCTTCTTGTTGTTATCCAGACAACACTTCAATAGCTGTAATAGAAAAAATGATGAACGTCAGCAATGAGATAACCAAAATGCACGTGGACTAACGGCTTGGTGCAACATACCCCAGTCAAAACGGGAATGAACTCTTGTTCGTAGCCAATATCTGCTGAGCGGTAGCAGATCCAGCTGCTGTAACGACCAAGGGTCCAGCAAGTGATTTGTCGGATCGGAGCCTAGAAATGATTTAGTTTTCTGCCTTGTATATGAAATATCGCCAAAGAGTTTACTTACCACTGGATCGCCCAACGCTTGTACAAAGTATGGGATTACTTCAGGAAGGAAAGGTGACATTCCATCCACGCATCCTTCGGCAATTGCGCCATATGCAAGAATAGCAGCTTCGCGAACCGGCCATTCATGAGAAACAAGATTCTGCTTCAAAGTGGGGAGACTAAACTCTAGAATCCGCTCATGGTAACTGCTCGCAAAGATGTCGAGCGCTGCAGCTGAGCATTTTCGTAAGTTCCAGTCTGATATATCCATACTGTAGTCGTCATCATCTTCATCTTCATCGTCGTCATCATCATCGTCAAACTCGCCGTCGTCATTACCGGTTCCATTCCCTGATTTGTTGTTTTCAGCTGAGAAGTGGCTGGCATTGTGAGCGTTGCGTGATTTAGCATGCGTTGGCCGAATATCGGTAGCCTTGTCTTCCATTCTAGCGTCATCCTCTGCCATGCTCTCAAAACGCAGGATGTCCTGCTCAGAATAGACCATACATCTAAACAGAACAGGTAATATTTTTGGTAAGAAAGCAGAAACTTGGTTCCGCAATCTATCATGTTCTGCCAACCCAAGCAGAAACTCACAAGCCTCCAGAGCAACCTGTTCATCATCGTCACCCATGCAGTGTAGTGAGTAATTGACGATCCCTTCTAGATGTGGCACCAATTTTTCCTCTCGTACATCAAGAAGCATAACAAATGCCGTGCAAATATTTTTCCGCACATCTGGATCAGTATCCACAGCCAGCTGGAACAGAGTAGTGAGAAAAGCATCGATGTGCACAAACAGAGCCTGCGACATTCTCAGGATGAACTGGTTGAGACACACGATACATAGACTTCTGACCTTAGGCGATGGCGAACGTGCAAGCTCGATGAAGCGGGGGATCATGAAGGACAACACACGCTGGCCTTCCGGATCACTATCTAATTCAGAACCCGAGTCCTCGAATAGTTTAGCCAAAGCACTAAGAGCACCTTCTTGAACAACTGTATTGTCATGGTTCGTCATAGCCATGAGCTTCGGAAGAATATCGGGCCAGCTTTGAAAGGAGCCTTTGCTAACCACAGCACTAACCACGGAACCCGCGATGTTGCGGATCATAGCTACTGGTTGCGAGAGTCCGATGACAATGTTCTCCTTAATATATTCAATAACTGCCGGCTCTCTGGAAATGGCGTCGTACTGTGCCAAAACATTGTTCTTGAGCATGATGCCTGCGGAGGCACGCAGATGAATTTCGGCATCGCTGGTAGGAGTAACAAAGATGTTGACAAGATAGTTGTTCAGATCTCGCTGAGTACGACGAGCTTCTTCGAGAGTCTGACCAAAGTAAGTGTTAGTAGAGATATTCGGGGACAGCAGAAGGGTCTAATCACCTTCGTAGCCAATCCACGCAGGGTGTTATCAGGCGATAATGAATTGAGGAACACCAGGCGGAGTTGCTCCAAGATCTCGGGCTGAGGAGACCACGACATAGTGTGTAGCAGGAGTTATCAACCAACAGTGATCTAAACAGTTTATATTTGTGTCTCAAGTTCCACGGGAAAGTGTTGTATAATTAGAGAGGTTCCATAGGCACTTGACCCTTGCGACGCGACAACAGTTTTGTAGATTGGGAAGGTGGACTTGGGAACAGGAAAAAAAATCGTGAGTGCTGTAAACTCTAATTCTCGAGTAAGATGGCCCTCTTTCGTGTTCAGAACGGCAGCAGAACGCCATACCGCCGTCGTGTGCGGCAATTGATTTGAATGTAGATTTATGGGTTTACTAGTAATAGTACTGATAAAGAAATATTGGAGCCGTCCGCTGTTATCTAAGAAAGATAGAGCAGAATCCGACCTCCTGCAAGCCGGCGATAGCCCAGCAATAGAACTGTTTTGTACAGTAATAAATTATATAACATTCACATGTACACCTAACCCGAAAAGTACAGCATTTACCAAACTCCACAAAACAAGACATATAAACACGTAAAATACAGCCGTAGTAGACCGTCGTAGATATAGCAGAGACCCTAAGAGTCAACATCCATCATCAATGACTCTCTAGGCACAAGGAACGGAGCGTCAGCAAAATCATCAAGCTCTCGGTCCAACAGGCCATCATCATTCGCGGTCTCCTCACTCTCAGGCTCATCCTCATCTGTGAGCACAGCATCGTCCAGGTCATCGATATCCCTGGCACGCTTTTTGGCTGACATGTTTGAACGTTGAGCGTAAGGATTGACAAGCAGAGCAGAGTCGCTATTTCCACGTCTGGCAATCTCTGACTGAGACTGGGCTTTAGCCCCTTGCGCATCGTAGTGGGTCCGCTTGTAGCCGTCACTAACAGACTTGCGCACTTTCATACCGACTTGTATAAGAGATGCTTGTATGCTCGGAGGCAAGGCCTCAGACACAAGCCCCGGGGGAGAAGACGCGTAGAGAGCAAATGAGGGAGTCTGCGGATACAGCGAAGGGTCGGCTGAGTAGCGTCGAGAGACGGGGGAAGGAGATCGAGGAAAGGCATGAGTCGTGATGAGAACGCGTTTCGAGCGAGGATTCGCGGGTGCTGGCTTGGCCGACGACATAGTGAAGAGTCTGAAAGGTCTTATAAGCGTAAGCTCCCGCCCGTGAACTGTAAGAGAATATCGAAGACTCTTGTTCAAGCGGAAAGTGCGGGTTAAGGACGCGAAGCGAGGGGGTATTAAGGAGGGGAGACTTGGTGGTCGTGGCGCGCCTCCCAATGGCTGGCCGGCTCATGGGGCACGGCCTGCTCGTAAAATTTGTAATTCGTGACATAAGCACATACACGTGATCTATAGTGACAGCCTCTGCGGCTATCATCTTCTCGCTCATCCGCTTCTGCTGCTGCCCGTCTGCAGGCTGTTAGCAGAGCACATACTCACAATGCCAGACGAACCAGCCAGGAACGTTGAGTCTGCCATGGCTGCTCTTCACATCAATGCGAATGAGACGCCAGCAGCTCCCAATCCTCTTGCTTCAGTGCAAGCTGCTCGTGGTATTCGGCCGCCGGTGCAAATTCCCCCAGATGTTCAAGAACGCATTCGTGCCTTTCAGATGGCCCGGCAAAATCGCACACAGACGACTTCACGATCGACGACAATACCGCAGGAACCGCAACAGCAACAACAACAACAACAACAACAACAACAACCGCCGCAGCAGCTGTCCTCGCCGCTGTCGGCAGATCCGGAGAAGCAACTTCAGCTGCAGCAACTGCTGCAGGCCCAGCAGCAGCAAAAATTACAGCCGAAGTCGCTGACGGGACAGCAGTCGTCTCCTATTGCTAGACCTCAGCCAAAACTATCTCTCTCTCAGCGTCGCGGACTTGCGTTGAATGGCGCCTCTGGAAACCGACCATCCATGAAACTATCTTCCGATGATTCCTCGTCCTCTCCCGCCCCGCAGGCTTTACACGTCGACGCAAATCCGCAGTCTCTGATGAACTCGTTCTCTCAGTACATCGATGTCGCATCAGGAAGCTTGAACTTTGCTGGGAAAGCGTCTTTAGATGCTCATGGTATTAATTTCTCTTCCGGGTCGAGCTTTAAAATCTCGCTGGACGAGCTCGAGATCCTGGAGGAGATCGGCCGCGGTAACTACGGAACAGTCTCAAAGGTGAGACATCGTCCGACGAATGTCATTATGGCCATGAAAGAGATCCGCTTGGAGCTTGATGATAGCAAATTCCGGCAAATTGTGATGGAACTTGATGTTCTTCACAAGTGCATATCCCCTTTCATTGTTGATTTTTACGGCGCATTCTTTGTCGAAGGAGCCGTATACATCTGCATGGAATATATGGATGGCGGGAGTCTGGATAGACTTTACAGTGGAGGTGTTGAAGAGCCTGTTTTGGCTAAGATTACTGAAGCAGTGGTGCGCGGACTCAAAATCCTGAAAGACGATCACAATATCATTCATCGCGATATCAAACCAACAAATATTTTGGCATCGAGCTCAGGGGCGGTGAAACTTATTGATTTCGGAGTCAGTGGAAATCTTGTGGCTTCCATCGCTCGCACGAATATTGGGTGTCAATCATATATGGCACCAGAGAGAATCAAATCTGCCAGTCCGACTGACGCGATCACGTACACGGTGCAGTCCGACATTTGGAGTTTGGGCCTGACTCTTTTGGAAATTGCCAACGGATCTTATCCGTACCCTCCTGAGACATACGGTAATGTGTTTAGTCAGCTTAGTGCTATCGTCGACGGCGAGCCGCCCACATTGCCAGAACCTCGATTTTCACACGAAGCTGCAAGCTTTGTGAAGCAATGGTGAGTTTTGCATAAATTTAGCTGCTGTTGCTTATTACTTTTGATTGTGAGATATTTCACGTATAGGTCATATTTGCTAACGAGATTGCATATTAGTCTTAATAAGGATGCGGTATTGCGGCCAACGTACGGAAAACTGCTGGCTCATCCGTGGTTAGTAAAGTACCGGAATGTCGAGGTCGATATGGCGGGTTGGGTGAAGAGTGCGCTTGAAGCGAGAGCAAAGGGAAGTAATGTTAATGCGGTGCGTCCAGCACTTCATGCAGGTGGTGCAGGGGCATTAAAGTAGTTATGTTTTAATAAAGCGAATCTCTTGTCTGTACAGCAAGAAGCCAGCACATCGAAAACAGCTTACCACATATCGCAATAAAATCACGTAAGCACGCCGATTTGCAGATCACATGATTGGGACGTGCGCTGCCGGCCCCGACTTTTGGCGCTCGTTAGCGTGCGCCGTGGCGCGAATGATTCAATCACCGAGCGGCGCTCGTTGACGCTATCATCAGACTTTTTGATTAGCAGAAAACGATTTCTCTTCTTCTCCTCCTCCTCCTCCGCCCGCTTCTCTCTCTTCCTCATCCCCCCTCGCCCGACCCCTGCCTAGTCTACATGACCATGGTAGGCTCCGCTCCGTCGCTCGTGCCTCCCATAGAGCGTCCTCGGCCTCGCCGCCGCAGTCTGGCGTCCCACGCTCAGACCCATCTTCGCCTCGCCTCGATCACTTCATCTTCTCCTGCCTCTATCGAACGCGACCCCTCCACAGTACCGGCTGCTGATCTTCGCGGCTACACAGCAGAGATTGCTTCTTTGGCTCTTGATGACGCTTTTGCGCCCGTGCCAGTGCCTCCCTTATCATCCTCTGGAGAGTCAACATTAACCTTGTTGCTGCGCACCGCAAACGACCATCCTCTTGCCGATTCAGCATCAACTTCCTCCGGCTCATCGTCCTCTTCCCAGCCAGATCCTCTTTCTCTTCACTCCGACAACACATACAACGATGACGAACCGGCCGAGGATCAACCCTTGCTCAACGACTTATCCCGCTATGGCTCCGAGTTCGCTTTTTCTGAGCCCTCGGAGACCTCGTCTCGTCCATCCTTGCTCAGCCGTATTTCTTCCGCATCCTTTCTTTCTCGACGTCGGTCTTCGCAATACAGTCGAACCGTCTTTTTCAGCCGACCAAGACCGTTCATTAAGTCGGCCTCTCTCTACCTCCGAGATCACCGATCTGATTTGATGCTCCCGTTCAAATATATTCCCTCAGTTATCCTTGGAGTTCTACTCAACGTCTTGGACGGTCTGTCATATGGAATGATCCTCTTCCCTCTTGGAGAGCCGTTATTTTCTTCCCTTGGTCCTGAAGGTCTCTCGATGTTTTACGTTTCTTGCATCATCTCCCAGCTCGTCTATTCCGCCGGTGGCTCTGCCTTCAAAGGAGGCGTCGGTTCCGAGATGATCGAAGTCGTTCCTTTTTTCCATTCAATGGCCTACACCCTTCTTGCTCGGATCGGAGAAGATAAGCCTGAGTCAGTTCTAGCTACAACTGTACTTGCTTACGCGATTTCGTCAGTTGTTACCGGTTGCGTCTTCTTCCTCCTTGGCTTTGCCCGTATCGGATCGCTCATCGGTTTTTTTCCACGACATATCCTCGTGGGCTGCATCGGAGGAGTCGGATGGTTCCTGATTGCCACGGGCCTAGAAGTTTCTTCCCGTATGGACGGCAGTATGGTTTACGATTTGGAGACGCTGGAATTTCTCTTTCACCCAATGACATTTTTAAAGTGGGCTGTTCCTCTGGCTCTTGCATTTATTCTTCTCGCCTTGGAGCATTTGATCAAGCACCCTCTTTTGGTGCCAACCTACTTTATCGTTGTCTTTGTGGGATTCCACGTTCTTGTATCGTTTATTCCTGGGATCTCCCTACAGGCTTTGCGCGATCTGGGTTGGGTCTTTGTTAGCCCCGAAGCAAGCATGCCATGGTACAGTTTCTACGGCCTTTACAAATTCTCTGCTGTTGACTGGCCCGCGTTGTTTTCCACGATCCCTGCAATGTTTGCTTTGACGTTCTTTGGTATTCTACATGTTCCGATCAACGTGCCAGCTCTTGCTGTCTCGGTCGACGAGGATAAGGTTGACGTCGATCGAGAACTTATTGCTCACGGCATCTCTAATGCTCTCTCCGGATTGTGTGGAAGCATTCAAGTAAGTGCTATCGAATCACTCCAAGCTTTCTGGTTTTAGTATCTAACAATCCCTTCTTACAGAATTACCTTGTTTATACAAACAGTCTGCTGTTCATCCGAAGCGGGGCCGACAGTCGAATTGCTGGATTTATGCTTGCTATAGCAACCTCTGGAGTGATGCTTGCTGGTCCACGTGTGATAGGCATAATTCCTGTCATGGTTGTTGGAGCACTGATCTTTCTCTTGGGAATCGAATTACTGCGCGAAGCTCTATATGACACCTGGGGGCGCGTCAATCGGTTCGAGTACTTCGTTATTGTTGCAATCATAGTCTCTATGGGTGCTTGGGATTTTGTTTATGGTATCATCATTGGCATAATCCTAGCCTGTGGGTCCTTCGTTGTTGAGTCTTCTCGCAAGTCAGCTATTAAAGCGACCTACTCCGGTACGGTTGCTAGATCTACTGTAAGGCGTCATCCATTCCAGCAGCGTTTCCTCAAGGAAGTTGGTGATGAGATTTTTGTTGTGAAGCTCTCAGGATTTCTTTTCTTCGGAACAATCGTTTCTGTCGAAAGCAAAATCCGCGATCTCCTCGAGAATCCTCACAATGAACAATTCCGAAGAATCAAATACCTTGTCATCGACTTCAAGGAAGTGCGAGGCGTCGACTTTTCAGCAGCAGAGGCCTTCACTCGGATGCACCGACTTCTAGAATCGCGGAAAATTGAGCTCACGATGTGTGCTTTGTCTGATGACGTTTCTCGAGGGCTGCAAGCCGTTGGACTTTGGGAAAATTCCGATCCGGATAACGATATCCATATTTTCGCTGATCTAAACTCTGCACTCGAATGGTCGGAAAACCAGCTCCTTGCGGTATATTATCATGTCAGGGATCAACAAAAACTGGCAGCTATGCACAAGAATGGCAAACGATTCGAAAGCACTGTCACGCACTCTGAAATGCCTATTGAGGGAACTACGATAATTCAGATGAAGGCAAACGCGCTTATTTCTGATAACATGTTCAGCATGTCTTCTCCGCGTCAAACGCTAGTTCACAGGGCCAGTTCGAGTGCTATGCTCGCAGACCCCACTTTTGCTTACCACATTTCGCCTGATCATGTCTCCCATGAAGGAACTGCGGCAACCTCAGGAAGCCAGAGCTTGCTGCAGACCAACGAACAGGAGATCAATCAGCCGCTCACTCTATTTTTACAAATCATCGCTGACTTCTCTACTCAGCCATCTTCATTCTGGGCCCCGGTCATGACATACTTCAAGAGAGAAGAACACAAAGCCGGGTCCTATCTTTTTCACAAGGATGATGATGCTGATGGATTTTACTTGGTAGAGAAGGGAATTCTCAAGGCAGAGTACAATCTTGATCAGGGCAAATTTTATGAAGCGATTGTTGCAGGAACTACAGCAGGAGAGCTGCCATTCTTCTCTGAGACCAAGCGTTCTGCTAGCATGATGGTCGAACGTGATGCTGTTGTCTGGAGGCTTACTGCTGAATCTTGGCTGAAGTTTCTGAACGAGGCCAATAACGATCATGAAGCGGCGAATCGGCGGCAGGTAGCCTTGGAGCTATACAAAATTGCGATGAAATTAACTGCAGAAAGATTCAGCGCTATTACATCATATGTACTAACCTCGGCTGGCTAGTCTACATCTTCCCTCATTTATGCTAAAGCAGTTCAGTTTTGCAGATTGTTTTCATATTCCCTAAAATATTTTGTTCTTATGTTTTTTTGATTTTTTGATTCATCAGTATATATGTTCCAGAGGTCGGGGTTTGTCTTCGCTTTTCACTTTTACTGCTTCAACTATTTCTGAGGTTTTGGGAGATTCATTTTGCATTGTAGAGAATACATTGAAAGTTGGTGTGAATATGTATTCGGTGTTGATAACACAACATAGATGAGATCACAAAATAACTTTATACTAATCATTTGCAACAATAAGTACATACATCTACTCATACACAATCATAGGCCTCTTAGCCCTTGATTTTGTTCTCCATATCTAATACCAACCCACCATGGGTCTCCCTATGGCACAGTGCTCGAGCCGGCGCGTATAGTGCGCTGGCTAGGCATCTACTTCGACGCCAAGCTCAGATTTCAACATTATGCTCAACAGAGGCTGGAGCAGACAATGCGCTCGCTCATGTCTTTTCGACGGTTCGCTAGACCAACAGGCGGTCTCCCGCTCTCATCTTTTCGACAGCTCTATATTTCCTGCATCACTTCTCTTGCAGACTACGACACGGAGCTTTACTGGACTTATCAGAAAGCGGTGATCAATGAGAAGTTCACAGGGCTGCAAAACAAGGCGCTCAGAATGATTTTGGGCGCGTCCAGGTCCTCGCCAATTGCAGCGCTTGGAGGTGAAGCAGCGATTCCTCCAGCGACCATCAGACTAATATTCTTGTTTTTACCTTCTATCTGAAATATTGAACTTTTAAATCAGTTGATATCGAGATACGATGCTCTTTCCAGCCCACCCGGACGAGTCTCGCACGTCTCCTGTCGCGCCCTCCGGGAGATGGGACTAGGCTGGAGAAGTTGAACGCCTCCAGAGTCGATTGGACTACTTGTTGTGAACTTATCAGCTTTTTCTTCAACGCCCAACGACGACTGAGACGTTCAACGTTAGAGAATATCCACCCTGGCGCGTCCCGGAGATCTCCAGCAAGCTTGGGACACTACCGGAAAAGGAGATTTTGGAATTCATCGGCAAGGGCAGGGACATCCACACTCGCTCATTTTACAACACTGAGAACAAGGGTACTGGTTGAGATTTCAGTGTCGAATATGAAGGACGTCTCGTGCATGAAGAGCATGGCCTTTTGGGCTTCCATTCAGATATGTATTTTGCGGCGATAACGGCCTTAGCAACGGCCACAACTTGGACATCAAAACGAAGACTGTCAAATAAAACTATCAGCTTCCTGACGGATGCCCTTGCTGTCTTGAAACGCCTGGATAAGCCTCGGCGCGCCTCAAATTAACGTCAAGCTACTGTTATCTATCAGGCCCATCGATCGACTGTCTGAAACCAACACCAAAGTCTCTATTTATTGGCTTTGCTCTGCTACCAATTTTGAAGGCAGCAGTCATGCTCTTGGCTTAGCCATTCAAGCAGCCTCGTCGCCAGACCAGGTCAATCATGACTGTTCATTGCGCTTCTTTCAAAAGCTAGTCGATGATCGCGGTTTTATCAATGGAATGCCCTGTTTCGACCTGAGCTTTCAGCGCTTTTGAGGGCAAACCTCGGCTCTCTATTGACAAGCCCCTTGTGAATATCTCGCGCAGTGTTGCCAGCGGGATATTTAGCTTCCAAACTGGACATGGCTTCTTCAACAGCTACTTTGCAGGACATGATGGTAGAGAACCTCGTCCTTCTCCAGAGTGGTGATGTGAGATTCCACATCAGTCAGTTCAGCATGTGCTTCTCTTTTGTCGCGAGCGCAGAGATGAACGAGATAGCGGCTGTGAAGGTATCCCTATGGCCGAACGCACGCTCAACCGTTTTCTATGGACAGACAAAGGTCTTTCTGCACTTGCCAAGTATCTTCAGAAGACCCACTTCAGCACTGGTCACTGGTATCACCAGAAAAACTCTCTCAGACATAGCCGGAGGGATGTGTTATGGATCTATTTTTTGGTGGATTTGAGAGTGGGCATCGCCAATACAGAGGTGGAGGAGAAGCAGTGAGGATGTTGAGTAAAAGAAATAGCTGGGATAGTTATTATTGAATTATTTTCGGATGTTTATCTTTTATTTCAAAGAAGCTATAGTTAGTGAATTATGAGAAATTTTTCTGTGTTATCTTTGACCTGTAGATTATTTGATATTGAATTATATGTTATTGTTGATGAAGATGAATCTCTGTCTTAAGTCCAATGCAACAATTATGTTATGACAGATAAAGTCACACGATCTTAGAATCTATTCTGCTTTATTTAGTGGAGAAAAGGGAAGAAGTCCATTAAGACCTATGACTTAAGACAGATGTAATATTTGCGGATTCCAATCTTAAGTAATAAGACCAAATATCAACTAGGGAAAAGTATGTATTGAGCGTAAAGACTAGAGAATAAACAAACAGAAGGAGCGTCCCTATTATAAGGTGGCGCTGGACAAATGTGAGGTCACAAGACAAGAAGTGGCTAAAGACAAACTAAAGATAACAAAGTAGAAGTATGAAAGGTAAATGTAACGCTTCTCAACACATACTGAAAAACCCTTAATAATCAATAACATAATCAATAACAATAAACAATAATAATCAATTACTCATCACGAGTGCAGTGCAGAGCACATACACTACAACAGAGATGATTTATCATCATCATCATCATCAGAAAACTCAAAGAAATTTCAGAAATTCACGGATGTGAGTTCCAATTGGATCTCAGCAGTATAGCCGCTGTATTTATCCCTTTAGATCTTCGGTTCGTGCGCCGCTTTGGTGCTTTTCCTAGATAATGGCCTGATATTGAACACCTGCAATTCTCACCTTGATAATTTCAGCAAAAACGGTCTTGGCTACAAAATTTGTACTGAACCCCCCACTACAGTGGCACCAGGCTTATAACAAAAGAGATAAAATCCCCTGAGTATCATATATTGTGGACCTTACAGCAGCTTCTTCCATTTGCGGGAATGATAGAATAGAAGTACTCACTGGATAGGCTGTCCTCCACCTCAGGCGGGCATACTTGGATATCTCAATCAAGGAGATGAGAGATTGAAGGTTGGATTAGGAAATGTAGATAAAAATGATGGTTGATTGATTGATGAATCTATTTCAAAGTCCGTGTGCAACACCTAGGCTATGACAGACACGGAGATATAAATAATGTCGGTAGGATCAGTTGGGGACAATCTGTCATAATCTAGTCATTGTATATAGACTATATTAGAATAAATTAACATCGATCCCCTTGTACCGGCCCACCACTTGGAGTGACACATTTCCACATGAAACCTGATCTCTTCTCCTTCTCCACAACATCCCACACCAAACAACCATGGTATCCACTTTAGAGGAAAGTCGAGAACTCTCATTTATTGAGGCATCTAGAAGATGATGATGATGATGAATCTTTTTATTATAGTCTATTTGCAACAACTAGGTTATGACAGACTGTCTCCAACTTCTTCCGCCAATTTTTTATCTCCATTTTTCTAATCCAACTTCAATTTTTCCATCTCCCTGATAGGATATCCAAGTATGCCTGCCTGAAGTGGAGGACAAGCTATCCAGTAGGTGCTTCACTTCAACCATTGCCAGAAAGGGAAGGCGTGTAGTAAAGTCCATAGTATTATCCATAAAATCCGGGGGATCTCATTTCTTTCACCGCTTTGTTGTAAACTTGGTGCTACTGCAGTGGGGGGTTCAATATAAATTTTGCAACCAAGACCATTTTTTGCTGAAAATTATCAAGGTGAAAATTGGGGAGGTGTTCAATATTAGGCCAAAATCCAGGAAAAGCTCACAAGCGGGGCTCGAACCATGGATCTTAAAGGAGCAATGCAGCGGCCATACCGCTGGGCCATATCACTGCTCCTTGCGCACTCCTTGTAGCTGCGCGCTTCCATCCACATCTTTCTACAAAAAGAGTGATTACTCAACCACAACAAGTTAAATCAACTGGAACTATCTAAAATAATAAGGAGTGGACATTTCTGCATCCTTTTACAAATGTGCATAAAAAGAGCAGTGATATGGCCCAGCAGTATGGCTGCTGCATTGCGCCCTTTAGATTCTCGGTTTGAGCCCTGCTTGTGAGCTTTTCCTGGATTTTGGCCTAATATTAAACACCTCCAAATTTCACCTTGATAATTTTCAGCAAAAATGGTCCTGGTTGCAAAATTTATACTGAACCCCGCACTGCAGTAACACCAAGTATACATACAACAAAGCGGTGGAAGAAATGAGATCCACCAGATTTTATGGATTTTACTATAGACTTTACTACACACCTTCCCTTTGTGGCAATGGTTGAACCGAAGCACCTGTTGAAAATAGTGTTCCATTATGTAGCAGGATCAAGAGTTTCCTTGGAGGGAACTGAAACCCTAAGGAAACTACTGATGATGATGATGATGATAATAAATCTCTGTTTTATGTCCGTTGCAACAACTACGTTATGACAGATTAGCACCTCTTTCACCACTAAATAATAAAACAAAATAGATCCTAAGATCGTGTCACAATAACAAATAATTCAATAACAAATAAATCTCCAAGTCAAAAATAACACAAAGAAACTTCGCAAAATTCACTATAACATGCTTCAAATCAGAGATAAAAAATCCAAACAAATTCAATAATAACCCTCCTAGCTATCAACTTCCTTATGAGACCTCACTGCTACTCCTCCTCCTCATTACTGGCGATCCCCGCTCTCAAATCCACCAGAAAATTGATCCATAACTCATCCCTCTGGCTCTTAGTGAGAGACTTGTGCTGATGATACCAGTGACCAGTGCCAAAATGGGTCTTCTGAAGATATTTGAGGAGTGCAGAAAGACCTCTGCTTGTCCATAGACTGCGATCGAGCGTGCGTTCGGCTATAGGGATATCTTCAAAGGCACTCTTCCGTTCCTCTGTGTGCTTGGAACATGAAAGAGGCACATGCTCAACTGACTGCAGTGAGTCTCCACACCAACAGTCTGGAGAGGGACGAGGCTCCCTGCCATGTCTTGCAAAGTAGCTGTTGAAGAAGCCATGTCCTGTGGGGGAGCAGTGATATGGCCCAGCGGTATGGCCGCTGCATTGCTCCCTTAAGATCCACGGTTCGAGCCCCGCTTGTGAGCTTTTCCTGGATTTTGGCCTAATATTGAACACCCCCCCAATTTTCACCTTGATAATTTTCAGCAAAAAATGGTCTTGGTTGCAAAATTTATATTGAACCCCCCACTG